GGAATTTAGCTTGAATGTTTCATTAGAAATATGGCAGCCTAGGTCGGTGAAGAGTAAGCACTCGCATTAACACTGGCACACTGTGATATCCCCCTGATGATCTGATCAGATTGAATGTTCACCGAACAATTTCCACTCACCTGACAAATGCGTGCTGGCGACTTGCTACCAGAACCACACCTTCTTCGAGGCGCGCCCTACTGGAAGAATCGCGATGCCTGAGTTGGGATTGTGCAGCCCGCAGGCAGACGATGCCTTTGGGCCCGTCGTTGCCCACTGCCGTCAGGGCTTCGACTTTACCCTGCTTTTTGAGCAATTCATCCTGTCGGCCGTGCCCTCGGTTCTGGTGCTGCTCGTTTCATCCTGGGCCTTGATGCGAAGGCACCGAAGAAGTGTCAAGACCACCTCGCAATCGAGATTTTCTCTCAAGCTAGCAAAGCAGGTATGTACGATGTTCTCCTTCTGCCACTGCTAGGCTTTTCCTCGTTGCTTACGCTTATCTTAGATTTCAATTGCATCTTTAGCCGCCACACAGCTTGTGTTGATCGTGCTATGGAGTTCACCCGACTCGAACAGGACCAAGGCGTCGCTACCTGCGGTGGCCCTCTCGCTTGCTGGGACACTCGCGATGGCAATCCTCTCCTACCTTGAACATGACCGCTCCGTTCGCCCATCTACCATCCTATGCGCCTATCTGTTCTTCTCGGCTTTGCTGGATCTCAGCCAGGCTCGCACGCTATGGCTGAGGCAGAGTAACGATGCGGTAGCCGCTGTCTTCACTGCTGGTCTTGCCCTCAAGGTTGTGACTCTGGTTGTGGAAACGACTGAAAAGAAGGGTTTCCTCCAAGCACCTTACCGTGACTATAACCCGGAGACATTGGGAAGTGCCTTTAACATCAGCGTCTTCTGGTGGCTGAACTCTCTTTTCTTGAAAGGCTCGTCTACGTCCCTAGGCATCAAGGACCTCTTTGAACTTGATGAAAACATGCTCTCTGCCAATGTTCACTCAAACATTCGCCAAAGGTGGGCAAAACAACAACAGAAGAGTTTATACCACCTCCTTCTGGTCACGGTTAGATCTGCCTGGAGGCCGTTGCTCATCTCATCCGTCACGCGATTGATTCTTATCCCGATCAAATTCGCGCAGCCACTTCTCATCGACCGAGCAGTAAGCCTCATGACCGAGCCTGAGAGTCAAACGAAAACGAATAGCGGCCGAGCCATCATTGGGGCCACGGCTCTCATATATCTAGGCATTGCGGTTGTGACCGGCTATCACCGACACAATCTCTATCGTTTCGTCACCATCCTCCGAGGCGGCTTGGTCTGTTTGATATACGATGCGACTCTCAACTTGGACATGGACCAGTCTAAAGAGTCGGCAGCAGTTACTCTCATGAGCGCTGATGTCGACCGAATCGCCCTTGGCTTTGAATCTCTGGATGCCCTGTGGGCTGGGCCCATCGAAATAGGCATTGGTATCTATCTCCTGAACCAAAGGATTGGGGCTCTCTGCGTCACTCCAGTTGTACTGGCCGTTGGTACGCAAACACTGATCAAGCATGTACTTTCATTATCCTCGTTCGTGGATTGCTAATGAATCCTGTAGCTCTGGTCGCAATATGCTTCTCTGTGGGCAAGACCGCGACTTCGGCCCAAAAGGTTTGGGTAGAGGCCATGCAGCGGCGAGTGGCCGCAACCGCCAGAGTTCTAGCCAATATCAAGGGCCTCAAGATGACAGGACTCACAGACTTTATCGACGCTGAGCTCCATGATCTTCGAAACTCGGAGCTGAAGAAGTCCCGGCGGATCCGTGTCATCATCTGTCTGACAGCAGCGATCAGCACCACAACATTGCCTATTCTAACGACTGTAACCATCATGGTGTATGTGCTCGTCAACCGGGATTCGGCAGATTTCAGATTTGATTCCGCCCTTGTTTTCACAATGTTATCCCTCATCTCCCTTTTGGCTCGCCCTGTTCAAGACTTGGCATTTGCTATCCCGGACGTTGGAGGCGGGATTGGATGTCTCCAGCGCATCCAAAAATATTTGGTGGCACGACGAGAGATTCAAGAATCCGAGTCTGCGCCCCCAGAACCTGAATTTTCTAAGGGAAACAAGCTAGAAGACCTTCTGCCTCAATCTGGCACAGACGCATTGATGACAATCCAGGATGCAGATTTCACCTTCCAGGACGCAAACAAACCTGTACTTCACGGTATTTCACTCAGAGTCCCGAAAGGAAGCTGGACCATTCTAACTGGGCTGGTTGGAAGTGGGAAAAGCGCTCTGCTTCGCGCTATCCTTGGGGAATTGCGGCAGCTTAAAGGATCTGTTCGCAAGAGCAAGCTGCTGCCCATTGCGTTCTGTGCCCAAGAGCCGTGGCTGTCTAACACTACACTTCGTGAAATCGTCACGGGGTTTTCTGAATACGATTCTAACTGGTACTCGAAGGTAATTGAAGCGTGTGTATTGAGCTTTGACATCAAGGAACTTTCCCGGGGTGACCAGACGGTCATTGGAAGTGGAGGGATTAGTTTGAGCGGAGGGCAGCAGCAACGACTCAGCTTAGCTAGAGCACTGTACTCCCGGAAGCCATTGCTTCTTCTTGACGACATTCTCTGCGGCCTTGATCCGGTCACAGAGCAGAAAATTGTTGATAATGTGTTCGGACAAAGTGGCCTATGCCGAAAGAACGGCACCACTGTGTTTCTCGCTACACATTCTGGTAAGTGCCAAATATTCTGCCATGTGTTGTATTCTTTTCCTACTGGATCAGACTGACCAATCAGTGCGTCATGCGATACGAGCTGACCATGCAATCGTCTTGGCCTCTGGCGGCACTATTCTTGAGCAGGGCAAACCATCCCAGCTGTCCTCTCTTCAGGAGTTTTCGACCGACACCGAATCTGAGGAAGCACCCACCACATCGCCCTTCACTGATGCCAGTACCGTCGGTCAAGGTAGCAATGTCCCCAACGCACAGGAACACGATGAAATTCAGGATACAGGCTCACGAAGCAACGGGGATATGAGACTCTTTGGGTATTATCTCCAGGCTATTGGATGGGTGAATGTCCTCGGCATCGCCATCTTCAGCCCTATTTTCGCCTTCTCATTCAAGTTCCCTACCGTTATCTTGAACTGGTGGTCAGTGATAGAGACCGAAGTACCTGGGTCCAAAACGAACCTGTACCTTGGTATTTACTGCATGCTAGGTGTGCTCACCATCATCAGCGTCACCATGGCCCTGGTTTTCCTTCTCATATTTGGAATGCCTCGAGCATCTCTCAGAATACACAGAAGGTTGCTGGATGCCGTGATCGGGGCTCCTCTCTGGTTCTTTGTCTCTACGGACTCCGGCCAGACTCTAAACAGATTTAGTCAAGACCTGTCACTAATCGATGTTGCGCTCCCGCCGGGTATGCTCAACACGATTTACATGGGAGCGCTGTGCATTATGGAGGTCGGACTCATCGCCATGGCGTCCAAGTGGGCTCTACCAATGTACCCCGTCTTATTCATTGTTTTGTATTTCCTTCAGAAGTTTTATCTGCGGACTTCTAGACAGCTTCGGTTGCTCGATATTGAAGCTAAGGCACCCCTGTTCTCGCAATTCATGGAGACTCTCCAGGGACTTATGACTATCCGGGCCTTCAAGTGGGAGCAAAAGTCTACTGAGAAGGTATATGCTTTGCTGGACGATTCTCAGAGGCCATTTTATTTAATGTACAGCATCCAAAGATGGCTCACTCTTGTTCTGGACATCATGGTTGCTGTGATCGCAACCGCTGTCGTGGCCTTGGCAACTCAAACCTCGGGGTCTTCAGCAGGAGGCTTGGGTGTGTCGCTGGTCAATATCTTGTCGCTTAGCCAGACGCTTGTTTCTTTGATAAGGGCTTGGGTGGAAGTGGAAACATCCCTTGGCGCCGTGGCCCGCGTAAGGAGCTTCGACCAGGAAACTCCACGAGAGAGTCTGCCTACCGAGGACTCGGAGCCCCCGGAGCAGTGGCCGTCAAGCGGTAAAATTGAGATCAAGGGTCTCGGGGCTTGCTACAAGTGAGTGACGAATCAGTGAAAAGAAAACAAATACGACATTAACAGTTTTGAACAGGCCTGAAGGAGCTCTTGTCTTGGATGGATTGGATGTGGACATCCAACCTGGCGAAAAGATCGGATTATGTGGTCGAACTGGGAGGTAAGTGGTGGCAGGGAACTAAGACGCGAATCCATTAGTTGCTGTAAAGTCTAACAACTTCAATAGCGGAAAGAGTTCTTTTGTTTTGTCGCTTCTGAAAATGGTGGAATTGCAACAAGGAGATATTCTCCTGGACGACTCCACCATCAAATCGATGCCGCGCTCAACTCTCCGACGTCGGTTGAATGTCATGCCGCAGAATCCTCTCATTCTTTCCGGAACAATGCGATTCTGCCTCGATCCCTGGTCAGAGAATTCTGACGAAAGGATCCAATGGGCACTGGAGGAAGTAGGCATGTGGGAGGTTATCACTGAGAGGGGTGGATTGGATGTCAACACGGACGACTGTCCGCTCTCTCGTGGCCAACAACAGCTCATTTGTCTCTCCAGAGCTCTCCTCGGGAAGTCTAAGATTTTGATACTGGACGAGGCGACTGCGAACCTGGATCAAGAAACGGAAGCCAAGATGATGGAGGTTATCAAAGAGAACTTCTCGCAATGTACAGTTATAATGGTTGCACATCACCTGCACGCCATCAGGGACTTTGATAAGATTATGGTCCTTGATCGAGGCAATCTTGTGGAGTATGGCAGACCTGATGATTTGTTGTCACGCTCCAGCAAGTTTCGCGAGATATGGGATAGTCAGAGTTAGAGTAGCACGGTCTAGCTAAGGTAATTTGGCCATATATGAAATATTTACTTTAAAAAGGACCAAATTAAATGGAATAGAAGCGAGAGTCAATGAGAAGTATCATTCTCCTTGTTGATGAACTATCTGGTCCCGTAATAAACGACCCTACTTGTTAAGTCTAGCTGCTCGAGCCGGGTCTCTCCAAAACTGACAAGCTTCCGTTCGAATGTTGTCCAGATCCACCTTTGTACCACCTGATGGCCTGACCGTCAACTGTAGCGATCCATTACTTGCCTGATTGACTTCATATCGAGGCCAAGTTGGACTTCCCTCGAACCGATAGGTGTTTGGATCACCGCTAACGACGAAACTGGACAGATAGCCGTGGTAAATGTGACTGACATCGGGGTACTGAACCGATAAAGGTTCATCCCAAGTATATCTGGTATCTGCTGTATGTGGAATTCCTTGCCAGTCGGGAAAGTTGTTGTTGGTGTCGAAACGGACTTTCCATGTTGGCACACCTGCAAGAGATGTACGGTATGCAGTTTCTTGCGAAGGGCAAATATAAGCATAGTCGGACCAAGCAGCAGCCAAACGATTGTACTGTGTGCTGTTGGGAGAGTTGGCGAAAGGGGACGAAGGATCAGTTGCCGGGTCTATGTAGAGAGATTCAAGCAAAGACAAATCATCGCTACTCAGAGCTGGTGAAATGTTGTGCAGGTAGTCCAGAAACTCATCGTTGGTCTCTTTGTCCCCGGGAATGTAGAATTTTCCTTCATCTGTAACGGAAGAAGTAATAACCGGGACATGGAAGAATGTGCCGTCGTATCCAGACTGGGACCCAAACTTCTCGAGGAGTGGCCCACCCTTGGTAGGTTGAAATGGCCATGTTAATGCCTCGTTGTACTCATTATATAGCTGCACACTGATATTTCGAATCTCTCCAATATCAGCACTTCTCAGACAAGACAGGGTAGCAGTGTTGTCTAGTCCTTGATCACAGCCCAAGTATGAAAGATATTTGGCTGTCTGTTCTGCATACAGAGGATAGTGGGCATCAGGAAATGCTCGCGCCGTCACAGAACCTGATTGGTGGATAGCCCGAGCGAAGAGTGGTTTACCCTCATCTTCGCCATAGTTGTGGAAATAGTGAATACCAACGGAGTGGCCCCCAGCAGAGCGACCGCCAATGGTGACAGACTTGGGATCACCACCGAAGGAACGAATATGCCTCTGAACGAACTTGAGCAATAGATGTTGATCACGGATACCCAAGTTTAGAAGTCCCTCCTCCTCGAACAGAGGAGAGGAAATGAAGCCCAAAGAATTGACCCGGTAGTGAAATGTCACGACGATGACAGGTTGCTTGGACGAGGCGACAAAGGACGGACCGTCGAAATTGCGCCAACCCCCGGCGAAGAAAGCACCGCCATGAATCCAGACAAGGACAGGCAGCTTCTGGCTGCGGGGAATACCGGAAGGTCGGAAAACATTGAAGTTGAGGCATGCTTCATCCTGGTCTGCTTCGCTAATGCTGGATGTGGCCTGGATGCAGCTCTTCCCGTAACTTGTCGCAGCCTTGACACCTCTGAACGAAGGGGGCCAAGTAACTGGGCGAAAACGGCCATCGCCTACCGGCTGCGTCGCATAATCAATTCCTAGCCACGCATCGACATCCTGAGCAAGAGACGCGCCACTCAGCGTGGAGTTGATCAGTGTCCCCGTGAATGAGCCGTACCCCTTGAGCACCACCGGATCTTGCGTAGATGCTCCCAGACACAGCACAGTCTGCGCGGCGCCTGTGAAGATGTTTTTCAGAGAGACCATGGTATCAGAAACCTCGATTGTGTGTCCAGTGTCAAAGAGACACGAAAGGAGGAGAAACCGCCGCAAATGCCTTGACATGCTTTAATAACTCACCCGACGATCGTTGTTGATTACGACTCACACCAGGCCTCTTTCGCAATACTGGGATTTCTTGACGTTGCACTTCGAGCGCTACTCCGCATAGAACCCCGCCGAGCGTGCGACATTATTAGCTGTAACTGAGCAGCTTCTCTTCTGGTTCCACCGCTGGAAATGGTTAGAATCGGAAAAGTGCCGACAGTGACATACTGCGTCAGACTGAAATGTCATCCTACTTAGGAGGTATTGACCCCTGTAAAGGTAGTGAGAGGCTCGCAAATACTTGGGAGTTGTAGATTCATACTGTATCTATATAGTATCTATGATATCTAGAAATAGAGCTATCGTACCTTACAAGTACTGAAACAGCAGTAATAAGTTAGAATCAAGTGATGTAGAAACTATCGTAATGCTAGTAGGACGCACGAACAAAGACCACTTGATGTTTTTGTTTGTGATGGGGGCAATTAGAAAAGAATATTCGTGTGGAAGGATGCTTTAATAATAGGATCCCGCCGTCCTTCTCTATAATGTACGAGATCCAATGGTGGGAGATGCAGATTGAATACACCTTGTGCTATTGTTGCCGTTCACACTCAAACTGCTCCTCTAGTGGGCTCTAAGCATATTAAATAACTCCTTCGCATTCCCTAAAGTGATTATTAGGTGGCAGAGACCCTGACCCAAAAGGATAGACAGCCCTACTCAACAACCAGAACGCCGCGGTATCTCATTTTGCCATCGCGAAGCTTCTGCATGGCTTCCTCAACTCCAGACTGTGTCATTGGGAACTTCTCGATTTGAGGCTTGATGCCCTTCTTGGCGGCGAAGGAAAGCATGGCCCGGACGGATGGGATTGATGCAAGACCTGAGCCAATGATGCTGGTGCCTCGCATGATGAGCGCCAATGGGCTGACGCGAAGGTCTTCCGTGCTGATGGTGAGGGGGAAGACCTTGGCTCCGGGAGCCAGGAGGGGAAGGTATCTTCACTTGGTTAGATTCCATGGCAGCTCAAGTCATTTTGAGATGCCACTTACTGGGATAAATCGGGGTTGGCATTCGCGGTGATCAGGAGAACATCGAGCTTCTGAATGGTGGAGAGGTCCTCTGACCCATTGGTGACGTGGAACTCGGACGCTCCAAAGTCAAAGGCAGCCTGCTTCTTGGATTCCGTGCTTGAGAATACGACGGCCTCCAGTCCCATCTTGGAAGCGAACTGAATGGCAAGGTGGCCGAGTCCGCCAATGCCAATGATGCCAACACGGTCACCTGCTCCCAGACCTGAGGTGTACAAGGGCCCCCATACGGTGGCTCCTCCGCACATCAGAGGCCCGGCGTACTCGAGTGGGATTTCGTCGGGAACCTTGAAGAGAGCCGACACGTCCCAGGCGACATAAGTGCCGAAGCATCCCTGGTCTTGGTTGGCAGTACCGAAAGTTGCCATATTCAAACAGCGGTCCTGGCAGCCTTTGCAAACTTTAGCCACTTTCTTGCTGCACGTAGTCAAGTCTCATGATATCTTACCTTTGACACAAGAATCGCAATGGCCACAGAACTTGTGGAACCAACCCATGCCGACTTTGTCTCCTACTTTGAACTCGGAAATTTCATGGACAGAGGAGCCAACCTCAGTGATGACGCCAACACCCTCGTGTCCTAGGCCCTGGTCGGCATGGCGGTAGTGCTCATCAGTACCGCAAACGCCGCAGTGAGAGATCTTGACAATCACCTCGCTTGGCTTTGGGTCACGGTGTCCCTTGGCCTCGACAATGGCTCCGCTGCTGGAGCCCTTGAAAACAGTAAAGTCAACTCCCATGTTTGCGAGTGTATGTGTTGATATAAAGTGATATTGTGTAAGTGGTTGCTTGGTTTGGTATTGCTTGGTTGCTGAGTTTGTTGGATGAGATGGCCATAAACTCTGGCTGAGCCCAGACACTTATATACTTTTCTCCCATTCTAGCTAATCATTCTCTTGGAAGTAGGCAGAAGATTGATGATGCTCTCTTTACTTCTCCTTGATCACAAATCGTTCTGCTAGTTGAATGTCTCCACTTAAGACCGCCAGCTGAGCCAAGATGGGGTCCATATAAGACCGCAAGACCGCAAGGCGATAAAGCTGCACCGCCAAGGCCGCTTACTACATGGGAACTTGGAAACGACGCTGTTATTGGATATTCGGAAATAGCACTACTTTTAGGACCGAAAATAGCTCACCCTAGTAAGATAACGCGGTGGGTGCCAGTACTTGACCGAGATACAATGGTGCAAATCAACTGTTGGTCAAGAGATATGTAGATAGATACGTGAATTAATTATGCTGGCTAGTATTATAACGTGTCTCTGATTGCAAAGTAATCTTCCTCGGCCACCCCCCTACAGCTTACGACCACCATCTTTTCAAACGTCTCCAATGAGCCGCGAGGAGCAACGGATTTCAACAGTATGAAGTCTCTATAAGGAATGGTCTCATCTGTACTCGGGTATTGCGAGAAGTTTTGCGGGGAGCTCCAAACTCCCGTCTTGGTGGAAATGGGCAACTGGGCCATCGCATTCACCTCAGTGCACGCGCCGTATTTGAATGACCAGTAGAGCGTGTATAGCTTGAAGGTGGCAACAACAGTGCGTCTGACGCTTTCTTTCAAAAGCCAAGTCTCCCAGTTGTCCTGCGCCATTTCGTCTCCGGCATTCAATCTCTGAAGGAGCTTGAGGCCAAGTGACCTCATCACGTATTCCTGCTGCTCGGCCGCCCTGCGCTGCTCTATGCCACCGTAGATAAGCCTGATCATCTGGTATAGGACACTTGCTTGTAGTCTGACAAGATCCTCAAACAGGGTACTCAGGGGGGTTGGCATGAGTAGTTTTGCCAGCTCAGCATCCACGGCCTGGAAGAGGAATTTCCGGTTGCGGCTGTTGAGGGTTATGCATCCTGCGCAGATTCCCCAGGCGGCCCGTAATGGACCAGGGGCGAGATCGCCTTGATTCAGATCTTTGTGGATGAAGAAGGTCTCCGTGTCCTGGGCATATGTGGTCGGACACGCTTTCATCTCCTCGAAGATCCATGCATCGTTGCCCAGGCTGAACACGGGCTCCAATTCGCCCAGATGGCCAATGATGGACGGCACACCTAGGGGTTCTGGAAGGCGTATCTTTATTAAAGAGCCATCCCAGTTGAGCTGGTGTTGCGTGCGGGATTGGCTGCGGTCCGGAATGGGGACAAGCTCATCTGGCGGACTGCCGGACGAGGACGTCTTTGCGAGGGATGAGTGTCCCTTGGACTTGGAGAGCTCCACATTGGTCGCCGCTCGTTGGTTCGGTGGATATACGTAATGGCAGGTTTTGTTATTCTTTTCGCATCTTTTGCAGACTGGGTATGAGAGATCGCACTTGCGGCGCCCCTTGAAGCAGGGGGTGCACGACTTGCGACGTATGGATACACTGGAGTGGCTCATGCTGGCTTCTTTCTCTCTTTGCATTTTGAAATCCTCAAGTCTCAGAGTAATGTTGTCTCGGAAAACACAAACTGGTAGGCGACACCTGATGGTTGGGAAGGGCTGAGTCGAGGCGCTGAGACGAGATGCGGTGCTGACAAATTCGCAAGCGTGTCAGCAAGATAACTGAGGCGGAGAAATTATGTCAGGGTCCATCAGGGGATTGGTTTAAATCCGACTGAGGGTTTTAGGCTTCTTTTAGGCAGTTCTAGTTCTGAAATTATTGATTAATAAAAAGTGGCGAGGCCAAACCTCAGCAAATGCTCTCGGCCTCTGCTTCTCTGTGGCTGTTACCAACTCGCTAGTATGAACACTCTATTGGATTCTAAATATTCTAATGCGATATATTGGTCGCCTTTATAAACTCTCCCCAGCCCCTTGTTGGCGGCACTCCAGCTCTCGGCATCGCTCCAGTTCCAAGTCCGCTACGCTCTCTGATCATCTCCAGAAGAGCCTTCGTCAGCTCCTGGAAAGAGACATGGAGGCCACCCAACGGTGAACCATCTTCCTCTTCGCCCACCCTCACAAACACGTCTCCAATTATGCTCTTCGCGATGGTTTCAATATCCCGACCATTGGCCCACCCTTTGGTACGGGCCAGCTGGTTGAAAAGCTCGTCAAGAGCTCTACCAGTTCCGCTTCCAGGTTCGTCCAGATCGCGTGGAATCGTGATTTGTAGCTTGGCAAGAGTTTGCCTGAGGAGTTGCAGACAGTGTGCTGGTGTCAGGTTCGGGAACGTGATATGGGTAGGGAACCGACTCCGGAGTCCCGGATTCGTTTGCATCAATTTTTCCATCTCCTCTCCATATCCAGCCAGGATGACAACCATGTTTCCAACGTAGCGCGGCTTGGTCATGGCATCTACGATCTCGTCGACAGCTTCTTTGTGGAACTTATCTCCAGTCAACCGATAGGCTTCATCGATGAACAGGACCTTCCCGAGCCCTATCTCAAAGTGGCTGATGACTTTTGGCCCAGTTTGCCCAAGATACTCGCCAATAATGTCCGTGACGGAGCAGGTAACGACCTCATCCGATGAAATTAAGCCCATGTCGTAGAATAACTTGCCAACTTTCCGAGCCGTTGATCTAGAGAAAAAAAACAATCAGAGTGGCCTTTGCGTATGCCCAACAGGAGGTATTAACTCACGTTTTCCCAGTCCCGGGCGGCCCTTTGAACACAAACGCCCAAGGGATGTGTGGTCGCGGGTCTATATTATATCTCCGCATTCCGTCTGCCATTTTCTGATATCTTCTGAATCGCTCGGTGATCTTCTCGAAGCCCACAAAATCCTTAAACAAACCATGTCGCGCCTGGTCTGCACGAGAGGCTCGATCAAAATCTGGATCAAAGTCCGCCGCCTCTAAAGGGTGGTCACTCATATCGACAGGATACACGTTTGCAGCGCGCAATCTTCCTACCTGCCTCAGGCTCGCCCGAGACAGCAGGCTCTCTACTTCACCAGCGTTTCCGAAGCGAGGCCTCGTACGCATCTTCCTGAGAACGTCTAGGGCAGCTTTACGGCCGCCTTCTGATATGCTCACCCCGTCGCTCGCCATTTTCTGCTCGAGGATTTGGCAGAGCTCACTCTCACTGTAGTTATTGAACATGACCGCGTTTTCCAAGGGAAAACGACGCTGTAGCCCGGGGTTGCTATTCAAGAACATGGCTTTCATCTTGTCAGAGTAGCCGCAAAGAAGAACACACCGGTCTTCACCTGGGCTTCCCGAGATATTGGCCACAAGAGTATCAATGACGCCAGTCCGAAAGGAGTCGGAATTGTTTGTCCCCTGGCGAGACCCTTGGTAGAGCATGTGTGCATCGTCAATGATGAGTAAGTTGCCCATGGCCTGGTCGAGGACTTCTCGCGTATTCCTCTCTGAGTGACCGATATAGGGCCCGATCAAGTCGTTTGGGGTCTTCTCGATAACTTCACCTTTCGACAACAGGCCCAAGTCTTTGAGGATCTTTCCGTATATCTTGGCAACAGTGGTTTTCCCAACGCCTGGCTCTCCCAAGAAACAGCGGTTCAGCATGATCGGCAAACTCTTCTTTCCTTCGATTTCTTGTTGCCGATTGAGGCTGGCCAAATTAAATATGTGATCGACCTCCTGCTTAACACCCTGCAGGCCAACCATAGCTTGCAACTCTTTCCAGGCAGCGCTATTGTCCCTCAGATCAGAGGGCTTGGGACCCAGGACATCCTCAACCTCGAACCCAACTTGCTTTGGCTTTTGTTCATGAAGCGGCACATCCTCGACAGGGGAGTTATTCTTCATCCATTCCAATAACTCCTTTTCGTGACGCTTCTTCCGTCGAACATCCAATTCATCCAGCTCTTTTTGCAAGGCGTGGATGTTGGTGAAGTCTTCAGGGGATCTGCTGCATTGTCGTGCGAGTTTTTGAGCCAGTAAGCGTAGGATTAGTTCTTGGTTATTAGCTTCATCAAATTCTGGCCTGCTTTTAACCAGCCGCTTGAGGAGCGCCGCGGTCTCATCCTCGTCGTAGTTCTTGAGAACAACGGGCTTGGGAAGACGATCCCGTGATTCCTCAGTGTGGTCGAGAGCCTCTATGGATTCTTTCTTCAGTATCCTATACGACAGGATGAGAACGGTGGGATCTGGCCTCTTTTTTAGAGCCTCGAGGATGTTCGTGATATCAGATATTTGATCAATTCGATCCGCATCATCAAAGAATGTCACCTGTTAGTCAGTTGCGAAAACGATTAGCAAGGACCACTTCACAGGATAGGCGATGAAGTGAATGACATTCTTACCGTCGCCTCACTAGTCTCATCTTCTATGCTGTATCCCGACATTCGTTCAAAGCTACGTCTCGGAATGGCGCCAATGCTATAGAGGAACTCAGCGTACAGCCATGCGATCCTTCTCTTGCCTAGTAGCTATGTCAGTACTTCAGACTTATAATATCAATTCTAGTGCGTCGAGAAGGTAGGTATGAGAAAATTAGATACTGACCAGTCCCATCATTTCCGTGTAAGATCAAATCGAGGTTTATGCTCTTCATGTCTTCCTTCCAGCGTTTAGCAGCATCTACTCGGTCTTTTACGGCAAGGAAATGCGCTTTGATCTGCTCGAGACCAACCATCGACATCAGCCGGTCAAGATGCTCGTTCTTCTCATTCTTGTCTCGCTTTTGTCGCAACCATTCAAGCCGGCTGGGTGAGTCATCTAGCATCGAGTCCAGATTTTCATCATCGAACACTGACTCTGACCAATCCTCAGTTACGGCGACCTGGTCCTTGTTCGGTTCAGCATTGTCGCTACAGTCGCTGCGGACTGTTATATCATCATCATAATCATCATTCAACACGCCCTTCATGTTCCCAAACGGCATTAGTTCCTCATCCCATGTGCGCCATGATGGCCGCATACGTCGACGGCGACGTCTTGGAAGTTTCTTCGAAGTGATGATGAGAGTATCCGGAGAGGGACCATCCTGAATATCTGTCCGCGTCGCTTCTGGTGTTTCTGGTGCTTCTGAGGGCATTTCATCGATTTCCAATGAATGAACAGGACTTAGCGCCAACTTCCCCTCTCGGGTTTTCTCCTGGTTGTTATACTCTAACCCTCCTGGACTTTCTGTAGCGTCTCCTGGTTCTGCATTCTCGGACACTGTAACGGTGACCATTTTTGCTTCCTCAGACTCTGGGGGTGTCCTTGGACTATCAGCGACCGTTGTGTCTTCTGATAAAGAATCCTCCTCAAGCCCAGGAGATTCTGAATTTGACGAGCAATTGTCGGATTCCTGCTGTGAACCGTCCCACCTATCGTTGAAGAGAGTTCTCTCCGGCAATTCATCGATGTTGGAATCTTCAGCCATCTTGAATGACTCCCCAAGTCCGATTTAGTTGAAAGCACGGACACTTGGATTGAATACACGCACCGGGAGATTTAAGAGGAATGGAGAACTTTTGGTGTGGCGACAACGCATCTTGTTAGCCCCTCTAAACCTTGTCGTTTGCGAACCGCGCGCCCCAAGGCATATCTGTTAAAATGCCTGCTTTTAGGTCTAGTCTGCGCACACCGTAGGGGAGGCGCTGACTTGGACATGCATAATGGTGGAGTGAACGGGGCGGGGTTTGCCCTATTTGCCGTTGCTGCTTGAGTTAGGCGCTGATGCAGTGAGGTGGTATCGACTTATCCATGTTTTTTGAGGCGCAGGGAGTTATCCAACAGGGATGATCCGCCTGTTATTGCTTGGCTATTCAATGTACGTCAGATGGCCAGAGGTTTGTCCAAATACGGCTGCTGTTAATACCTATTGGCCGGAGAAAACCTGTCGAGATTTTTCTTACCCCTCTTCTTCTCTCAACTGTTCCTCTTTAGTGACATATTGCATCAAAGCTAGAGATCCCTAGTTTCTGGATCAAAGGCTGGGGCTTTGTCACAAGCAATAGCCATCCGCGTGAGAGGCTCCTCAGTGCAATTGAGTTCTGTTCGGGACCATCAAACTCTATACGTATAGGTCCGAAAAAACGGTTGGACAATTACTACAACATGTTATAGTTATTTCTAGATGCGTTTCTTTTGTCTCGCCGTCAAAGTTTGTTACATTTAATGCCACTCAGTTAGCATCTGGGTTTTTTTTTTTTTTAACTAACTTTCACCATTACAGGTGCCATGAACGGATTCTTCTCTGTTTCCTGACATTGAGCGTTAATGTCACCAAAAGAATCAAGTAGTCTGGGCCGTATAGAGTTACCGTCTACGCTGAAGTTGGTCAACAGTTCTCGTTCCGCGCCAATGTTCTATTTTTGACAACGTAGCGCAGTTAATTCTCATCCCTACGGGTATCTCTCATTCTAGGTATGGTGAGGCAGCAATTACCAATCGCTAATTCCAATTTCGAAAAGTTGTGCTGAGTTTGACTTGTTCCTTGCGACGGTTCAGCCGCACTTTTAGCACAGCTGGAAGAAGAGCAGGGGATCTGCGCCGCTGCGCCCCAAAGCTCTGCAATTCACCCACACAAATGTGTTCAAGGATGCTAATAGTGGGTTAGGCATCTTACCGGGCTCTCTCTTAGTATCCCAGACTCCATGTTTCAACAAGGAAAACAGGCCGCCCAAGTCAGCACATCGTTACTTTGCTCCATCTTACCGCATCGGCCTGGGTATTGTCGCCCCAGGTTCTTTGATTTGACCCAAGTCATCAAGGACACAATTCCTGCTGCCTTCAATGACGTATGTATATACAGCGCTACGTGCCGAGCATCGTGAGATACGACTGCTTAGCCTCGAACCGTCCAAAGTTGGCGACGAGCCACTCCAACTTTCCCTCTTTACTGTTCCACTCGATTGCCCTGGCAGCTATGAAGCCCTTTCCTATACATGGGGCGAGACCTTGCCGAAATTCGATGTCAGGGTAGATGGCTTTGGCTTTCAGATTGGAGGGAATCTGCATTCTGCGCTTCGCCATCTTCGGTATCAAGACCAACGGCGGCGGCTTTGGGTGGACGCTATCTGTATCAACCAGGATGATATCCAAGAACGCGAGGAGCAGGTGTCCATAATGCGCGGCATATATGGCACCGCAAGCTCTGTCATTGCCTGGATCGGGGAAAGCGATGGTTCTAGCGACGAGAGGGCCTTTGACTTTATGGATAAGATTTTGGGCCAGATACACTCTCGGGTGGTTTTGGACAGATTTTTGGCCGCCGATACAGCTCCAACAAGTGCCGAGTTCAGTTTGGCGATTCACAAGGACAACATAGAATGGATCAGGTCTGTAACTTCGCTGGGCCTTGTAGGCAGCCCCTGGCTTGATCTTCTTCGTCTTCTCCAGCGTCCATGGTTTAGTAGGGTCTGGATTATTCAGGAGGTGGCGATGGCAACTGATGTAACAATAAGGTGTGGCGAGCGCACGTTAGACTGGCTCTTATTTCGACTCTGTGTTCGGTTTGTCAAGCATCATCTCGTCACTATCTGGGACTCCAGCGCACCAGAAGACATCTTGGAGTTGGATGTAGAAGCATATCGGCATTACCAAAAATCCGGGGGTGTTATTAGCCTGGACAAGGCGATAAAGGGCATTACCAATGTGGATCAGCTAAGAAGGCAGAGGCGGTTGATCGATCTCACCACGAATCTTACACAGCAACGCAGCCAAGAATCTTCCGTTGCGGCCCCGGTTCTCTTGCCGCCGTTTATCAAGCAGCTCCTCGGGATTGAGACTCCAGAGCAAACCATGCCACAGGCAATGACCCACGAGGAACGGGTTTATGCCGCGCAGCCACCGATGGATTTTGAGGTTGGGAAATTACTGAAGGATTCTTCACTTTACCAGCTGTTCCAAAAGTTCAGGTCTTACGATGCAACAGATCCCAGGGACAAAGTCTATGCACTGCTTGGAATTGCAGAAAAGATCCATGATTCTCACGATCAACTGCTCGTCTCCTACGAAAAGTCTGTTGAAGCTGTACTTTGGAACTTGATTGCCAACCATCTTACCTCCACCAAGTCGCTCAACTTCCTGAGTGATGGGTCCGGGTTGGTCGGACCTGAAGGATTCCCGTCTTGGATACCATTGTGGTATGAACCAGACTTGAACACCCATCCATATTCTTTTCTATCTGATGCGCTCGCCTCAGGCTACAGAGCCGGTGGAGATACAGAAGCACAGTTCCAATTTGAAGAAGGAATGAAGCTACTCAAGTGCCAGGGTATCATTGTTTCGACTGTCGAGGCCGTTGGAGAATTCTATGACAGCCATGACAATGTCGACGACCCTGAACGTTTGTATGAAAGGTCCATTCATACTAAATGGGCAAAATTGCTGGATGTTGATGATGTATTCAACGAGGGCAACATACTATGGGATGCTGCACAACAAGGAGCGATATCCCAAGACGAATACCAGGCTCGGTTCCTGCAGCTTTTATCACGAGATAAGGATAGAATGCGCCGGTTTCTCGAGTTCACCATCACTCTCATAGCTTGTGGGAGTACATATGGTGACCTAATAAACGCCACCACCGTACTCGATGGAAATGAGACCTTTGTACCTTCTTTTGCGCCACATATGGCGTGGCCGCAGTCGACAAATGACAAGAAGTATGCTGGCCGAGTTCGTAATGCGTGCCATCAGCGGAGCATCTTTACTTGCAAAGGGGAGGCCATGTTCGGTCTTGGTCCAGGAAACGCAGAGCCTGGCGATGTTGTTACCGTGTTCCTGGGAGCTGATTTGCTATATGTCCTCCGTCAGGTTGGCGAGCATGCCGGGCTCCCCACGTACAAACTCGTTGGAGAGGCATATTGCATTAGTTACATGAATGGTGAAGCCATCAATGTACCGAGGGCAGGGGGAGACCATAATGAGTTTGGAACCCAGACGATCCAGCTTGTATAAACTTCTCGTGTTTTAGTTTTCATTCGGACTCTCATCCGTGTGAAACATCGGTTTTCATTTACATTTTCTTATTTCAATTCGCCTAATAACTTATTTTAATGTGCTTGGAGTCGGGTTGATGCCTTATGAATATACCACAATGTAGTCAGAAATCCCTTTATTTTCTAGTCCATCTAAAACATATCGAAATTCATGCTTTCTGCCAGGGTAGGCTTCAAAAGATTGAGGCTGGTCAGCTGCCTACTGTGAGATCTGACGGAGGAACGCACTGCGCCACGCTTGGTCTAGTCTGGTCTATTCGCCCCCCAGAAATCGAAGCTGAACAACTATTGCTTGGGCTAATCCCCTCCCGGGGCGGCCCTAAGCGCCAAGATCCAATAGTGGCTTCTAGCTCAGAATCATAAAGGGGTTGCGTGGGGAAGGAGAGGCAACACAATTCGAGAGAAACGCACGACACTCACCAACATTCGCCGTAAAGTGGCCTACGCCGTGCTTGGGTTGAATACGAAACTTGCCACCATCCACTGCTGTGCCCTTTGGTGCGTGTAACGATGACAATATGGCCAGGGGAACGTATCTCGAGAACCTGCCGGAGCTGGTGAGAGATTCCCGGCTTGAAGCCACGTTTGGGGTCAACGGGCAGCAGGCGTACACAATTCACCACTCAGCCAGCCATCGATCTCGAGCCACACAAGAGAAATGGGTAGTGAAGCGTACGCTGGGGGAGGGTGGCCAGGGCACTGTGAGTCTAGAGGTCGGAGGAAACGCCAAGTTCCGGGCTGTGAAAAGGTTCGCCATATCGGACAACGAGAAGCAGTCTGAGCTCCATCGGCGCGAACTCATTGCGATCTTCAAATTTTCCCAAGCAAGGGTGAGTGTTTCGTACATGTAGCAGACTTCTTTGATTACCTTTTCAATTGATTCTTCGTGAGCTGACTGTCATCTACAGTATTCCGAATTGTTCGTCAAATCGTATGGATGGTATACGAGCGACAGCCACATTCACATCGCAATGGAATATATGGAACTGGGAGATCTTCAAAAGTATCTCTCAAATTCCTCCAAGTGCCAAAACCATCGCCTACCAGAAATTGAGGCCCAATGCATCGCAACGCAAGTTCTAGAAGGATTATCTGCAATGCATAAAGAGGGATTCTCTCATCGAGACCTGAAGCCAGCGGTAAGTCTTAGCCTACACACCAGGTATAAGAACAAAACCCACTAACATAGTTGTTCGTACAGAATATCCTAATCCAAAGCCACCCACCTGATCCTTGGTGGGTGAAGCTGGCCGACTTTGGAATCAGCAAACGCGGAGGAGATATGACTGAATTGACGGCAATCAGAGGAACACCAAATTTCCTACCTCCGGAGCTGCTTGGGTTTGGCAAGGGTGGGAAACTAACCCACTCATTCGCCATCGACATGTGGTGTTTAGGGGAAACTCTCTTCAGAATTCTCTCAGGTCGGCGGACCTTTGAGCAGTTGCAAGATGTTGTGAAATACTGCACCGGTCGAACTACGTTTCCTACGTCCATCCTCCAGAAAGCCGGTGCTAGTGAGAAAGCCATCAGATTCGTCTCATCCTTGATGCTTGTCAATCCAGAAGACAGATTGGCCGCGAGTAGCGCTGGAGAACATGAATGGCTCCAGTCAACAGTGCTGTCAAAAGCCAGAGGTTCTCCTCAATCTCAAGTCGAACCTCCTCAAGCTGCCACCGATGGAACGCCTTATTCAACTCAAATATCCACTGCTCCATCGGCACACTGGACAGCGGTTCTCCCTTCCACAGGGACCGTGACAAATAGGAAGAGTGTGATTAAATATATGGGAGCAGCAGGTTTTGGCTCAAATGATCTGAAATCCAACATAAGTACTGAGCCATCAGCCTCGTGGGCAGCCGTACTAGGCTCCAGAAGTGTGTCCGATGCTACCCCGCAGTCATTCATGACGAAAAAGGCCATCACGGGCAGCAGATTACAGCCCAGCCCGAAACCGGGCATGAAACGGAATCCAATCACAAAGCAAAGTGATAAATCATTTCGTGATTTTGCGAGGGATTGGAGAATCTGGATATCTGAGCATCGAAAGAACGCAGACCACAGATTGAGTCCTCGAGCGATCGTGATATCCCCCTACCCCAAGCTTTATCCCGAGGACATCACGTTATCTGTAGGCGATTACATCACTTTTATTGCAAAGTTAGATGATACCAACTGGTCGGTTGGTATTAACCAGAATGGCGACAGCGGAACGTTCCCTCACAGGCACCTGCGATTTATTGAGGAACTCGTAGCTGAGACGACACACAATGGATCCAATATCCCAGTACTGGATCCTCTATTACTCAAACTATTTCGCAAGGATCTGAAGAAGCAAGGATTCACCGAAGACTTTGTCAAGGAAAACGAGGATTTTGTCATTTTCTGGTTACAGCAGCAGCAAGAGCGACTGGGGGCAGATTCGAAGGACATTGTCAATCTGTCCCCCGGGGTCCATCGATGTGACAACGAGGATAGCGAGGCTACAGTGGTCGAAGCTGATTGCCCCCCGGCACCGACGCCTGCGCTCAAATTCACTCCTACTCCTGCGTCTACTCCTCTCTCTATGTCCAAGCCTACGCCTAAGGACACCTCCAAACACGACCAAGAGTCTATTCCCGAGTCTAAGAGAACAGGAATAACCGTACAGGCCCTTCAAAATTATACAGCAAATGAAAATGAAGGTTAGTACAGCACTTGCACTCCGTCAAACTGCTTACATTAATGCGACCGCCCTTTAGAACTTAGCTTCAACGTAGGACAAGTTATATCTATTACCGACTTTACGAGAACGTTCTGGTGGATGGGTGAGTTGGACGGGAAAAGAGGACTCATCCCGGTGAATTCCAATTACGTGCGGATACACTCGGATACACTCCCGCCAACTGTTATGAGGCTTCCATGACATTTCCTCCGACTGCAGATGGTATGTGGTAATTTACAAAAGAACCAAATAAAATAAAAAGGGGTAGGCCAAGATATTTTGTTACACTGTTTGAGGCTACCCTATAGCCACACTGAGCACAACACAATATTGATGTTATTTGTCCTGGTAGCAACGGCGAAACGACGTAAACTGAAGGAAATGATTCCGTTTATCACAGCTTCATGATATGATGTATAATACCAGACTGGCTCAATCATGTGTCTGCATCCAAACAACATGCTTTCTTGTCTTGCTGCATGGGAATGTTGCATCTTTACTATGTAGGGTCGCTGTCACAATCATGGGGGACCATGACGCCGGATTATGAATTAGTAGCTGACTTTTGTGTGCTGAGTGAAAAGAAAAACCTTACCGGGATTCAAAATACGGCAATATGACGGGGATCCTAAGATTAAAACCTTACAATGCCTTATATAATGACGAGTGACGGGGCTCACCTCGCCCGGGTACTTCGGCTCATGGCTGGCGAGCCGTGACTGCCCCGATAGGAGATAGGGGTTCAATATTCTGGAAGAAGAGATTGGTAATGAGATTTGTCGAAGATTAGTATAGAACTATAATCTAAGATCTCCTCCATCTACTTCTTCATAACTATCACATCTTTGTGAAGGTCTCACAATAGGATCAAGTGACCGATTCAATCATTAATAATATTACTATGCCGCTATCTGAAAATGATTATCAATTAATTGCTTTAAGGATCGTGTTATATGTGTCTTTGCAGTTCATTAAGCGCTGCCGGCTGGCTTTTTGCTTGGAGCAGGGAGACTGCTTGACAGATACGCCCCTTTCCATGGCCCAAGTGCCTGCGCGACAATCACCCACGTGGGCAGCCAGGGTGCGATATACTTGCCCACAAGGCGGAACAACCATCCAGACCAGGCCGAGATGCGCATGATCTTCTGACTGTCTGCGATGAAGCTGCGTACTCTTGGCTCGCGCTCCTCGGCAACGCCAGTCAAGAGCTTCTCCACCTCGGTGTTGGACAGTTTCACGTTGTAATTAGGAACTTCATCATCAGAGTCTGACTCGGAAGAGGTTTGCTTATGCTGCTGCTTCTTCTTATTCTGCAGCTCGGCCTTGAGACGATCGACCAGCATCAAAACGGACTCGGCGCCTTGCGCACCTCCCTGAGCGAGAATCGGGTTTGCCCTCGCAACGGAATCACCAAGACAAATAAGTCTCCCGGCCGTCCACCTTCGAAGGGTGTGCATGGGGCAGGCGTGAGTCGTGATGCGGTACGCGTTGTTGTAAACTTCGCCAAAGGTAGTTCCGTCGCTGAGCTTGACGTCGAAGTATTTTCTGCAGATCTCGGCACCTTGCTCCTTCGTCCACGTCGGGATCTCAGCCGCGCTCTTGCGGCCGGGCGAGTTCTCATCTGTGACCTTGAAGAATAGGAACCAGAGGGCTTCGCCATTCTGGCCGCCAAAGAGGCCGATGGTCATGTCCTGAGAGGAGATTTGGTAAGCGTAATCGGTTCGGAGATCACCAGTGTTGTGAGACAGTCCGAACACGGCGCCAAACTCAGTGACCATGTCTATGAAAGCATCAGATAACTGTATCCGTTATGTGGGGAGATCCAAATGGGCTCCTGCGTTGGCATTCTTTCTCACCTTCACGCTGATCACCGATAAAAGCCTTGGGGTCTGTCTGTTGAGCCAAGCGCCACATCTCGGATCGAACGATGCTGTGCGAGCCATCAGCACCGATGACGATGTCGGCATCGCGAGTCTGGCCTCCCTCAAAGTGCAACCTCACTCCCTCCTCGTCCCCAGGGAGCTCCTCAATGCGCGTAACTCGTTGTGAGCCATGCACCTTGGCCTTGCCCTCAGCGCTCAGGTTCTCGTGGAGGATACGCAGCAGCTGTGATCGCTTGAACGTCGCGATACCGTAGCCCGTCTGGGCGTGGATAGCCTCGGCAACGTGATGCGTAAACACCGGCCGGCCATTGCCATCACGGCACGTCAGGGTCCGCAGCTCTTCCGACTCCGCCAGGACATGATCCAGCACACCCAGCTGGTCCAGTACACGCTGATAGTTGGGGTAAAGTGCAATGCTGGCGCCGACGTCGGGGTTGACGTCCGGGTAGGCCTCAACGAGGAAAAAGTCGATGCCGACTCGGTCGAGGGTCAGAGCGGCGATGAGGCCGGTCATCCCCCCGCCCACAATGGCGACTTTGAAAGGGGTAGACATGTTTCAAAACGTGGATGGGTGCGACACAATGTTCTCGGTAACAGTTGGGCACCAGAGGATAAAAAAAAAGGCAAAGAACCACAAAGATGTAAGAAATGGGGTTAGCGTATCCCACGAGAGAGGGATCGACACATCAAATAGAGTGTAGATTCGGGGTCTCGGGCATTGGGCCTTCGCGATAGGAAGGGAAGCAAATCACCTGATGCCCAATGTAGGAAGCACCCCGTTCGTTCCACTGCGCTGGGTTGCCAGCATGTGTCAGGGACGAAGCCAACCACATGGTAGATGAATCATGCCTGCCAGGCGCTATTGCTTCCCATCCCCAAAACTCGGTGCGCTGGAACCCATCGTTATCTCCCCGGGGAGCTTCTAGCCGGAATGATGTTAGTTGTCTTATATGCCTGCAAGGTGTGTTGGATAGGCCTCCGGGGTCAGGGATCAGAGAGGGGGAGACAATTTCGCCATCGGCGAACCGACTTTCTGGACTAGCTCGTTAATATCCCTGCGACAACTTGACCAAAGAGGTCCCTTCCAAGATAAAAATCAGTTTCAATCATACAGACTATCAAGAGTAGCTGGGTCTCTCCCTTAAAGCCGATTTATTAGACAGTTGTTGCGTTCAAGTAAACAGAGTGACGTGGGTTTCCCGGCATTTTGGAGAGCAGATGGGTAAAATTAACCGACTTGCCTGCCGTGATCCCTGAAAGTCTCTCATCACGTAATCGGAGACCTCCCTATTCCTTACAAGCGCTGTTTCGTGATCTTGATATCCACCGTTCTGCAGGGCCTAACCTCTAGCCTGGGACAATTTCTCTCCCCCGGGTCAAACCCCAGTCGTAAGCTCCGAGAAAGGTCAAGATTGACTATGAGAACCCTTTGCGACCCTGTCTCTACCCACGAGTTTGGTTACTCAACCCAAGTTGCGGGTCGAGATGTGTGAAAATTTGCCGCACATCTCGGCACTCAGTGCGAACCATTGGACAATCCTCTACTAGCGGCCTTAAAATGTATGACTAGGACAGGCCTCCAACGGTCAGTAGACCGGAAATAGCTAGAAACGTTGGCCTCCCATTGTTCGTCCCCAAGCGGCGGCGAACTAAAGTCAACGGAAGTACGGTAGCAACCGCCCTCATATTCAAGATCCACCCCTCCCTCGACCTTGAATGTGGATGCGGGCTTTCTTCTATTTTGCTTCCTCCTCGCAATGTTTCTTGCCTGCAGTTGCTTTCTTTGTTTTACTTGGTGAAAACGTCTCTGTTACATGCAGCGACTATGGACCAGCTATTCCCGCCGGACAAGTCGCCCTGGCATTGGGTCCCCATGCCATTGAAACCTGAGAGTGCCGGCTTTCTTGCGACAAACAGTGTTTTCCAAGCCATCGTCTTTGCTGTTGTCGGTTTACGGTTCTACTCGCGGCTCTCTACAAAAACTGTTGGATGGGATGACTGGTGGGTGTTGATAGCCACGGTAAGTGAAGGGAACGGCTTCACAATTGTTGATTTGATTGCTCGCTTCGGAGAATTTCTCGCTGACGATTGATTTTCATGGCTAGTTCCTTAGTATCTGCACCTTCATTACTTCAATATGTGGTAAGTCTTGATATTGTTATCGTCTGACGAAACAATCCAGCTCCCCTCGTAATCTACTCAACAGCTAAAACCGCACTCGCGTAGCCAACATCTTGGGATCCGGCTACCTTGTTCAAGAGGTAATCATTAACTTGTCAAGCTTCTACCTGGTAAGCCACGCTCAACAAGAGACCAAGTGAACTGCGTTCTTTTTCGCTCTAACCACCCACAGCTGATTTTCATTCTCCAACCGCTCTTCCTATTCGCTATCATGTCCACAAAACTAAGTGTTTGCTTCTTCTACCTCCGCGTATTCGTCAACAAGAGCATGAGGATTGCCACCTTTGTCACCATGGGCCTCGTGGTGGCTTGGGCCGTGGCGCATTACCTTGCAGCCGTCTTTATCTGCACGCCTGTTGCGGGACAATACGACCTGCGCCTCGCCGCCGTCACCAAGTGCGGTGACCAAATGAAGTTCTTTCAATCTGGTTTGAGCATCAACGTCGTTCTGGACGCGATTGTGATCGCCCTGCCCCTCTGTAAGTTTGGCTCGGAGCTGACTAGCTCGTCAGGAGTGCTAACTTTCGAAACCTTAGGGACCATCTGGAAGCTCAAGATGCGCAAGTCGGATAAGGTCGGTCTGTTTATCGCCTTCTCTATTGGTATCTCCATGCTTGTCGTTAGCATCATCCGCGCCGAATACGTCACGACAACATCCCTCAAGGGCGACCTCACTGCCACGCTGCCGATCAACCTCTTCCTCACCGTCTTCGAACAGCAGCTCGCTATTATAACCATCAGCATCCCCATGCTGCGGCCCCTGTGGAGGAGGTACCGTGCTCGTGTTGGTGGCTATAGCCTCTCAGAGGAGGGCGGGAAGGGCAGCGGTTACTCGGGGCCCAGAGGCGGCAGTAAGAACAATGATATCGTTACGTTTGGTGGATCTGGGGCCAAGGCGTCAGCTGGATCAAAAGGACGACGCGGCAAGAACGACAGCGTACTTGATGCTGCTGTCGAGCTTCGGGATGTGGAACACAAGGCCAATGTCACCGGAAGAACCGACGGGGAGAGCTGGGTTGCGGACGACTCTGGGTCAGAGACTAGACTCGGCGAGTGGAACAGGAGCCCGGGTGCCATCAATGTGCAGACTGAGTGGGCGGTGTCACGGAAGTAGGATTGAGTGTGTCATAATAGTTGGACTTGTACATCTCTTTTAGCGAATGTTGTATACTTTGGGTGAGAGCAATTGCTCGATAGGTAAAGGAAATATACCCCATTGAAGTCTGGCCGCCTCAATGGGCGATCTGAAGACTGTCATTTAGCACTTCATTTGTTAGAATTCAAACGGGTTTCGTTTGTCTTGGAGGATGTTAACCACTGCTCTCCCGACTCCCTAATTGTGTTGTTATATCCGGCCTCTCCCTGCCACAAGTTGATATTCGTGCCCTCTTTCTGGGTGCTGATAAATCAATGTGCTGACTCTTTCAGTTAACTCAACTGATCCTTACCCAAGCAAAGTCCTTGAGGCCGTGCACAGCCAAGGAACACAATTTACATGGGAGAACATTGCGTCAGCAGGGGATGCGCCCTTTTTTCGCTCGTAGAAACCGACCCCGTAGGAGATCGGTCTCCTATTTTAGGCTGTCCTGCATTGTAATGGTATATTTTGGGCTGTTCTACAAGATGATACTTTAATACCAATTCTAAAGCACATACTGGAACGAACTCGACTCACATTCCTCGGAAAATTCAGATTCTGATCCAACACCGCATTTGGCATTAGTCCTCATGAAGTTTCCTCCACTTGAATACCCATACAGCCCTTGTATTCACTAAATAGTTTGATTCCCCATTGGTATGTACTGTACATATCCCAATGTGGAGGGAGATTGAAAAATAAAGCCTTGATGTGAGACGGCGTATTGTGCTGGAATGTTATCCGCCATTCGCATTCATACATCGATTGAATATGCTTTATCCTTTTGCCTCTTTCCTGTAAGACTTGGCATGTGATTTACTTATCTGCTAAGCTCCTTTTGCTTCAAATAAAAGAGGTACCCACGCTGAACTCATCATTATCATGCTAATTCTTGGACAAATTATTAGCCTACCTGACTATCGAGTGATTCGTTTAGTCGTGGGTCCGGAGAAGTGGCCTGGAGCGACAAACGATCGAACTTTGTGAATAATCGCTCTTTGAAATATCCTATGAATGGCACTAGCTTTTTCATCCCAGGCCATGCACAGGTTCCATGGTCCGGGTATCCTCTAATGACGAACCCTTTAACATAGACTATTTCATTTTGGAGTCATATTCCAAACTCCTATCGATGGTCCAGTCTATTCGAGTAATAACAGCCACTGTCTGAAACGTGCAAGTAGCCATTTACGGAGCGTAAATGAAGGTGGCTTTCTGGCCCCTATTCAACTTACTTCTACAAAACTAGTACGAGCATCAGTGATACGAACTCAACAGTTAAGAAGTTTATCTAGGAGGTGAGAGTGCTAGCACAACTGATCCCGAGAAAATGATTTCTTTGGATAAAGGTAAATACATGAGTGACGAATCTTTGCAGTCTCTATATCAAATGATCTCAAGGCGGGCTGGAATACCAGTCCGGCTGACACGCTATTCAGAACATCACCTAGTCTCCTTGCCTTCCGCTGTGGCATAGCATACCTCGTATACAAGTGGCGCAAAGACCAATTATTCCCCTGCTGTGATACAACCCAGGATAGAAGCCTCTGCGAATACATCATTTAAACAAGGGGAGATCGCAGGCTAGTGCGAACAATTCCAAGGCTCGTGGATTGTCTATCCGCCGTGCTGTTAGTGATTAAATTCCTAGCTCTCGGGGAGGTTGAGGCCTAAACACAACTCTGGGGAATCTAGACCAAGCATTCCATATCTTTCCAAGGGGAGCACGTTCGAAGCCAGAGGAGCTGCTAGTCAACGCTGGGCAAAGCATAGATGTATCAGACTAACAGCCTCTGCATCAGCATCCCAATTGTGTGGAATTCCGTGTACGACGCCAAATACCTCTGCTCAAAGCTTGTAGAATCCATGCAGCAAGTACTGCAAGAAAGGCTAGAGTTAATAAGAAGATTAGTCATAGACAGGAACGCTGGGAACATGCATCCAGAGGCTGTACTTCCCAGTGAACAGCAGATACGCATGATGTCATTTTGCTCTAATGAAAGAAATCATGCTCAAACATAAATTAATGTGATAATTCCTATATTAGCCCACATCGCGCTCCGCAGTTGCAGCGCCGAAGGTAGTGACGAAATAGCTAAGGCCCCCTAATTTCTACATATCACTCATGGCTTCTGTGAAGGTTTTGATTCCAACGCATAACTCAAATGCCCACATGACAGAAGTAGATTTTCTAGGACAGTGTGCTATGAGAAGATTCCAGGCCAGGGGCTTGAGATATGCGGGGGGTTTGGGCCGTCTATCAGATATGTAAAGCCAACCTTTGAAAATCGGGGAAACTGTCCAACAAATATGCGGATGCAGGCTACTGGAACATGCGGACGTGGATGGAGTAGCTAAATGAAAAAGAAACAGATCTTAGGAATGCGGCTTTAAGGCGGTACCGAAAGGTTTCGAAGACCAGAAGAAAGATGCTGAATATATAAAGGGCTCGCATCTGGTTATAGAACAAGATCAATCAACAAACTCTCACTTCACCCAACTACTACTTAAAGGCACCAAGCTACTTGCCCTTCTCAACGCTCGAATATCAATCACCGAATTCGCCCATTCAGGTAAAGGAAGCTTCCTCACATAAAGATTAAAGGCGATCATCCACATACTGACATTAAACAATGTGCAGCACTGCGACCATGGCTGAGGTTCTGTCTCGCGCCGCGAACGAGACTGGTGTCGGTAATTCCGCCCAGCTAAATGCCCCGACAATCTGGTCTGGTTCTAGAGGCAAGACCGTGGAAGGCTTCAACATGACGGCTGAGCTTTACTTTGAAGGCAAACGCCATTGGGGGCCTGCCAAATGCCACCAGAACGCGGTTCGTATCACCACCGCACTCCGAGAGGCGGATCCCCGCTTGGAACTCAGACTTGACAATGCGTCCAAGTCAAACGAAGGAGTTACACGCACTCTCTCGCTCAAGAAGAGCAACAAGCTTCTTTTGAACGAACACCCTATCCACGACAACATGGTGCCGATGGTTGACATAATCAAAACCATCTGGACGATCAGCCCCCCAACTAATTAGGGACAGAGCTCATCACTCAAAGATGGTGAAGGCGCCGCCGTGCTTTGAACGGAGCCAAAAAGGATCAGATCGAGACGCTATTCAACATTTGCTTCTCAATCGATGTTTTCAATAATGCAATGTAGTTATCTTAATCAAACAAACCTTATAAAAGCACGTTTTGGGACGAATAGTAGTGGATGCCAACGGATTATCCAGTGAACTAAGTAGTCGTAAATAATGCCTTGGTTCACCCATTGTAGCCAAGTTGATTTTGTTGCTCTCCGCTGTTCTGAGCCGATGAGTCTTTTTGGGTGCTTCGGCATGACATACGGAAGGTCGTAGACATGCGATTTGAAATTGGCATGCCCATCGGCTGATTCCAACTGTGAGTCAGTGAATCGCACAGGATAATCGAAATCCCCACCGCATGCATTTCAAATAGACGTTTATTTGAGCACCTGTGCTCTAAAACACCATAATCGTTTCGTTGAGCTGATTATCACTATGCTGCAGGAGGTCTTTGCAGGTCGAGAACACTTAGGTCTACTGTTTTATCTACAAGCATGACGGGTAGCGTGGTATGCAAAGATCATAGACAGAATGCCGTAAAATTTGGACCACACTGAGCTTCAGGGAAATGGTAACTTGGTTAGGAGCGTTGGGCTGGACTAATAACCTCGTCTCAACAAAATATATGTGCATGAGCATTTCATTAATACTCCATGGGAAACCATAACGGCAAAATGATGTGACTTGGTGGCGGCCATGCTTTCAATTTTTAACCGGCTGTTAGAAATTTTTATCTTCAAAACTATGGGTCCCAAGAGAGGGTGGAGAGGGGTTTGTAATTCTCGAATGTTAATACCAGGACCTGCCTAATGCTATTCTCAGTATACCCATGCGTGACAGTATGGCGGAGGAGGTGAAGTTTGGAAATGGGAGAACGCGAATACATGTCTCAAATGTGAGCAAATGAGAACATCAAGTTTGGTACTCAATGGCCCTACGAAGCTCGTGATTAAATATTTGAGAGGCCTAACATTATACGGAAGAGAAAGAGAATAGAGTTTAATAACAATGAAGCTGCCAGAGCCCGACAACTCAACACAATGAATAGAGGCCTAACATTATTAGAGGGAGAATAAGCCACTGCATCCTCCCTCTTCGAGAGGTAAGCACCAGGGGGTATGTGTGGGTTTTTGTCAGAAGGGGAATAACAAGGCGAGCAACTCTTCTTTTACTGGCTCAATCCATTTGTAGCACGTCTGCCTGCTTCTACCCCGCCGCGACCCTTGCAAACAGCTGACATTAGTGAGATCGTTGTAGGTATGCCTCTGGAGGTGTCACTACTTAAGGGGACTTGATGCTCTCATGTATTGGGAAAACACCATCTCTCACTCTCCGACACTAGAGTTCCCTACTTGAACTGAGAAAGAGATTATTATACTTGTCCTATATGTGACCCTGCAATTAAAAATGGCCAAACATGATCGACCAACCGGTCCGGAGGATCGTGCCGATCTCGAAATCCTGAACGTCTTCAATAGCGAGGTCAATTGCGCTATCCAAAAAGATCGCAACAAATCATGCGCGCCCGGAACAGGTGATTGGTTCTTTCATCACCCTCTGTATGAGGGAATGCGGAAAGCGCGTGGCTCGCGATTGTTGTTCGTGACGGCTGAAGCCGGAGGGGGGAAGTCGACCGTCATGAAAACTCTTGTCGACCGCCTACTCGAGCGCAGTGAGCCTGTGCTTGCTGCCTATTTCTTCTTCAAGGATGACGCAGATGATCTGCGTAGCTATGGGAAGGCTTTCAGCAGCTTGATATATCAACTTTTTGTCCAAGAAAAGAAACTCGTCGAGTACGCTAGGGAGGTGCACCAGAGATATGGAGATGGCTTGAAGAATGATACCAAAGCGATGTTGGAGTTGTTGTCGGTCTTATCCCAAAAGGCCGAGAAGGACATTTTTTGTGTCCTTGACGCAGTGGATGAATGCGAAGCCGTCGGCAGAAATCAATTGCTAGCTAATTTGAAATCCCTATTTTCTACTGTTGATAATTCGGCGTCGAAGCTCAAAATTGTTGTCTCCTCGAGGCCATACCAAGACGAGAACCACCCATATGAAGATCTACTTGCAACAGCATCTCACATGATCGGGCACCTGGCTGGAGAAAACGCCAAGATTCAATCAGAGATCTTCAAAGTCATCCAGTTCAAGGCGCAAAAGCTGGCTAAGGAGCGAGAGCTGGACAACGCGACTCAGACCATGATGGTAGAAAAGCTTTTTGCACAAAATCGACACACGAGATCATTTTTGGCGGTACAGATGGCCTTTGAACTTCTGGATTCTCATCATAGAATGCACAAGGGAGCTGGAGAACGTACAGTCAGCACAATTTTATCCGAAATTCCGCAATCGCTGGGAAGCAGATTCGAAGCGCTGCTTGACAGAAGCGCCAACAAGGAACATACATGGAGGTTACTCTGTGTCATTCTTGCCGCTCGAAAGACCCTCAAAATTGACGAATTCAAGGTTATCTATGCCATAACTGAGCCGAGGGACTCCTCTGTCAGTAAAGCGCAATCTTATGATGATTTGGAGCTGCCCTCCGATGACGACGAGTTCAAGCAGCTCGTACGATCAAGATGCGGATTATTCATAACTTTCGTCAGAAATTCCGTCCATTTGTTTCACCAGACTGCCCGAGAGTACTTGATCGAACGCATGGATCAGTCACCAGAATATGCGTCACCTCTATTTTTGCAAGCGGCATCTGGGTTGTCCCCGAGTGATAAATCTCCGTGGAAAGGTTCCATTTCACTTTCAGATGCAAATAAAGTCTGTGCCTCAGTGTGCTTGGATATACTCAGCTTTGGGGTGCCGAAGAAATTACCCTTTGAAATGTAAGTCGAACTTCGTCTTCCGTCTTGCTCCCATGAGACTAACCGCCTGCGCTTCTATTGACACAGATTTGATAACATGGAAGCTGGAAACAAAATTGAAGAGGATTTCCAAGACAGCTGCAAAGAAGGTTTTATGGGTTTCGTTTCCGCCCGTCCATTTTTCACTTACGCGGCTTGCAACTGGCATGAACACGTTTCACTCGCTGGAGACTCTGGCTTTCAATTGCTTAAGAAAGAATCATACATTGACCTTTTTGATATTAGCAATCCAAAATTCTGGGCTTGGTTCCTCACGGTGGCAGATTGCGTTTGCTCACGCACCGTAAAAAAGAGGCCACCGGTCTCACAGATCTGGTCAAAAGACAACGCCGAGGTTCCAAAGGAGCTTGGAGAGTTTTTGAGGGGGAATTGTCTGAACAAGATCTTGCCGATGGATGAAAAACTGAGAGCCTTGCTCGATGTATCAGGGCGGTTTGTACAAGGCCAAGCGTAAGTTCTGCTTGTCTCTAGGAGTGAACCCATGCTAATATGAACGACAGCGCTCACCAAGACCAAATCACATGGAAGGCATCTGATGGCTTTCATTTCATTGACAGGTTCCACCTGGCCAATGGAGACTACGAACACACCAGCTCAGCGAGAGCAGTTCGGGCTTTTGAGAATGGTGATGCGGAACGAGCCTCCGTGCTCTTAGCCAAAGTCCCCCATCACACATTGATTTGGGCCGCCATCACCACTGGCGCGCCATCGGCTCTTAGAGGAGCACTTGCCAGTTCCAAGGATCTCTCATGGCTCCAGATTGTACCTGACCATATCCTTTACAAGCGGAAGAAAACCGGGGGCTGGTCCAGTTGGAACGGAAAAGACCTGAGAAAGTCACGAGAGGGCGGATGGAAAGGGCATTGCCCTCCTAGCTTTGTCGTCATGTTGAGAGTCAGCATGCTGGATGCCAGTATCCCGATTTTTGAGGCTCTAGCGGACTGGATAGACCGGCAGGCAGAGAAACAGCTCTATGCCCAGCAGTTGTGGCAGGCTGGAGGGTTCATCATTCCAACACTCTCTCCCCGACTGGTAGCATCAGGAGCCTCGATAGACTCTGATGTGTGGGAAGATGACACAACTGGCCTCCACGTCGCATGCTCTTTCTGGATGCATGATGCCATCCAAAGCTTGGTGCAGAATGGTGCAGATCCTACAAGGCTTACCTCCAAGGGCTACAACGCGCTTCACTGTTTCTTCCAGCATACAAAGATCCCACGGGAGACCTATGAGTCAAACATTGAAAAAGAACAAGAGACTTACTTCTTCAATAAGGCTCGAATCAATAAGTCAATCGATGCCATCACTACAGGCAATTTCAGCAAAGAATCGCTCCTCAGCCGGCAGTGTCATCAGGGCTTCACACCTCTTATGTGCGGAGTGCGATCGACGAGATCATCTGCTACAGCGATAAAGCGCATCCTGGACCACGGTGCGGTTCCTGACCAACAAGATGAGAAAGGCCGCACTGCGCTCATGTACTTCTTTTTCGATGGTGACGAATTTGTGGACAAGGACACTTCTATTCTGAAGCATCTCCTACATGCTGGCGCAAGTTCTCTTACCATGGACACGTCAGGAAACTCCGCACTGAGCTATTGGGCGATTACCACTGCTTCGGTGAATCTGGATTACCTTTCCGCCGGGTTCAATACTTACAACAAGAGTTTTCATGCCCTTGCAAACTACGGATCGCTGTCATTCCAAGATCTTGCGGCAGAGCTGAATAGGATGAAAGTTCCGCTTGTTATTGCTTCCCGGCTCGGCAACGCGCAGCTATGTTCAGCTCTGCTAGCTGGAGGAGCAGATCCAAACCAAAAAGGTGACGTATATGCTTCTTTCTTCCGTGGCCGCAGGGGAAATAACCCTGATGAAGAGCCTGAAGAAAATGAGAGTACCGTGGAATGGAACCCGCTGCTGACCGCACTGCAATGTCGGGCGTATAGGACTGCTGCGACGCTCATCGAATACGGCGCTGACATCAATTTCGAGCTGCGGAAACGCAGGAGACGCAGACACAATCGTGACAACTTCGTACAGGGCGGGGGCACACCTCTTCATCTTGCAATTGCCACCAGAGACAAGGATTGGGTTGGTACTCGCAACCGACTGAACCTCTCCCACTCCGGCGGTGACAATAATGCCTGTTTTTTTCGTGGAGGAGTGAGCCATGAGAAGGATCAAGCTTTGAAGGATCTTGTTCTCTTGCAAATGCAGCACTATAAGGATCCTCGTGACCAGGATGAGGAAGATTCAGATGTAAGTCGAACTATAATCCTTTTGTGATAGAGTCGAATAGCTAACATGGCATAGACTGAATGCGAGATAAGACGACAGGTGTACGCAAATGACAATCGAGGTGTCAATCTATTGCCATACGATCGGAAACAGGAAGTTTTGAGCGTCCCTAGTAATCAATGTCTTGCTGAAATCATAACTGGGACTTCCTCATTAGAGCAACAACAAGAGGCTCTGGTGAGATATATGCTCTCGAAAGGCGCTTCAAGCAACGCATGTACGGTAGGAAGAATGAGTCTTCTTATGCTTGCAGTGAAAGAAAATCTCTTGAACATTGTGGGGATCCTCTTGGAATACGGCGCGGATCCGAATGTTGCAGAAGTTGGAGGTGCTACTCCTTTGATGGTAGCCGCGCTGCAAAATGAACCTGCCACTATTGAACGGCTATTAAGATCAGGTGCTAATCCAAATGCGCAGCTGGACGTCAAGAATCCCGACAAATGCAAATGCAAAGCCTTTATACATTGGGGTAGTTGGAGTCATGGAACCTGCGATGCACCGTATACTGCATTAGCACTGGCTGTGGCGTGGGAATACAAAGAGGTTATCGAGATTCTGCTCAAGCACGGCGCCGATCCAAATCTGAAGATTACGCATCACGCCCATGGAAGAGTGCCGTCGAAGCAGGACATGCAGCGGAGGAAAGGCTCGTCGTGCTCGTCTGATGATGAGTCGGACCCAGAACCAGAGGAGTGGAAAGGTTGTATTTGCATCGGTACTGCCCTAACATGGGCCAAGGCAGAGATACGCGATATGCTTCTGTGTCATGGTGCTAGTTCGGTGGAGGAAGATGTCACAAGAGAATGCGACTGCATCATCGAGCCCCAGCCCGAGCGTCGCCCTTGGGTCTTTTCAGATGATGATGAAATCGAAGAAGACTAGACAGAGGCTTAGTATGTACATCTGATTGCACGTAGATCAAATAAAGGAAAATGTAGATCATGCTTGAAAATAGTAGCTCGCGTTATAGACTTAGTAGGCGAGGATAGTTGCGCACAAACACGGAGGGTTTTGCCTTTTTCACCGTATCCTGGCTGAAAATAAGCTTCAATAGCAGCGATAATCTGAAATAAACCGGTACCGCGAGCTGCAAGACCTTCAAGAACATATATAGTAAAGTACAGATGCTCATTACACAGTAACTGATTCCCTAGGCAAAGACAACACCATCGACCGTTACATAGAATTCATCCATCTGACATAGTCTTCCCAAACTTCATGATATAATTGCGTCTGCTGTCATATTCCCCCAAGTACTCGCTCCATTGAGAATTCCATTGTTGTCCATGCTGGGGAGATTCTGCGAGACAGCCTTGTAGCGAGTAGTTGCCAGTGCCTGTGTTGCACAAAGGGCACCGGAGGCACTGCAGAATCAAGGTTTAGAAATGACCTCAACCGGTGACAAACGTTTTAGAATGCTGGAGTCTAACCAGTAGTAAGATATATGTATTACACAGGAATGAGTGGGCTGAGAATGCCTATAGCGTGGAGTATTAATGAAGGCAAAGGGTAGAAGTCAAGGCTCTGGCATTGTTGTCTCAGCTTCCAGATTACAATCCTAGTTGTCGCAGTGATTGTCAGCTAGACTGTTAAGTTGTTATTTTAGGAAATTGTCGCTATGATCATACTTAAAACCCCTCTTCAAAGCAGCCTGCTATCCCTTGCCCACCTGAAAAAAGAGTGGTGGGCTAAGTATTGTTCTCCGACTCTCTTTTCCTCTTACCCCGGCAGACTCTCACATGATAGATCCGCCTTGTGAGGCAGACCTATATGCAGATGTGGCAGCCATGTCCTCTCAACCCTGGTAACCTCCACAACCAGTGTTGTAATCATGCAGAGAAAAGAGAAAACAGCACGATTCTCGCAAGTTCATTGGTCCTCTCCTACACACACCTGTGAGACCTCAGGCAGCAGGCAGTCTGATGCTGCAGCCACCGCACAAACTCGCAGCTCGCCCACCCTTTCGCTGTATGAAATGACCAATCTGCCTAGCATAGCACACAACGGTTTTATGATGAGAAATAGCCGGTCTTGCGCATTCGGGGTCAGACGAAAGCAAACATGCACTTGTGTGCCAGCTGGTCGTTGATCCGTAGCCGTGGCTGACGTGTATTATAAGCCGCCATAGCTCCCTCTTGTGTTGCAACGCACCCTTCCAATCATCTTTCTAAACTTCACCTTCCCGACTTCCGCTGGTGGTTCCTCAACGCCAGCTCGTTCCGATTCCCACTCTGGCTCCCTTCCCCGGTGACGTCGGCTTGCCCGGCCACCCTCAGCGCGTCTTCAATCCATCGCCCACCCATCCAGATAGCCTTAACTATTATGGTGGTGTAGGATTTGGTGATCCGTCAGGGTGGACTGAGGAAGGAAGATGTGTTGATGGTGGACGAGGCCCAGAGATCGACAACACTGCCATTTGTGATCACATACTCAATTCCATTGTACCTAGTGGTGAAATTGATCCAGAGCACACATGGGCTTGTCCATTTTTCAAGCTTGACCCAATAAAGTACGCTGAATGCCTGGGGAAATATTCTTTCCGAAGGATTCATGACGTAAAACAGCATATACTCCGCCGGCACACCCTGGCAGAGTATCACTGTCCCAATTGTTGGGAAGAGTTCTCCCATCATACACCGTGGAAAGGGCATACCCAAAACATCACCTGTCATCCCACGCCTGGTCCAGAGAATCTCAGCCAGCAGGAGTGCGAGGCTCTTAAGAAGACCCGTTTTCCAGCAGGCTTTAGTGACAAGCAGAAATGGTACTTGATATGGCAGCAATTGTTTGCCATGCATCCACCGCCTCCCTCACCCTTTGTTGGAAATATTTTCTGTGAAGTCGTTAAGGTCCTTCGTTCGTATTCAACCTCGCTTTTGAAGGAGAGACTCCCAGAAATCCTAAAGCACCATGGTGTCAACTTGGATTCGAACTCCACACATTCGCTCATCAATGAGATCTCGACTTTGAGCCATCCTATTCCGGCGGAAATAATACCAGCCCGGCGTCGGCAATCACCCCCAGATCATCAGATATTTGCTGACGGCAATCCCGTTGGTGAGCCAATTCAATCTTTCGATGGCCCGGGTTTCTTGGTTTCAGTTCACAGTAGTCCCGCAGACCAATTTCTGTTTGCTACCGCGAATAGTGAGCCCCCGGATGGGCAAAACTCAATGCTATTACAGGGCGGAGATGCCCTATTCCAACTAAGCCCCGAGAACTCTTTTCCTACGCCTCAGTCAAGTCAGGGACAAGACTGGCCGTCTCAAACGCTGGGATCATCATCTTCGATGGATCCTCAATCCGAGCGGTTTGACCGCAACAGTGTCGATTGTTCAATGATCGACACATCCTCGGAGTCCACATTCACTCAGTACTGGTGAATGTGCTCTATACGTTTTTATGAGGCTAAACTCGCCCAGGTTCTGCTATCAATCTCCCACAGATTGTTAGTCGGAAGTTACGCCTGTGGTGGGTGGTCTCGGCTCAACCAGAAGTTTCGTGCTTCTGGGGGACTAGGCCAACGTGATGAGATTCCTCTGGGAATTTTCTCACACTTGAGTCAAAGTCCTACATGTCTCACCGCAATACGTTATTTCATCTCTTGCTTTTATCTGTTTTTCACTTTTCCTATCTTCTGATATTATTCCTCAAATAAACACACAAAAAAACGGGGAAAATACAATTTAATCTTCACCAAAACATGTGGAAGCAATGGTAGGAGGACATGACCTTAGATAGAAACTACAAGGCAGGCGACCACAGTAGCCCTTTGCCGTCTTCACGGACAGTCAGAGATGTTTTTCTTTACAAATATTAACTAAAGTCATTCGCTGAAAACTAAATTCTCCTCTTGCTGGGATAACCAAAAATGCTAGAATCTAGAACCCTAGCCTACATCATGATATTGACTGCAGGTGCTGACATTCTAGCTAGAACCGCCATTTCGATTAATCACATACGAATAAGTTCATACATGCGAAGGTTACAAAATGGCGCCCTGCCCCTCCAACAATGAATCCACCTCTTGCAGGAGGAGGTCCCCTTCAAGTTGGGGGTACGAGGCGTGGGGCTCAAAGGCTATCATATCCTCCAGCCAAGGAAATTGCGATGCTTGATGAGGTGACGAAACCTTTACAAGGCTTAGGTGTCCTATATAAGGTATCAAGAAGGGTAGACCTTCATCGCTTCCGTCTACCAACATGTAATGACCTCCGATGGCGGCATCCGCTTCTATCTCTAGTAATTTCTTGATTTTCAGCCCTCTTGTTTCTGACTTGTATAACAAATCGACTAGCTTCAGCATCTCACGCACTAGATCGATATCTTGAGGGCGCAAATGCTGTATATCGTTGCCACAGTTATAACGGTGCGCCTGGATGTGGGTTAAGAGAAGCATGATGGCGGCCGAGATTGCTTTTGAATCTGTACCGCGATAAATGTACCCGTCATGGTAGTTTCGCATCACAATAAATCGCGACAGCACTTGCCGGCAAGCTGTAGCAATAACAGCCCCGCTGTATAGGTTCTTCTCTGAGGGTTCGACGGAGCGTAACTGAGTGATGATGAAAGGCATGTGGATTTGCATGAGAAACCAATAATGGTTGAGTTGGGTCGATATTTTTGCAGTCTCAGACATCACCTCGTCGTCCGCCAGATGTCGGAGAGAAGGCTTGATGGACCACCAACCCGCTGGTAAGAAGTTTATCTCAGCTCTCATCGTGTTGTCCATTTCACGTGCCTCTTCGTCGTACACTGGTAAGGTATTACCTTGCTCAAAACGCAAATTTCGCTCGATGATCCGGCATCCAAGCACCGAATGAGCATACTCAAGTCTTGAGCTGGGATTCTCCTCAGAAGCTACCGAGATGGATCCCGACACACCAAAGTACGGAAGCCCGAGTTCAAGAGACATGATACGGTCACCATAGACCAACCGAGCCAAGATCTGGTCTATCTCCCATCCCGGATGCTCTATCACCATGAGCTGCGCTATTGATAAGGCTCGGCGGCACTTGAGCCACGCAGCTTTCGGCTTGTTATCGTTGACGTAGTAGATGGCTTCCAGCATCAAGGTCTCGATTCCTTCCGTTGACTGCATATGGACGTCCAAGGATGAGATGTGCCGCGAGACGATCTCAACGTATCGCGCTGCACTGCCGCTTGTATCCTGGGCATCCTGCAAGCATAGCGCCAGCTCCATGAATTTACGGCCATACAAGACCGGGTGGGCTGAGGCAGGCGGGAAACGCTCGTCGCGCGGCGATGGCGAGGTGTCGGGCCAGAGGATCTTGTGAGGCATGTGCGAGGACTTGGTGTGAGAGAGAATCAGCGCGGATTCCGCAGGCGGCGGCAGAACAGAGCGCAGGTAAGTGGTGATACTGATCGAGGTCCCTCGCGGAGACCGAGGACATGCCACCGCAGAGCCGAGCTCAACTGCTGCTGCCGTGTCCTTCAAGCGGCCTCCCTGATGGCGCTTTTTCTGGAGCAGCAAGGTGACGAGGTCCTCGATGTGGTTCACTCTCTCGGTGACTTTCTGCTGCCCGATCTCAGGCTCGCGCCCTTGGCTTAGACACGGCAGGCCGCGACGTCTGCACGAGTTGCATTCGGCCGACAGGGGCTGGAACTCGCACCGTCTCTTCCGTCGCTTGCATTCCAGGCAGCTGAATGTGCCCTTTCGCAGCTTGCGGGCTCGCGTGCTTCCTGTGTCACTTGACGAAGGAACCTCCATTTGGGTCTGCTCTCTTTTCCTGGTTTACATATGATGGAAGTTGGATAGATTGGCCTTCTTCAAACGGAAGGGCAATAGTCCCTTTCATTTAGCTTGAGGCTGCGGCGGTGGACGAGAGCTTATCTCCGGACCGCCGCCAGCCGTGCTGCAAAACATCAAGTTTCCTTGGCGTGCTGGCAATGGATGAGCTAAGCAAGCCATGCTGCTGTAAGCTCACCCAGAGCCCGTCGAGTCTGATCTGGGATGTCAGATGAATAATAAGACGCTGTGGTTCGGGTTAGATGTAATGGATGCTAAGGCTGGACATCCTTGTGCTTCGTCCCGACAAAACAGCAGGACCATCACTAAATTACGCATACTACCTCCAGTGGCACCTGTTTTCCTGTTTTATTCGGCGGTGCACTAAAGGAACTTTCACACAATAGTCCATCTCCATGTAAGCTTACCGTCCGTAGGTACAACCGGGCCATCCAAAAATACGACACTGCATTGACTGCATCTTGCTTGTCTCTACCTGTAACATCTACTGTATGCAGGTGATATGATACTCACCGATCGCTTTGGGATCAAAACTTCTGGCGCCGTTCCCCTCCAACCCCTCTTACATCGCCTCGAGGGTATCGGGGGTTTGTTCAGCAGAAATCTAAGGAACGGCGGTAACTCTCGTTCAAGCCGAGTGATTATGTATCCTCACTGATGTATCGCGTCGGCTTGGGGAACACTAGATGTATCTGTATCTTTTTACGCATTCTAATTTCACATCAATTCATCAAACAATGTAATTATCTCATCACACACATCTAAAAAAAAGAGATGACGAACTATGTGCTATCTACAGAGAGATCCCAAAGTGGTGAAATGGAGCGCACAGCCTCAATATCTATCCCCAAAGAATTGTTTGCCAGCATCTCATCAAACTGTCTGTTTTCAAAGCAGGAAATGCCGTCAATAATCTTGATAAGACGTAGCCGTGGCAGTGTGGTCAGGTAGCTTTTGGCTAATTGTTGAAGCAGCTGCACAACATCTTGGTCCGTTGGCCACTCATCATCCGGGATCCATAGGACTGCTTCATTGTAGAGCATACTTGTGGAGAGGCAAAGTGTCTCAACACTGCGAGGAACATGACGATCCAGAGGTTGGGGCTGGGCTCCAAAGTCTGCAATGGCATGCCAAGGGTACCTCGATTTCGGTCAAGTGGTTGAAGTTGACAAGACCGCCGAACGACCCCGAGACGTCTATAGTAGGCTCACCTTCAAGCCTGTAGCCACTGTAGACAGTGATTCCAAACTGAAGTTTCTCCAAGGTATCTCTGACGTATGATAGCGCCGAAATTATTTCGTCCAAGTCTAGATTTGTCGTCATCCAAGGGTCATCAGTCTCGGGTGCGTATTCCCATCGCCAGGAAAGCGACTTTAGGCTCCGAGTCAGGGCCAGTATCTTTGACATGAACTCTGCGCAGCGCCCTTCCAGGTCTAGCGAGGTCAAGCAACTGAGATCAGGCTCTCCTCCGGGCCAGTAGAAGAGCTCAGTGCTGCCCATCTGAGCCGCCAGGTGGGTGACTGTTGGGACATGAAAGAGAGACATGACTTCATCGAACCTGTGCGGGGGCGCGGGCGCATAATAATCAAACCCGTGGAAGTAGATTATGAGCTCTAGCCGTTCAAATCTGGGCAGATGCTCTCCGATGGCCTTTGACTGGAGGACTTTGCCGATGAGATCAAGCCGGCGGATATAATTGTCTGTGATGGTGAGGCAGCGGATCTTGGAGAGATGGGCGATTAATAGAGCGGCATAAGCGTCCATGCTGCCTTCTCGGAGTTTCTTGACCCAGGCATCGGTAAATGGGGTGTCGAAGCTTTTGATGATGCGTTCAAACTCGAGCACTGTAGATTCCGTGGCCGTCAAAGGAGGAGAGGGGTCGTTCCCAACAAAATCATCTCGAGTCAGCGAGACGACATCGATGGAGTCAAATAGCTCTGGTCTGCGGAAAAGCTTCTGCAGCAGAGGAATGATGGGCGGGGTTTTCTTCTGATGAGTCCATTCAAGAGTGATGTCAGAGCAGAGAATTGGTTCAGCACAGCGGCAAAGTGATTGATTGACGAGGCACACGGTCGGGAGGTCACGCCGTGGGACGAAGCTCAGGATATGAGCGACAATTTCAAACGGAACAGCGGAAAACGGATCCGCCGCCATTTTCGCGCGGCTGTGAGTGCGTCGACTGGAGGCTGGAAATGATGCGATGAGGAGGTGAGGTATCGCCGGACTCGTCTGAAGCGCCTCCCAGACTGGTTGGTTGTTGCTTTGCAGCTTTTTTTGCCTTGTCCCTTTCTGTCTCATCTTTCGCCGCTTTTTGTCTTTGAGCTCTTCCCTCCTCTGAAACTTTGTTCAGAGCAGCAGGAGTAGGGGGTAATTCTTTTTGGGATCTGCAAGGGGCCGAACTTCATTCTTGAAATCACCCTAGTTTAAGGAGTCGGCGATCTTGGTGCCTGGAGTCTTGTGCCAGCCACTGATTCTACTCAAACATCCTTTTCTAAAGCGGCCAAACCCGTGTGTCGTTATCGCCTCTGTCTGTTTATTAGAATGACCAGTGTGACTCGCTCATATCGTTTGCGTTTTCCAGTTGTTTTGTCTACCTTTACCTACCGGTTTAGATGCTAGAATCTCACTCTCAGCTAGACTAGATCCCTTACAGTTGTTTTGTTTTGGTGGAATGCAAGATCCGAGTATGAAAATTTGATTCTATTACGATTCTATTCAGTTAATGGCCTTAGCCCTGCGTCTCATCCTCGTGGACAGTGATGTCGCCTTGTCTCTACCACACTTGTCCAGGTCTTAGGCCAATGTCCAACCAGCTCACAGTATTAGCAGAGCTTAACGATGACTACATGGCAAACGAACACCACGGCTTATTCGTCATTTCACATGCTCCAAAATTCCTTGGGGAGCCAGTTCTGTGTTAAGAGGGCGGAATACGATGGCCCGGAATGCCTCTGGCTTCTTGGACAAAAGTAAAATACATCAACCAAAAATTGACCTCAGGCCAAGATCCTCCATAATGTCAGCCCAATGAACGTCGTGTTGATCGAGAAGATCATTGTCATAAGCCTCCCAGATCGCCTTGACGAGATTCTTTGCTATCTCGATCGGCTTTGGATACAAGCAATTCTCTAAAAGACCCAATCGTTGCATGATAAGATGGCGGGCGTCGCCGATTAAAATAATGTCTTCACTTACGGAGGTGAAAGCGTCGAATGATCCATGCGGGCTGATCCAAGAAAGGTCGCGCGAGGAATAGGATAGGGCGTGATCAGTCAAAAGTCCGCTAGAGCCCCCGAGGCTTGCTGTGAGTTGGACATTGGAAAGGCCTCCCCGAAAGCGTAATCCTGTGCTGGCTGCAATATACAGGATAGGTAACAGGGATCGACTCCCTGATTCTGGGGGAATCTTCTTCAAAAGATCCGTCAAGTATAAAGCTAGGGGAACAACTCTATCACCCCAAATAACATCGTCCCTAGCTATTTCAAACAACCCAATAGGTGATACCTCTGTGCTTGTGTTCGGGAAGGTCTGGTAAAGATGCAGGAGGGCGGATAAGCGGTACGCTTCAGCCGCTTCGATAAGATGTTGTCGAGGAGTGAGTCGGTCCCCAGTCTCGCCAATCTCATCCAGATTTGGGTACTCCAATTGCTTGAGCATAATTTCTAGTTGCTCGGCCCTCGCCATGATATCTAAAGCATCAAGTAAACTCTCGGAACCTTCTTCATGGCCCCTCATCTTCTTCCGAAACGATCGACAACACTTTATCGATTCACAAAAGAGCTGAGAAGTCAGTGTAGAAATTCCCGTCCATGGATGTGGCGTTAATGTAGAGTATTGAGTTTCATTGCCATTGATATCGAAATGCAGCATGGTATCCTCAGAGTTGTCATCGTGAACGGGAGCGCCAGACTCATCTTCAACCCCCATGAACGTAACCAACGTATCCCAATATTGAGTACTGCTAACGAAGAAGCTCAACATCTCGCGATCAGATGATGAGAAAGATTCGGAGTGTAGCTTTGCCTCTGATAAAATAGCTTTTGTATTTTTCAGCAGCCGTTTGACAAGCTCGTGGCGGTTGATCCAGCCAAAAATCGTGCCCATGCACACAAGAGCAAATAACACTCCTACAGGAAGCGTCTGCATTATCCCCCTCGTATTAAGAACCAATATCTCCGACGTAATAGCATTCATTGCAGCCTGCATGTATTGGAACGCGGCGGCCTTCATCTGCGGAGCTTGATTCGACATGTACGCGGCTGACATGCTTTGAAGGGAGGTGAGCACCGCTTCTGATTCTCCCCACAGCCTCTTCGCCAAGGTCCGGTTAAGACTGATTTCAGAGTCAAAGGCTGACCAGATAGGGCACACTTGCTCAAACCACCGGGTGATGAGGAGGGACGGGATATTCAAGATGTTTCGAGGTACCCTGTGCACTTTGTCTCTGGCGGCTGGAAGCGAAACAATGTTATTAGGCGAGTCTTGATCTTTGGCTGACTCATGGTGAGTCTGAGCGGTTATATGTGGCGGAGGGTTGAGATGAGACTCAGACATGCTGCCGAAGTCGAGGAGTTGCACGGTGGGATCTGGGTCCTCCCATGGCTGCTCATTGTCAAGACCCGGAGTATAAATTAATTGATCGTCTGGTTCGTGGTTAACGAACTCGAATGCGGAATCGGAAAGCAAGAGAAAGGATGTATCGAAGCTTGGTGGAGAAGGAGCTTCAGCCTGGCTCGAGACATATTCGGTCAAGCCTGAAGATGTTGGTCGTTCCGCGGACTCCAAGACACCACGATTTATTTCTGGGGAACGCAATCTCAATCCAGCGGACCTGGTATGAGAGTCTCTGTTCTTGTGCCATGCCGACTTATGCGTATAGAAATCGACCTGATGTTTCATTGACCATTGGAGCTTTCGTCCATAACCTCCGCACTTGACACCTTTCCCCCGACAGTTGAAGCATTCCGGTTTGGCTTCATCACATTTCAACTGTGGCCCAGATTACTTTCTGAACACGAGAGATCTGACAGCGCGGGGAAGCTTACATGTTTTGTCTTACATGTGACACAGCCTGACCGTGACTTTGTGGTGCAGTTTCTCCTATTGATCCTAACTGCTTTGCCGGTCTTTGGGCCTTTTGAATGCAAATCTTCAAACATTATACAAAGACAAGTATCGAGAAGGAAGCAATCGACCAACGAGATGTGCTAGGCTGTGTTGATCCACAATCCTCCAAAGTGATCGCTAAATCGGGTCCAAAAACACGGCAATTTCGATCTGGCCCACTCCAAGACCAGAAGGGATCGATCACAATGAGGTCCAGAGATTTGAATCGATAGACCCTGTTGCCGTGTTTGAATGTACTCGAAGGGGGAACTGCACCGCCTGTTGTCATGAATATGGAGCAAGAAGCAAGCGATGCCCCGGTGAGTGGGAGAGCATCATGAAGCTCATTTCCCATGGCTATTGCGTGATTCAATGGCCCACTCCTCGCATTACCGTAAAGAATTTCTCTCTACGGGCTAACGTCGACTTCCTACTGGCGATTTCGAGCACTTGTGGGGCCTGTTTGTCCATGTCATCCCCTGTTTGAATGACGTGCGCTGACGACTGATCTCGAATCTCTCCAAGATTCATTGAGATACCTGTGAGAGACAGGATGGAAACATCGACATACTCATGAGGAGGCAGGGGATTCATAGGGGCTAGTAATATATAAACTCTCGGAAGCTGCTTATAACAAAAAGGGAAAAAGGAAAAGAGAGAAAACTGGACACCCCAAATGCAATCATGACCATCAAAAACACAATAAAAACAGAGGAAACTCGCTGACCCCTTCACTCTTTCAAGCCACCCACGAGTCTTTAGAGAAGACCATTATCACGTTACGATTCCAGCTTTTTTGTGTTTGAGAAGGCAATTGATGATGAGCGGAATTAGCTCTCTTAAAAGAGATAAATCTCATGATTTCATCATTGACATTTAGACCTGGTGAGGTATAGGGTAGGTAGCTTGGTCATTGACCTTTAATGACTTCAACAGGATCTCTCTAATTCACCCCTGAGAAAGCTTTGCATTTATATTATAGTCAAGAGATTCTGAGCTTCCTTAATGACTACCAAAGCTTGCTATTCAAATTGTACGTCAAATCCGAGCACCTTTCTCTGTTCCTTGTAGTCCTTCCGAGTGGTCTAGCATATTATCTCAGGTTGAATGAGCTTGTACCAGCCCGAATGTGAAACGCCCCTGTTGAACTTCCATTTCTGTCTTCCCATATCTTATTAGCTTAATTCGCGTCGAGAGTTTTAGGATCGGCCATATCTTCCTGTTGCGGTGCTATTGTGATCATCCCAAATCCTTGAATAAGTCACAACAATAGCCATCGCGTTGGGGGGATCAGCAACGTTGCCAACAAGTCTAGCACTAGCGTTGTGAACCGTAACAAAGACAAGTTGGCGGCGGAGGCATCCGGGAGGACATGCTGCTGCACATTGACGTCAATATGTTTTGTTGCACTGCCCAGCCAAGGAGCTAACCAGGCTCTTGGAGTATTCATCGTATAGTGTGGGACTTACGAAGCTTCAGATGCCCAAGCAACTACGCAACAATAGAAACTAAGCAAGCCTCGGCGGCCGTCACGGTCCGCTTTTGCCATCATTCGGCGATGCCTCTAGCGGTCGTTTCGGTCAATACATTGAATTGAGTTGGAGATGTAAGGGGGTGGGTTTCCATCAAGTGCTCCTCCTTACATGACAGTGACGTTCGGCTATTGGAAGCACAGTGGAGTTAGCTGTCATAGAGTTCAAGGATTCGAGGAGTTGAGTTACATTGGAACATTTCTTTGTGTCTAGTCCCCATCAAAGCCAGGCCAGTCAGATCTGGATTGCTGATCCTGCGGTACTCCAGTATTGTGTAGTGGCTAACATCACTCGATCTCAATCCTGTGGTACTATGAGGGCTTTCATCATTCTTAAATTTAAAGTGACGTTTTTCGTCCTTTTGTTAAGCCTACTTTGGGGCGGGCCACAACCTTCATCCTCCCCAAGTTCGACCGGCTTACACCGAGCGAGTCTTAGTCACACCAACAGGTTATTTGATCACCGGGGCGCTACACACACAAATGTTCTTTTCGCTCGACTCCGCCTCATTAGCATGGGTCACAGTCACGAGGAGGATAGGTCTGGGGGCGGAAATGAAAATTTTGGTGTTGGTTTTGCGAGTTCCTAAACCGTATACAACTTTGTCCACTCACTGCACATAGAGATAGAATAGTGCCGAGGCTGTGATTTTCTTTCTGGATCACATTTGTTGGGGGAGGGTCATGCGTAGGAATCTAGGTTGCAGCCATCTACAACTATTGGCTCTCCTCCTTGTCTTTGTCACTCTAGTGACTAGTTGGGAATTCAATGAAGCGCTTGTGACTGACTCATTTTTAAAGTTTGGACTGTTGGTGGTCAATGTCTGTTTGCTTAGAAGTGAGCCTCTCGCTGGATTTGAATGATGTATGACCATCTATTCTCCCCTCTGCAATGGAAAGATAAAAAGATCCTCTCGTCTCTCTATCAAATGGCTTTCTAGCTCTTTATGTTTTCCATCTGTTGTTAGCAAGTGTCCTCACTATACCACCCGTACAGAAAGATAATACTTTGCATCTCCTTTTTATTATTCAAACATGCCACCCCTATTTCGTGCTGATCACATTGGGTCGCTGATTAGACCTACCCGCCTCCGGGATGCCACTCAATCTATTGGCTTCTATGAGCAGATTGCTGCCTCTGATGACCTACTAGCCGTGCATGAGGGCATTAGGTACGCTGCCAAGCAGCAGCTCACCTTGTCAGTTCGCCCCATCACCACTGGAGAATTCGATCGCAGATTCTTCCTGGGGGGCTTCTTCGAGAACCTAGAAGGAATAGAAACCCAACATGCTGTACCGATTGAAGGCGGGCCGTTTCGTTCAGGGCTCTTCCATCTCAATGGGATAGCCAAGCTGGGTCACAAGAACTGGCCGACCTGGGTTGCTACAGGGAAGATCAAACATGTGAAGCCTTGTTTTCTAGACTCCTGGGATAGGCTCAAGGCGGCTGTCCCACCTCCACAGTGGAAAGAATGCAAAATGACCTTGCCATCTGTGACTACCCAACACATTCATATGAAGCGTGGCGAGGCATATCTCCCCGGAGTGTACTCCTCGGACAAAGAATATTTTTCCGACCTCATTGTCGCGTACCGCAAGGAGCTGCAGATCTTATATGATGCTGGCCTTCGTTCAGTACAGGTTGATGACCCTTTGTTTACCTGCTTCGTGGACCAGAATTTCCTGAACAGCCTCAAAAATGAGGGAGTTGATCCGAACGAGCTCTTGCTGCTCTATATTTGGGCGCACAACGAGTGCCTTAGGGATTTGCCCAAAGACCTCCACGTTGGTATTCACATCTGCCGCGGGAATGCGCCGAAGAACGTGCTTGACGAGTTTGGACCCCATTCGTCCTTTGAGCCAATTGCACAAAGAGTTTTTGGAGGCCTTGACTTCCACACCCTCTATCTTCAAGTCGACGAGGGTGACTTGGAGCCGCTCAGATTCATACCTCGTGGAACCAACGCTGTTCTGGGGGTCGTGGACACGAAGACTCCGGAGCTGGAGCAGGTAGAGGCGATCGTGAAGCGCGTTAGGGAAGCGGCTGGAGTGATCGCGAAGGGCCAGGAACGGTCGGTGGAGGAGGTGTTGGCAGACTCTATAGCGGTCAGCCCCACGTGTGGCTTTTGTTCTGTTATTTTCTTTGACGGTGTGCAAGGCGAAAGGCGGATGTGGGAGAAGTTGTGTCTTGTGCAGGATGTGGCCCGTCATATCTGGCCCGAAAGCACAACCAAGGCATAGGCACTCAAGAGATTGTCGACTTGTAGTAGAAAATATGAGACGTTCCAGTCTACGATAGGATAAGTGAGTAAGAATTTTTAATCGGTTGATGATTCAGATGAAGTAGTGTGCTACCAGGACAAATATTCCCCATAGCTTTACACAATACTCTTTTCATGTTCACACTGTCAGGGAGGGTAACTCCCCTCGTTTGATGAAGACGTTTGATGAGACCCACCCAGAGCTTCTTCTTCTTACATTGTACTTAGTCTAGCCTATGAGATACGTGACAAATATTGTGACACTGGGTGCAGTCATCAGAACTAGGCAACTAACGCCATGCATAAGAACCGAATAGGAATTTCTCTCTCTAGAGGCCCGGACGTTGAGGCCGGGCTCATGAACTATCGATTTTAAGTCCCCATTTGCCCACAAATATAGCTGAAATGTCTCAGAGATGCAACTATCCCTGCGTATATTTACGGGAGGGAGGCTGTGCGGAGCTTGACCACATTAGCACTCCATTGGTTGGCTGATAGCTAGCAGGGCTCGACAGCGTGCCTTGGCTATTTCAAGAGGCGGTGTATTATCGTCATGGCAGATTAGTGTGCAGGACGAGATGCCTAATCCATGATTGGCCCTTGTTACTCATTCATAGTCACTACGGCAGCTTGCCGATGTTGAATGGTTCTTCAGCTGGCTGACCGAAATGTGGCGCGAGCTGGAAATAGATGGCCATGTGATAATCCCTGCATCAAGCTAATTAACTGCCGGGACAGAAAACGCCTGGATTGGTCACATTGACGCTAAAGATGCAGCCGGTGTCAGTTTGAACCCGTCCAACGGCGTCAAATTATGAGGGGGGCGGTCCAGAAACGTCAAACTATCGAGAACGCCCGATCCGGTTCCGGGCAGGAATGCATTCTCCAATGTGTCAGGTGTGGGAACACGAGAACTATTGGGTGAGCAGAAGGAGTCAGCAGGACTCGCAGCTCAATATTTGTTGATAGTTCTCCTTGAACTAACTCCATTGGGGACACAACCCATGGAGCCAAGTCGCTTCGAGACCGATCATTTGCAATTTGTTAATTCAGCCGCGGGCCGGACCGCCCTATGCATGTGGTAGTAGTGGTCGAGATGGATCGGGCACGCCACCGAGACATCTGGAAGCAAACGGTCGTGGTATATCTTCTCCCATTGTAAGGACTAAAATGGTACAAATACTACGGCTCAGACACGAAACCACTTCTCTTGAAAATCCATCACTGCCTATCTTCTTCTAATCGATTGACTCAGAACCTTTCCTCCACCACCATGACCGGAACATACGGCATCAAGGGCCTCCCCCGCCCCAGCTCTGCGCAGACCAAGACCAAAGTCATTCCATATGTCACCGACCTACCCGTCCGTTACGAGGTCTCAGTTCTTGCCAGCTCCAAGGACCCAGATCTCAGAAGACAGTGGACGCTCTTTGTTTTTGCTCTTGAAAACTTCAAGCAAAAGAGCGTCGACGAGAGGCTTTCCTACTTCCAGGTTGCTGGTATCGTGGGTGCTCCCTTAGCAGCGTTACTCATGTACTTTCATGCTGACAAACCTCCGCCAGCACGGCTATCCTGAAACCTCTTGGGACGGCGCCGAGAAGCCCAAGCAAAGTCCAGACACCCAAATACCGCATCCAGACCCTGGAGCGCAGCCTTTCGGAGGCTACTGCAATCACAATGGCCTCAACTTCCCCACCTGGCACCGCCCTTATATGCTACTCTTTGAGGTATGTCAAAGGCAACGTGGTGTAACTGAACCTGAGGACAATTTTGGCTAACCCTCTGGTACAGCAATGCATCTGGGAGAATATGAAGGAAGTTATTCAGCATTGGAAGACCAAGCATCAGATCAGCGACGAGCAAACATGGCTTGACGCGGCTAACCTCTGGCGCATGCCTTACTGGGACTGGGCACGACACCAGAGCTATACTCAGGACTTTGCCTATCCAAAGGTGATGACCCAGGCGTCTGTCCGCATCTTCCCTCCTCCCGAAGTCGCCTATTATTACCCAGGCGGCGTCTTTCCCAATCCGCTCTGGGGATTCGAGAACCCGGAGAAGGACTCATATGGTGATCCTCTGCCATTTGGCTCGATGCCTGAGGGTAAGACGGATTGGAATATCAAGGATGATCCTCCTGTTCATAAGAAGGAAATCATCATGAATTCAAAGTCAGACGACTTTTGGCTGCCGGTACATAATTCCTGTGTTCATAAGCTTCATTGATTCACAACTAACTAAATCGCAGTGGAGTCGATGCACCGGAATCAGCAGATATGGCATCACGGTCAACCACGACGGGACGGACTTTCAAGGTCTTGATGGTGTCAACAATCCGTTCCAGGCGAATAACAGTCTTGCGTCCTTGCGCTTACTCAAAGAACAAGACCCCGACTATCCCAAGCAGAGGGTCTTGCCCAACCCCGGTAACCTCGCTGACTCTGTGAATCGCATGTTCACGAAGGCATACAACACGACCTGGGGCGAGTTCGCATCCACCAAGTGGAACAATGAGAAGCACACAGATCCGAAGACAGGATACATGTCCTTGGAGTATATCCACAACAACGTTCATGTGAGTAAGGAAGTGAAAATATTAAAATTCTAGCGCTGACTGGGGGCATGATAGAATATGGTTGGAGGCAGTAATTTTCTTGCCGGAGCCGGCCATATGTCGGATGTCCCCGTGGCCGCGTTCGATCCCATCTTCTGGCTCCATCACACGTAAGTCATTGATCTTATCTGCACCACTTGGACGGTATAATAATGTATGAACAGCCAAATTGATCGTCTTTTGTCTATCTGGCAATGCCTGTACCCCGACCTGTGGTTCGACAAACAGGAGACCCCGGACCCGCACAACGTTAGAGATGATACGTGCGATGACCCATTGCAGCCTTTCCACCTTGAGGATGGTGGACGAGCTGATGACGAGAACAACGTCTACACTGCCAAAAAGTGCCGTGACTGGACTGAGCTGAACTACCAGTATGATGACCTGATGGCTTTGTCAAAGGGGGCTTTGGACAGCGAAGGGAAACTGGACGAGCCAGTCTACCAGCAGCATCTCCGAAACTACATCAATGACACATACCCCAGCACTGCAAATCTCGTCAAGCCACTCCAACACGAGACCGAAGGCCTTGTGGCAGATAAGGACAATACATGGAAGGATTACATCATTAGTGTCGTCTACGACCGCTACGCCCTGAAGGGTGCCTCATACGCCATCGAGTTCTATCTCGGCGGAGCCAACGAGGTGCGCGAGACTCTCGTCAAACGAGAGAATTTCGTCGGCCAGGTCTACACCTTTGGTGGAGGTGGTGGTAGAACTGAGGGATCATGCGCCAACTGCACCAAGCAGGCTGGCGATGGCACGCTCTCGTGTGCCCAGGTGCCTCTGACCATTAACCTCCTGCACCACGCGCTCGACGAAAGCGAGGATCATAACATCAGTGATTTCACTGAAATTGAGAGGTACCTCCAGTTGCATCTCTCCTGGCGATATGTTGGTCCCGGTGGCGTTGTTCTCTGTCCAACCAAGTTCACTGGTACCAAGGTCGAGGTCTACCAAGGTATCGGTGAACTGCGCGAGCCGAAGAGGGCGCCAGTTCTTCCTCGCCCAGAGAGTCTGAAGGTTGGGGCAAGCAACGAGCAGCTCTACTCTCTCGAACTTGGTACCGAGGCTCCGACTAAGTTCGTGCAGCCGGCCTTGTATGGAAAGTACCGGCTGCTTCCTAATGCAACCGCTGGTAAGGATGGTCTGCCGCTTGAGAAAGCCAGACTGAGAGCCTAGGGGTAGGACAAGATGACCTGCAACGGGCAGTTGACGACGGGCCTGATTGGGAAAAGGATTTTAATACAATATTCTTCCCAATAGAATGTCAACGAGATGCAATGAGATATCTGCACTCAATCGTAGTGGTATAATTAGTTTACATCATACTTGGGCTTTGCAAATTGAAAGCTGGAATCAACGCGAAAATAGTTGTTTCCCGGGTTGGCTAGGGCTCGCGGGCTCAAAGGGTCGACAATAGAACCGTCAGTTCTATGTTCTAGACATGTAAATGTTGGTCGTATCTAAGATACTTCTTTCAGCTGCTTTTAACATATAGTCTAACATCATCAAGCGCGCTGAACTGACTAGCAAGGCTAAGCCGGTGTTGGGAATAACTACGACTCCAAACTGGACTAGTAAAGGTCAATCAATCAAATCCTATCTAGTCAGACATCCGTGAGTTTGACCTACCTTGACAGCTAATTTCTGAATAATGGTAAAATGCTCTTTGGTGACACCGTTGCACAAGTCCTAGGTCGGCTCCCAAACCTGGAAGTAGCTCGCAACGCTGTGGTGGAGTATTTGTAAGGGCAGGGCTTGATGGCGACGTGATGTTAATAGGCATCTTGATGGTCATGGACGGCGATCAATAGAGTGATAATTGAATTTTCGTACTTGTGGGACGTGATGAAGAGTTGATATGGTCGTACATAAATCCTCGGACAGACTATGCAGAAACTGGTGAATGATGACAGACGCCCATTGCCTGGTGCTAGAACGCAATCCAGTGTTGAAACCAATCTCAATATGCTCCCGTCAGATCGCCATCCATGCAAGGCTTCCGATACTTGAGGGGGCAGTCAAAAATCTGTACAGTACCAATGATAACAACAGACGTCACTCACTGAGATCAACACAGGTTTTCGCTCAACCGAGCTGCAGGTCTGAGAACTGGCCACCCCCATGTGACCCAACGTAGTCTTTCCGGCCGATAAGAGACTGTATCTCTCCCTGGCTTTATAGGTAGCCCCCTCAATATGACCGACGTGTCGTTAAGAATCGCTCCAAACAGACTCGTGAGCGAGAGCTTATAGCCCATACGGTCGGGCACAACAGTATCAGCAGAATTTATACGTCCCATCTCACCCTGTTTAGTAAATTGGACATTTCGGGTTTCCCGGTGTGATATATTTCTCACGTAATGCTGTCTCACGCAATGCTGGTTTGATAGTGCGTGGCGTGCAGATGCAACGCTTATCCCTCTAACTCTGATTTGTTGAAGCAAGTCGAGGTCTTATCAGCGGCTGCAGCAAATACATAATAACGACCAATCAATGTATCTATAATAGTGTACAATAACTATTATACGATATCTTTAGGCTGCCGTGCATATTTGTATACAGGATCGGGCTTTAGGTAGCAATACATATGCTCTCCCTATAATAGCCCTAGGATTCCAGCTGCTGGCCGGAATGTATTCATTCATGTATTGGAATAGAATACAAAGTATCATTTGCTGAAAGCGAAAGAGCGATAATCTGAGGCCCAGCACAGAAGCCAGCCACAGCTCTCATCTAGTCATCTCTGTCCATCATTATCAATCCCATCTCATACAGCTTATTATTTTGATTATTATTACAAAGCAGGGTCACAATATACTACTTCTCCGCTCTCTATTCACATTAAAAGGACAATGTTTCAGGATAAAAAAGCCCAGGCTGCGTACGTACGTGGCCTAAACGATATTAAAACATTGATAGCCGATTTGGATTCGGTGCTTGAGAACCTCATAGATCTACATTCCACTAGGTATTGGCCCTTATAAGTGGTAAAATATAGTTAAGACTGTTTTGAAAGAAGCTAAATCAGGATATAGGGACACAGCCTTGGTTGACTCAGCCGATTCATCCGATTCATCCGACTCATTAGCTAAACTAATCCGTCGGACATCAAGCCTATCGGATTCCTATCTGCCACGTTCCAGAACGGACGAAGAGAGACTTCAAGCACTCTTTAATAGGGGTTATCCAGATCCGCGCCGAATTAACGTCACAAATATTCTATCTCGTACCAGGGCTTTCGTATCGAATGAAGCGCCCACAGACCCCGGTGGACCGATAGTAGAATATTTCGACAGACCCATTGACAACGGTATTGAGAGCTCAAATGAAGGAGTCGCCGGAGAGCATTGGAATTATTGTAAGTTATCCCCAGTACTTTCCAAAAAGAAAATAAGGAAAGAAAGAAAGAAGAAAGCGCTCAGTTGTTAATACTGCGATAAAGGGAGGCGAATATATAGAACAAAAAAAAGTACATATATCGACTATGTGATTCGGAAAGAGGATGGCCATATACCCGATTTTATACCACCATGGGAGCTATACGAGTCAAGTGATGGTAAATACTATCATATAGACGACCCTACTCAAAGTGTACGGATACTTTATACCAAAGGCAGTTGGGAAGAAGGCCATGTCCCTTACTCTCACAGCCCCCTCGTGGGATTAAGTTATTCGAGGTGTGCTCTCATAGCCTCGTTGGGATTACAACCGGCACAATGGGATAAGATCCAAGATTCCCTCGGAGACTTGTTCTCCGCCCCACCTGACGCTCGCATTGCATTGGCCTTTGAGAAAAATGAACTCCGGTTTAAACATGCGGAAAAAAGACTCGATGCTTATTTGAAAGCCGTCAAAGTTCTTCTTGGAAGCCTTGGCAAGTCAGGTTCTTTCTTTATACGAGACTATAATGGCGTTGGGGCAGTTGCGGAATACTGCTATACCTCCAAACTTGACAAAACGGACATCAACACCAACCGAATATTCTGGCGAGCATCCACTGCGGCGTTGAAAAAAGAAAAGGGTGGCTTTATTGTACCTCCAACGTATGTTTCTTTTAACGAGCTACATAAGGCGCAGTTGCTACACGGTAAGGAGGAGTTCGAAGACCCAGACTGGGAGTCAATCGGATGTCGAACAATTCACTCTCAACGACAATGGTGCCGTTTTATCTGTATACAGGGTCTTTCCAATGCCGCACCTGCAGATGGCGAAGCCCCGGATTGGACCTTACTCGTCTATGATAACAAGAAACGACCACGGTTGCCTGGAGGTCGAGAAGCACTCATTTCGAGGATGTTCAAATACCACCTATATTGTCGGCAACCAAAGGTATCTGGAAATCCATTCGAGTTTTCCTGGAGAGCTTTTCACATCACTTGGACTCGTTTGCTGGAAATCTCACAACAGTTCAACTCTAGCTGGAAGATGGGTCCGCTCTATAGCAATAAAAACTATTTTATTCAGCAACAAGCGCTTACTGTGGCGTACTTCCCAACCTTTACAGGAATTGGTATGGATGACCCAAGGTCGTACAAATCGAATGGTCCAAGGGGCGACCCGAGCACAAGCTTTTGGACTATCCTGCTGCTGGCACCCCAGTCAAAGGATAATTGGGATGAGATCACATACGGTGCCGGCTCGATATTTCGGGTGATCGTACGAGGTTTAAAAAAGGCTGCCGATGACTGGGATGAGCTGAGATCTGAGCTCGGCAAGACAATCGATTTTGAAAGCCCTATTTGGGATCCCGAAGCACATGATGGTCTTTTATCCGATGACGAAGCGTTTTCGAGATCACGCCTGTACTTTTGGGTCGTTGATGCTCTCGGAATGTTTCATAGGCAGATAGAAGATGCAATGACGGAATGTTCCGCTTCCGAGCTGCCCGAGCAGACATGTTGGGAGCTGTTGACGACCAAGTATATACGCTTGTTCAAGAGGGAGAAGACCAGATGATGCGTCTCAGAGAACTATCATCCTACTTTCAAGAAGGTTATAAAAGAGCGGAAGCCTTGAGGAGCGCAGTAAGTTTTTGCAGCGATGTAACGCAACTGTTATGGTCGCTTACCAAAAATGATAGCTATTTAACGCAAGTAGCGTGATAGAGAGTCGCGCGTCCACTCGTCTTTCTGAAAATGTGAAACTTCTCACATACGTCAGTATATTCTATCTCCCGCTTGGTTTCTGCGTTGCTATTTGGAGCATTAATGAAACATATGCAAGGGTACCTCTGGTTATAACTACTATTCTAGTAGGCGCTACAACATATTTTGTTGTACTGAATATTAACAATATCCGCCGTGCTTCCACAGGGTTATATTATAGGGTCAGGGAGCCTGTTATAACCCGTATGACAAAGAGTGATGAAGAATGGAAAAGGAAGGCTGAAGCGTTTAGGAGCTTTCAAGTAAAACGGGAGAAGTCTGAACCCTCAGAGTGGCATATCTTATACTTTCCTATACGAGAGGCAATTATATACTTATGCTCTAGGACTCGGAGTCGCAGGGACATTCCAAGTTGCAGGGACAGTTCAAGTCGCAGGGATAGCTTCAGTCTAGTCTAGCTATCATGAGAAGATTATCACACCGCGAAGGAACCTCTTTGGTATAGGGTCTGTTGCATAATATCAAAGGCTTGACCTCTCGAGGTTCTATCTACCTTATCTGTAGGTTCTTAATAGCTGTGAGATAAGACAGATTAAACACCGCGATGCAGAGCTGTGCCAAGGAGTCTTGCGCAGACAGCAGAGTGTACGTTTCAAATCTTGACATTATAAACATGTATTTAGGATTAATATGTTCAACGGTGTAGTATGTAGATATCTAGTAATATCCCTACATATTTAGCTTGACGGCATTTGATACACTTCCCGCGTTCAAGCCACCCAATATTAGTATATAATGCCAATAATTATACGAGAATGTCTGGCGCAATATGCCACAATTTTGACAAAGTGAATTAATTATCTGACCGTGATTTTAACAATAATCTAGAGCCTCCGTAAAAAATGTCCTAATCAGGTATCATGTAGTTTCATCTCAATGGTCCCGAATGGTGCAATATCTCGTTCTTATTTCGCACATTCCCCACAATCGCACATTTCAAACCACCAAAAACTCGTCTGTAGTCGCACTGACAAGCACGACATTGCGGGTCTGGCGTAATCTGCAGCACCCTGGCCTGCGAAGACGAATTGTGTCTCCCATTCCGTTTCCGAGCACAGAGCCGCAGATTTATACTTAACAGCTTCCCGCCCTCTTTCTTGACGCGCATTCGAGGTCGTATTCATTGGTTATGTGGTCAGCCTACAGCTTTTAAATCATCAGGAACGCGCGTGCCTTCATACGCCATGGCTACACTCGTTCGAGCTGAGGACGAGGGCGTCATTGCCTCGCCTCTTCCCCAGGTAGTCGGATATGTGCTTGTGGTAGTAGTGGGCCTTCTGTTTGCCTTCGGTGAGTGGCAATGCTGTGAAAGAGCAGAGCAATATCCGTAAACTAACTGAGCTGTCAGTCATGATCGGGATTACTGCTTTGCTGAAGCGAACACAGGGCGAAGATAATTCCAAGATTGAGACGTAGGCTACCAATAACACAAGTCATGATATCTAGCTAACGAGGTTTAGATTCATGGTTGCCGACCGAAAAGTAGGCACAGGCCTAGTCGCATCAGCTGTGGTTTCAGTAAGTCCCGACTGTTAGACCAAGGAAGGCCAAATATCCTAACATTATCTTAGTCTTGGCTCTGGAGCACAGCTTTACTCAGCTGCGTTTTGGTCACTTATTCTTATGGGGTCAGCGGCGCATTCTGGTACGGAGCAGGCTGTTCGCCCATGATTGCTGCTTTTGCATATCTCGGCATTATATGCAAGAAAAGGATTCCGGAAGCGCACACCGTGCTGGAAGTGATTCGTCTTCGCTACGGTACGATTTTTGAGCCAGTATTCTCATTCCCTATACCCATACTGATGGGTTCCAGGCACTCTCGCACACATAAGCTTCGGTTTTCTAGCCGTTGTCAACAACCTCTTCAATACAATCAACATGATTCTCGGCGCGTCATCAGTCATCACTTTTCTGTATGTTTTGGGTCCCATCCTTCTTCAATTTTTACTAACATGCGGTTAGGACCGGGATGCACATTATGTCCTCTACCTTCTTAGTCCCTGTCGGGGTAGTTCTATACACGTTGTTCGGAGGCATCAAAGCAACGTAAGTACCAATTATTTGGGATAAATGGCTTAATGATACTAATGAATACCATAAGATTCCTCACTGACTACATTCACACCACCATCATCGTTATTCTATGCTTGTACCTCACCATTAAAACATTCCAGCATGAGAGCGTCGGGTCGATTGGTGGCCTATATGACCTTGTAGTGGCTGCCCAAGATGAGCACAAGATCGCAGGCAACTACCAAGAGTCAATCTTGACGATGACATCCAAAGAGGGCATCAATTTCGCCATCATTCTTCTTGTTTCTAATTTTGGCTGTGTTATTGTAAGCAAAACCCTTCTGGTTGATACGAAATTGCTTCAGTGTCTCATATGAAACAGATGGATACCGGATACTTCATCAAGGCGTTCGCTGCATCTCCATCCTCCGTCGTCCCCGGCTATATCGCAGGTAGTATTTCCTACTTTAGCATCCCCTGGTGTTTGGGCACGGTCCTTGGGTTAGTTGCCATCGGTCTCGAAGGGAGCCCATCCTTTCCCACATATCCGAGGGTGATGACAAGTGAGGAGGTGACCACTGGTCTTGTCCTCCCGTACGCAGCCATGGCCGTCGCCGGAACAGGCGGTGCAGTCGCTGTCCTTTTGATGACATTCATGGCCATTACATCTACTCTTTCGGCTCAGGTCATTGCAGTATCCTCCATCTTCTCCTTCGACTTCTATCGCACATACGTCAACACGGAGGCTCGCTCCTCCGATCTAATCCGATGGAGCCGATTCGGCGTTGTTCTTTTCGGCATCGTTTCTGCCGGGCTCACTGCAGCTTGCCACTATGGGGGAATCGATATGGCATGGACTCTTTACACGATTGGTAAGCCTCGTTCATCAGCCTGCCTCTGATTGAGATAACTGACATGGAGCCACAACTCCTAGGCATCGTTGTTTGTCCTGGGACATTCCCCACCGTCTTTGCCATCCTCTGGCGGAGGCAGAGCTGGGTCGCAGCTATAGGCTCGTCTTATCTCGGAATTATAACGGGCATCGCTGTCTGGCTCGGCACAGCATACCGTTTTGGGGGCGAGATCTCCGTCGCTACTACAGGTCTCACATTACCTTGCATGTACGGGACAGTTGCCTCCATGTTTAGTCCCCTACTTTTCACCATCATCATTTCATATTTCTGGCCTGCCCAAGACGACTGGGAGACACTAGAAGAACACAAGTTAGCTGTAGCCGATGATTCCGAGTCCGGCGGCGTCAGCGCAAACGAAGCCGAAGAATCACCCAAGATTGCCGGAGCAGGCAAGCAAGACTCTTCGATAAGCGTCGTGGATAAAGCCAACGCAGATGTACAGCAGCGCCGTTGGACACGTCAAGCCATGATTTGGGCGATCGCGACATTTTTGGGTCACTGGGTGCTTTGGCCACTTCCAATCTATGCGGCTAACTATATCTTCAGCAAGACGGTACGTAACCCCGGGGTATTCTCTATCTAGTATAAATTGACTAACAATTGATACAGTTCTTCACAGCCTGGGTTGTTGTCTCAATCATCTGGCTTTGGGCTTCTTCTATCACAGTGAGCGTCTGGCCTTTATGGAGCGGACGCGAACAGTTGATCGGGGTCTATCGTGCCCTTTTCAAATCTAGTTCTTCAACTATATAATATTCGGTCTATTCTCGTGGTGTACCTGCGCTTTTGTCCGCACTGGTTGTGACGCGCTGCCAGGATAACGAAAGTGACTACATGGGGAAGACGAGCAAGAGATTAACAAGACCAAAGAGTATGCGAAAGACTATCAACTTATTTTCTTCTCGAGGCTCTTTCTCCTTTGGACACTTTGTTTATAGTACACAGTGAAAAGAGCTTGATAATCTTACATAGAAGAATGTTAGCCGAGTAAAGAGTTGCATCCAAAGCGCAACTATTAGACCCACAAGCTTGCAATCAAGGTTATTTCGAGTGGAGAAGTGCCAGTGAAGTCATGTTACAGCGGTGCACAAAGAGTTGTAGATAAACAGTTCAGATTCGGTCAACGAGACTCTTCGATGGCAGCCTACTATCTACGGTTGTATTGTCACACTTCAGTCTCAGCAACTATTCCAATATACATACCAACGGAACGATCTTGTGAGCTGGCAAAATCCGTGAGAATGTGTCATCCACCACCCCTGTCTCTCTCATCAGTCCAAGATCGCCTAGCGCACGAATAACATGTCATCCTCTTCGTGCGACTTTTTCACTCCAACCTCCAATCAATCAACGTATCACGGTCTGGGAGAGGATGATATTGTCGTCATAGACAAAGCCATCTCACTCTATGGCGTCTACCGAGGCCCAGCCCGCGCCTAAACGAGCTTCCCAACGCAAGGTCCGGACGCCGTGCTTGACCTGCAAGTAAGCTTCCACTCTCATGAATGGCCATCATCTATCTCGTTGCTCAAACTGACCGGTTGGGCCCTGACAATGCGCGCCTTGCAGAATCAGACGCGTTCGATGCGACCAGCAGAAGCCCGAATGCAACCGCTGCGTCTCAACCGGCCGCAAATGCGATGGCTACTCCGACTCTTCGATCACTCCGTCACCAGAGCCCCCGTCCTCTAACAAACCGTCACAAGTTCTTACAGTGGCACCGTCGATTCGGCCCCGGCAGCTTGCCCCCGCCGCCGCCCATCCCGCCATACCCTCCGCTACTGATGGGAGGCTATCCCGTCCAGTCGCTGTCCCGATCCTGAGAAGAGATCCGAGGGAGCTCGAAGTGTATCAGTATTTCATCAACGTCGCCGCGCCCTCCATAGCCGGCACGTTTGACACCGACTTTTGGCTCCGAGAGATCCCGCAGTTCTGCCTCGCTGACCCGGCGATATGGCATGCCGTCACGGCTCTGGGCTCTCTGTGTCGCGATTACGACTTCAAATCCCCAGATCCAGCGAGCAGCAACACATTTGCTTTAAACCAACACAATGCCGCCATCTCCCATCTCACCAGATCAAGGTCCATGTCATCCAAGGCGGACCGATGGCGCACTCTTGTCGCCAGCACCATCTTCACCTGTATCAGTGTCGTTCAGGGATCATACAAACAAGCTCAGATGCATTTCCAGGCAGGCCATAAACTATTTCTACAACTCCAGGCTGAGGAACAGGCGTTCACAGCGGGGAGGGCCTCCAAGAAAATGATCAGAAGAGACCTCCCGAGCGTGACGCCCGTCACCTTCCAATCAGTCCGCTCCATCTTGATCGCATTCCAGATCCACGAGCAAAAGCTGGACATGGCCGAGGTGGTCGGCGCCCCGAACCACATCTCCGCCGAGGACGACAGTTTCGGGCTCTGGAGAACCTATACCGCGCCTCCGACCAAGCTTGATCCCGCATTCACGCCGGAAAGGAGCCTGGCTCCGATGAATCTCATACTAGCCACTCGTGCTTCTGAGTCGCTCATGTGGGCTCTCGTCTACTTCATGGGGATGCATTTAGCTGAGCTCACGGCTCTTCATGCAAGTGGACAGTTGCAGCTTCCCTCCCTCGCTGCGAGACAGAAGCTCCATCTGCGATGCTATAAAGAAATCGAGTCAACTCTTCACATGTTTGAGAAAGCCCTGGGATCTGGCGAAGGAGACTCTGCCTGGTCCCCAACGGTCAAGGCCCAGATTGGAAAGGCAGTCCAGTACCTACACATTTACAAGGACACGATCCGTCTCATATTTCACAAGGATCCGCATGAGCCAAACCCGTTCAAGCGGCTGAGGCTATTGCCAGGGCTATGTGAATCAATCGTCAACCGAGCAGAACATGTTCTTCTCATGGAGGCAGCCGGCATAGGCAGGGGTGATGGGAGTGTCCTGATTCCGAGCCCAGCCTTAACAAACCCGCTTGCATTCGTCGTTCAGTGCGGATTCGGATATGCGACTCGAAGGCGTGCACTGAATTTGCTCTACCAGCCAAGACTGGACGGCATCTGGGATACAGTCATGTCCGCGAGTCTCATGCAGGCCGCACTTGACCTTGAGCTAAGCACCTCAAAGGCATACTGGGCTCGCAAAGCCGCTAAGGGGATCGCATTGAAGCCCATTGCCATTGGCACGGGGGTCGAGGAGATCGAAACGGGCGCTCACCCATTGTTTCGCTTGTTCGCGGCCGTGTATGGCGATAAAACACAGAGAGGAGCTCGTGTTGCTTTACGGACCTGGCAGGAATGGATAGATGGCGAGCCAGGCCGATGGGTCGATATTCATTGGTAGCTTGTTTCGAAATACACCCCCTTAAGAGCTCCTACAAATCTGGTCCAACGAATCATACCACAACACATCACGTTACTAGAGCCTCATTTAGACTTCTTCTCAAGCCTAACGAAAGAGAGTAGATATTATTAACCTAGTTGGCATCTATCCAGTCAGAAATTGCAAGAGAGCGCCCTTTCAAGGCATCACCAACATGGTCGAAAACTAGTTATCAGTGTTAGAGGCATGGTCTAGCAACTGAAAGCGTCATAAGGAAATACTCACGTGGCCAGGTTCGACATTGACTGAGTATATGGTGGTGCACATCAAGTAGGTCACATGCAAGTCGGCCCGCCTTGTTCCTGTCGAAGTCATCTGGGGAGCTCAGGATCTCATATGACGCGTTGAACTCCCTTTTCCGGTTCTGCGCAAAGGACAGAATAGACTCAAGCAAATGGCTGTCTTTAGCATCTGCGTTATCATCCCACCCGAAGTCGCCGCCATACAGACCTCGGTCCAGACAATGAGCGAAGAAGCATAGCCAGCTGCACAAACACTGTATGTTGTAGAACATGGATGCCGCAACGTGCAAACTAATCTGAACGCGCTGGCTCTCTTCTGAAACAGATATAACAGATTGTTCCAAGGCACTCAGAGCGGATGTTGCGAGATGGCGGAACGCACTGCGATGCTCGCTCATGAAAAACATGTTCTCGATCAACTGATCTTCGTCGGCGGTCCATGGCAAATCAAAAGGATACCCAGTCTGGGGACTGCGGTCGGGAAACAAGAATAAGATGTGGAGTTTCTTGAACCTCCTGGACATGAGACTCTCTCTTGCTTCCTCAATGTTTGCCTGCAGAACCAACTGCGTGTGGTTGAACATGGCGGTGCTGCAGCTCATGAGCCTCTCAACGTGCTCAGAACTCATGTCAGCACAGGTTTTTGTCCATAGAGCCTGCCATCTTTCAAGCGCCTCGTCAGCATTGTCGTAGTACGGTCCAGGCTGTGTCCGAGCATGGAAGGCTTCGTAGTGTATTGCTGTAATGAGGAGAAAGCAGGACATTTCGGTTTGCAGCAGACGATCCATGTGCTGGCGCCGGCCTCTATAACCGTTTGAAGTTGAATGAGGTCCAAAAGCTCTACTCTGGTCATCAGCCGCGGCATCGTTCTCAAAGAGATGTCGTACCGCCTTGGCAAACTGTGGTTGCATAGGATCTGTCCTGATTGCTTCGCTCCAAGCCGAGGAACTATCGGCCAACCAGACTTGCTCGCCACAAGGCAATTCATATCCGACTTCGCGCCAATCCACAGTAGCAACGGAATTGAGGTACATCAAGGTCGAACTCAGTAGCGAGAAATACGCAAAGAAAGTGCGCTTACGTTCCTCAACTCTTACCCATCGAAGCCATTGAGAGACACTCTTATCAGCACAGCAACCACACCCACAAACGGCCGGCTCATCTGCAGTTGCCTTTGGTTTATCCAAGGCTGCATCTCTCACTAACGCTCTGAGGGATATCGTGTGGCCAATAGTCAGATCTTCCAAGGATTTGTCTCCAAAGGTTATACCAAAGGCAAGATATCCGATGAAAGCTTGGAAGAACGCCTGGGGGAGTGGCTCCTCTCTTGCACGAGAAACCCAGCCGAGGATTCCCTTTCGGACCTGCTGGTACAAGTCCAAGGCCAGGGCGGTCTCTTGGCAACAGCTGGCACCCAAAGCCAACATGGAAATCAGCACCAGTCTGTGCGGCTGCCGCTTCCAGCCATGGCATAACCTATGCGTCTGTCCGTCATAGGGCTGTTCTCGCAGCAATGACGCAGCAGACAAATCCCAAGTGGGAAAATGGATCCAGGGAAAGGGAAAGTTCTCCCGATAGGATTGCAGGAGGCGATCGACGGTGTATTCGCTAAGGGACGTGACTGGGTATGTGCTGGCAACTTGTAGTGAGTGAGGAGTATATGGAATCCGAATGTGCCTTGCGTAATGACCCGCCAAGATACTCGGATAAATTTGAATAGGTGTCTCGTTTAGCTGAGGGAGTGCTTGTTTGCGCAAGACACGTGTTAGATCTGCGTAGGAACTGACCCCGGATAGCCGCTGTACAAAGTCGTCAAACTCTGCCCCTCGTAGGGAGGCTACTTTTTCAATGCCATCAACGATTTCGTGTGCTGGTGAGTGTCTGGCGAAATCGACGGCCTGCGTGGCCGGAGAATTTCCTCCTATGCGTTGTCTTTTTGGGATAGATTGAGACCTCCCCACGAATGAGAATTCATCACCGCCCAGGCCCTCATTGCTCTGGGTGAGTCTAAATGCAGAGGCATCCTTCTTACGGTCACTATGCTCCCGGTGGACTTGATCCGCGTGGCGTAATAACACATCACGGCGGCCAAACGTTCGACCACAAACCTCACATCGGAAGGGCCGGACATTGTTATGGCTGCGGACGTGCCTCGCTAGATGATCTGGCCGGTGAAAGGCGCGGCAGCACACGGCACATGTGAAGTTTGCTGTGCCGTTGCCTTTCTGATTAGGGTTCAGGGTCGAGGACATCATAGATGAGATCCAGCTATGAAGCGAAGAAAGGAGATCACCCAAACAAGATCGCGATGGGGCCAGTCTAAAAATACGGCCCGCTCGGAGATTCTCTGGTTAGAAAACAAGGAAGCCAAGTAGCAAGGGGCTTAATTAATCAATTATGCCTGCTGTCCACCCGGTTACCCAGTCGCATAGAGTCGCGACGGAATTGGCGAAGCCCGATGACACGCGTGATTTTAATCCCAGTCGAAACGGCAATCCGGTCCACAAGTTAACAGGATAATCATGCATATCGAATCCCCGAGACCCCGAGGGTCGTCACTTCGGGCTTTCGGTAGATAAGTGATGATGTTTCGATCTTCGGGTTTATATTCAGTCTATTCCATTCTATCAAATGTCCCAATTCCAAATAATGCATTCTAATGATCCATACCTTTCCCTACATATTCTCCAAGTAGATGACGTGTCAACAGCGTCTTGACGATGTGAGATGAGCAATAGGCTAAGCCGCTCACCGAGCCAGGCCAACCAAAATCTCTTCCCGCCATGCCATAATCCCGATCTGGGTTGCCGCCGGACCAGCGACGACTGTTCCCGCCGCTGCCAATAAGGTAGCCTTGAGTGCATTGGCTGTCGTGATGTATCCGTAACTTCTCAATTCCCAGATGCGGTGGACGCCCTGGACAGCCGCAGAGGCACAGTTAAGCGCCATGTCCCATCTGAAGAACAACGGAATGCCTGCGCCAGGCGTTTCATCCACCTTTTCGGCGAACGGGGAGCCGAGATTGCCAAGAACCTGGGACACCGACTGGCCCGGCGTGTTCCAGATGCTGATCATCGAGCCCACATGGCAGAGCGCGGTGACTCCAAAGCCGACAGCATATAAACGCCTGAGGGTTTGAAGACTAGCCTTCCTGTCCTTCTTCTTCCTCTCAGCAGGTTCCAACTTCTCGCCCAGTGCGGGCCTCTTGCTAGCATAGAATTTGGAGAGCCCAGTGGTGAGTACGCCAACGAAGACCGGGAACGGCTGCCATAGTGCGATGTACTTCTGCCATGTGTCCTTGTTTTGGAATGGATAAACAAGAAATATTGAAGGTATTACATACCCAAGCGTGATGCTGGGGAGGAGGGCCTTTGATACTTCTGGCGGTATTGTCCTACCAGTATTTACTCCGAGCGTGCGGAAAAGCGTCGCGAAAGTAATATTCAGCGCGTTGTAAAGAGGCGCAATGCGGCCTATCCCGGACAACTGGTATATGCTACCAAACACACTTGGCCTATGAAATGTCAGATACGCGTTAGAAGTTGATTGCTCAGGACACCCGACTTACCAAGCAAGGGGCAGTCCCTGACTGCCCGCGCGATACCCGTCAATCATCCAATCGAGAATAGTGGAAAAGATTACAGGCATAAAGTACAGCAGCTGCGCCCTCTCTGGAGTAGAAGGCCAGAGCACTTTCCCGAAAGCCCTTACCAAGACCGAGAGAAGTCCATCCACGGACTTGATATGGACATATTCTTTCCTGAAGTCTCCCCCCATAAAGTCCAGAGGAATGGTAAGATTGGACATAGCCTTTCCGGATAACCAAAATAAGAAGGCTTGGGCAGAGAAGCCGAGTCCTCCCAAAATCCAGGGGGACGAAAAGGGCGCGGCGGGAAGCTCATCACCCCATGGCCGGCTGTGTGCTCCAGTAGGTTTGGGTAGGATATGAAGGTGCTCAGCACCAACTAGCACACGGGAAAGCTCCTCCAATGCAAGCTCTTTCGGGAGTATTACGGGGAGAGTCTTGGCAACAACTTCATGAATCGGGGTCTCGAGGGCATCGTTCTGTTGGCGCTTGTGGGCGAGGGATATTAAGTAAGATACTCGGTCGAATCGTTGCTCCTGCGTTTTCTCCATCACTGCTTCAATCTCCTTTTTGGTCAACGGACCCTTACTCTTTTTAAGAGCAGCGGTCAAATTGTTAACAAACGCCGCAGCTGATTCGATGGCACTGTTTCCGCCTTGCCCAGTGATGGGTTCAAACTAGTGAGGAGAAGTTACATCAGTCTGTGTCTAAACGGACTGATACCCACAAATGAATTTACCTTGTGAGCAGAGTCTCCAATGGTTATGGCCCGTTTGTAGAACCATTTCTTGAATGCATACTCGTGGAGGGGTGTTAGCACGGAACTGGTTCTGCCGGCATATAGCTCCCCAAAGGTGATTTCGGTCGTGATTGGATCAGAGGCATATTTCGCAGCAAGCGCGAGTTCTTCGTCCTTGGTGTATTTGGGAATTTGGTCCCCGTACATGGTTTCGGGCAACTTGTCCATCAGAAACCAGTACACTCGACCCCCTGGACCTGTGATGACAAGGTAGGATTTGTGCTTGTTGAAGACATAATGAATCCCAGGCAGCGACATTCTCTTGGTAGGCTGTGAAATGCCAAAGATGCATCTGTAATCGCAAGGCACTTCTATTTTTATTTATTTTGCATCAGTATGGTTATTGGCTCAGACGGTACGTTTCATGAGAACTTACTTGACCATTCATCCTCAGGGAAAAAATTAGTCGACTCTTTTTGAGCAATACGGTGCATCTCCTGTCGAACCGTGCTGTAAATGCCATCAGCTCCCACGAGAATATCACCATGGAAGGTTTCTCCGGAGGCCGTTGTGACTTGGACACTGTTCTCAATGGTCTCGATTGACTTGACCTTCTGGCCGCTAAGGACCCTTTTTGTAGATTTCAAGTTCTTGTACAGGCGTTGCAGAAGCATCTGCCTGTCGATGAAGATGATTGGGTAGCCGTGCCTATGTCCTCTGGTTAATTCGAGATGGCCCAAGGTGGATCTCGGACAAACCTCTCCTCGAAAATCTCCACGGAATCTTTCTGGTGGAAAATGACCGATCCATCTGCATTTCGCATAAACATGTTTTCGAGAGGCATGTCGACGAGGTCCAAAAGATCCTTGGCACAGCCCAGCTGGTCCAGGACTCTCAAACCGCTAGGGAAGAGGCCGATGCTAGCACCGATCTGAGGCGCAATCTCGTGATGGCCTTCCAACACAAGATAGTCGATACCTGCTCGCTCCAGCATATTGGCGAGAGTGAGGCCGGTCACACTCCCTCCCACGATGAGGACCCTAAACTTGGATTCACTCATATTTGCTAGAACCGGGCAATGCCAATATTCAAAAGACGGTGATGAACTAAGATGAGGAAAGGGATGCTGAGTTTGATGCCAGAGAGAACGCCCTTCAATCATATCCTTTTTATACTGCCTTTATACTACCATTTCTGCCCTACCATTCCATCTTCTACACAGTTCTCATGTCCACCTCCGCCCACCTCCGTCCTCCGCCCACGTCCGCCCACTGCGTCCACCACGCCCACATCCTCGGCTGCCCACACGATGCTACTGCTCCGCCTCGCCGCAGATTGATGCCGGCTGCCCACAGCACCCAAATGACAACAAAACCCTCAAGCCCGGGATACAGGCTCGCATAAATTGACCACATAGCCTATTCTAGTGCTAGCATCCCGGGTGGCGCGGAGAATTGCCCCTGGCCTTGTCGGACAATTCATCCCGGAAACAGTCAGACTAGCCTAGCGGACATGTAAGTCTTATTGGCGTGATCATGCACGGCGTGATCATGCACAGCATGCGGAAGGGGTGGTAGCGCGCAGGATGAACAATGTTTCTAAGAACATGATCGAAAGTTGCGGAAACGACGTGGGTGAGTCTGTGAAATTGGAATGGATATAATGAATATATCTCTAGCGTTCCGCCGACGAAAGTCCTTGATTGAGGAGCTTCATAAGCGAGTCCAGGCAGCAGGACCACGTCGTACAGGAATGCTGGCTTCAATTACAAATCGCAAGTCACAGGCAGGCTCTATCCCGGAGCAAACCAGATTGCTTGATCTGCGAATGACGCCAATTGAAATTGTCGTCCATCAAGGAGCATAATATCGTATGTTTACATTCCTCTAACATGAAGTGCTCCCACTTTCTGCGTGTCTATACTTCTTTCCAGCTCAGATACAGGATCAGATGGATGTAACAAATATGTGGCACACCAACCAACGAGAGCGGCGGATGAACATGGTCAAACGTAACATAAGACATTCTTGTAAACATATTAATCTTGTTGTTATTAAATCTAAGTGACGTAGCTGACTGTTGCTACAGCACAGCCGATCATATAATAAGTAGCTGCGGACCGCTCATCTCGACCCAAATCATCCAAGACACCAATATAACCATGTGCAACACCCGTCGCACAAATAAACGCCCAAAGCCCCCCAATTTCCGCTTTCTCCTGCCCAAGTGAAACAAAAAAAAAAAAAAAAAAAAAGAAAACGACGAAAACGCTAAACATTAAAGTAATGCAGGTCTGCACACCCATCGAATTGTTCATCCGATGTGCATGCGGTACCAGCAATTGTACGAAAGCAGGGAAGTCCCTTTTTTCTCTAGTTCTTGACAATCTGGATGCTCCCATAGGAACCACTGCGATCGCCGAAGACGTACTCCCTGACGTTCTCCGTCGTGGGCGCGCTGCCGCCGGCGTAGTCGACAATCTTGATCGACTTGTACCAGGCGTCAAAGGGCGCCTTGCTGAAGTCGGTCATGCCGCCGGCCCACTGGACGGTCCCCGGGCTGGCGCTGGGCAGTCCCGCGACCCAGGTGCCGAGCTTGACCTCCATGGGGGTCTGGGGGTAGCGGGAGCCGCCCTTGGCGTCGGCGTAGTTGAGGGTGCGGACGACGACGTTGTCGATGAGCCAGTCGACCTTCTGGGCGGTCCAGTCGATGGAGTAGGTGTGGAAGGTGTCGACGGGGGCGGACACGGGGTGGAACGCGCCGCGGTCGTAGGTGGTCACGTCGCCCTTGCCGAAGTAGTTGGTCTGGACCTGGGTGTTGTCGCCGCCGAGCCACTCCCAGTCGATCTCGTCGAGGTCGGCGGACTGGAGGACGACGGAGGTGACGACGCCGACTCCCGGGCTGGCCTGGAGCTCGACGTCGATGCGGCCGAAGAAGATGTACTTCTTCAGGGCGATGGTGGGGGACTGGCCTTCCCTGTCGATGTTGAAGAGGGCGCCGTTGTTGGCATCATAAGAAAAATTGGTGCCTCCGAGGTTGTTGAAGTCGGCACTGTCGCCGTTCTTGAATTCGTAGTAGAATTGCTGGTTGCCCAGAGCAGGGGCGGCAGGGCAGTCTATGAATTTATGTTAGTGTCTCTTCCTTTATTCAGAGGGGCAGCGATCTCATACCTCTCTCAAGAGGATTGCAGGTTGTTGAGGTCTGAGCTGACACAGAAAGTGCCAGGGCAGCAGCTGCGAAGAATGACTTGGCGATCATTGTAACTGGGGGGGTTGTGATGGTCGGGAGTGGCTATGAGGAGCCAATGTCAAGACTGATGAGGAAGTGTGATGTGATGTGATGAGATAGAGGAGTACCAAGGAATCCCATTGAGGGTTCACCTGTTGTATATAAATACAATGCTGTGATGGAGAAGAGGGGGACGTGAACACATAATACGGGTTCGGCAACTAGAGAACCCCTCTACTGAAACCACATGGGCTCACAGCCTCAGAGCGGGAACGTGGTGAGCATTGGCATCTTGGGCACCTGATTGACTTGAACGGAGAGGCTGGAAGGTTTAGCGAGGGGCTGGCGGGACCAGACTGCTGCAAGCGGTATCAGATGGCTAACGGCATGGACAGGGGTTGGGCCAAGACAACCTCGTATCTGGATTGGCTCGTCAGTTACGGGGTCCAGCAGCTGTTGCTGTCCGAACGGCACTGGACCGGAATCCCTGCAGGTCCGTCTCGTCTGGATCGTGGACACGACCCTTTGCCCCGCCTCCGTATCCCGTAGTCTGGTGGGCAAGCAGAAACATACATTCTAGCGTATTTATGGACCTGTGCTCTCTTAATTTCCATTGGCCGATGGAGCAAAAGCAAAGGAAAAGTGAGACTTGAAAAAGAAAACGAGAGTGAACGAGAGTAAGCAAAGTGTCTAACGTTGTTCACCGACATCAACAGAGGCAAGCCAGACGTTACGTAGCTCGCAGACGCTAAACGCGGGGAGAATGACATTTCTCCCCTCCCTCTTCTGGCTCGCACAATAGGAGAATAAAATGGCCCTGTCTAGATGCGCAGCAGCTCCGGCTCAGCCGCAGAGTAGTTCAAATGGTCTAGCATAGTTGGATGGTCCGCGCACTAGATACTGCGTAGGTTTGGTGCCGCGGGTTCCATTGGCACTACCTAAGGTAAGCAGAAATCTAGCCGCCACTGCCTTGTTGCCGAGGAATAATGCAATAGTGCCCTGAAGGCTGCTGATGTGCAGATGATAGTCCGGCGCTGGGGCCTCTCTCTCACTGGATGCCCATCATTCTCTGGGCATTCCCTGTCGTTTGTGGCGGCTTACCGTATAGCCACGGGTCGACCCCTGGTGCTTCCGCTGTAAGAATAGAGCATACGCTGGCTGAGTGTTTGCTGACAGACTGCGTGTTGAGTCCTAAATTTGGCACTCCTCGTGAAGCAGCATCGTCAACGAGGAGGAGAGCATGGAGAGCAGAGGGACAGAGACGTCATCATCATCATCACGGACCTTCCCGTACGGTGATTCGGCCTGGACGAAGCTCTATGCGGATCGACTGTGATTAGCGGCCCTGAAGCTGCCCGTGCTCCATCAATATGAGGGGCTGGCGAGGAGAAGTCTCCCCTAACACACAAACAACAAACTTTGCCAATCACTCACTAGCTGAGCAGCTTGCAGTAGCTTCAGTTTTGCCCCAGTTCTCGAGGAGTCCGGAGGGTCATGCACGAGCGATTGATCAGCGATGAGGGGGAGTTCGTCGGCCATCGCTATAGCGCATCACTAGCTGGACGATCTACTGTCGCTTCATTCACTATCCAAGTCAATCCATTGCTCATCACACGTCTACATGATTAGAATTTGCCTATTATAGCGTCATGATATGAGCGATGTTGTCACACCACTAGGGAGAGAGTGCATGGTGCTGCTCGAAATGCTACCTCTTTCTCGCTTCACAGCAAAACGCGCGTGAAAAAAAACAAAAAGCGACGGCTGATTGACTCCATGGCCATTACCGAAATAGGCAGGTGGTGGTGGAACTTTGAGTTTCATGTGTCTTTTTCTTGAGGCTGGGCGCAGATGCTAACCTCCTCCTTTATGACCAGCGCCATCTGCGTGCATTTCGGCCACACGCATCCGGACCCGAAGACCATTATCAGCCCATACATCCAGAGAGTTTGGCCATTCTACCTGCCCTTTATTTTTTAGAGTTGCAACCGCCTGCCACCGCAATTGAACCAATATCTGGCCGGTTGTTCCGCGTTTGCTTGCGTGGCCTGTCTAGGGTAGCCACCGCAACGTTGAATCACCAAAGTCCCCAGCAACAACTCGCTCCTTTTGTCTTCCAGTTTCTTCCAGGTTCCAAATTCTCTTTCGGTCTTTCTTTAGCTGTGCCAAGCCAATTGTTCTTCTTTAGTTCATGCCCACCTTCGTCACCCATCAGTTACCCACCGCTGTCACCAGACCAGTCTGTCTTGTCAGCATCCGAGACGATACCCCGCACAATGGTAAAATGTGCGAACGTTGCAGCTAAATCCAAATGTCTTGCCCGTTGGCGGTAAGAAACTACGATGCATGCGGAGAGACATAATCCACGCCGTTACGCGGCCGCCATCATCTCACCGCCGATGTAGATAGCCGCATTCCAGATATGCCTGGATTCTCCTCCAATTCCGCCTTTTCACATTATCCAAGGTCATTGGATCTCTTCTTTTCTCCTTTGTCCATCTTTTCTTAGCGTGAAAAGTTCTGTTAGTGGCAGTTTTCGATAGCCAACTTCTCTTGACCTTGTGGCCCCATTGTGGAGAATATCGGCCCGGTGCCCTTCTCAGGTCTCAGAAGTACAAAGAAACCGGCGTCTTTCTCGTGTCATGTCGACTTTGAAGGCGGAGCGAAATCCGAGACAGAGCCCGCAAAAAGACTCGGCCGATGTGGACCTCGAACTGACATCATTGCTACTGCTTATCCGACAGACGCCTAATTATGCTTTACCGGTTGCACATACCAAACTGGTACCGGTTGCACGTTGTTGCCGAGATTCGCGGTGTGTCTCTAATAATAATAAACCATCTTCTGGCTGATGAATTTGCCAGCCGATTGCGGGAAGGCTTACTTTTGCTTGCAACACAGAGGGCATAGGATATCATCCCAGATTCTTCCAGAAGTTCCAAGACAAAAGATCGTTCATCCTGTATCGTATTGGGAGCTACAGCTTCCCACAATGGTAGTATTAATATCTTAAACTAACACAACTCCTCCCATGCTAGAGCCCTCAAATGCTTTGCAGTCTGAAATGTGGCCCGGTTCCCACCCAGGGCATGCATATGCCACGATGCTATAATGATCCTTGCGCCAAGAAATGCCAAATGGTTTAAAACATTAGTGAAATTGTGTGTACATCTTCGACGTCTCATGCACGTCCATTTCCTAAGAAGGAGTCAAGTCAGAATATGTAAAGTAGACATCGAAGCAGTGGCAACTCACCAATTTAAAAGTGTTGATTTCGTCCTTTATCTGCTGAGCCAGTTTAGGCGTGAGCAGATTGCAGGTTGCAACTTCCCCTCGTCTGTCGTATTCCTCCGGCGTCCACGTATCATAGAAGACGAGACGCGGAGAAAATGAGGTGTGGTGCTTTGGTTTGGCCACAGCTTGCACAGCCTGTACAGCCTCGATGGGCTCATCAATGCCGTTTACCCGATTCAAAGCCTCCATCAAACCCTCAAAATCGGTCGTGAGATCACTCGTGAGGAAGGGATTGAGCATGCGGGAATCCTGGGCCTCGTTTGTTGGGGTGCTGGGCACACTTGGGCTTGGAGATGAAAGGACATCAGAAAACGTTGGTACCTCTTTTCTGGACGTAGGGCGTAAATCCGGACTCGCTGACCCTAATAAACGGTTAGCTGTCTACTTGCATCAATGGAGACGTTAGTGAGTTGAACACACCCTTGAGAATACCCTTGGGGATCGGGCTGGTGCCGCGAATCAACCCCATACTCTGCGCCTTGGGGTCTTCCGGTGGACTTAGAGAGTCACCTCTGTTTCGCTCTGGAATTTTGGGAACTTCGTGATCCAAGCTGGATTTCGGTGAGCCGAGTCCTATAACAGGAAATGCCTCGGAAACCTTAGGGGGTAGTGGCCCTTTAACGAGTGGTGTCTCAGCCTCGACCGTGACCATTGACACGGTAGGCTGGCTGACCTCTGTGACGAGGGGCGAAGGGGACTTGGGGCGGAAGAGCCCGGACAGTGACCGTGAGCCTCTCTTCACGCCGCTGCCTACCTTCTTAAGCATGGCAGATGCTGAAGAGCCTTTTGTGGACGCCGCGATACTTTCTAGCGATCGGCTGAAGATGTTAGAGCCATAGATTCCGTGCTCGCGATTAGGTGTATGTGGCCGTTCGCTTCCATGTTCTTGACCATCATCGACGCCCCCCATCCTCGTATTTTTACCATCATGACTCTCAGTCACGCTCTCGCCAGACTTTGAGACATTATCAAGGCTACCTATCGATAGCACCCGTCGAAGCCTCGAACTTTTGCTCTCCCCCCTTATATGTTTCTTGCTCGAAGGAACCGCCGTCGCGGGAGGGCCGTTGATATGCGTAGTACCTCTTGAACTGGCTGTTGTGTCGACCGATGGCCTCGCTGGTTTGGCTAACGGGGAGGAGGTGTAATTTCTTCTGGCGCCATGCAATTGGCCATCTTTTGTGTCCGTCGGGCCGGAGGAGGCTTGGCTCGTGGCAGACTGTATATCCCGGTTAGCAACAATGAGCTGGGCCACACAAGAAGATGGGTTACTCACGGATGGCCGAGAGTAGCTGCTCCGGGTGGAGATCACACTATCAAAACTATCATGGCGGGAGTGGTTCGGTGAGGAAGACTTTACGAGGTTCTGGAATTCTTTCTCCAGAGCCATGAATTGGGCGTGCGACTGCTGGAGGTTCTGGCGAGGGATCACGCCCGGCACCCACTCACCACTCCGAGTTGTTTGTTGAACTGGCTGTCTCGGGGGTCTCTGCTGTACATACACGCCGTTTGATCGTTGATCTATGGTGGGTGGGGTGGTAGTGTGGAAGCTGGCCGGTCGGGATTGGGGTCCGTTCACGGACATCGCAGGGACTTTCGGTCTTTGAGAGCTGCCGGCCATATATCCCGATGAAGATGGGACAATGGCACTCTGGGACCGGGTGTGACCTGGCCCAGGTCGCGGCCGGTCTCTGACCAAGCGCTGCTGGCTGGTTCGAGGTGATTGGTAGTCGAGTCTAGCTGGAGACGCAGGCCGGAAACCAGGCGCTGGGGAAGGCCCTCGCCAATGCTGGCCGCCCTGATTCACTTCAGGCGGTCTGTGAGACCCGTATTGCTGTGCTGGAGAAGTAACGCCGCGGTAGTTCGCGGTGACGGGGCTGCCTCGGTGAGCAGGCCCTGGCTGAGGTACCGACATCGGAACAGAGTGGTGTCAGGGTCGAGGTTGGAAAATGGCGATCCAGCTTCGAGAGACTTTGCTGCCCTCAAATCAGGCGATGGGTGATGGAGAAACGTCGGGCTGGATGCTGGCGCTGGCTGAGAACTGTGGCTCGCGTGACTCGAAGAAAAGGTAGGCCCGCAGGCCGGTTCACAAGATGCGAACGGGAGAAAATCTACCACGAGAAAATGGATGAAGACATAGCTCTTCGGTCTATGCCTTTAGGCTCTTTGTATGGGTTCACTTGAAGGCCGCCAGCGACCTGAAGAACCATGGGATTGTTACAAAGGAAATGATCTTTGCACGGACGGACGGACAGCTGTCAGTGACACGGGGGTTGTGTGTTGTCAGGTGGGTACGTATGTAGCACAGAGGACACTCAAAGAAACAGGAGGAATAATGAGAGTCCAAACACAAAAAATGAATGAATAAAAGAGCAAAATGGGTTCAAGGTGCTAGGCTGAGGATGTGAAGGAAGGGTGCAAGCAGAATGACGGGGAAAAGAAGAAGAGGTCATCCGACTGTTAGGCGAGACCGAGATGATCTGTGAAATGCGATACGAGCTGCCACAATGTCTTGCAGCTGCAATACGAGGCCTCCTTGGATCTATCTGGCTAGAGAGCCCCCACTCAGCCCAGGTGGTGCATTATTCATGGGCCGCCGTTCATAATTCATGGCCGTACTTATCGGTTCCCGGTGCCCTGCGCCCTTTTCTCCGCAGAGAGCTTGGGAGAGTATCTTTATTTGTATTTATTTATTCTATTTCACTGCTCCCCTCTATTCCATTCATGTCCTAACCTGTTCAGTGTCGCGGAGTAAGCGCGTCATGCTCACTCAGATTCACTAACCCGCCCGGACATAATTAGATGGACCCCCTGGTGCCTGTCTCCTGTCACTCTTTGCTGGCCGTCGTAAAGCCGTCCCACTACCCACATAGCGAAGTCCACCTATTATACGGTCAAAAGCTCGTCCCGTGTGGCATGAAAACTGTCTCTCGGACCCATTTGGTAGCCCACTCGAGCATAAATCTGGTCCATGCTCGGCCGCATTACTTAGTACGGCAAACGGTTAATATGTGGATATTTGATATATTCCGCGTTCCCTAATAATTGGGGGAAAGTGGTCATTCTGGGTGATATCTACCCCTTTCTATCCATGTTCTAATCTATAAGGAGGAAAACAAACGAGATTATTGATCTGCACAACAGATTCTCAAGAATCATCGCTCTATCCCTGACGTACATTTTCTATCTTCAGGCATGGTTCTTTTCCGAGTTCGCCTCGTCGGTGTTTGTCTTTGGCTGTTCCCCTGTCTGCTCTAGATGAGGTGTCGGAGCTTGTCGATCAGTCTCGGGCTTTTTGACACTGACCCATTCCATAGTCAAGCCGCCGAAGATGGTGAGACACGAAAGTATAACACAAATAAGGAAGCAGCGCTGAATGGCGTCATTATACGCAGCAAGAATAGCCAGTGCCGATGCATCACCGTACTGCGTTGTGACGGCTGCTTTCAATCCAGATGCTCCATGCTCCAACACTGTCGCTGGGTCAACATTCGGCACCTTTTGAGAGAGCTGCTCAACAAGCCGGCTCTGGAAAACATTTTGTCCCACGGCGAGGAAGACTGCCCCTCCAAGCGTCTGGGCGAGAAGGACGGTAGAAGTACCAAGAGGGACATCGCGACCCTTGAGCACGGTTTGGCAAGCTGTAACTGGCTGCTGCTGGCCCATTCCTGAGCCGAATCCGAACATGACCAATGTACCTGCCCTAAGTAGGCAATGTAAGAAAGGAATACGGGCCAGGGGTGCTCATCCGCTTACCAATATGCTGTTGTGGTGTCTAAATTATAACGGTAAATCAGCCCGAGGGAAATGGATACGATGACTGTAGAGCACAGCATCTGGGGGACATAAAACCCTATCCGTGATGTCTAAGAACAACATTGCAGGTTAGCATATGGTAGGGAATGCTCGTGGTGGTCTTTCTTACCAGCTGGCCTGTCAATATGACCGACGCTACCATGGCAATGGAAGCGGCAAGGAAATTGATCCCAGACTGCTCGGCATTGGTGTCTTTGACGACTTGAAACCATATAGGTATGTAATAGATGATCAGGGATCGCAAAGCACCATGACTAAACGAGAACCACGTGCCACTCGCAACGGATCTTTGCTTCATGATGCGCACCGGCAACGTCGCCTGATCTCCACGAGAGTATTGAACATAGCACCAAAGTATGAAGGTAACGCCAAACATGCTCAGGCAGAGGATGACTCGCCAGTTACTCCAAGGTAGGGTGGTCCCACCCCATTGGAGGGCAAGGTTGAGGCAGACCATACATGGCATAAGCAAGACTGTGCCCATGACGTCCAGCTTGGAGAAGAAAGATCTCAGGCGGCTGAATCGGCCATCCGTTTGTTCTTCTTCTTCTGCAGTTGGTCGGTTAGGCATTTTAACGAGGAATAGAACCACCGCAGCTGTCACAGCCCCAAGAGGTAGGTTGATCCAGAAGCACCAGCGCCACGTTGCACGATCCGTGAAGACACCTCCCAAAGTGGGAGCTAGAATCTGGGCCACGCCACTCGCAGCGCTGAATATTCCTGCATATTTAGGCCGTTTGTGCAGAGGCAAGCTGACCGTTATAATGACGACTCCCCCGCAAAGAACACCCGCGCACCCGATACCTGCAACCGCTCTTCCAATGATAAGTGTAACGGAGTTTGGCGCCGCGGCACAGAATATAGAGCCGACTTCGAATAAGCCCAGGGCACTGAGAAAGATAGCTTTGAGAGGAAACGTGGCGTAAAGCTTGCCAAACATGAGCTGGAAGCAGCATGTTGAGATCAAATACGCTGAACCGTACCAGGCAATGTCGTTGAGGGAGTTGAACTCGGTCGTAATTTTGGGTATTGCGGTTGCGAGAATCGAACGGTCCTAAATTGCTTCTTGTTAGTTCGGAACTCAGCAGCAAACAAGGGGAAGTTGTTATGACGAACAAGCCCGAGACAAAAGACGGAAAGCATCAACCCGACCATCACCGATGCCAGTCGCAAGCCGGACAGATATTGCGGTTCCCGGGTTTCCTGAGTTCCCATTTCCTCGACACTTTTAGGCTTTTCAGTTGCATTTTCTATAAGCTCCCTCGACTTCGTGCCGCCTTCAGGCGAGTTTTCTGACTGCTGCATTTTGATGGGAGTTTGGTTGATGGCAATAGCCAGATGGGAGGAGGCGTTGGTTATTCCTATTATCTTCCATGATGGCGGATTTCTGTAAGATATTTTACTTCTATATAACTGAGCAGTCTGGGAGCCAGGACACCAAATTGACCTGCTCTCCGATGCTCAGGTTGGAGGATCGTCATGGTACACCCACAGAGCTTATGTGACCAGGGCAATTGATTGGCCAAGTCGCTTTAGTCAGACGAGTGAGAAATCCTTCTCCACCGACGGAGAGCAACTTGCTCTCCGTTCCGGCTCAGGGGGCATGTCCACTCCGTCACGCTGCATATCAGGAGTCTTAATTCTTCAACTTTAGCCTCACCACGCCCAGTAAAAAATTCTGATTGCTTTTAGACTGTTCCCGCCATGTCGGAAAAGCACCGGGCTTGTATAAACTGTGCACGAGCTAAGGCTAAGTGTGTCAGGCCGAGCGGCATCGACGATAACGAAGATGAAGTGCCATGTCGGAGGTCTGCTTATTCACATGAAACCAAGCCCATTTATCCTAAAGCCAAATAAGTGCAGTATTTAACATGTAGTAACTTCACAGGTGTTCTAAGAACGATGTGACTTGCTCCAGAGTCGTGCCGGCGGGACCGAAAAATAGGAGAGGCAAATCCACGTTTGTATATATCCACTCATGTAAGAAGCTGAAAGAGTCTCTGACAAAAGGCAAAGACGAGGCAAAGTAATCGAAAAAAAACTGGACGATATCATGTCCCTCCTCAACAAAGAACGGCAGCAATCCCCCACACCATCAAAACCGCAAACGCCGCATATTCGAGTGCCTGAGCCATCGCCATTCCAAGCATCGATACCCTCGTCTGCGTCAAATCAGCTTGACGCAGAAGGACCTTATTTCGTTCTTGGCCAAGACCTCACCTTCGAAGAAGCAGATCAGTCACTCCAATATTATCAAACCGAGATGCTCCCACAATTCCCCTTTGTTCCTCTACCGGTCTGCCGAACTTCCGAACTGTATCATGCGAGCCCTCTTCTCCTGAAAACTATTCTCAGAGCATGCCGACCTCTTGGCCCCGAGAGAGATGCAATATTCGAGCGCTGGTTTCGTCAACATGTCGTTTACCGAATTGCAGTACTCATGGAAAAGAGCACAGAGCTCCTACAAGCGATTCTTGTTTTCGCCGCTTGGTAAGATGACCCCTCATTTAATTCAACTCAAAACCGTCCAGCTGATACTTTCTTCTGGTAAGGAACCCCGTGGGCTTTTATGTTGGCGGCGGCGAAACAAGCCTTTTGCAGTTGGCTATCGGAATTGTCGGAGAGCTGGGTCTGACAAAAAGACCTGATGCCTATGGCCACAAGTCTGTTTCTATTGTCGACGATGCCATGTGGCTACGGAATGAAAAGCGGCCTCGGCCACCGCAGCATCGGAATATTGACCGCCGAGCGACACTCGGGGTGTTTTATCTCACATCGATGTAGGTTTTGATTCATGAGTTTATGTCAAAGCACCAGTAGCTCATCTCTCTCTAGGCTGTCTAGTCTTCTGGGGAAAGTTTGCCGGCTCGAGTATGTCAGCTATTTCGATGATTGTTGTCGAGTTCTTCTTGAAGCGAAAGAGTTCGACACCGACCGGCTGCTCGTACATCTCATTCGATTACGGAAGATATCGCTTAAAGTCAGTGATGTGTTCTGGGGCCGGAATGATAGCATCCACAACACACAGTCTTGGAGCATGCATTCCATGGCGACTGCTACGGTTCAGAAAGAGCTTGAATCATTCATGGAAACTCTCCCGAGGCCGCTCCAGTCGAGTCGTATGGCTCCCCTAATAAAAATTCAATATAAGGCCTTTGTTAACGGTAATGGAATTATAGATATCCTTCGCGTCGATTGTGCTGCGATCCGAATTCGCCTTCTGGAACCTGCCATACACAGTCCGGGCAACACTCGAGATCCCACCCTGCTACGATCCAGACTGATGTGGGATTGTCTCTCTGCTACACAGGAAGTATTCGACTCGTTTGTAGAAACCCCCGTCGAGGAATACTCGGCATTCACTTTCGTAAGCATGCTCAATCTTGCCTTGGCCATTGTAAAATGCATCAAGCTCCTTTCCGCCGTGGATGATCCCGACTGGGATGTTGAGACGGCACGGCGAAGCTGCGATCTCTACAAAATCTTCCTCCAGCTCAGTGACCGTTGGGAAGCTTCACGGCTTACAGGAAAGCCAAGGTGCTCACTAGTAAAAGATGGAAAACCTCTGGCGACAAAATACTCGGATCGGTTCAAGTGGCTTGCGGGATGGTATCTTTCAAAGGCTACAGCCAACCCAAGCAGCGACCCATCCGCCAGTATCCCCTCGGGTCCTTTTCTCGGGGACGGAGGGCTGATGAATCACAACGGTGATCCGGGAAGTGATTTCTGGGAAGAGCTTGGTAATTGGACCTACGGGATTGATATAGCAGTTAATGACCTCATCCGGTACTGATATTTGGAGGCAACAGTAACCAAGAATGGGATGTGTTTTGAAACGAAGGAAGCTACTCTATCAGGAAACTAGTCTGAGGACATTCACTCAGACAGCTCTCTAACACTATCAGGTTGCCACTTGTTGTCACTCAAATGGTCAGTCATACCTCTGATCCCACCGATGCGCTGAGTACCTTCGTTTATGATAGGTCTTGCGCACTTTTAGAACGTATCCAAATTCTGATAGCTTCCTTGATCAAGGCCAATATTTCTCTTTGACGAGCGCCAAAGTAGCATCCGAGAACTCCGTTATGCCTCTATCTTCGCACCTCGTCCTTGTACGTGTCGAGATTGCCCTCTCGCCCGTCTTCTTATTCACTGCTTCCAACTCCACCAGTGTTTTCTTTACTATAGATCCCTCCAGCGCCCACCTGGGCACAGCCTCCCTATAAATAACACCCTTCTCCCGCCGGACCATTTCAACCATCTCCTCTTGGTTCTTGCCATGCAGCTCCCTTGTCGAGAAGTAGCTACGCGCAAAGGCTGACACACTGTTCCGGACAGCGTCGCCGCGACACCGCCACAGCACATTATTCAGACACTCTTCGACTGTGGGAACATTGAATATGCGCCCATCGAAATGAGGAAGAGGAAGAGATCCGATGTCCTTCTTTATTGGCGGGTCAGGCGACTCCGCCAGTGCAGTTATGAGGTGCGAGTAGAAGTGAACGGAGCAAAACCCAGCAGCCAGCGTGACAATCTTCATGGCACGGTCGTTGAATGATTCAACACCATTAGGGAAGACGAGAGTGATTTCGTCTGATTGCGTGTAGGCAAGTGTGGCAGCTGGGTAGGAGTCGAGCAGGTCTGCACAAGTCCTCACCATTGCTTCGTGCAGCCTTTCATCAAATGGTTTCGAGAAGGGCGCCGTGAATTTCGAGAAGGCGTGTCCATCGAGTCTGAGAATGACGGGTTGCGATGGCTCGAGATTGATTTCTGTAGCGGCTTCGTATTGTTTCATCCGGGCAGCGAGAGCCATGCGCGGCTCCTCGCTGCCAGCCACGACGGGTTGCTCAAGTCTTTCTGTAGCCATAACGATAGTGATTCATAGATTTAGAGGGTATTGGAACCGATGAGGCAGCGCTGCTCATGGACTGAAGAAATCATATTTGTATATTATTTGCGCGAGAGTGGCGGAGTATTTGGATGAGTCATAAATTTGGACCTAAGGGGCTGAGGGGAACAAGAAGCTCGAGCTGTTTGATGTAGGTAATGGACATGAAAGGGAAGGCTATATTATAAAGATGAAAATAGAACTCCTATCGAGCCGTTTCTCATGGACTATCGACTTGTATGTTTAACTCCCCTTTCGGCATCAGCGAGCTCCTTAGCTATGGTCCGTTTTTCTAGATCCTGAAGCAGCATCTCCTACGTCAGTCTTAAAGCGTTCCCTCTCTTCTCCTTTGGAATTCTCTTCGCTTTCCCGCAATGGGCTGGGGCCAGGGGCGAGGGAGTTGAGGCAGCGCCGTAACCAACTTCCCCACGATCTGATATCGATTTCTCAGAATCTGTCTAGTACGGTAGGGCAGTAACGCAAGGTAATGTAGTCTGGCAGGGTCTCTTCTTCGATCAAGTAGTCTAAAGAGATTCGAGGGAAAGTATAGTGAGGGAAATTCAGCAGCGTCTATCGACTAGAGCATCTTGCCCTTGCCATAGATTTTAAAGGGAGAAGAAGTGCCTAGGGATGGAAGAACGAAAGTGGCTGGTTAATTGTATTAGTCATGTAGAGGAGCCACCAACAACACTGCGAGGGGATGATTAACATATCTATGAGATTTATCAACAAGGTAAAGGGTAATAGTGCTTTTGGGACTGGGATTGGGACAGAAGATCTCCGCGGAAATGCATGGCAAGGCAGAGCCGGGTGCCGAGACTACTCCTCACTAGAGGCTGCGAGATCGCAATACAAGTAATGTCTCTGATCTCTTCTAGAATGAGTCATTGAAGAACACTTTGACGTAGGGAAGGCTACACCTGCCCTGGGAACTCCCAAGGTTTCCCTCTGCCTGATATCACATAAACCAGTTCTCAAATGTAACAGGGCAAAACTAGCGGATTGTGCCACTCTATTTTGAAACCTATCAATAATCGCTTAACTAAGGTATCAAAGATAAGATGCCCAAGGATTTTTCACTTGGCCTAGGGTAGCGATATATTGAGAGGCACGTGCGAGACTGAGATGCTGGAACGAATCTTCATAACAAGAGCGCACCAACAAATTCAAAAAGGCCGGCCTCAGACATTTTAGGTAGCCGGATCAACGTATCAAGAGAGGAATAACTTTTCTTTTTCTTCTAGTTTTTCGCTCGTCGCTGGAATATGGCATGAGATCGGCACACATTGTCCCTTTCCGGGCTCAGTTCTCCCGCTAGATTAGCAAAGTTCAACACAAACGAGAAGCCACAACTTGTTGGTTTTGAAATTGAATTTAAGCCACTCCGTCATAATAGTGCAGCCACCCGACGGGTTCAATTTAATCGAGGGATCAGTGGAGGGCGCAAGGTGAAGAAACTGATTCCACACAGATGACCACTGTCTGAAACCAATCCTCAGACTCTGGGTTGGCGTCGATGCTGGGCCTCTTATCTTGAATCATTCGGAAATGATTAACCGCAAGTACGTAGGCTCGTAAGGAAAATGGTCGCGATTCTGGGGTGAGCACCCTGCAATACAAGTAGGATTTAGCAGCAACAACAAGCTAGGGTCATGGCCTGAATTGACGTCACTGAGGAAGCAACGATCGCAATCCAAGTAAGCCAAGCCTCATACGAGGGCTGGAAAGCTTTCATAATGCATAATTAATAATCCATTGTGACAAGGATCATGTTGGTGCGCCTGGGTTTCAGCTTGACCGATTTACCCTGGACTGCTCACCTGCGCGCCCTAGAAGTACAGAAATAATGAAGCGCCATTGTTGACTCCTGCCCGTGCCGTGTCCCGGTAAGGCGCTTCTCGGTCAGGATAATGATTGGCAGCTCTGTTTCCAGTTGTCGAGGGAGGGTGTCATAGTTGGCGAGCTAACATATCAAGTGCGCATCTCGCCGACTTCGGACACTCCTAGAGTTTAGGCAGAGTAAGCAAATCCAAGCTAGCAGTTCACACACTCAATTCATATCCTGGGAAATTCTGCACGCACATTGAAGGCAAGAAAGACGAGAATATATGCGTTGAAAGCCATGACTGAAGCCGATGCATGCCGCTGTTGCCCGCAGCCGCCGTCAACCGATCGATCGCGCGACTATTATGTTAAATTTATGTTAGAGAAACTGGAAAAGAAAAAATTTAACCCAGCAAGCTCTCTTCCAAATTTGTCTCCGTTAATAATTCAGTGGGACGGTGGAGAGAGGGATCGAAGGGTGGATCGATCACTGCCAGGGGAACTCGCTTGCGGCTGTCCAAACAAACAACTTACTGTCTTGTACAATGACTCCGAAATACGGTTATTTTGTCTGTATGGATGCGGCTACTCGTGAGTGAGTCACACTGTTTGCGTTTTGCTGGATTTCTAATAGTGAAATGCGCGTGTGACGGGGCTGAAAGGCTAACTGGCGTGGATGGCTGGTCTTGACTGTGTCCCTCAATGGATTGATTGACCTGCAAGGCGCGATGGACGATGTCAAAGTGGATATTCTTGATGGATATTTTAGATCTCGTGTCAATTTTTTTTCTCCTGTCTCCTTCCGGCTTCCGTATGCAGCAGTCAGTCCACCGTAGAAAACTCGGCAATGCATGGAATTAATTGCATGCCTGCTCTCGCCAGGGCAGACATGGGCGAGAAAAGAGATCCGTATTTGATGATGAAAACGAGAAACGAGCCTTAGCGGGAGAGCAGGGAGCTAGACGCCACGAATTGCCTGGAAGACGTGCTGCTGTGCTGCATGTATTAATAACACGACGAGTATTTCTCATCACCCAATCAATGTAGACGCGCCCTTCGACTCGACTTGAAGCCACATGAGGGCAAGCACCCCTTGCAAGGCGTGCTCGACCGCTGGAATCGGCGTGAGTTTTAGTCATTGACAAGCTGGCCGCATGTAGATCACGCCCTGCAGGGTCACCCTCCCTGCCACGGGCCGGTGTGAGTGGAGATGTGATGACTGGACTCGATCAAGGAGCATTGGTCATCTGGCTCGCCAGGGTGGAGAAGAAAAGCTCCTGTTTACTGCCGAGACACTGCGAGTGTGTGCTGCGGTGGAACCTTGGATCCCCACGGGTTGCTCTTGGTCGACATCATATAAGACATGGGGGTCTCTGGGGAAGAAGGGCATTCGATCCTTTTATCAGGTGTCACTGCAGCTATCCAGCCGTTTTCTCTAGAGCTTCTCGAGGAACAAACATCCGGATTTGATCGACACAATACACACGCATTCGCCGAAGCTCTGTCCAGGGCGACCATAGCTTCTTCTCTTCACCATGTCGGCCACCGTCAAGACCAGCTCGCCTCGACTGCTCACTGTGAGCGTTGACATTGACAATCACTACAAGTCAAAGATCTACACAACCGCCTCCAAGGTCTCCGGAAATGTTATTATCCGCGCCCAGCAGGACGTCGCCTTTACCGATGTCGACATCCAGTTCCTTGGCATTGCTTCGTCTCGTCTCGACTTTGTCAGCCACTACCTCTCACACTCGATCCGCACATTCTTGAACCTTCCCATGCCGGTTCCTGAGGATGATCTCCCGAGCCCCCGCATCTTCCAAGCCAACCGAACCTACGTGATCCCCTTTGAGTTCGTGGTCCCCTCCCAGCTCACACTTCACGCATGCACCCACCATACCGACAGCCCAGATGTCAAGGACCGCCACCTACAGCTCCCGCCCTCCGTCAACACCTGGGAGGCAGATGACCTGAGCCCGGATCCCACCCATATCGAGTATCTCGTCAGGGCCAGAGTCTCACAGAAGGGCGAGAAGGAACCCTATGAAGCTTGCCAGGCCATCAATATCCTCCCGGCCTTCCCCGAGGAGCCTCCCATCCACATCACATCAGGCGATATCCACTACTGCCCGTCCAAGGAGAAGCCCGTCCGTAAGAACTTCTTCACAAGCAACCTGGGTACTCTCCGCGTGTCTGCACGCCAGCCCCGCGCCATCATGCTTGCCGCTGACGGGCGTACGTCGTCTGCTTCTTCCGCACACGTGGAGCTTGAGTTCTACCCATCCAAGAACTCCCAGACGAAGCCACCCGAGATCCATTCCGTGAGTGGGAAGCTCGTAGCTGAGAGCTGGTGGGGTGGTTCTATCCAGGCTGGGCTCCCAAACATGGGCAAGCGATGCGTTACCCATTTCCCCATCTACAGCAAGGCGGTCCCTCTCTTCAGCCGCCGCACTGGCAAGCTATCTTGGTCGGGGTATGAGTCGGGGCCGCAGAGGAGGACATCGGAGAGCAGCAACTCTTCAGTCGATTCCTTCAGCATGGGGCTCGGGTCTGATTCCCTCAGCCCCAGCGAAGAATCGAGTCCGTGCAGCAGCAGGAGGAACAGCTGCTTTGTCGCGGAACAGCCCGCGTACCGTGCCAAGATCAACGCGCCGTTCTCGCTCCCCATGTCGAACAAGAAGGTCTTCCTGCCTTCTTTTTATACCTGCAACCTGTCCCGGACATACAGTCTTGAATTGACCATCATTACCGGGTCCGCGAAGCGATCGTCCACGACATTATGCCTTCCTCTGCAGATTGGAGTCGAGCCATCTGCCGCCGCCTTGAGCGCCCTTCAGACTGACGAGCTTCCCAGCTTCGAGACTGCGCTGCTGGTGGGTGATTCATTGGGTGATTCATTGGCCGCCTCGGCAGTGGAGGAGTCTCAGCGCAGGGCATCCTTGCCCAGCTATGGTGACCGAGTCCATCGGTTCCAGTGATATTTATCAATTCTCTTTTTCTTCTTTGGTCGCGAGACGATGAAGCGGCATTTGAATATTATCTAGCAGGATATGCGACGGAGGGATGGCGGCATGGATTGAAATTCGCATTGAACAAGATACCCAAAAGTAGAGTATATGGTCAACGGTGACCTCGTGGATCGCTTTAAGGCAACATAAAGATGTACATAAATACATAATAATAATTTATCGATAATGAAATTAAGAGTAATCATAGATATCGGAACAAGCAGACGACACAGTGACCCTGATGCTACCAGTCTCCTCACTTAACAAACATCGTGAATATTCGGAATCCAGACGTCTTCGCTTGTCACGATCGCTTGCGGAAATGAAGATGGTCTCGACATGAACGCATAGGGCGTGTCTTACTCGCATTGACAGCATATGCGGACATTCAAGGGAGAAGGCGCTGCTTTCTATACAACGAATGCGGAAGCACCTCCTTCACGAAGACCGTATATGGAAACCTGTCGGGGAGACAGTGGCCATAAAAGCCTCCCTGAACATGGACAGCTGAGTGACAATAAGCACGACGATGATGGCCTGGGTATGTATCGCTTGCTCGGATTCAGGGGCACATGATATTCAGGCACCCGGACTTGGCGAATCGCACTGGTTTTGGCAGGATTTTCTGCGACCGGAATTTCGGTCCACTCCTCTTCATCCATTTCTTTTTCACGCTCAATGATAGGAACTAAATTTTCCTCCCTTCCCTGAAACAGGTTAGGCCCAGCTGGCATGATGACAGTCTATGAGCTTGAGTTTGGGCGCATTCCAGCAGACGCGCAGAGAGCCAAGGAAGAACACACGACATTCCGTAGCATCTTTCATTTTTAAGACAAGTGAGCGCCACTTCTTGGACTCACGAGGGAACTGGGAAATGACAGAGCTACATGAGACATGAGCTTTTGGTCGGAATCATCCGACTCACTGCCCATTATGGAAATGCGCAATAGTTCGTCGCCGGTGCTGTCCCAATTGCTCCAGTCGAGCGAGTACAGCGACTTCACGCTGGTTTGCCAGGGACAAGAATTTCATTTGCACAAAAATGTCGTCTGTGTCCAGTCGCCGATGATTAATGCAGCGCTGCGGGGGGACTTCAAGGTGAGAATCCCCCAAGCTCGCCAGCAAGCTATTCTCCTCGGGGAGAGGGTTCATCTAATTAATCTGCCGCGTAGGAATCCAAGACAAATACAGTGAATGCCGACCAGTTTGACCCTTTGATCATGCAGTGTGTCGTGGACTTTTGGTACAAAGAAAACTACAGACCTCACAGACCTACAACGGTAAAGAAGGAGCTTCGACGTGCAGAGAGCCATGCGGACTCAGCAAAGAGCGAAGTAAAAAGGTCGAAGAAGAAATCGTCTGTACCGAAGATCGAGATAGAGTCATATCTTCACCATGTCCGTGTCAACGCAGCTGCTGATTACTACCAAGTCACCAAGCTCAAGGAGCTCTCCAGAGCTAAACTGCAACACCTGCTCCGGAGCCACTGGCACCTCGATATGTTCCCTACTCTGGTCCAAACCATCCACGGAATGACGGGCGACGAGGAAGTATACAACCTGCTCGCCCTGTTCGCCGTCAGACACTTGAATGAGCTCACAGAGTTGCCGGAAGTCGCCGAGCTGGACTGGGGCAGCGAATTCACTCTGCGGGTTTTGCGCTGCTGCGGGAGGAACATGAGCCTGCTGAGCTCTGGCCTTCGGAAGAGCCATGACGACTGTGCCAGACAGGCGCAGGTTCTGGACAACATTGATAGGTGTAAGCAGACCATGGAGAAACTGACGAATTGCCCAAACTGCGACAGGGAATTTCTGAGTATGTTGGAGAAGACGAATTGCGGCCACGCTTATCACATTCGATGTCGCGGCTGTCGAGATCTTCTTCCGAATTAGCATTGCCGACTACTGTGTGAGCTGAAGAAAGCAACCATTATAATATATTAAAACCCCGAATAATTAATCATTTTACATTAAAACATTTACATAAGCCATTTCATTTAAGAGAAAATACTTGCTTTGAGCTTCTCCTTTTCTCCCACATTCGTATTCTCGCACATCCCACGGAAGATACCCTCCTTTTCCCACAACTCACGCGGAGTGCCAAACTCAGCCATACGTCCCTTGTCAAGGACTAGAATCTTATCAAAGTCCGCGACCGTGCCCAGACGGTGAGCGATGACGAGAAGCGTGCTATCGCCGAAACCCTGACGGATGCTCTGTTGGATGAGAGTGTCGGTAGCGGCATCCACAGCCGAAGTAGCCTCGTCAAGCACGATGATTTTAGGGCGGTTGACGATGGCCCGGGCGATACAGAGGAGTTGTCTCTGGCCCTGAGAGAGGTTGCCGCCAGATTCGGAGATGGGGCTCGACAGGTCGTGGAAGATGTTTACATTTTTGGAGGCGGGTGCAGTTGTGGCTCCGTATTCAATCAGGTCGCCATCCACGAGTTGTACTTTGATGAGAGCATCAAATAGCGCCTCATCAGTGTGGTGGCCAAATGGATCCAGATTAGACCGAACGGTTCCTGAGAATAGCACGGGGTCCTACGTCACAAGAGTTAGCATTGGATCTAACAATGAGTGGAAATACAAATACTCACCTGAGGGATGATGGATAGTCGAGACCTCAACGTTTGAACTGCAATCTTAGAGATATCCAAGCCGTCCACGGTAATGCTTCCCGCTCGTGTATCCAAGAACCGGAATAGGGCCAAGGTCAGGGATGATTTGCCAGCTCCCGTTCTCCCAACGACACCTACACGCTCATTGTGGGCAACAGAGAACGTCAAGTTGCTCAACACACTGGGTAGGTCAGCCGCATAGGCCACTTCTAAGCCGGAAAATTCCATGTTACCGGACCGTGGCCACGCGGCTGGAGGTTCGTCGCCGCTGAGGTCTTCTGTGTCCAGTTCCATGTACTCCGTGGCTCGCTCCATGGCGTTCATGTCTAGTTCCATATCGCCATAGTATCGAATCGCGTATCGGATGCTTTCGGAAAAGTCCAGAATGAAAGACAGCGCGAAGCCTGCCAGTGCCGCGTCAATGGAGGGGTTGAAGACAATCACCAACCCGACGGCGATACAGAACACGGCGGCAATAAGGGCCATGCGGAAACTCATCCATCTATTGGCAAGGGCGAGATAGAACGAGGTCATGACCCATTTGTCGAGGTTGTTCTGCATCTGGGTCAGATAGCTCTGGCTGCGTTGGAAAGCCCGGATGGTTGAGATTCCCGTGAGGGTGGTGTTGAAGAGTTCGAATACGGGTGATTTGGCGTTACTCTCAAGCCGTTTCAGAGGTCGACTGGCGGCCAAGTATCTTGCTCCTGTTAGGGCACCGATGCCTACCAGAACCAAAGCTGGAAGGATGAGACTTCTCGAGGAAAAGAGAGTTGCCACGCAGACACCGACCAGCCGGAGGGCGCTCATATAAAACAAGCCCCAGCTCATCATGATGCGCTCATCGATAGTGTGCATATCAGCCGTGAAACGGTTGATCACCCTTCCTATTGGAACAGTGTCCAGCCACCGTAGAGGAGCACGCAAGACCCTGAAAAGCATTCTGTCGAAAATGGCTTTGCTGCCCTTGATCGCGATGGCATACCCTAAGAAAAACCGAAGCAGAGCGAGAGCTGAAGCGGCAACTGATATCGATACATAGATTGAGAGATAAAAGGATACATCATCATCAACAAGAAGCTGCCGCGGTGTTTGAGGGCGCGTTTGCTGCTGCATGAGATGGAGGGCGCCGAGAATGTTGCCATTTTGATGGATCGTCTGGTTTGACGTAGCAGCCGTCCAAATACGAAGCCACCATCCACGAGCTATGTTTATATTAGCATGAATCAATCGATGTCGTTGATAGAGGGATGTAATGGACTCACCGACAATACTAATCTCGTGTGAAAAAAACACGCCGGCCCATGCAAACCACATGATCATCCCACCACTGCTCTTGAGGTATGACAGGTAAATACGCGATTTCACTGTTCCCTTCTCGCGACCTTCCTCTTGAAAGAATTTCTTTGAGCCTTTTGGAGGGATTGAAGGAGCTGGTGTCGCCGGTTCATCCTCCAAGTTACCAAGAACAGAACCTTCTCCTATGATAGTAGCACTAGGGCTATAGCCATCCTCACTGTCCGATGACGAGGAACTAGAGATAAGTGGCTCATCAGGGGGACCTGCATACTTTACTCGGCCGTCTGAAAGTTCAACAATGTAACTCGCTTCAGAGAGAACCAGTCCAGAGGCATGAGTGACGAGTATGCGAGTTCTACCTTGGCAGAGGGGCCCGGTCAGGCATTTATCAAGGATCCAACGACCAACATGGGTATCGACGGCAGAAAAGACATCATCCATGATGAGGGTGTCTGCCCTTGAGTAGATAGCACGAGCGAGTGTTACGCGCCACTTTTGCCCGCCGCTGAGGTTCACTCCATTGGCACCAAGCTCCGTGTTATCGCCATCAGGCAGAATGGCTAGGTCATCGCGCAAAGCACACGCCGTAAGCACAGCGTCATATCTGCTCTTGAGAAATGGAAGACCGAAGAGGACATTGTCGCGGAGAGAACCATTTTCAAGCCATGGGTTCTGGCCAATATACGCTACAGACCCTGGAATATCCCAGCTGTCATACGGGTGATACTCAGCATCCTCACATGCTCCGCCTGGTCTATTCGGCGCGTGAATGAACCCTTCAATTAGGTCTGCCTCTCCGATCAAGGCAGAGATGAGCAGACTTTTTCCAGAGCCTGTCTTGCCGGAAATGATGGAGAGTTCGCCGGTAGGGAACAACAGGTTGAGTCCGGAAAGAGTGAATCGATCCTCTGAAGCTGTGCGTTGTTCAGTTGGCCATGAAATCATAGCGCGTTCAAAGCCTACAGAGTGGTTATTGGTCAAGATATTCCGTCTTTCAGGTCCATTCAGATACGCCCCAAGCCGTTTTGCAGAGACAAAGGACTCGATACCCAAAGTGATGAGCTCGGGAAGGGCGACAAGAGTCGTCTCGAGGCTGTTGAAAACTCCAATGCTGACGAAAGCCACGGAAGGGGTCAATCGGCCGTTGATGAAGACATAAACAGTGAGGCAGGTTGCTGCTAGCAAGATGGGACTGATAGCCCAGCAACCGAACACGCCGCTGTCGGCGAGGAAATACCTCCACAGCGCCTGCAGTTCCGCTCGCCTGGCAGCAGATATCCTCTGCTCCCACTCGGCTTCCAGCGCCGAGAACTTGATCTGGCGGATTCCCAAGAGCGCCTCGTTGACTTTGGAAAGCTTTCTGTCGCGAAGCTTCATGAGCGAATCAGACTCCTTGAGGACCTTCTTGGAGAACCAGGCATTGGGGGGCAACGTCAGCAGCCAGGCCAGCATCCCAGCTACGAACGGTAGCCAGCCGATGAGACGGAGGAGAAATACGGAGAACAATGCTAGCTTGACCACACCGTTGATGACGAGGAAATGAAACTGCAGGAACTGTGATATGCGATCTAAGTCGACGCCCACAAGATTCACAATCGCCTGACGAGATTTGAGAACAGTTTCTTTGTCCATCGCGTCAGTTTCCTCGGCTTGAGGCTTGTCCTCATGTTCACTCCAGCCATCTGCCTCTTTTGTAACTGATTTGACATCTTTACGGCGCAATGACTTGTCAAAGACCAGACTAGCCATCTGGGATCTGACGGGCAAGGAGAGGTCGGCAACTGAGTACCAGTATGCCCAGCCGTCCATCCACTGGCAAAGAAAGTAAGCGAACTGAATACATGTATTACTTTCCTTATGCATGGAACAGATATACGTACCGCGTCGAGAAGATTGGTGAAAGTCATGATGGCCACCAGAAGCAGCAACTTGATAACATACGAGCTTCTGCTCTCGTCGCTCTCCAACAGTGTGATGATGCTAAGCATAGACCAGTACGGAAGAATGCTCACCGCGCCCTTGAGACTTGACACTGTCCATAACAGGGCGAATTTTCCCTTGTGTGCCCATAGAATTGAGTCAAAGAGAGAGGTGGACTGGAATCCAAAGCGAATCCAACCATTCTGGAGCTCTGAAGCTCTCAGGCTGTTATCAGGTCCTGGTACGTCTGCATAGTCAAGATCACCCTTGACAATGGCAAGGCGCAAGAGCGGCTCGACCCAGGACCAGCTATATTTGCTGATAGAGGACACAGTAGACTGTCTGTCGACTTTACAGCCGTTGTGCAGCACGTCGGGCCTCCTTGGCAGCATGACACTGAGAAAACACACGATGCACGAGGCGACAATGTTCACCGCGTCTAGCATTGCCAGAGGATTCACATGGCCGTGGATTTTGGGTGATAACTGCATCAGTCCTGCAATTGAGGCAGTCATCAATGACAAAGCTGACACGCAAAGCCATATTCCCAGCACATGGGATTTGACGGAGGAATGGTGGGCGGCGATACAAACGCCATGTAAAAGGATGAATGCCTGAAGATGACATCGTATTAGCACTAATCACAAGAGTGGAAATCAGCAATGAAAACAGCGTACCCAAGCACTAATGACGAAGCCATATTCAAGAAGCCATTGATTGCTCTGCTCAATGAATGACGAGCGCACCAAGATGGCAGTCGAAGAGCCAACACCACAGAGGGAGAACAAGACGATGGCGGCCTTTACCCCCCGATTCGAGAAGCGAGCCAATGACTCTGGGGTAGCGGCCCCATCAGCATCTTCGTAGAACCGGTTGCGAGGCTTTCCCTCTCGCAACTGGACGATGAGCGCAATGACGGCGGGAAGGGCTGACAGCACCGAGACGGCAAAGGCCGCAATGGTCAGACTAAGATGATCCATGGTCTGATGAATGCCTACAATTGGGACTGGAAGATGGAAGCCTTCGCCTCAATCCTCATTCAAGAGATGAGTGACATGAGGTGAGATTGCTAATAAAGACTGGGAGGGATCCCGGGACAGGAGGGCCTCGATCACAGCCACTCTCTTCCATTGACCACACAGGGCCTGCAATCCGAGACACACGACGGTACGCACAAGCTTCGGCTGAGAAGCGCTGAGACCAGAAAAAGAAAGGCAAGTAGTAAGACAAAAGGCCGATATTTGCCTCTGGCGTCCTCCGTCTCAGCCGTCCGTTACATGGTACTCCCCTTGTATTGGTCACCGCAGCGCGATGCGCTGTCTCACTCTTCGATTCGGCAAGTGATGCCACCACCTAAATGAGGCTTGCAGTAGTCTCCTCTTGGCCAATATATCAGCCCAATGTCGTGCCAGGGTGCAGCCAACCCCCGGCATCCGGTGGTGGGTTTGGTGCTGGGCGAGCTGCAGGCCTTATGTATGGTTCAGGCTGCCCCCAAAACAAAGCAAGGAAAGCATACATGGCTGATCCTGCGCATGCATGTTCCACTGCTTTTATTGATCTCAGCGCCGATCCGGTGATGGACCCTCTTCTGCCGATGCTCATCCATAAAGGGGGTGCTATGATCTACGACTTGCATACGCGGACGGTGCATTGTTTGGCCCTCAGAGCTCGGCACTTTATTGCGTACAACATGTAATATGTATTATGCGTTACTAGTGTAAATGGTGGACCAGGTGCATGCAGTGATCAGCAATCCATCTTCGGAGCTACCAAGCCAGTTCCCATCTAGTCCTGTCGAATTACCGAGCAGATCCAGGCCCCTCCACAGCTGACGGCTACGATCCTGTTCCCGCTTGATCTCCAGGTGCCCAACCCAAGAAGCCGGCCATTGGAGGCGTGCCAAGTCCCAACCAGGGGGTAGCTCACCATGTCCCCTGAAGCCTTGAGAATGACATCGTACACGCGAGGGACAATCTTCCGCTGAATGACACACGAAATACCTGGCACAATCTTGGGGGACCGTAGCCTCTCCAGGGAAGTCACCCATTGCTCATTATCGAGATCGTCGCCAAAGACAATTCCCGCACCCTTTCCACCGCGGATTGGCTTGAGTATGTACTCGTGCCTGAGCTCCGGGGTTTGAATAAGCTCCTCTAGCTCCTCCGAGCCCGGGAGAAGCGTATTGGTGATGCCCCGAGCCAGCGCGTCTCCCTGCTGGGCGGTGAGCACGTGGCGAGCCACCAGACGAGGGATCTCCTGTCTCACGATTCCCAGCATACGCTTGTCGTGGACGAGAAGGATGGTCCGCATGTCATTGAAGCACCGCAGGCTGATCTCTCGCAGCACCTCGGGCTGCATGGCGGCAAACTCGCGCTGGTGCAACTCAAGTCCGACCTGGCGGATCTCTTCCACAAGCTCCCCGTCGCTGGTGGTGAACAGCGTCGCCTGGTCTGGCAAGGTGACGTCGTCTCCGGAGCCCTTGTACAAGCAGCAGAGACGGTGTCCGCTCCTCGCTTGCGGATCGGGCAGAAGCCTGAGATCGGCTGGGGTGATGAGTCGCGGTTTGATGCCAAACCGGCGCTGGACAGCATCGACGAACATGTGGATGTCGATGCCATTCTCCTCTCCTTTGAGCAGATGCAGCGGGAGAGCGGGATTGAACAGGCTAAAGAGTCCGTCCACGATCTAAATGCCAATTGATCAGTCTCTGATCTCGTTCACAACTTATCAATCAAGGAGTCTCACCATCTCCGGGTCAGTCGCACTAACTAACCCTAGCTCCCGCGCTCCGGCGTCGCTCAAGGACTTGTTGACGGCATGCTGGCCGTATGCCTCGTGCATGAAGCCATTGAAGGAGAAGCGGGCGTTGATCTCCGTGACGCGGAAGTTTTCCACAATGGAGCCGGTCTGGGTGCAGGTGTGGTCCTCAACAAGGAAGTCTGGTCGCCAGGAGCCCAGGCGCTCTGCAAACGGGGGAAGAGTGCCGAGCAGGACTTGCTGGTCGAGCCACTGTATTGTTCAGCAGGTCAGTTTGGGCAACAATGAATGGAGGCCAGGGATGTGTAGAGTGACATACCTTGAGCAGCTCTTCTTCATCTTTCTCCAGAGGCATCCTCTCGGGGAACCGCGCCTCAACATCGGAGAACCACCGGGGCACAATATTCTTGAGGGCATCGACCAGTGCCTCATGGAGAAGCTCCATCTGTTGCTGGTGATGCTTGCCAATGAGAATAGGTCGTGGGCAGCCAGCGTTGTAGGAGCCGTTATGCCAGAGATGCTCAGGGCAAAGGCCCAGCAGGGTATCTTTCAAGCTATCATGGTCCTGCTTGTAGCAAGCAGCATTGGTCTCGGTGATGCCCTTCTCGATAGGGACATAGCCAAGAGGGCCTGTCCCAAGGCGAATCTGTTGCATCTGGGCAGTGGCAGCCATTGTAGAAAGTACAATCAATTGAGATTTTTTCAGTGATATACTAGAGAAACGAAGAGAGGTTGATGATGTGCCTGAATGATGTATGATTCCGGGGTCTGTATTTAGACCTACACCTCAATACTTTGGATCACCAATGCATATGTAGGTGGGTAAAGAGGCAGGGGGGGTGAGCATTGGAAATGGCTGGCGGCATAAAAGCGGCCTCTTCTGAGCTTTGGGCGCCAAGCTGGGTCTTGCCAGGATGCATCAAAGACATCCAATGGAGGCCTATCACGGAAGAGCATGCTTGAGGCCTCGCATTTCTTTTCTTTTCCTGTCCTGTGTGGCGTCGGCCTATGATGATGTTCCACAGCGTAAAGCGGGCACAAGAACCAAGAGCCCACGGAAATGAGAATGACTGCATATCCAATGTTTTTTCACTATTATGATGAGATTTGTCCTAACTCCCCTTTGAGAAATGAGTTGCCGATCTATAATAAAGCCATTGGAGTGCCCATAGCTGACCCAGAGTCGGCTTTGGCATACACATATGATTACCTTCTCTAATAGTTCTCCGTTACTTTTGATCAATCACTTCACTCTACTGCCAAAATGAATCGAATTGCTCGAAATCACCGTGTGCCAACGCTTCTCAGAACCCAAGCCTACATCTCGAAACAAACCGTTGGCCCAAACCTGTCACGAATCTCCAGGCTCTGGACACCGGGCCGCACCCGTTGCTTGGCTACCGTTACAACCAATGTCTCTTTGCCGCAACTCACGGCTCCGGACCTGATTTACGCCCGGAGACCTGACCATGTCGACGAGATACATCACCAGCTGCAGCACCACGGCATCCTCAAAATAAGTCTCCAGTTCACGGACACATCGAGCACATACCTCCAACACCTCCTCCGCAGCCTCCATGACCATCATGGACACCAGCTGCCCATATCCCACAGCGCCAAGCGTGGCTGGTTCTGGGACGTCCGGCCGAACGAGACGACCTTCCAGGCAGGCAACCACCAGGCCCGTTCCGAGACCATGAACGAATTCCCCTGGCACACCGACTGCAGCTACGAGGACCCCCCGCCAAGGTACTTCGCGCTCCAGGTCCTCCAGCACGACCGCTACGGCGGGGGCACCCTGTCCATCATGAACGTCGACAGGCTAAGCGCCCTCCTCTCGCCAGCCACGCGGGCCGCGCTAGTCAGGCCAGAGTACCGGATCAGCATCCCCCCCGAGTTCATCAAGGACCCAGCCCAGAGGCATATCCTGGGAAGCGTCCTGCTGGGCGCTAATGCCGGTGGTGGTGGTGGAGCAGGTGGTGGCCGGGAGAGTACGAGGCCCGCTGTTATGCGGTTCAGGGAGGACATCCTGACGCCATTGAGCAGCGAGGCGTCTGCAGCGCTGGGCGAGCTGAAGGGCGCGCTGCGGAGTGCCGAGATCCAGGCCCAGTCGACGCTGCACCTCGTTGCTGAGGAGCTGCCCAAGGGGAGCATCATTCTCGTGGATAACCGCCGGTGGCTGCATGCGAGGAACCACATCAATGACCCCGAGCGTCATCTGCGCCGTGTCCGCTGGGACGCTGTCCCATTTTCCAGCTCTTGCTGATCCAGATGAGATCGTTGAGTGACAAAATTGACAGGGTATAAAAGACAGACAGGGTATAAGGATGTCTTGATGGTTATTGCTGTGGGAAGGGTCTGGGTTGGGTGACTTGAGAGGCATAATTTGACAAGTAGAAATGAGGAGTCTTCACCTGAATAAAGACATCATCAATAGTTCCAGACTCCCCATGCCGTGCTGACGCCAAGCTGATCCAGTAGACCGCCCATGCGAGGAGTCGATTGGATGCCATTACTGGCTGAGCTTCCCCGCTAATAAACAACCAGCCACCTGTATACAGTAAGATGTGCATATCATAGAGCCTAAAGCGTACACGTAGGACACCTAAGGCGGAATCCTCATCACGTATCCAGAGAGAGGAGAGGACATGGGGGCCCAAACGGGAACGAGCAGCGGCAACTTAGACACCTGGAGGAGCTGAGCTCGCTCAGCTCTCCTCTACTGGGCGATCGTTGCCTCTACAGCCCGCCTTGGCGCGCCAGCAAATGATACTGGGGCCTAAAAGAAGAACCCTGGCTGCATCTGCGTCCACTGTAACTGAGAATTGAGATTAGGTGTTTGTGCAGTGAGCATTGCAGCTCCGCAGGCAGAGTGGCTGCTGCACGACACTCGCCTGCAGCAGAGCTGAGAGAAAAAAGAAGTCTACTGACTGCATGTCTCAGTCGAAAAGCCCCGAGTGCTCGTAGTCGCCGATGCCTCCGAATCCCAGGAGATCAATCTCGGGTCAGGGGCACTGGACACCACCACCAAAACTTCCCGTACATGTGCTGTTTTTACCAACTAGAGGCGTGTCTCAGAGCATCTCGAGCTGCAGTCATCCCAAGTGTAGTTGAGTGCGGTTACACATAGGAGTATGGCCTTTCAACCAAGTTTTTCCCTGTCGGAGGTCTTGGCCGTCGCCAAGATTCATCCTTTCTACAATCATGAGGTAAAATATCCTCCCGGAGCAGATGTCATCAAGGCAACTAGACAGCATTTATCGGGGCGAAATGAAGAGGCCGATTTGCTCACCCAGCCTTTACTATGGAAGCGGGATCTGTAAGATGCGCCTTGCCTAGTCCCCAACTTCTCCATCTGACAGTGTTACCCATCCAGCTACTCTGTAATCGGACGGCTCATAGCTGATACAAGTCCCCTAAACACGTTCCGGCAGAGCGTGTACACGAGTACAACAGGCGGCGGATCGAACTCCAAGCCTTTGTTTTTCGCCACCGATGTGCACGAAAACCGTAACCACAGGGCAGCCTTCGGACGTTTTCTCCGGACAATCGGGCTCATCGAGCAAAACGACTGGGTTCTGACCACCCACTCATCGGGTGAATTATATAGGTGCGTGCTCCATTCCCAGCCTGTGATACCTCACTTGAGACAAAAGGTGGCTCATGTCGCGGAACTTCTGGCTAACAGCTGCTAGGTCACTCGATCTCACATTGGAAATCCTGGAGAATGCAGGTGCTTCCGTCCTAGCAGCAGGTCATCACATGCCTCCTGCTGCTGTTGTGAAACTCTTGATACAGTACCACATCAATGTCTTGAGTGGCGACTCGAGTCAGGTTGTGTCCATGGTACACTACATCTCAACTCTGACGGCATCGGAACGTGAGCGAGTCAAAATTAACAAGATCATTTACACCTCGGAAGGACTCTCGCCATCACAGAGAGCACATGTCCGAGGTGTCCTAGGATCCGAGGTCAAGATATGCTCTTTCTTGGGCAGCGCTGAGGGTGGCCCCTACGCAGCCAGTGGTCCATCTTTGATCGAAGCTCAATCTACCGATACTGTATCCTACCAAGACTTCGTCGTCGACAACCGAATTACCAAGATTGAAATCTTGCCTTCGACGGTATCGGAAGATGACGTAGATCAAACGCCTCAGCCATTGAGGAATGGAGAGCAGGGTGTGATCGCCCAAACCTCCCTCACACGTCTACGTAATCCCGTCGTGAGGTACATCACTGGCGATATTGGCTCACTCCATGAACTGCCAGCAAAAGCGCGTGCTATCATCCCAGAATCGGATTGGAAGCATATGTATATCCTCCGCCTGCAGGGTCGTGATCGTCGCTTCAGCTTTGAGTGGAACGGTTGCTACTTTGAGTTTCGTAACCTTGACACAATGATGAACGATGCACAATTCGAAATCCTGCAGTGGCAGGTCATCCTGGACAAGATGGAGCTTTCCAAGAACCGCCTCTTGGAGATCCGTGTCCTTGCTCCTCAGCAGGAGACGAATTCTGGACTTGGCCGGCGAGAATTGATTGAGAATCGCATTCGGGGATTCTTTCAGGTAGATGATGCGCACGGGGATGCCTTTCGACTTACCTTCGTCGACAGCATACCTGAGTTCGATCTCAGCACTGGTGGACGAAAAGTAGTCAAGTTCATCGACCGTTTCTCTTCATAAATCAGGTTTCATTATCTAGTCAACGTATTCAGAATTTGCACGTATAAGACATAATAGCTCTTTGACTTCCTAAATAATAATCATTAGCCTCTAATGATTCCAAATGGAGTCCAAGAGTCCTATTGAGGGAACATACAAAGCATGCTAGGAAATAGGCAGAACAGCAAGTGAAGGTCCAAGTGGCATTTCAACGACTTCAACCTCATATATTTGATACAAGTGAAACCGAATGAACTCAACGAGCGAAACTCTAGAACTCCCTTCCCAGCAGTGCCGTATATCTCTATTCGACCGTCTTTGATATAAACCCATCCATGGTAAGAGCCACACTAAGTCCCGTAAGGCCCTGTGAAAGTCATCATTTCTTCAAAGCCGTCGATGTTAGTTGACGAGGCGTTTAAATCCTAGCGAAACACCAGAGTATTTACCCAAAAATCATGCATTTAGCTGCAACCTCGGAGAAGTCTTTGCAAACGCCCGTCTCCTTTATATCGCTCGAGTGCATGTTCCCTCCATTCCTCCCACTTCTGGTCAACCCCAAAGACAGTGAGGATCGCGACTGCCAGTAGCTTGGCATCTGCCCAGTCAGGCTCCAGCGCAAGACCCCAAAAGAACCGTCGCGCCTTTTCGTCCACCGAACAATCGACTAGCTGAGGTGACAGTTTCCCCAGCTCTCGTGCCAAGATCTGATCGTTTTCTGTCAGGCATACCTTGCCAGCACATAAAGTATTCATGTCAGCGGTGACCAAGGATGGCCCAAAGGCTTCCGAACGGGGCACCGTGCGTGCCATCTCCCAGTCGATGATGCCGGTGATATTGAAGTTCTCATCAATGAGAATGTGGTCTCCCTTGTCATCCACATGTTTCAAGAAAAACTCTGCACTCCCATGGGCGTCGCGACTGGCAAGCTGGGACACATTGTCTTTCAAGAAGCGATACACAAGGTACGCATCGACGGGGTACTCAGTATAGAGCTGCCCACCGCAAATTAGCGCCAGATACTGTTCTGCAAAAGAAGCATAATAAGACTCGGCATCATCAAAAGGGCCATCGGGCGTAAGGGCAAGAAATCGGTCACTTGCCACAGCTGACACCCTGCTCATGGTGGATGCATGAGGCACCAAGGATCCGGCTTTGGGGAAGGGGTGCTGTGCCACTTCATTGAGGATAGAGGCAAGACCAGATAGGACTTTGGCCTTTTGCTCCTTAGTTCCCTCCCCAGTCCACGCCTCTCCTGGCAGATGCTCCATGAGCAGGAAGCTAACGCCAACACCATGGTCCTCCTTGTCTCTGCCGCGTATACCATAACCATATGCCCTTGGTGCTGGCACCTTTGTGTTTTCAAGGAACCTCAGTGTAGCGTACTCACTGATGACCAAGTGCTCTACTAATGACTCCGGAAGACCGACCTCATAACTTGCAACACGGGGAACCCTAAGAAGCCAGGGCGACGATCCATCATCAAATAGAACACGAGCATGGTAGTTTGAGCCTCCCATAAGGGCACCTTGTCCAACCTTATCAGAATGCTGGATTGTGCAAGTCTTGCCGCTGAGGGAAGTGACCAGGCGGCAGACGGCGGTGTCATTGATCTGTGACCGCAGACGGTTGATCTCAGAAACAATCTGCGCCACATAAGCCTTGTCGTCTAGTGTCTAAGAGGTATAACCCGTTTTGCAAGTTAGATACCTTGTGAAAGTAGGGGCTAAGAGTAATAATTATAAAACCACGATCCCTTAACGAGAGAGTTTGTTGATCTTACCTGATCACATGTGTGGAAGGGTGGCGAGATGTGCGCAGCGCAAAGGTATCTTTGACAGATGTTGCACCCGCCTGTCCGGACACTGGGATTGTCGCAGTCTGAGACTGAACAAGTAAAAAACCTCGAATCCATGATTCAGCTGAAGTCGTCTTTACCGATCGGGGGATTAGGGAGCAGAGGCGTCTTGATTCCTAATCAAAGCTGAACATAAAAACTCTGAGATCAATACTCATCCGCGCCCGGGACAAACAAACCCCCTCTTCGTAGAGAGACAACCTCTGCCCACGTCAGAGCTAACCGCTGGTGACTCACTGGAGCAAACTATTGATGTGAGGGGTTGGATTGAGGGGTCAAAAGTAATGTTAAAGCCAACACACCGAGTACAGGTGATAGGCCATACGTGCGAAGGACTCGGATGTATGGGTGTCACCTGACGCGAACGCGTTCCTTGAAACCGGCGATTTTGAAGACCCACAGGGCTTAGCATTCCTAGTCCCAATACTAACAGGGTTATTGGCGGCTGCTGCTTCATTGAAACCTAGTGACTTTTTGATACCCATATGATCAGCAACCATAGCTCACCAATCAGCTTAGAAACCTTTTCAACACCAGTGATATCCTGCACATGTTGGTGGTTATTTCAAATTCTGCCTTGGACACCAGGCTGCATGAAGCCCAGGCCACCAACAAATCGGCCTCACCACATTCCGCCAACATAATCAGGCGGCTACTTCCTCATGACATCAACCATATCAGATTCGAGAAGCTGAATCATAGCTGCCTAATCGCGCCGTATGGAGTGAGATGTGGGACGAGGTCTGAACGGCCTGTTTTGCTCCTCCTTCTTTCTATAAGTAGTGCTGGCCTTCCTCAGCTCTTTCTCCCAGTTATTCATCTAAATTACACACTGCATACTTACCACCTCCTTGGCTACCACGCATCATAACTCCATATCTATTTTCAATCCCATTGTCCCTTCGCCGACATAAACATGGCCACCTCTACTGAGAACTCCCCTACCACGAAAGCGGACCTGGTTGATTCCAAGAGTGTCCGATGTGCCGAAGCCGACTGCGACAATTGGTGCCTAGCTAATTCTCGCTACTGCAAGGATCGTAAGTTGATCTTCATTCCAAAGTAGAAAATGCATAAATGATGAAAGCATACTAACAGTCAGATGAATTTACAGACCAGAAATAGGCTGATTGTACATACCTACTGTATAATCATGCGTGGGTCAGGGCGGATCGCATGTTAGGGGTTAAATCAGTGGATTTGTTGAAACTTGGGTCAGGTGCTGATAAGTCATAAATCTTGCCGTGTCAAACAGAAACCTCCGCCTGGCTGGGGAGGTGCAAGAATTAGATAACTTTGAATCAACTTTGTGCCCATTAGCTCTCTTTGCACACGTTTGTTGCACTGTATTTCTCTGATTCTACCAATCTAACCCGTAGAAAACTGTCCACGATCACTTTTGAAGAAGACAAGGATTTAGAAATATTCCCTTGGTATTGATGAAAGCACTATTCACTTAGTGAACATCTAATAAGTGCTTTGAATTTTTAATATAAATTTTATCTTATAGCCTTACTCTGTCTAGATAGACATTATTCCTCCCTACTATATTTTGTTGATAATGCAACTGATTCTAGTTTCATTTGGACTTCTGCACTAAACAAAGGGCTATCAAGGCGCGAGAATACGAAGCTGCTGGAGAACTATCTGGTTCGTTCCACGGCGTTAGTTTTATTACATCCAAATGCCACGCTTCGTTCTTTCATTCAAAGTTATATATCAAACTGAATCGTTTCAGATCTCCACTACGTTGGGACACAATTCGAGTAGGCATAAACGTCATGAGTTCGGAAAATCAGCATTTCTGCGTCCGGATCCTTTGATTCTTTAGTTATTACTAAATGATTGAGGAACTTCTGTCATTATGATAGATTCTGCGGATAGCACTCAGAATGTATGACGACAACGCTAATGCAGGAGGCCCGACGTGCCACACCTCTCCTCACTCCGATATCGAATAGGCTGCCCGCAAACACTCACCGATGCATAGTCAAGGCAAGGAGATGTGCATTTCAAACATCATATGCATCTTACCTTATCTGCAGTGACTACTTTATGGGGGAGTTCTGCATACAGATAATAGGTCTTCTCTAGTGAGAAGCACCTTCACATGACAACGCCACTCGCTGCAGGAGGCCCTCCGTCTGAAACTTTGTCGGCCTAATGAGCGAGGAATAGAAATGATTTTCGCTCTACGGTTATTGGACACTAGACATGCAGAACGAAATAGCCCATATCACTCGTCTATAAAACCATGAGTCTGCTAACAATTTCAGACCAAGTCCATCTCTCTTCATATCCATCTAAGCACACAATACAAACCTTTACAATTACAACAACGCAAGCATCCAACTCGTCTCAAATCATACCTCAGAATCAGATGACCAAGGAGGACTCCTCCCGAATCCAGTCAACCCAGCTTTGTCATTATGTCTTCCCCGGTCGAGCGCTTCGCTCACAATTATGTTATCACACCAACAGGCGAAGTCAGGAGGCGACATGGGCTTTGCCTCACGTGCCCAATCTGCGGCTGATTCTAGAGCCAACAACAACAATTCTAGCGGTGGTGGAGGACAGTCCAAGGGAACTGATGCGGCCAACAAGAAGGGTTGATTCCAACCACATGCAGGGTTTAGTAGGATTCTGCTGGCCAAAATTGACAACCTAGAACGAAGTTAGCCTAGGCAGAATTTGATTTTGCTCCCCCTTTTTACAAACCGTAAACCCCTTCTTATCGTCTTCAAACTTAAGTCGCGTGATTGACGATTGATATGTCTGTACCCAGCGCTGAGTGTGGTGGACATTGCGCCAGGCGTGGATCGTCCGATCCTACGGTAAGCAATCTGTCCTTTCTTCTTCGGACGAGAGCCTTTGCGACTCGTATATAACGGCTTGCCAACTCGTCGCTGTTGGATTGACTCTCAATCGTTGCATGGCGTAGGTTCCCCGATTTGAACACCAGCACACATGTCTTCATCTAAGGAGCTGCGTCACCCTGTGCCTACTCATCGCACATCTGTACTTTGATCGGCAAGATCATTGACTCGGAGTCACCGTCCAAGATAAGCTTATAGCACTTTCCGCGGGCCCATCCGACCTCATCATCTCCCAACTTGTCGCCTCTATTGGTATACAAAAAGCGATTCCATATCTCAATGTTTCAACGTCGCTAACTAAGAAGTCATCTGGGCCCGCCAAGTGGTTGATATCTATGATCATAATCTACCAGACCTGGCGTATACCATGAACAATAAGCTACGCAGCAAGATATTTTTAGCCAAGTCTCACATCGTGGCTACAAAGGCTACTTAAGCATATCTTTCTGTTATAACCAGTGTCAATCAGACATTGGACGCCCTTACTGGAGAAACTATTACTCAGGTCCTCCGACACCGACATGGGTCAGTAGCGCAAGCAGTCAATATCGTCCAAGGTCTTCCGATGGACTCCAAACTAGTAGCACAAAACAGCCTGAGTGGATCTATCATCATTGCCTATCTCCATCTTGTCAAATACCTGTGACGGTCGGCGAGTGCTCCCCTACGGTGGTAGACGTCAATGAAAACACACTCTACTCTGGTCGGCTTTGACTATTGCACCAACATACGGACATGTCAAAAATGGACGGGATTTGGAACATGCTTTGCTTGTTTCAAAGTTGAAGATATGTTCCTAATCAATTAGCTAGCAGCTATCTATAGAAAGGCAAAATAATTAGGTCCGGCGATCGGGCCTCGAGCCCAGAACAACTTGGGAGAAATCGCAGGATAAATGTGCGGTTTCAACGCAATCATTTGATTTTTTTCCTATAATACTGAAATAAGCTTTCCGCTAAGGCCTCTAACCGTTAAAACTAGGAGTGTGTGATGTGCTCCCTCCACACCCAACCCCGTTCACCTAGCCAGGTTCGATGATCTCATACGACTTTTCAGTCCCAGGCGAGAAAGCATGAGGCAAAAATCGGCGCCATGTCTATGTAGGCCTTATGATGATGCGATATAGAGGATCTCCATGTGGATAGAATTAATTGTTATTCGCTTTGAAAGTCTTCTGCACTGCTCCATTCATCTACCACGATGGCCAGCCCCATACAGCGACACTCTATCCTTCCAACAAGGTGCCAACGAGGCAATAATGGAGAAAGCCATATCGGCTTTTGCTCTGTTGGCACGTTGGGAGTCACCCTTCAACTCGAAGACTAATGCACGTGCAACATACATGTCTGATTGGGAACCCGGAACGAAACAAATTCTAAAGCAACAAGGATCTCGACCATAAGGTTACAGTCGTGACGTCGGTGTGGCCGACTTTTGGCTTCGGAGATTCGGTGTCCGAGACTCAGTCAGCATTCGGCATGACTTGAGAAGATCAAAAAGGAATTGTGTCGAAACGTTGACTCGTTACGGGTTCCCTAAATGGCGGGCACCAAATGTTGCCGCCACTCCCTGTCGAGTTGCGAGATTTGTGCGGCCACTAACAACGGGCCACGGATAAGGAGGGTGGCACTTGAACCAACCTTAAGATGAAAGGGTCGGTATACAGGAATAGTATGCAACTGGGCTCCACATCGGTCAGGCAGGAAGCCAACGGGGAGCGGTTTGTGAAGACTCATATCTGTCTATCTGAACTCAGTCCAAGGGTCACGCGGTCCTCGGGCCGGCTGACCTATTTCAGTTTTCCCGATGAACGTGTCTTGGCTCAACAGAGTACGACGCTGATTTAACTGTTGACGGCAATCATAGCTCCATCAGATGATTCACGTATATGACGATATTGAGGGACATGTGCGGAGGTGGCAGGCAAGTGGCCACCAAGGCCGCACAAATCTCGCAAATTGCGTACTCGCCGCCCAATTAGCCCCAAGCTCCATCCACCCTCCGAAGACCGCCTCAGAACGCTGCCTGAACTGCATGCGTTATTATCGCCGTGAAATGTATCAAAAAAAGGGCTTCTGTTGTCAAAATGCCAGGCCCAACTTCGGTTTCGTTTGGCCGCCCTGAATATCTCTGTCTTACAAACTATCACACCAAACACTACTTACATCCTTCATTCATAGGAAACCTAAAACATCATATCACTGATTCGAAAGGAACAACATGCCTGTTCCGTCAATGTCTGTCGCAGACGCGGCAAACCCTGCTACTACGACGACGTTCCTCATCCCCAGCATCCACTGCTCGACATGTGCCTCTTTCATCGAAACACTCATCCGCCAAATCAATCCCAACGTCTCGGTCGAGACATCCATCATCTCGCATACCGTCTCCATCCGGCATGATGGCAGCGCCGATATAAAGAAGATGGTCCGCGCCTTGGGCGATGCAGGGTATGAGGTAGACACTATCGCAGTAGGCCCTGAAGCCCAGGCGAAGCTTCGATACTCGTCCAAAGCAGCCCCGGCTGATGATGACTTTGCCCTTGGCCGGCTATTCACCAGCGTGCCAAAGCCATGGAACTTTGTCAACCGGGCTAGACAAGAGAGAGCCCGGAGCCAACATGTGAACCACTGCGACGAGTGTCGTTCAAAGCTCGTCTCATCACCTCCCACAACACACGACGACAAGGAAGTTTCAGAAGAGAAAGGGAGTGGGCCTTTTGTTGTCGTCGAATCCAGCTCTGCTCTGCCGGAATTGTACCAGGCCACACTGACAATAGACGGGATGACCTGCAGTTCGTGCGTTGGTAACGTGACGGAGTCTCTACTGTCGCAGTCATGGGTTGAAGCTGCTGATGTTGGTCTGCTCACGCGTTCAGCCACCGTCCGCTTCCACGGCGGGCCAGATAAGGCGCAGACTATTGCGAATCTCATTGAAGATGCAGGATATGATGCGACACTCGAACGAATTGAAAGAGTTCTCCCAGAAACAGTGCCCACATCCCGAGGTGCGTCCTCCAACACTTGGCGTGCAGAGCTGTCCATCGGCGGCATGAGTTGCAGCTCATGTGTCGGCAGCATCACTCAGGCGGTTGAGGAACTCACTTGGGTTGAGACCGTCCATGTCAACCTCCTGACCAGCAGCGCAACCATTGTCTTCCAGGATCGATCCCATCTGGATGAACTTGTTTCCACTATCACTGATGCTGGGTACACGGCCAAGCTCAGCGACCTTGTCAACTTAAATGCTGCCCCTGCCGGTCAAGACCAGGTGCGAACCGTACAAGTTCGCATCAACGGCATGTACTGCGAGCACTGCCCCGAAAGAGTTCTCGCCGCACTGGAAAATCATGCATCTCAAGTAGACATTGACGAAGCACCTTCGCTACAGAACCCAATCATGACGGTCTCATACATCCCAAATGTGCCAACCCTGACCATCCGCACGATCCTCGCTACTATTGCCGAGGCAGACGAGACTCTCAAACCAATCATCTACCATCCCCCAACCATTGAAGAGCGAGCCCAGCAAATGCAAGCCAGAAGCCGCAGACGACTGCTCTATCGCCTCCTGTTATCAGTTGCTGCTGCCATCCCAGGCCTGATCATCGGCATTGTATTCATGACTCTCGTCCCCAAGGATGACCGTAACCGCGTATACCTCATGGAGAGGATAAACGGCGTGTCTCGCGGAGAACTCGCCCTCCTGATCGCCTCAACACCAGTCTACTTCTTCAGCGCCGACATCTTCCATCGACGCGCCATCAAGGAAATCTACGCCATGTGGAAGCCCGGCAGCCACGTGCCATTGCTACGACGCTTCTACCGCTTCGGCAGCATGGACATGCTCGTCTCCTTCGCCACTACGATTGCCTACTTCGCCTCGGTCGCGGAGCTCATCATCACGGCTACAAACCAGGGCAGCCACCACCGCATGCCGGAGAGGATGCCGTACTTTGACTCGGTCATCTTCCTCACCATGTTCCTCCTCGCCGGTCGGATGATCGAGGCGTACAGCAAGGCCAAGACCGGCGAGGCCGTCACCCAGCTGGGCAACCTACGACCTAAGGAGGCTCTACTAGTAACACCATCTGGCCAAGACCAAGGCGATACCCAGCTGTCGACAGTGCCAGTGGATACACTCGAGTCCGGCGACTCGGTCGTAGTCGTCCACGGAGGCTCGCCACCTTGGGACGGCATCCTCCTCGACAGCACGGCCGATTTCGCCGAGTCGAGCCTCACGGGGGAGTCCAGGCCCGTCCACAAATCAATGGGCGACGAGATCTACTCCGGCACAATCAACAAGGGCGCCCCGATCACGATGCGCATCCACGGCGCGGCTGGCAAGTCCCTCCTAGACAACATCATCCACGTCGTGAGAGAAGGACAATCCAAGCGAGCACCAATCGAGCGCGTCGCCGACACCGTCACGGGCTACTTCGTGCCATTCGTGACACTCATCGCCATCGCCGTCTGGCTCACATGGCTCGGCCTCGGCGTCTCGGGGCGGCTGCCCGAGGACTACAAGGACACGCTCGTGGGCGGGTGGCCCTTTTGGTCGCTGCAGTTCGCCATCGCCGTCTTCGTCATCGCGTGCCCCTGCGGGATCGGGCTCGCTGCGCCGACGGCGCTGTTCGTCGGCGGCGGGCTCGCGGCCAGGCACGGGATCCTCGCCAAGGGTGGCGGGGAGGCGTTCCAGGAGGCCAGCGGGATCGACGTGGTTGTGTTTGACAAGACGGGGACACTTACGGAGGGTGGCGACTTGAAGCTCGTGGATCATGTGGTCCTCGAGGGGAGCGCTGAGAGATGGGGTGAGGATGCTTTGCTGGCGTATGTGGGTGAAGTCGAAAGGAATAGCAGCCACCCTCTGGGCAAAGCACTCGTCGACTTTTGTGAAGAGAAAGGGGTGAAGGGGAGCCCGCCACAGCAGGTTGATGAGATGCCTGGGAAGGGGATGAAGGCAACCTTTTTCGATAAAGAGAGTACAACCAAGGTTGAGATCCTTGTCGGGAACGAAACCTTGATGACGGATCACGGTGTTAAATTCAGCCAAGCAACCATCGAGACGCTGGACGTGTGGAAAGAACAAGCCAAGTCGGTAGTGTTGGTGGCTGCAAGAGATGTGAGCGCAGATGACGAATGGGTTCCTGCCGCCATCTTCTCAGCTTCGGATCCTATCCGCCCTGAATCCAAGTCCGTAGTGGACGCATTGCGCGCTCGGGGCGTGGATGTGTGGATGATCTCAGGGGACAACGCCAAAACAGCTCTCGCCGTGGGTGCCATGGTCGCCATCGAGCCGGACCACATCATCGCAGGGGTCTTGCCGGAACAAAAGGCCGACAAGATCAAGTATCTCCAAGGCAGCCAGCCGAAAAAGCAAGGGGGCTTTCTCGCCAACCTCTCCGGTCGGACGCGGAGTCGGGCTGTGGTGGCGATGGTTGGCGATGGGGTCAACGACTCGCCAGCACTGACGGCTGCTGACGTGGGTATTGCCATTGGCGCAGGGTCCGATGTCGCCATCTCTGCTGCCGAGTTTGTACTCATCAAATCCGATCTCAACTCGCTCCTGACTCTGGTCCAGCTCAGCCGGGCAGTCTTCAGACGTGTCATGTTCAACTTTGCCTGGGCCGGCATCTACAACCTGGTAGCGCTGCCCATTGCCGCAGGTGTGATTTACCCTGTGAGGTCCAATGGGTCGTACACTCGATTGGATCCAGTGTGGGCTAGTTTGGCCATGGCATTGAGCAGCCTGAGCGTCATATGCAGCAGCCTGTTGCTGAGAACCACGCTTCCCTTGGTCGGTTTTCGAAGCACGGTCGTTTCAGGCTCCTCGTCGAAGAACTGAAGTAGTTGCAAGCCTCAACCTAATATGGCTGCAAGGGGAAATATGTACGGGCCTTTTCCTTATTCACTCGGTGTTAGATGTCGTCCAGCTTGAGTGGAGGATCCTATGACAACTTAGATTATGGTATCTAATAGCATTCGAGTGAACACCAATAACCGCCGAATTGAATCCGGTGAATTTCCTCCATGATATTAAAATGGTCAAGTTTTCAATGGCCGTGTTGTTTTGCATGATAACCTGATGCGACTGTCAATATCAGGGAACCAATGACCAAGATACTGTGCTAGCAAACCACAATCGCTATTATTTACTAGAGTTAGGAACAGTAGTCTAAAACATCTAGAGCCAGACGTTTCTACAGCCAATTAGCTAGTGCCCGAGGCTAAAAGAGGGATGTAAATTGCGCACGAAGATTGTCACTTCATACTCGCGATTGGAACATACCCTATACAGGCAACGAACAGCAAATATCATGTAATTAGTACATTCAAGTTTCCCGTTATTTATTGATATGATAGATTGTGTATGATATTCAAATAATGATATATAAACGCACGATATTAAAGTGGGTTTTTTTCTTTTTCTTTTTCTTTTTCTTTCTAAGTTACACTCTTGTAGTTAAGTTAGTACAACGATATACACGATTCTGTCGGCTCTGCTTCGTAGTAAGCGGACTTCTCTTTGGAAGAAGCAGCGTCACAAATACCCTATACAAATGACAGCTTCCTTTACCCAAGTCTCATTTCTGACCACCTTTGCTGTGGGCTTATTTCGCCACCAACAAAGTACTCGCCGCCGAGACGGCACGGGCTCTGGTTTACATCGACCTTGTTCTGAAACACGGGCATGGAATTCAGAAACTCATCATTATTGCCACCTCTTAACCTCAAAGGTGCCTAACTCTCCCAAGACTACGAAAAATAGGGATGAATCAAGCTCCTGGCAGGTTGCTCGCAACATCGAGCCTTTCCAGCATCAATAGTGCGCCAGGATGGATAATCTCGGCCACTCACGCGACCGGTTCCCCAAAGAGCCTAGTCCTTGCGGTGGCATAAATTATACACAGGCATGGTTGTCGATCGGTCTTCTCTAGATTTGAGCATACGTGTGTCTACTCAGTGCTGATTCCAAGGGTCGCTTAGGCGGTTGACTGGCCAATCCGGAGGGATCAGATTGATGGAATTGAACTCCCCTAAGCGGAAGGCAATTCTTTTTCTAGCTAGAGCGTGGGGGGAGAGTTTGATTGCATTAATTATTGATGCACAGGCGACTTCCGAATGCAGACGTACCCATTATGCACTGGAAATGTTCATTTCGACACTCTCCTATTCCATGGTAGTCTGCATAATTTCCAACGAGGACATGGAGATAGATCCCGTCTTCTCGATCCAAGATAGTTAGCATTGCTCTTCAGCAGAGCTGTGTCTTAACCCGGTAGACTGGATGGGAGAAGGTCTAGCTGTGAGATTAAGGGGTCGAGGAGAATAGTTTTCCCATCGGCGATGAAGCGAACTGCTGCCAAATAAAGCACATTCGGGTCCGACTTACGTACTCATTGATTAGTACCAGCATTACCCATTATTACGTCCAGTAGCACGTCCTGACTAAGAAGTGGCCGGATGATGGGTGGGCCAAATCCAATGTCCTTGCAAATGGGGAAACAGCCGGCAGAAGCATCAAGGAGAAAAGGTTGTGTTCAATTGAACACGCGAAAGGAATCAGCCTCAAATATTTTAAGCCAGAGACGCCCATCGTTGTTCTGTTCCGGACGAACTGCTGATATTTTTAGGTCTCCTGTGTGGCCTTGTGTTCAATGTTGGTTGTCCAGCAGCAGCAACGGGTTACTGTGCCGCTGAATAATATTCCTAATAATAAATTACACCCTGCTGAGTTGGGAATTTGTGCTGCAGGTCGCAAGCACTGATTCTGCTGATCATTCCGGCACCAACTCTTTAGCACTCGCCTCGTGCGATGCCTGCTAGATACCAACAGAAGGAAGCCAACGTGGGCTGGATGTCCCGGCTGTTTAATGGTGGATTCACGAGGATTTGATTGATGGACTGATGGACTGATTGAATCGGTAGGTGTTCGTCAGCGTGTAATTAATCAAACAATCCCCTGCAAGGTCCTGCTTCCTTCTATCGCACTCCATGACGCGGTCTGTCCCATGTCCCTGGAGAGCTTCTGGACCAGGTGAGGTGATTGGCGCCTCGCCAACAATTGCATTTTTTGATATGCGTGTCTCGTGTCTGCAATTCATGCTGTTGGTGGTGGCTTGCACTGTAGGGCGACCAACAGCAACATGCGTGAGACGGCACAGGAACTTTGACACCAGGTGGTGGAGATGGACTGCTTCTGTAAATACTCATGAGAAATACATGCTTATCCCTGTCAGCAGTGACCACTGCCGTAAAGCCCGGTTCCATCGTTTGGATCGATGGAAGGCATCCATGATAGCGCTGGGCTTGTCCTCTAGCGTCTGACCAACGGCCTGGGGCATCTCGGTGTGGCATAAATTATAGCATAAATTAGTTAGCACAAACACTGGCGAGGCTCAGGTAGACGGTTGAACTAATGGCGGAGACTGAGGGCTATTTTTGGATTTGGGTGGGAGGCTGGAACACTTCTGGATCAGCCGTGGCCCACAGCAACACCATCTGCTCGAGGACAAGCTGGCTTCTTCATCCCCAAACGTGCAGGCGAGTGCAGCAGCTTGCGGCCACGGTCCACTTGGTTCGTCGTAGCGATCCATGTTTCTATATTTGCCACCTGGTGAGATCTTCTGCTTCACACAGCACTTTGGATCATGCACGCGAGGGACCGCCGAGCCAGGCTTGTCCACTGTTGGTGCTAGCACGGTGTTACTAACGAGAGAGGCATTGCCATTGCCATTGCTGTTGGTGTTGGTAGAGAGCTGTTGGTCTGTCAGACAAGTGCTACGACTTTGGGTGCACGTTATGCGAGCTGCGGCGCCTAAAGGGGGTCAGATCGTAAGCACAAGACAACCAGACAGCCGATGACAGGCAGCCCCCAGACGATCAATTGCTGGTGGCGAGCCTCCAAATCGCCACGGTGAAGCATCACGTCGCCATGAGCAGAGTGCAGACCGGGCATCCTCGGATGGTTGAGGCTCGAAGCTTCCAGCCTGTGCCACCATTGGATCAGCACGAAGCTCGCGCACGGCCAGAATAGAAATCATGGGCCAGCCTGCCGCATGCCTGCATGGTTCTTTGCCAAGCCTGGAGGATCCAACAGCCCAGGATCATCCATGGGTCAGTTTTATTACGTGATGTCAGGGTCCGCGCCGCACACCACTCCAAAATAACGGTCTTTGAGCGCGTGCCAGTGTCGCGATTGGCAGGCCGCCGCCCCTTCCGAGCTATTTGGAGATGCTGGGATAATAAAGCTGTCGCACAAGTGGGAATCCTTCCGGGGGGAGCCTGCGTCAACCTGCGACATGGCATCTGATACGCCCAAGATCGTGGCCCATGCCAGAGCCTTCCTGCTTCCCAATTCTCACCACCTCGACGGGGTATAATAGAGCGATTCCCGCCCGGCAGTGGAAGCGTCTTTCTTGCTCCGTAGGCCTTCTGCCCTCTTTCCCTTTCTTTCTTTTTGAGTTCTAGTACCAACTGACTCTACCACTCCTTCGAGTAGCAGTTGATTGGAAGACCCCACCCTCTCTTCCTATCTTACTACTAGTTTTCTTTTGTTTCTGGTTACCATCCCTGATTTAGCTCTGTACTGGTGTTGTTCCACCGACAATGCCTTCTCTCAAGACCGTAGTTTTCGGTCTGGGAGCCTCCCTGGTGGCTTTGGCCGCCGCGGAGGACCCCAACCTAGCTCCGAGAATCCCTACCCCCGTTCCCTTCCTTCCGGTCCGCTCATGCACCGGCACTCTCGAGGCCTGCCCCGGCATTCCTCGATCTGAGGTTGAGGAGGGCGACCTGGCCAAGCGCGATGCTCCCGTCGAGCCCCGTGAATACCTCGCTCCACGTGGTGGATGCGAGGCCGCCGGCGAGGTCTGCTACGGATACGACAAGCGCGAGCTGGAGGTTCTCCGAGACGCTATCAAGGAAGAACTGAGCAAGAGAATGACCTCCGAGTCCATGTTCGTGGACGAGCGCAGTGAAGAGGACAAGGAGAACACTGGTTTTACTAAGCGAGATATCGCCGGCTGGATGTCCAACGTTAAGCGGGATATTGAGGAACGCACCGAGGAAGCTGTGGAACTTGCCGAGCGCGGTGAAGAAGATGATCTGGATGAACGTGACTTCGATGACGAGCTCTTTGAGCGCGACTTCGATGATGAGGATCTTCTCTTTGAGCGTGAATTCGACGATGAGCTTTTTGAACGTTACTTCGACGAGGATGACCTCTTTGAGCGCGACTTTGACGATGAGGAGCTTCTCTTTGAGCGTGACTTCGACGACGAACTGTACGAGCGTGACTACGACGAGGATGTCTACGTCCGCGACTTTGACGATGAGCTGTTTGAGCGTGATTTCCTCGACCAGGTCAAGGAAGAACTCGCCCTCCGATCCCTCGATGAGGATGACCTCCTCTTCGAGCGTGACTTTGACGACGAGGAGGCCTACATTGCCAAGCGCGAGTTCCTGATTGACTCCATCAAGGATGAGCTTGCCCGTCGCTCTTACGAGGATGACCTCTTTGAGCGTGACTTCGACGACGAGCTTTACGAGCGTGACTTTGATGAGGACTACCTCTACGAGCGCGATTTCGACGATGAGCTTTTCGAGCGCGACTTTGATGACGAGCTTGAGGAGCGTGACTTCGACGAATATGATCTCTATGAGCGCGACTTCGACGATGAGCTTTACGAGCGCGACTTCGACGATGAGCTTGAGGAACGTGATTTCTACGATGATCTTGAGGAGCGTGACTTCTATGAAGACGATCTTTACGAGCGCGACTTCGACGATGAGCTTGAGGAGCGTGACTTCGACGAATACGATCTCTACGAGCGCGACTTTGATGACGAGCTTGAGGAACGTGATTTCTACGATGATCTTGAGGAGCGTGACTTCTATGAAGACGATCTTTACGAGCGCGACTTCGATGATGAGCTCTATGAGCGCGATTTCGAGGATGATCTTTACGCTCGTGACTTCGACGAGGACTACCTCTACGAACGTGATTTCGATGATGAACTCTACGAGCGCGACTTCGACGACGAGCTCTACACTCGTGACTTCGATGAGGACTATCTGTACGAACGCGATTTCGATGACGAGCTCTATGAGCGAGACTTCGATGATGAGCTGTACGAGCGCGATTTCGACGATGAGCTCTACGCTCGTGACTTCGATGAGGACGATCTGTATGCTCGCGACTTTGATGATGAGCTCGATGAGCGAGACTTCGATGATGAACTCTATGAGCGCGACTTTGACGACGAGCTCTACGAGCGTGACCTAGACGAGGAAGAGCTCTACCAGCGTGATGTCCTCGAGGCTGTCCGTGGCGAACTTGAACGCCGTGCCTTCGAGGAGGAAGAGTATGGTCTTTACACCCGTGATGAGGATCTTTACGAGCGTGAAGTTCTCGAGGCCGTCGAGGACGTGTTTGCCCGTGCCCTTGAGGATGACCTCGAGGAGCGTGACTTCGACGATGAGGACTACCTGTATGCTCGCGACTTCGACGATGAGCTCTATGAGCGAGACTTCGATGACGAACTGTTCGAACGTGATTTCGACGATGAGCTCTACGAACGTGACTTCGATGACGAGCTTTTCGAGCGCGTCTTCGATGATGAACTCTATGAGCGAGACTTCGACGACGAGCTCTACGAACGCGATTTTGAAGATGAACTCTACGAGCGCGACTTCGACGATGAGCTCTACGAACGTGACTTCGATGACGAACTCTACGAGCGAGACTTCGATGATGAGCTCTACGAGCGTGACTTCGACGATGAGCTGTTCGAACGTGACTTCGATGACGAGCTTTACGAGCGCGACTTCGATGACGAACTCTATGAGCGAGACTTCGATGACGAGCTTTACGAGCGCGACTTCGATGACGAGCTTTACGAGCGTGACTTCGACGACGAACTCTTCGAGCGTGACTTCGACGACGAACTCTTCGAGCGTGACTTCGACGACGAGCTGTTCGAGCGTGATGAAGAGGATCTGTATGAGCGTGACTTCGATGACGAGCTTTTTGAGCGCGATTTCGATGACGAGCTGTACGAGCGCGACTTTGACGAGGACTACTTGTATGAGCGCGACTTCGATGATGAGCTGTTTGAGCGAGATGATGAGGATCTGTACGAGCGCGATGAAGATGACCTCTGGGAGCGTGACTACGAGGAGGATCTCTTCGAGCGTGATGAGTTCGATGAGGACCTTTTTGAGCGCGATTTTGACGAGGACTACTTGTATGAGCGCGAGTTTGACGATGAGCTGTACGAGCGTGAGTTCGACGATGAGTTGTTTGAGCGCGAGTTTGACGACGAGCTTTACGAGCGCGATGAAGATGATCTCTTTGAGCGTGAGTTCGACGACGAGCTGTTTGAGCGCGAGGAGGCGCCCGAGAAGCGTGAGGAGTCCGACTTCGTCAAGCGCGAGGAGGAGGAGTTTGCCAAGCGCGAGGAGATGGACCAGGCCAAGCGTGCTGAGGAGGAGTCTGTTGAGGTGAAGCGTGATATTGAGCAGGAGCAGGTGGTAGAACGTGACGAGGCCCAGAAGGATGATGCCGCATAGAGATTCATCCCCCACTAAACTAAATTTCCTTTCTTTCCTGTCATAAACAGCTGGCGATTTTATTTATTTATCATACCGGTGCTACAATTGTACACTGAGTTTTCCCACTTCTGTTCTCAATGCTGTGATATCGAGTGACTTGTTGATTGTACTTGTAACTTGTAGCTCGCTCCATTGAGGGATGACTGAGTTGAATACTCGAGGGTAATCGTGAGACCTCGTGAGAACACGGCTCAAGCTATGTCAGGCTTGTTAATCGCTCCCCAACTCAGCGGGACCACAGCCATGTCAGTTGATCATAATTGCAATGGGCAGGGTGATATTTTAGGTAGACATAAGTTATTACATACTGGAAGCTTATATTATCGCAGGTAAGTCCCTAGAGGCGTGCTTTTTCCGTTGTCGCCTTTTCTACTGCACACTTCCTCCTGTTGTTCTCATCCTGTACTAGATCCACGGGCAACTCGGCCTTCCTTGCCCTCAAAAACTCCCCTATACTCTTCCCAAATCCATCCAAGACACTACTACTGCTGACGCCTTCTTGCAGGATGCCTTTGATGACGAAGTGTACCGCCCGTAAATGAGGGAACTCGCATCGCTCAATAGTATACCTGTCATCCCAATCATCTGCAAGCAGCTCGACCAGCTTGGTAGAAGTCAGAAAATTTCTTGCCCAAGGGTAGGCCTTCTCTGAGCGTACCCAGAAGCCAACATTTGCGTTGCCTCCTTTGTCACCACTGCGGGCAAAGAAAAGATCACCCAACGGCCGCACGACCACGGCGTGGGCATTGCTTGTGTCAAACATAGAGGGATGGGGTTCTGGCTTTGGTAATGAATTAACAGGTTTGATCGGCGTTCTTTTTCTTGAAGGAACAGAAAGGACTTCTCCAGACACAAACTTGACAGAGAGATCTGGGAGGAAGCTTCGATTGATCAATGCAGGGAAATATCTGACGAAAGGCTTCGGCTCCATGGTCCTCCAATCCATCCCAAGATGCAGCCCGCAATATCCCTGCATGCCGTTGTAGAAGATTGCCCTTCGAAACTGCGAGAATGCCTCTTTGTTGGGGCTCTGGGCAAACATGCGAATCTGAACAGTACACTCTTTTTGAGATCGCGGGTCGGGGAGAGAGCTGCCATACTTTTCGATGCTGAAAGTTGAAAAGTCTGCCATATTCACTTGGCCAAGGACCTGGTGTTTCATGAGATTGAACTTGAAGTCTGTGTCGAGCCCAGCAGCATAGGCAGATATCTCGGCTTGATAACCGCCCAGTTGGCAAATAGCCACTTTGGATGTTTCTGGGGGAGGAAGCCCAGTTATTCCTGATAGCCTTACGCGGCTGGGGCCGATTTGCTCCAGCTTCGCTTGCCCAATGAATGCCGTTACGTCAGGGTTTAGATACCGGTGGCCTTGGATCTCGTAGAGAAGTTGAGCGGTGCAGGTGTCGACTGTCACCGCGCCATTGGATCCATCAGATTTGGTGATGACAGTGCTTCCATCGAAGGAGATTTCCGCGATGGGATATCCGACATGATGGAGCTCAGCAACTTCCATGGCTCCGCAGTAGTTCCCGCCAGTCACATAGGCACCGCATTCGATCAGATGGCCAGCCATAAGACTTCCAGCCAGAGGATCGTAGTCTGAGGGACCCCAGCCGTGCCACCAAGTCGCCAAACCCATGACAGGGGAGGCATCGCAGCATCGCCCGCATATCACAATATCTGCACCGGCTTCCAGCGCTTTCACAATGCCCTCCTGGCCTGTGTAAACGTTCGCTGCAAGTGTAGGTGTATCGTCGCTGTTGTTGAATGTGACACCATTTTGGTCGAGATGCCGAAGACCGACCAACTTGTTACTTTTGACCTGCTCGGTGACATTGTCTCCCTCAATCCAGGCTACTTTGACGTTTGAAATATCCAAAGACTTGAAGTATTTGTCTACTTTCTCAGCCAAGCCCTTGGGATTCAGAGCACCGCCGTCATGGACCACCTTCACCTTGTTGTGAGCAACTGCTTTCGCGCCGGAACCATTCTCCCACGCAAGCTGTTCCAGGAAGTTGGGTTCATACCCAAGTTCTGGATTTGTCTGCAGCTCGATGGCCTTCCAGGCAATGTTGAACTCGGCGAGGTAATCGGCAGTGATGGCATCCACATCGCCGGACGAAGCAAGGCGGAAGACTTGGTCTATCCCGTCACCGATCGCCCCCGACGCATTTCCAATTCGAATCGGGCGCCGGGGTCTCTCTTGTTGATTGGATGCCATTTTGATTTATTGTACTTTAATTTGTTTTGAGAAGCGACAACAGTTTCAACAGCACCAGTTGATTTGCAACTCAAACCCATACAATACGCTGAATGCCCAGTGATCGAGCCGGTTCAATTTCGACTTCAACCCTAAGAGACCGTATTCTTCCCCGCATGGGAAGCCGTCTTCCAAGAATTCGAACACTTTTGTCGGCCCGGAGCTACAACAAGTGGTCAAATTGGGCAGATGGCTGGTACAACCCTGGCGCGAAGCTACTGATTCAGACCCCAAGAGCAACCGGATTCGATCTTCCGGACATGTTCTCCGTGAACCTTCTCCAACCAATCTAAATATACTCGGCTGAGTTTTTCCAGCACCCTCAACAGTAATTGGAACTAGTATCTCATGGACTCGATTTAGTGAACTATTGCCGTAAGAACACGCCTGGGGTGTGCTAATGGATGGCCTCGTGAGAGGTCAATACATTGTAGCCTCCTCATGATGCATTATGTTTAAGCCAGTGGATGAAGTTCGTAACTATTCACATGTGACAATAGTATCCTCCAAGCTATTCACCATCTCAATAGATCACAATGAGAATTTACAATCAAGAGCGGAAATTGCACATCCCTCGAGATGTCAACCTCACGCAACTCCTTCATAAAACGCACAAAGAGCTGCCGCTATCGCATGTCATCGCATCGGATAGTCTGACAAACAGAAGCATCACTCTTGGACAGCTTCGAGATCGTGCAGGCCGTCTTGCTCGAGGCTTTTCACAGACTCTCCAACCTCCCGACCAGTCTCGCTGGGCTATAATTCTACCCAACAGTGTTGACTTCTTGGAGCTGGTGCACGCAGTTATTTGGACGGGAGGCGTTGCTTGTCCAATCAATCATGCCCTGAAATCGACTGAGATTGGCCATGGCTTGGCCGTTTGCCAACCGGTATTCATCGTCGCATATGGCCAGATTTTAAGCAGCGTTGAGGAGGCAATCGCCGTCGCCCGCGACGAGCTTGTGAGAGAAGGAATCGAGTGGGCAGCTCCCACGGTTATCACGATAATCGAAAAGCCTGCTACATCGACCGTCCAGCACATTCCAGCCGACTTTCTCTCAGATACATCGCTCCCAGTCCCCGACTACGAAGATAATGCTACTCGGGTAGCGACAATACATCTGTCTTCCGGGACGACAGGGAAGCCGAAGGGAGTGATGCTCACGCATCGAAATTTCATCGCCAATGTATTCCAGCTTTTAGCCCACGACTCCTACCAATTCCATTCTGCCTCCAGAACCGTTGCTTTCACACCATGGGCGCACATCGCGATGACCACAATGCCGCTCTTCCTGGCCCCATATACCGGCATGTTTCATCACGCGATGCCTCAATACAACCTGGAGAAGTTCGCGCAGCTGGTGAGCTCGGTCCAGGCGACGAACTTTCAAGGCGTGCCTTCGGTGGTGTTGAGCTTGGCAAAGAGCGACGTGACTGATCGTTACGACTTCTCTAGAGCCTCAATTCTGAATGTGGGAGGAGCGCCATTGAAGAAAGCAGATCTAGCCAAACTCATGAGTCGGGCGCCGTGGAGGCTCATACAGGCGTATGGAATGACAGAAGCTGCGGGATACGTTGCATATCAGACGTTTGACGAAACTCTACCAGACGGGTGCACTGGAAACATGCTCCCGGGAATCGAAGCCCGTCTCATGGTTGAGGGAAAGAATGAGGAGGCCCCGGAAGGCGGACCGGGCGAGCTATGGCTCCGAGGGCCCAATATCACGAGTGGATATGTATTCAATGAAGAGGCGAACCAAAAGGCATTCCCTGAACCTGGTTGGTATAACACCGGAGATGTCTGCAAGATTGACTCTCAGGGCCGGCTGTTCATCGTAGGACGGACCAAGGATTTGATCAAGTACAAGGGCTTTCAAGTATCACCCCAGGAACTGGAATCGTATCTGAATTCACATCCGCTGGTTGCAGAAGCTGGAGTGGCCGCACTGTGGGACGAGTCTCAACTGACTGAGCTTCCCACCGCCTGGGTCATTCTCAAGCCAGATTCCGCCAAGGGTAACTCCAAGGAGAGAAGAAACGCCCTCAAAACAATACAAAAAGCGATAGACTCACAAGTTAGTGGTTACAAGAAGCTTCGGGGTGGAGTCTGGGAGGTGCCGAGGCTCCCAAAGAACGCAACGGGCAAGATTCTTCGCAAAGAAATGGCCGAGATGAGAGCAGGGCTTTGTTCCATTGATGAGACAATTTACTCAAAATTGTAACCTGAATGGATAAATTTTTAGAGCAACAGAAATTGAACAATCAGAGTATTTCTGAAACATTAATTACTTTCTAGAAAACAGAAACCAAGTCATCAATCAATTCATGACACGGTGGTCTGCACGAGGTTCCTCTGGTGAAGTTCGTTGGAAATAGCGAGGCATTAGCTTGTATTACTTCCTTGCTACTTTGATGCCACTGTTTTTCTGGCTCATTGGGTATTTATGAATAACAAGGCCATTGGCTTAAAAGGAGTCCAAGGCACCGACCCAATCCCGGATAAATAAATCGGCCAACCTTACGCGGACATAAAGTTTCACCTCTTCCCTTGCCTTTCTTACCCAGACCCCCACCTCCCCTCACTTCTTCTCAAACTACTTCCTTACAGATCTAAGTCGAAGAACAGTACAACCATGTCGAACGAATTAGTTGTCATCGCTCGCCTTCTCACTCCTGGCGGAGAAGTCCGCGACCAGGTATGATAGTTGAAGGACACAGCTACTCTTAGAATTCAACGCTCACATGAACTAGGTCATCGAACGCCTCAAGAAAATTGCCCAAGAAGCCCACGACGCAGAGCCCAGCACCACCGTTTACGCGATTTTGGTCCCCCGAGAGGATGACGGAACAACAATCTTCGTCGCTGAATGGTTTGGATATCGCATATGCCCTGGAGCCGAATTTGATAGCTGATCGACTGTGAACAGGTACAAAGACCAGGCAGCGTTTGATTTGCACATGAAATCGCAGTCGGTCAAGGAGATTCTGGACTGGGCACCGTCGATTCCCTTCTTCGCGACGAACCCCCCTCACCTGACTCTACAGCCCGTGTCCAAGGAGTTCTCCTTCTCCAGGCCTACGGCAGGCACTCACTCCGATCCGCACGTAATTATCGCCGAACTCGACTACGTTCCTGGCGGTGTCGAGACTTCAACTCCTTATTGGAAGGCTGTTGTTGATACGGGCAGAGATAAGGAGGACGGGACATTACTGTATGGGCTCTTGAAGGACCCCAGTGCGGAGAACAAGCTGTACACGTTCGAGGCGTACGAAAGCCCTGAGTACTTGAAGTCGGTCCATGTGCCGAGTGATGCCGTCTCAGAAAACATCAAGAACACTAAGCATTTGAGAACGGGGCTGAAGCACAATGTCTTGAAAGTGATTGGAGGCTACTTGTATAAGGAGTAATAGATAGATCTTTCTTCTCATTAAATGTAGCTATGGCGTTCCAGATCCGCCAATAAATTTGCTATGGGTACCAAAATAATACAATCTATTATCCTTCACCATTGCGACCGTTGGCTGCCTGCTGTTTTCGAGACTCTGCCACTACACTGATACTGTTTCCCGCCTATCATTTGACATTCACATCAGTCGAGAGAACTGTACTCGGCGAGGTAAGTGTGGTACGCCTGTTGCGAGAACAAACTGGTAGTGTGAAACAACCCCGCATCTGCTGGCGAGGATATCTTCATCCCCAACATGCACCAGCACACTCCCATGAGTCATTAGCCTTGGAGACACCATCGTGCATGATACACCACCATGAATCAGTAACCCTGCAATACCAATAGTTTCTCGTGCTTTGCCACGGATCGCTGAGTCTGGAGATACGTGTCTCATTGCTCTCATATCTCCGAAGATGACCTCTCCTAGTGGTGGCAACTAGCTACCCTCCCTGATTGAATCAATGCATGCCATGCGGAAACTGGTATCGATATCCGGTATAATGTATTGATCAGCTCTGGGTCCCATGGCTGATGATCACCCTTCAGAAGTACCCGTATCAAGTGGTATAGAGATGGAGAACCCGAATTGTACCAATTTCCATGAGCAGGGTATATAGTACCTGCGGTAACTAGAAGACCCTAGATCTAGAATTAAAGGTTTGGTTAACACTATCCATCCCAAGCCATCCTCACACACACTCCCAAGCATGGCTCCCTCCGCTATCACCGTCACCAGCAATGGAGGCAACGACGGGCCCTTTGAGCTCGGAGTTCCCTCCAACCGGCCCATCCGCATCGCTGGATGCTCGGGAGGTGAGTGCTGAACACCACCAACTATACTGATTCCTTGTGGCTAACGGGTGATAGGCGTGTACGATCGCAAGCGCGCCATGGAGGACATGGCCAAGAACGAGGAGGTCGACGTCATCACCGGCGACTGGATGTCAGAATGCAACATGACGCTCCGCGGCTCCGACAAGCGAGACAGGCTGGCCAACCGTGAGATGGCGACCGGCTCGTCCGTCGTCGCAAAGGGGTACGAACCCTACTTCCTCGAGGAGGTCGACCCGGCCATCCCGTGGCTGGCGAGGAAGGGCACGAAGCTGGCGGTGAATGCCGGTGCGAGCGATGTGCACGGCCTCGCTGTTGCAGTCAAGGAGCTGATCAAGAAGAACGGCGTTGACCTCAAGGTCGGTGTTGTCGATGGTGACGACGTGACGGATGCCGTGTTGGATCTGTACAGGAAGGGAGAGCCGTTCTATAATCTTCCCGCCAACAAATCCATCCATGAATGGGGATTTGAGCCTGTCTGCGCGCAGTGCTATCTTGGCGGCACTGGCATTGCTGAGTGCTTCCGGGCCGGTGCTGACATTGTGCTCTGCGGCCGTGTAGCGGATGCGTCCGTCACCGTGGGAGCAGCGATGTGGTGGTGGGGTTGGAACCGAGAAGAGCATATCACAGAGCTCGCAGGGACTCTGATGGTCGGTCATATCATTGAATGTTCAACATATGCTACGGGAGGATACTACTCTGGCTTTAAGGACCTCGGTGTCAACGACTTGGACATGGGATATCCCATCGCATCCGTCGAGAAGGACGGCACGGCTGTTGTGACCATGGAGAAGGGCCGTGATGGCCTGGTGAATGTCGCAACCATCGCCAGCCAGCTTCTGTACGAGATCCAGGGCCCATTATACTACAACTCTGATGTCACAGCTTCGATTGAAGATGTCAAGTTGGAGCAGGTTGGGAAGAATGCCGTTCGTGTGTTTGGCATCAAGGGCTTTCCCGCTCCACCAACAACCAAGGGTAAGTCTGCACCTACTGACTGACAAGATTTGAGATCTATGCTAACATTGAACAGTTGGCATCACAGCAAAGGGCGGTTGGCAAGCAGAGTTCCACTTCTATCTGACCGGGCTCGACATCCCGGAAAAGGCTGCCATGATTGAACGCCAGACCAAGGCCCGCATGGGCAAGTACCTCGACAAATTCTCCTGCCTGAAGTTTATGATTGCTGGCGATGTCCCCAAGGACCCCCAGTCCCAAGAGGAGGCCACAGTTGATATGCGCATCTTTGCACAGACCCGCGATCCCGAGTTGCTCTCCGGAAGCAGCTTCGTTGATTCTGACCGAGGTTCATTTGCGCGGTTCTGCATCGAGAATCTGCTCCAGAGCTACCCAGGAGGAACCATGGCACCGGATATGCGCACTGCCGTAGGACGCCCGTTCTTCGAGTATTGGGTCGCTCTCATGCCCCAGACATTTGTCGAGGAGACGGCCCATCTTCCGGATGGAACGGTCAAGAAGATCAGCCCACCAACGAAAACACAAGAGTTCCCTCGTGAGCAGCCCTCACAGGCCGTGACGACCAATCCTATTGATCTCAGCTCCCTCGGCCCAACCACTCGTGGACCATTGGGCTGGGTAGTGATGGGCCGCTCCGGAGATAAATCATCAAACGCCAACCTCGGGCTCTTTGTTCGCCACGAGGATGAGTGGGACTGGCTGAGAACTGTGCTGTCGACGGAGCAGCTGCGAAAGATGCTGGGCAAGGACGATGTCGGAAAGCAAATCGACCGGTTCGAGCTGCCCAACATCTGGGGAGTGCACTTTCTTCTCAAGGACCACCTAGACCGTGGTTTCAACTCTACATCTAGCTTTGACAGCCTAGGGAAGAATCTGTGTGAGTACATCAGGAGCAAGTACGTTGACATTCCGAACGTGTTCCTCGAGAGGGGCAAGATCTGAGAGGGGAGTTAAATGATGGACGGCTGTACGTTACGCATGCTACAACGAATAAGACATTTCTCAATTATGATAGACCAAATTGCTTGTACAACATGATTTGAAATTTCAGAAGGAAACTTAGACTGGAGGATAGGGATGCAGTGCCTCTGCTTTAGCTAGGTGCATTTGTGGTCATGCTCCGACATTCGATCTGCGCCCAACTGAGTAGAGCCCAAGAGTTGGCCTTTCTCTATCACGCTTGGCCTTCTTCCAGGCCTTCTTATTTAAATCCATGGGCTTGATGTATAGCTGGCCATCTTCTCCCCTTGCCATGCCCGGGGGCAGGTCGCTCAATTGGTTCATGCCCTGTTTTGACTTTCGAAAACTGACCTGGAATATTCTGGTAAGTGATCCCTTCATATTGATGTCTCATGGCACTGGCTTTTAGTATACCCCAAAGCACATCTTAAGGTTCTATTAAATGAGAAATAAGTTCTCGGCAAACGTGGCGGATGTGGTAAGTTTGACCGTCTCTCGCTCCTTGTTGATTAGCAGCTTGTGAATTCGTGAGTCAATATGTGGGAAAGGTGGATGATCTGAGCGACGAGGTGGCATTTAAGCGCATGTATAATTATCACGCGGGACTTATTTATTGATTTAGAGACACGAAGCTTTTAATAGAGTATAGGGGCTGTGTTCTCTGGTACTGTAACCAGTCCCTGACTTTGATTACGCGGAGAGACTCACAAATGAAGCCCCAACGGTGAAAACGGAGATCTTGGGAAAGCCCGTGATGGCTCTCCGGAGAGCCGTCATAGATAAATGGCCGTTGTCCCCGAATACAGTCTGTGGAAGCCCGGCGTGAATTGAACTGTAAAAATACTGACTTGCCTGCCAGGATCTGTCTCTGGCATGGCCTTGCTCTCTTTCCATCTCGTCTCTGCATCTGATTCTAAGCAGTGAGACTGGGCCGAGGCTCTTCGGCAATGTTTCGGGGGATGAAGCCCTGTAACAGGGGGTCCAGGGGTGACTTATAGTGAGTAGCCGCCTATAACTCAGCTGAACACTGCTCATCTTCACTTCTCATCATCTGTAACCATCTTGCACTGAATTCATCCTCATCCTCCATTGTCTCCAACATATTCGCTGCTCATCACACGCAATGGCCGACGACAAGCCAGTCAAGAACGCCTCCGGGCGATATGACAATGTGGACTTCCGCAAGGCTGCTGGGTTCAAATACCCTCCCATCAAGTGCAGCTACAACCGCAGAGACGTGCTGCTCTTTGTAGGTGAACCATCCCCGCACCCAGATTCCACCAGCTCACAAATCCCAAGGCCAATGCCATCGGTGTGAAGCAGGACGAACGCCATTTCCTGTACGAGCTTCACCCCAAGTTCTCCGTCTTTCCCACATTCCCCATCAATCTCGCCTTCAAGCAGACGGACCAGGACGTGTTCGACTTCATCTCACGCACCACGGGCACCCATGTCCCCGGGACACCGCCATTCGATGCCCAGCGCTCGGTCGACGGCGAGAGGGGCATCGAGATCTTCAAGGAGCTCCCCGTCAGCTCCAGCGGCCTGGACCTGGAGATCCAGGGCAAGGTCATCGGCGTCTACGACAAGGGCGGTGCCATGATCCTCGAGGCCGAATACGACCTCGTCGATATCAAGACGAACACCGTCTACTGCCGCATGACCAACACCGCCTTTGGCATGGGACAGGGTGGCTACAACGGGCCTCGAGGACCGTCCAAGAAGCCTGTCAGCCCGCCTTCGCACGAGCCAGACGCCGTCTATTCCTACGCCACCACCCCGGAGGTCGCGCTGCTTTATCGTCTCTGCGGGGACTACAATCCCATGCACGCTGATGATGAGTTCGGTCGTCGTGGTGGGTTCAAGGGTGCCATTCTCCAGGGACTCGGTACATGGAATATTGCCGCGCACGGCGTTTTGAGAGAGCTTGGCGGCGCTGAGCCCGGTAGGCTGAAGAAGTTTGGCGCCAGGTTCAAGAACGTGGTGTATCCTGGGGACGAGCTGGTGACCAAGATGTGGGTTGTGGGAACTTCCGGAGGTGAGTTGGACGTTATTTTCGAGACGGTGGTCAAGGGTGATGGGCGGGTAGCACTGTCAAATGGCTATGCGAAGATAGCAAAAGACGCAAGCAAGCTGTAAATATCTACATGACTCTACTCTAGGAGGAAATATATAACTGCATACAACATATCTACAGATGTGATGGAAACCATTTGGGCTCTCTCTTCTCTCGATACGCGGCCAATCCCTCCTGTGCGTTTTGGCTCCGTAGCATACCCTCTGCCCACAGCTCCTGTCCTCGCATCGTGGCCCTGCTCACGCCCGTCTCCCAGGCTTCTCTGGCTGCCAGACGCGAGATGATGACGCTGTCCGGGCTCAGGCTTGCGATCTCACTGGCATAATCCAGCGCCCTCTCGAGGAGCTTCTCCTGCGGGACGATTTCCTTCAGGAGCCCCCATTGTAGTGCCTCTTGGGCTTCGAGTACTCGGCCGGTGAGGATCAGGTCCATTGTTCGATGGTTGCCGAACAGCATCATGGAACGGGGGAGAGCGCCAGCGAGGGCGGAAACGCCTCGAAGCACCTCGGGGAGTCGGAATGTGGCATTGGGCGAGGCAAAGATGACATCTGCGTTGAGGACGATCTCAAACCCGCCTCCTGAACACTGGATTAGCAATAGATATCTTTATGGCCTGATGTAAGTCTCACCGTGGGCGTGCCCATTGCAAGCGATCACGATGGGCTTCTTCCCCGTACGATTCGACATGCCTCCGAACCCGCCACTGGGGTATTCATGGGCTACATTCCCCGTGTTCAGGATGTCCAGACGCTGCTTGAGGTCCATGCCCGCGCAAAAGGCCTTGTCGCCGGCGCCTGTGAAGACGGCACATCGCAGCTCGGGCTCGGAGTCGTACCACTTCCAGAGCGCACCGAGCTCGATTGTGGCTTCCACGGGCAGGCAATTGCGGTTCTCGGGGCGATTGATTGTGACTAGCAGAACGTGCTTTCTTGGGAAGGTTACAAGACTGTGCTCAACATGCGGGTAAGGGACCTCGATCCAGTCAGGGATGGGGTTTTTCGTTCTCGGTGCAGACATTATTGGCGGTTTCTTCTTGAATTCTTCTCGAATAGGACGTATTACAGTCAATCAGATCAATCTCAACAACCTATGACTTGGTACCAACTACCATCTCATGTTCTTGAGCTTATCGACGTCCTTGGCTTTCCAAAGCACCAACTACCGTCAAGCCATGAGACCTCGGTCGCCCGGCTCGACAAGTCTGGAATCTACAGGGCCCGTGTGAATCTTGCTGTTTCGGGCATGAAGCTGTTCAGGGCGATAACTTGGGGTGGAATCCATTATCCGTCTCCAACCCCCTCACGCGACACGAAGCAACCCCCCTCATGAATCATTGTGCGGCCTCCAAACTATCCCACCATATTGACTCATGAAGAGTGTCTGGGGCCCCGCGTTGAATTTCCAGCCCCTGCATCAAATTATGTACACGAGTTCGCTACATGTCCCAAGCTGCAGAAGTGGCTCCGGGGTACCGCTAACAAGATGATCCCCCCATATGAATCAAAGGGGGTTTGTTAACCGAGGTATCTGGGGTTGTTTCAATGAATTTGTAGTAGCTGAACCTCACTGATTTGGCTGTCTTGGATTCCAGTAAAATGCCCTGAAGAGGTCTCCATGCATTGTCTTGCCAACATACAGCTCACCCTGAGTCTTTGAGCCAAACACCACCATGTCGCATTCACACCCAACCAAATCACCTCCCCCTCCAACACCGTCCTTCCTCAAGCTCACCTTCCCAGCCCCCCGGGTGCTCCTCATCCGCATGGACCGCCCAAAGGCGCTCAATGCGATGACGACCGCCGCCCAGTGGGAGATGGACTCGGTCTGGAAATGGTTCGACGCGGAGCCCAATCTGTCAATCGCCATTCTCACGGGCACCGGGCGCGCATTCTCCGCCGGGGCGGACCTCAAGGAGTGGAATGGGAGCATGGCGCCCGACGCCGACCCGAGCAAGAGGATGGGCAAGGCCCCCGAGTTCACTCCGCTGAGCAGGCGGATGGGCAAGAAACCAGTCATCGCCGCGGTGAACGGCCTCGCGATGGGCGGAGGCTGCGAGTTTGTCGTGAACTGCGACATTGTCTTGGCTAGGGAAGAGGCGACCTTTGGCCTGCCTGAGGTGAAGAGGGGAGTTGCTGCCATTGGAGGCGCTTTGCCCAGACTCATCAGGAATATTGGGCTTCAAAGGGCGTCTGAGTTTGCCCTGACTGGTCGCACTGCCACTGCTGCAGAGATGGAGAGCTGGGGGATCGTGAATAAGATTGTCCCTAAGGATGGAGACCTGATCAAGGAGGCGGTCGACCTTGCAGCAACTATTGCTGAGAATAGTCCAGATTCAATTATTTGTACGAGAGCATGTCTACGACAAGGTTGGCAAACAGATGTTGAGACGGCCGTGTCAGAGACACTGTCGAAGGAATTCGAGGAACTGCAACGAGGTGAAAATATTCTGGAAGGATTGAAAGCTTTTACGGAGAAACGGAAACCAGTTTGGAAGGGTAGTCGTCTATAAGGTCTAATTAGAATATGCTTCGTCTTTCTACAGATTTCATGGACTAGATGGCATGTTTGATTTCCAGACGAAAGACTAAGGATACGTGGATGGATTGAACTTCCAGCCAGTAACCGGATGAAGGAGTTTACAATTTTACAATGTTTTTTACACCCAATATACCAATAACCCCAAAATGGTCAAGAAATTAACACAATGGATGGACAATTACGCTAAAATACAATGACATACCTGATGAATCCATCTAGCCAGCCTCAGACGACCTTGATCTCGACCTCGGGCGGATACACATTCCCAGTCTCACTTGGAGATAGACTCTTGGTCATATCCCGGTCTCGGGGTATGGGCTATTCTCGATTAAGGTGTGATTAAACGGCTCTAAAGCTGACCCCCATCATTACTCAGTTTTCCAACTCCCCAGCTCCCCGCACCATCAAGGCCCCTCCCCACTCCCCCATGTTCTTAGGCAAGAGAGGACTCAGCTTCTCCGCGATGGCAGCCATTTTCCGGGGAAGTGGGACTTCTCAGTCTTGGTTCGGGGTAGAGGGAGTGTCCGATAGAGCCAAGCGTTGGTGGCTGGCTACATTGCGTAGGTCTTGGGGAGTGAGACATGGGCAACACTTGATGACACATTGCAGAACAATAGTCTATCATCGTGCTGTGCTAGAACCAATTCGTTTCCATGCTATTTTCGCAATCACAACAACCCGGTGCTTCCCTGCCCCTGCGAAAATAGCATAAACTCAGGGTCCTGCTCCGTCATTCTCGAGTTACGATACCGACACACTCAAACCTTCTATTCTTTGTCACTCCTCAGATCACCACTGCCTAAATTTTGCGATGCCGACTCTATCACAGAAAGGCTCTGTTGATGGAGTGGAGGTAAGCAGGTTGGAAAACATCGACTACGTCAATACTATTGAGCAAGAGAAGGAGAAGGCAAAGCGAGACAGCGATGCCGATTCCGTCAACTCCGCCGCCCTGGGTGACGATATTCCTCCTGGTTACTTCTACTCTCCTCGTTTCCTAGGCTGCCTATTAGTATGCACTCATGTTCTCTTATCTCTGTGCCAGATCAAAACTAACCTTGCCAAAGGCTTTCTGTCTCTCGGCCATCAGTGCCTACCTATTCCTCATCCTTCCGACAAATATCCTTACCTATATCAACGAGGATATCGGTCCTAGCAGCTACATATCATGGTTCAACATTGCACGAACACTCTCCCTCTCGTTCACCTACACTATTCTCGGTCGACTCTCCGATCTTTTCGGCAGAAGATGGTTCTTCATCGGTGGTAATATCGTTGCTTTGGTGGGGATTATCGTCTGTGCATTCGCGAAGAATGTCGACTCTCTCATCGTTGGCGCTGCCATCTACGGGCTGGGAGAAACAGTTCAGCTGTCTTTCAATGTAGCTATTGGCGAGCTTGTTCCTAACAAGTATCGACCAATGGTTCTTTCATTCATCTTCTTGACCAATGCTCCTATCGCGACTTTTGGGCCCATCATCGGTGAGTGAGCAAAATGCCCTGAAATGATTGTACTCTGAGGCTAATATATGTTGAAGCACGAAAATTCATCGAACACACGAACCTAGGCTGGCGCTGGTGTTTCTATATCAACATCATCGATGTCGGTCTTACCATCATCCTCCTCTACTTCTTCTATCACCCACCAACCTTTGAGCTCCTCCACGAACGCACGACTAAGAAGCAGCTCCTAAAAGATCTCGACTATCTCGGCATCTTCCTCTGGACTGCTGGCCTGACCATCTTCCTCATGGGTATCTCATGGGGCGGCAACATGTATCCTTGGAAGAGCGCTGCCACCATCTCCTCCATCGTCATCGGCGTAGTCCTCCTCGTTGCGATGTTCGTCTGGGAGAGCTACGCTGATCTCAAGTATCCCGCCATCCCCGTCAAGTTCTTCCGCAACCGCGGTTTCGTCAGCCTGGTCACCATGGCCACCGTGGCGAGCATGTTCTACTACTCGGCCGTGCTGCTCTGGCCGCAACAAGTCCAAGCCCTCTTCACCAAGGACGTGACATACGCAGGCTGGCTCTCATGCACCGTGGCCTCGAGCACAGCCCTCGGTCAAGTCTGTGCCGGCGCCATCGTTCGCTGGGGAGGAAACGTCCGCTACTGGCTCATCTTTTCCACCTTTGCCATGGTGGGCTTCGTGTCTGCCCTGGCTTCGCTGACGCCTGCGGATAAGAACACTGGCATTGCTTTGACCATCCTGGGCCCCTTCTTCGTCGGCTTCATTGAGCTTGCGTCTCTCGCCCTGGCGCCGTTATTCTGTGCTGCCCAGGACATTGGTCTCGCCTCTGGGCTGCTTGCATCGATCCGATCTGCAGGAGGATCTATTGCGGTTACTGTGTATAGCACCATCCTCACCAACCGCCTTTCCAGCACCATCCCTGAGATTGTTGTTCCTGCGGCCGAACAAGCTGGTCTGGATCCGTCCCAAGTATCCAGCCTGCTCAAGGCAGTCACGGCAAAGAATCTCTCGGGCTTCTCATCGGCCATTCAGGCGGCTGTGTCGGGGGCGCTTCCTTCAGCATACGCTGCCGCTTTCAAGACTGTCTATCTTGCTAGTTTGGGATTTGGAGGTATCGCGATCGTTGGGTGTTTGTTCTCCAAGGACGCTAAGGAGCACTTGACTGATAAGGTGGAGAGGAAGATGGGTGATGCCAACGTTAAGAAGACCCAGAAGGATATGGCTGTGTGATTTGTGTTTCTGCTTCATAACCAGAATGTACTTAGGTTGCTAATACAGTCTTCTTATGGGATCATCTACAAAAATTGCTCTGAGATTACGCAAATAAGTTGTGCGATGCAGGATATGTCAATTTCAAATTCAGACTTCATGATATTATTACTAAAAAAGTACATCAATATGACCTTGTTGACTGTTCCCATCCCATCAAAATATCTCAAAGTTTAGGAATCAACTCCTCTTCTTTTGGCACAGCAGGGACAATGAGTGGTGCACCTCCCAAGACGATCCTCCTTCTCGCATCCGCATAACCCTTGGCGTACTTATCCAACAGCGATGTCTCCCTGAAAGCGCCGTTGAAGCGACCGTCATCCCAGTACAGCCGTCGTAGCCACGAATGCAGCTGTGGGTAATCGTGTCGGATGCTACGCAGGGTGCACTGCATTACAGTGTGGTACGCAGCGTCGAAGCGAACCAGAGTAGTGAACAAGCGCACATCTGCTTCTGTCAGGCCATCGCCGAAGAGGAATTTGCGACCATCGGAGAGACGAGACTCGAGTCCGTCCAGGGCGGCGAAGAGGGGTGTGATGTTCTCGTTGTACGCCTCCTGCGTAGCGGCAAAACCAACCTTGTAGACACCGTTGTTGACGTCGCGATATACCCATTCGTTGAGCTCATCAATATCCTTGCGTAACGCCTCGGGGTACAGACCTCCGTTGGGCTGGTTGGCCGCACGAAGATGCTCGGACACAACAGCATCAAACTCCGAGGCAAACATGCGTAGGATCTCGGACGATTCGTTGTTCACGGGCTGGTCCGTCTTCTTGTCCCAGAGAAGAGGGACCGTGAATCGGCTATCATAGTTGGGATCTGCCTTGAGATAGAGCTGTCGGATCTTGGTGAAGCCCGGGTGCAGCGGATCTTCGGCCAGGGAACCCTCCTCGCCGCTGAAGTACCAGCCCTCGGGTCCCATAACAGGGTGGAATGTGTAGACATCAATGGCGGATTCTAGCCCTTTGAGCTTCCTGGCGATGAGCGTGCGATGGGCCTATCTCGGTCACGAATATTAGCGGTTGAGCGCAGCTGAGACGAAGAACAGTCATACCCATGGACACGACGGACTCAGGTAGAGCACATATCTGCCCGCCTCGGCTGGAAACTGGGAGTTTGGGTCGCTGGATACAAAGCTGCGAAATGTACTGTCTGGCCGGACAAACTTGCCATCCTTTGACTGATAAGTCTGCAGTATCTGTGAGCTCTTGTGTTATAATGTCATGGATGAGAGATCATACGATTCCTGTAGCCATGATGTCGAACTTGTAAATGAGCTCTTTCAGTGGACAATATGCTTCTGCTCTTTACATCAGAGGTATAACATCCAAGTCATATGGCCCGTTCTACATGGGATGAACACCATTAAATATCTTTTGGCCCAAAAGTGCTTATCCATTTTGACTGCATCCAAGGCCATCATCATTGCGCCATCACCCTGGACACTGGAAGCCGGACCAGGAAGCCGGACCATGAGCGGACCAAAGAGCTTAGAAATTCGGCTTATCAAGCAGCCGCGCGGTTGCCGAGAACGAAGCGGAGTGGGTGGGTGAGTGAGACTGATGATCTTAGAGGGCAGGTCAACTGTCCCACCTAGCACGTGACTTCCTGCGGCCTGGCAGAGGCCGTTGTTCGTAATACCTTGGAATTTGCTTACTAAGTTATCTATATATAGCCCAGAACAAAGCTAAGATACTGCCTTAGGCATCCATTGTAACGCGTTGAACCCCGCTCTGCCTGTGGACTTGTTATACAACCGACCTACGTACCTACCTTAACAATAACAACTATTTCTTAAATCAGCAACACAGACACACGAAGCTATGGATTATTTTCTCCCAGGAAAATATAAAAATGCACTTGGAGGCTATGGTGTACTGATTTCGGACCTTCATCCAACGATATACACACGTTCATCCGAAGTGGGCAGCGACATCGCGAAGCTTGACTTCGATATCCAGCAGTTCCTAGCCCACATCGAATGCCCAGGTGATGCTTCAACACGGGCGTCACGATTTGAAGATCTTGGAAGGATGTTTTTCGCCCGATGGATAGCGAAGGGAGCGATCCCAGATCTCGAAAATAGCATCAAGAATCATCAGGCGGCATTAACCTTGACACAACCCGGAGCGCCCCTACAAACAGCCAGACAGGCAGGCCTGTCTGAGGCTATGCGTGCAAAAGTTATCGCATCAAATGATAAAGGCTATACAGATGTTTACATTCAATCACTGCAGGATTTGTTTCAGAGCACCGGCTCCAAGTATCTTCTGCCATTAGCTGAGGCGTATGGAATACGGTTGATCCAATTCCGTGATGCTGAAGACCTCGACAAATATAGCGACTTGCTTCAAGAAGTCTTAGATCTCCCCTCTAGTCGTGGTGACTTACGTCGGAAACCCCTTATGCTCTTAGGACAGTCATATGTCACGAAACATGAAGTAACGGGCGATCTAGGCCACCTCGATGCATGTTTCGAACTATATCAGGAGGCACTAGATATTCCCGCGAATACCATTGAAGCTACTATTGAGCGAACATTGGTACTCCAAAGCCTAGGGGAGGCCTTCCGAACGAGATGGCTTCGGTTGGGAGATCCGAAAGATGCTGAGTTATCTCTTCATTGGTGTGAGGAAGCGGTCAACACAATTCCGGTTGAATCAGCGCCTATTATGCAATTTGGTCTGAAATTAGCGCTTGCATCATGCTATGTTGTGAGGTTTGCACAGCTTCAATCAACCGTAGATATTGATATCTCGATTCGAATCATGGTTGATGCTCTGCGCATCTTACCGGAAAATGAACCACTTCACTCATCAGGAAACCTGCAGCTAGCGCGGCTTTTTCAACTAAGATATGGCCAACGACAAGGCATAAGGGATCTAGACCAGGTTGTGTCACTATCTAAAAAAGCAGCTGGTAATGGCCCACACAACCGAAAGTTCGAAATTCAGTTGCTACTTATTTTCGCCAAAGCGTTGAATTCCAGATACAGCCAACTAGGACATAGTGAAGATATTGATGAGTCCATTGAGAAAGTTTCTAAAGCTCTGTCTCTCACCCAGGATCAAGATGAAATTTTTCAGCCAGAACTTCTTGATATTCTGGCCGATTCGTATGAGTTCAAATACAAAAGACTTCTATCACGAGGAGATCTTGAAATGGCAATAAGTTATCGGAAGCAAATCATTACTCTCCTCCCTACAGGTCACTCAGAGCTACCAACAGCATACTCCGCACTCGGGAGTTTATACGATGATAAATCTGAAATAACAAAAGCAGAAGAGGACTATGAAATGACCTTACAGACGTACCAGAAAGCGGTAGATGCAGCTCTAGAAAATGACCCAATTCGAATTCATTATCTGCGATACCTTGGGATAGAATACCAGAAGCGGTTTCAACGACTTAAAATTCAATCGGATCTAGATACTGCAACTAGGATGTTAGATAGGGCGTTTCGACAACCACAAGCGCCTATAATGTTTCGCATATTCGTTGGGAAGGATCTGGCCGACTGGCTGATAGAGGTGGAAAATCCTTCAGCTGCGTACCAGGTCGCTACTGAAATACTTCCCTTACTCTCTCAATTTACTCCACGGTCCTTAGAAATATCGGACAAACAAAGCTTGCTGGGTACTGTTGCTGGAATACCTAGTATTGCGGCAGGTCTCGCACTGATAGCAGGAGAGGAACCATACACAGCAATCCAGCATCTTGAATCCGAAAGAGGGAATATAGTAACCTCTCTCAGCGATCTCCGCGTTGACACTATCAAACTCAATTTATCACATCCTCATCTAGCTGAACAGTTTATTCAGCTAAAAGATGAGCTAGACTCTGGGCCAGGGTTGATAACAGGCTTTTCTAACCCACGCCATCATGCAGACCGGCAATTAGCTTCTATCATTGAAGAAATTCGGGAATTGCCGGGGTTTAATCGATTTTTACTTCCCCCATCTAAGGATGACCTGATGTCTGCGGCAATACATGGACCGATAGTGATTATCAACATGATGTTTGAGCGCTGCGATGCTCTTATCATAAAACATGATCAAATTATCTGTTTGAAGCTTCCGGAATTAGAATATCACGATGTTGCAGAATGCGCGGCTCAGCAGGAGATTGACCAAGGTACACTAGAGTGGCTCTGGGACACAACCGCCCACCCGATCTTGGAGAACCTAGGGTATCTTGAACCACCTACTGGATCTCCTTGGCCACGTGTTTTTTGGGTTCCCACGGGGCCCCTAATATCCATGCCTATACATGCGGCTGGGTATCACTACCCGGGGTCAAACAAGACTGTTCTAGATTGTGTGGTCTCTGTGTACAGTTTCTCTGTAAGAGCACTTTTACAGGGCCGTATGAATGCTGCTAGAGCAGCAGTTTCATCTAGGCCAAAGGGAGAGGCTGTGCTTATTGGAGTTCAAAATCTTCCGTTCGCGTCGGATGAGATTGATCGACTTGAGGAGTTATGCACTGAGATGAATCTGCAGACAAAGAGAGTGAATCCTTATCGAAGTGAAGCGCTTGCTTCCTTATCTCAATGTGAGATTTATCATTTCGCAGGGCATGGGGCAACGCATCCTGTGAGCCCATTAAGAAGTTCGCTGAAGATGAATGACGAGCCGGTTACGGTCCAAGACTTGTTTAATATGAGACTGCATGAGCATGCTCCGTTTCTGGCCTACCTTTCTGCATGCAGTACAGGCCGTATCGAGGATGAGTCACTTCTGGATGAAGGCCTACATTTAATCAGCGCATGCCAGCTGGCAGGTTTCCAGAATGTGATTGGGACTCTACAGAAAGCGAACGATTTACATTGTTCTCAGGTCGCGAAGATGACTTATACATGGATCAAAAATCAAAAGATGGAAGATAAGTCTGTTGCAGAAGGTCTTCACCATGCAATTAGAAATCTTCGTGATCAATGGATTGCTAAAAACAAAATTGATGAGGGCGCAAGAGGAGATCAGGGAAGCGGGAATGATAATTCAAACAGAAGAAGAGATATTATTCCCTGTGAAGAGCAACCTATATTCTGGGCTCCATTTGTTTGCTTTAGTATTTATTAACATGCTTTCTCAATATCACTCTCGTCTCCAAGGAGACTTAGGGGCTCGAGGGGGGGGGGGGGGCAGATATTACAATAACCGCCTTTTAAGCCATTTTTCAGTAGATATACTTTTCATAGGTAGCCTCAAGTTAGTAGCTTGATTTAAGTACTAGCCTTCTTAGCCTAATCTAAAGGTAGTTCCCTAGATATTTCATACCTTCTAGTAAGCTATAGAGTTTCGTGATGGTGTACTAGGCGATTCTTAATCAGATGGAACCTTGATGATGCGTATTCGCACAGCGCGCATGACTTTTGTCGGTAGAGCTTCCCTTAAGAATTTCTTGTGCATAATGGGATGGTTTGCCTTCAGCTGCATTCGGCACAAAAGTCCTACTCTTAACAAATATCTCCATAGGGTTGGATGATACAGTCTGGACTCGTACGCACGCTCTCTTGGGTATGTTTTGAACGCTCGAAACCATCAGTGAACTGAGCACAAGTTTCTTAGGGGAAATCTACCTTATCCTTAAACAAACAACAAAGAAGTCTACACTAAATCTTCACACATAATACTCAGTCAACCGTGGTAGAGAGCGGTCTGCAGGATAGCTCGAATAGTCGATGGCATCACTCGCAGGCCCTTTTGTAAATCACCTTCCAATGAAGACTTGACCTAGGCGATGGAAACATCTCAACCTTTGACTCTAGCTAACAGAGCAAATAGATCTGTGCTGAATGAGTATTTGCCGCGACATTTGGATATGCGACCTGACGCTGCTATACATGCTGATTCAAACGTCCTTGCTAATTTCGATAGCCTCGTCGACCTTGTTGAAGAGTTCAAATGCGGTACACCTAGACTTTTGAGGAACCAATAATCGATTCAAGGCCAAATCTGCTATCCGCGGGGTGATATCATCACAACGCCGCCCATTGCGATGGATCCCCTGGACAAATTTCTGCACAGATACGAGCGGGCCGTGGCTGTCGTGAAAACATTTATCATCAAGGTTTCCTAGACTCCTGTGTAAAGACGCAATCTCAATCTCCCTTTGCTTCTGGAATTCATGGAGGCCTGGATGTCCGTATGTAATGAAAGCCGAGATCTCAAGGAGGATGCATCCCAATGACCACATATCGTCCGATGAACATTTTTCGGTATTGCTCATAGTAATAAACGAAGACTCGGGGGCGCCTAAACACCTAGGGTCAGATCCACGTGCATATGTTCGTGGGAATGCGGACGACCTACTATATGTTCGGTTGTGACAAGCAGCGAAAGTATTTGCTTTATCAGCTTCATAGCCTCTCCCATCATTTGTAGCGTTGAAATCCAAGAAGAAATCTTTTCCAGAACCTCTATCTGTAGAAACTAGAATAGTAGTTGGTGTAATGTCGTAGTCAATTCTATGTTTACAGAGGTGGTTTAAATCAGTGACTGGCCTGCGACATAATCAGACAATGATAATGAACATACCGCAAGTTTTTAACATGACCATGGACAGCCATTATGCTAGAAATTATCCCGAGAACTCGCTCCCACGTGTATTTGATGCCTTGATATTCATAAGGAGGTTTATTGTCCGCAAAGATATCAGCCAACGTCTCTCGTGAATGTTCTAGTTCGTTCGATGTAATGTTTGAACACTTTTTAGTTGCGACCCGAGAAGAACGGGATAGACATTGGTTCATTTCTAGCATATAGAAGTCTCTTTCATAATTCCAGCTTTTTCTGATGCCAACGGGCGTGTTTGTATGGGAATTGTATTTCGAAAAGACCTATGTTGAGACCCGTTAGCAACTATAGTTCTGTTTGTTTGAGTGTTTCATTATAGAGGCTGCCAGAAGGAATTACCTCAATTCTTTCTGTTATATAATTGTACGAAATCTTAGGGAAATTTATCATGCGTATCCCAGACTGTATATCTTTGCCCAGATGCAGGATCGGTATGTTCTTCGGGAATGGGAAGGTAGAAAGCTTGTGAAACTCCAAATTAGAGAAGTCTCTCTCGAGCTCGAGCAATGAAAAGCAAATCCCCCACTGCTGGTCCAGGAACTCGCTCCTTACAACCTTTCCCTCAGCAGGATCCTTAAATCCGCTTAGAACTACTGCCCAAGGGAGGCTGCCATCGTCAAGGCCGTGATTGAGCAGAGATTTAGCATCAGAATATTTGGCGATATTGAACAGCATAGAGAAGACAGGGACGTATGTTTGATAATCGCCTCTGGAATCTAGGTTTTCCATCAAGTATCCTCTGTCACATTTTGAAAAAAGGTCGCGCAGGACAGAGATATTCTGAGAAGGCTCCATTTTCGGCAGGTTCAGATGTGTGCTAAAGGAGCACTCGAAAAAAGAGTTGGTTGTGCGTACAGGATATAGTATCAATGGAGGGGCAAAGTGTAGGGGGACGATTTAAATTCCTGGGAAGCTAGTTAGTAAAGTATTTCTCCCAAGGCTCGGGGAAATGAAGGGAAAGCCACGTTATATGAGACGGCATAGCCATGATCATCTCACTTATGTGCATTCCATTTTTCATCTCGGTCTGAAAGGGTGGTGGCAATAAAAGGGAGGCGCAGCTATCCAAGTACCACCACCAAATCCAACTAGAGACACAGCGTTTCGCAGGATGGTTATGCTGATGTACGATGCTATGCTTAGCTGAGCTGCAAATTCGTAAGTCGCCTACCTGCACCGCCTTGAAATAAGGAATCTAAAGGCCACTTATGTGCAAATGGCCCAACAAGGCCCAGTCCACGCAAAGACAGCATCAAAACATATCGTTGAGAAAGAACCAATCCGTCCAGCAGAGGCGTGATTCTTGGCTATTATGACCTTGCGTATGAATGTTTATTCTTTCATTCTTCAAAGCATATTTGAGAACATTAGCTATGCTTCTCGGACTGTTATCACCAATACTAGCCTCCTTAACCAGTCCATTTGCTAAACTATCCGTTGCCGGTATTTATGGTCTACCAATCCTCTCTCCAGTTATTAACCTAAGATCTGCCAACCTATTGTCGTAAATCTCGTGAACATAATTTGGGAAGTACTCCTCTCAATCCGTGCTCTTAGATACAGAGCCTTTCAGAATTTTCCATATACAGGCCGTTACAGGTTTATGGTCGACAATATCACTGCAAACAAAGGGTTAGCTGGGCTACAGCGAAGGTAGAGGGCTAGCAGAAGAGACTCACAACTCGTGCTTTTGCCCCAAATCATCGTCCAAAGATTCCAATCGCCTGATTCCAACAGGGTCCGATCCGAATCGTAAAAATTGTATAGAAATATTCGGGCGCCCAATGTCCTTTTTCTTCATGTGCTTGATGAGTGATTCAATCGGCTCATCCGCGCCCATTACACCACTCTCAATTGAAGAATCCCAGACACCATCAGTGAAAACTAAAACTGTTGTTTTCTTTGGGCCACTTCCGGAGCGTTTAAGAAAGGAGAGCCTGGAGGAAACGGTAGATGCTGCCCCTCGTATGCTGTCAACGACACCAAACAGTGCATTCTCCATGTCGCATGGACCTCCCTTTCCATCTGCAAATTTCTCTGATACAAACTTCTCTGCCTCAGTAGAACTTGTAAATTTGACAGTTTTGTTATGATCAGAGGTACATCTGATTTCGCCTCCATCGGGGTCAAGTTCTTTGACAAGATAGCCCAGTTTTGAAACCCATCGGAGCACTTCTTCTTCGTACTTCTGCATTGATCTCGAATTATCAATTAAGAATATCTTGATTTTCTAGTTAATATTCTTTTGTCCCTCCACTTTGGATGTCAGATGCTGAAAGGGTTTCAAACTCACGAAGTCTCGGCCTTTAAGTTGACCTTGGACCAACTTCCACCCAGGCAGTTCATCATTATGCTTTTGAGTCTTTTTGGCTTTTATCCAGGAACTGAGCCGATCGATATGTACCTCCGTCTCATCCGCGCTGATAGGGATAGACTTTGTAAGCTTCTCGGGCTTGAGTGGCTGTGCCGAGCCAGAGCCTGGCGTAGACATCTTAGAGATATTTTCGTCCTCAGACGTCTCAAGCGGAGATATCTTGCCGGGCTCGCCTCGCAGGGGCTGACCTGTCTGGATCCGTTGAGGCATTCCACTCCTAACAGTGGATAAACTTCTAGTTTGGTCAACGTCCATCAAATAGGTCGGGCTCCTCACCTCAGGAAGGTGTTCGTCATCTAAGATTTCGCCGAATCTGGTGTAAAGATTGAGAGAATTGATCCGTGAATCTCTCACGACCAAAAGATTCTTTGTAGCGAGTTTGACGATCTGGCGGGTGATCTCGTCACTCTGGCGGCCATGAAGCTTCATCAAATCGGCGTATTCTGCTATGCATTCCAAGGCAACAGACCTATTGTGAAAGCAATCTCCGTACCCCAGATTTTTTAGGGTTGTTAATCTTGAGATCTCTTCCAGGCGTTTTCTTCTGAAATCTTGGCGGCCCCGTTCGCCGCATACGAGCCAAACCGCGGCTTCAAAGATGATGCACCCAATGGACCACATATCGAGTGTAGATCCCACAACATACTTCACACTGTCACCCAAATAAATCTCAGGGGGGGCTGTTTTATTCTCTTATCAGCTCATGAGCTTGTAGTTTGTTTCAATGTTGGGAAAATACCATAGGTTCGTGTTGTGCCCCGATTAATGGGCTGGAGATTAACATTGGAGGGGATCAAGTAACTAGCACCGAAATCGCCGATTTTAAACTGGTAAACAAATTTGTCGTCTAAAAGTCCGTTTGAAAAAACCAGAATATTGGATGGTTTCATATCATGGTGTAATCTTCAAAGAAGAAAAGCAGTCAGCATTTGAAAGAAGACCTTAGAGACTCTTAGGCACTCCGTACCCTGTGTAGCTTCCTACTGAATCGTGTATGGTGTGCAGGCCTTTTAAAACTCCACTGATCCCTTCCCAAAACGCCTTAACATGTTCAGGGAGATATGGTGGAAGGCTTTGACGATATAGGTCTAATAGAGTACCATGTTCTGCATACTGGAAGACTAGGGTGCTTGTGCGACCTTTGTTTTCATCGAACCAGTGAAAGCTTCCTATACAAGGTGCGATCTCTTCGGATGCGAATGCACTATTTGACTTTCTCTCGAGATGATATACACTATGATATCTCTCTTCGTATGTTTTGAGAAAGACTAACGATGGTACCTGAACACGAAGTCATTGAATCAGCGATATGAGCCTGCCGACATCCAAGATTCACATACCTCGTCTTCCCTTGGTAGATGTTCGTGCGCATCATTGTGTACAACCATTATTTTTGTGGTTGCCTCTCTTCCATTTGGACGTGGTTCGTGTGCTGGTTCTTTCTCTTCGAATGGCAAGATGCTCCATTTATGTAATTTAGTGTCGCAAAGCTCAAGATCGGGGTCTAGGAGCACCGGACAGAATTGCCACTGTGTACTGAATAATGCATGGTATTCGGAATCGGTCTCGTCCAGAAAATCTGGTGGCTGAGACCAGGGCAGAGACGAGTCTTGTTTTTGGGCGCTTATGAGTGACTGAAGAAGATGGAGTTTTGATGTATATACGAGGATCGAAAAGACTCGCAAGTAATTGTTGACGATTAGTTCAGGCTTGGGGCCAGGAATATTAGCCTCCTGAAGGAGGGAACGTATGTCTTGTTGACTCCAGTATTTGCGCAGGAAAGAGTATGGCACGTACTGGCCAGGTTCTCCCGAGCAGGTGATTCCATTTTTCAAATTGCCTCTGAGATGGTCCTTGAAAGTCTGAGTATGGTTAAGAATAAGCGATGTCATGGGGTAGACAGCACCCTGATGGGTGTCTGAAGCACAGATAAAGTCGAAAGGGGAAGGGAGAATAACTGAAGAGATAAGGAAGAAGATATTCTATGCTAACCTATCTCTTCGGATAATGGAATCCCGTGGCTAAGGTGCCAGGATAGGATTGTATATCGAGTGTGACAGGGTGGTCCTCGGTATGACATGGAAGGGCTGCCCCGTACTGGCAAACGTAACGGTGGCTGCAGAGCATTGCAAGTATAAGTAACATGTAGTTTTATTACGAGGAAAAGAGAAAGTATAGAACCGAGAACATCAGCTAACAAGAAGGACATGGCAAGGCATAAGTGAGGCCAAGCCTTTGGCACTACACACTTGAAAAGATGCTAGCAGGCTGCCTTGACCGATGCCTTGCTTCTGTACCAACCTAATTACGGACAAGTAATGCAGCAGAACCGAGTCTTCAGGCAGAACCACAAGGCGCACATTCTAGGCAACCTTGAGGTGGGCCTTCACTTCACAAGTGTGGCAGTGAGAAAAGTTGCTCGGCAAAAGCAATATTCCTGCATAGCAGCCTACCCAGTTAGTCCCATGCCTCATAATAGCGCGCTGCACTCTGTTACACTTTTAAACTGCAGCGTAATAATCTCACCCCCCTTCCTCAACTGCCAGAGTCAACTCTAGCACAGTTGTGCTACTCGTGCCCGCTGCCGATGCAGTCGTCGGATCTTGGCCACGTATACATATATGCCCCACAGAAGGATGGTGATGACCATCATGGGGAAGCAGATTTTCAAAAAGAGCGAAAAGAGCCCCCAATTCATTTCCCAAGGGCTCTCCTCTGAAGTGGTATCGAATATTGGGGTACTAAAGAAGCTCTAGAAGTTTCAGGTTAATCTTATGGACAGTGATTGACAAAGATACTAGAACAAGAAATCAACCTTACCCCAAGAAATGTGCCAGGAAGAAAAACCAAGGCGAAGAATGTGATCACGTGCATTGAAGCGGTATCGCGTTCTGTGCTTTGGGCGATGTCTTCCATCCTTTTCGTCGAGCTTTCCATTCTGATCGAGGTGCCAAGGGCGTCCATGGCGAATAATGTGCTTGTTTCTGCGCTCTGTCGCTGCTGAATCGAGTTATACTGGATTCCATTATTAGGCTAGAACGTACGAGAACAGAGATGGGGAACAGACAGACCAAATTTTTCCCATCGTTCGTGATATGGATCAGCGCATCCACTCTCGTACACTGGGTCGAGAGCTTTTTCTCAGAGCATCGTATTCTTCTTAAGAAGGTTTGCAGTTCGGTGGCATGATACTTTTTTAAGCCTGGCGGGAACTCAGCAGCTTCAAATAAGTCCTTATAAAACTCGCGAACATCAGCCAGCACTCCTATGTTTAACACCATGACAAGCTTGGCCTCTTGAAGATGTTGGCAGGCTGAAGTCAGCTTCTGGAGCCCACTGAATGGGAACTCTTCTAATATTTTAATCCTTCTAATCGAATTTTTAATCGTCTCAGTGTTCTCTTGCAGCCGCTCTGACGTAGTCTTCGTCTTCTTAGGTTCGACCACTATTGTTGATGAAGTGCCAATCCTCTTATCTGGGTTAATCCAACGAAAGTTGTCAGAGAGAACCGAGCTAATGCGTTTGAATGAGTTAAGTCGTGGGCCCGTTCCTTCTTGACCCTCCCAGGGAGGATCAGGATTCGCTGAGCTGGCCCCTTGGCCACCATGATTAAAATTCACGTGCTCGTCTTCAGACGACATGGAGATATTGTGTATGCGCTTTGAAATTTGGCGTATCTTTAGCTCCAAGACTCCAATATGTTCTTTCCATCCGTCAGCACACCAAGTGAATGATATAAGCTGGGTCTCGAGAGAATCGAGAAAGGAGCGGGCGGTGGAGTCTGGAACAGATCCCTTCCCTATTGCTTCAATTTGTCGCCGGATTGCATTGTTATTCGCCTTTGTAATGATAAATAACGACTTCCCTGTGGCAAAGTCAAAGGAATGGTGGACAGCTTGTTGGCGCATGAAATAGCCATCTGCAGATAACTCCATGGCCGAAAGCTTGTATATATTTCTTAATTCCCACCCTGACCGTCCTAGCTCAGGCGTCTTCAAAAATTTCTCCGCTACTGGAGGTAGAAAATACTCCTGGTGACTAGATGGTTGATGAAATTCGACGATGTCCCCGCTTGGCTCTCCAAACAACAATAGAGTATCGGCATATTCGGGTGAGACTTGTAGATATGTACACAGGAAGCGGAATGCCTCCAGAGTACAGTTTAGTGGTTTTCGGGAATTGCCAGCGGAGAAAAAACTGGCAGAGAGGTGCCGATCAGAAATCAGACACATAGATATTATCGCGAATTCATCAGATACTAACATGTAGCGGACTATAGGATCTTTGATTCCCTTGTCAATATGCTGGTTCAGATGCTGTTTCAGTGAATCTAAGCTTCGGGCTTCCTCGGATTGGCAGTCTATATAGAAGTTAGAAGATTAGGAAAAACGTCTGTGGATGTCATATAACACATTACGGCTTTGTGTAGAGTAGCCCTCCCAGAAAAGAAGCCTGAACTTGGACAAATTGGTGCTGAATAGACTCTCCCGTCGCAATGTGAGTTGGGTGTTGAGCTGATTGAGGGAATGGATGGCGGCCTGGACTCCTTCTTGCATGCTCGGACAAAGAGGCCATGATTCTGCTTTCTCGCAATCGCGAACAATATCGTCAAACATTGTAACCAATCAGGTACTCTCAATTGCTCTATTGCAGGCCTTCACCTTGGCTAGGATGTTATCATCAATCGCCAGGACAGACGATGTTTATAGCTGGGCGCATGTGAAAAATGTACTCACTGAACCAAACTTAGGAAGAAAAACATGTAAGGGGGTGGCACAATGCGGTGAGACATAAGGCGCCTAGTAGAGGGGCATACATATAGGACTAGGCTTCTGGGTGTATCAATAGTTGACCCTTAACACCTCATCACCTCTGAAAATATAGTGCGAGGAGGCCACACTTCACCACTTAAATATCTACGTCCATGGCATGGTAATGCGCAAGCTCTCGCGATTGTTGATCGAGGTAACTCAGTAGGCTAGTCTTTATCAAAAGGAGCATATTTTACAGGGAAATCGAGAAGTCTTCTTCCCGAGCCTTGCCTTTTCATACGCCCACTTCTTGGTAAGGTACCTATTTCATAAAGATACATACATGCCAGTGTGCCGTATTATTCGTCAAAGCGAACTTAAGCGAAACAAAACCAAACCCGAGTCAGTGCTTAACCCCCAATAATTCCCCGCCTAGTCATGTGGCCCTCTTCTTGTTCAATTATTACGTCTTGGGCTTATTTATCTTCGGTCTGGAGACCCTTTATAGCAGCTCGTTGATCCTACGAAATGTTTAGCTCATTTAGCTAAGCTTACGAGGGCTGATCATCTTACCTGGCTCAGATATTGTGGTAGTTTCACAACATACTCGTCATCTTCGCCCTCCTAAATACGACTGGTTAGCCAAATAAGGCGGAGATGGGTGAAGAGACAGGGCTCATTCAGCTCTTTGGCTTGGGTGCCTTACTTCGACATTAATCGTGGTTGTGGGAAATTGCCCCTGAAGATACTCCTTCAAGACGTGCATGGGAAGGCGGTAGCGTGAAATGACTTCGGAAATCATTGTGACCAGTTGTCAGTATGTACGTTGCAAGGCAGACTGGAGGGCTTTGTTTTCGTAAGATTGTATACGAGCTTGCGAGACGAATCTGCCTTGGGTCTTCAGAAAAGTGGTGTGTTGGCAGACTATTTATGCACCTCGTCGGGCTGTGGGAGAGAAAGTGAGGCTCTGCTGGCCCCCAATATGCACATTGCAACCCTCACACACCGTGAACTTTTTAGAAAAAAGTCCCTTGCACAGTGTAAAGCATCAAAAGAAACGCTCTGCAGCAAGCCATGTCTTGGCTTACGATAGATCACACCCAAGGGTGCTGGCTGAGTGTGCTTCAACTACTTTTGCAGAAGTAACGCAGAGCCAGGCTCTGTCAGAGGAAAGCTGAATTTCTCATTCTGCCTTGACATTCTAGGTTCAATTCGAACTTTTTTAATCAACACGGGCACTCCCAGCCACAATAAGCTTCTTAATAAGCTCCATCATTCTCGGAGCGGGAGGCACACCACATCATCTACCGTCCAGATAGCGGTCAGTTTCCCCCCACAAGAGACCACCCACCCTCACGCGAATGTGCTATGTAATCCTGCAGTTATTAGGCTCTCTTCGAAGATCCTTTGCACTTTGCACAAGTTTCCCTAGCTCAGCCATAATAATGTGCGTCAACGTGGTATCCTCACCTGAGCAGCTTCGGTAACATATAATGCACAAATTTCCGAAGAAGGCCGCCAATTCGCCCAGCTGCTTATCGATGCAGGGGGGTTATATCAGGGAATGGCACATTGTAAGCCCCCCTCAATGTCTAAGGCTGGGTGCCGATGTCCACGTCACATGTCCTATGAGGCTCCTCACCTAAGGTAGCATATGTCTCAGCCGTAGCTCGAATCCAAAGATCGATCTCCATTCGACAGTACCAGTGTACGCGTGCTTTCTATTCGGCCTGTCCAATTAAATCTAGCCACGTAGAATAATAGATGCAGTGCGTTATGTGAGTCTTCTTTTCCATTCATCCATGACCATGTTGAGCCATAGATGCAAGTCAAGCTGAAATCTTCCGATTCAAGCCCAATTTTCATTGGGCATCACTCAGCCTCATTACCAAAAGCACGGATCGGTATGGATTCGCCAAGGTATGGATAACTCTCGTGAATGACGTGATTGCCAAGGAGCAGATATGCTCTCTACCATCCAATTCGGTCAACACCCCCTTCCATCCTCTATGCTGAGGTGCTTTCGAGTATGATAGGAATAGAAGCAAGTGCTGCGTTCTCAGATTATGATCACTAACTCACGCGATAAACTCAACTGCTTGGAGCAAGATAATTAGGGTTCGTGTTTTTATTTGTATATCCACTACACGATATTTTATGTACATACAGGTAGGCTCAGGCTTGCGATCCTTGTTAAATATTATATCTTTGTCATGCTCAACCCATATATTAATACTTCTGCCAAAGATGAACACTATGGACTCTCACTTCTATCTTATAACTTCCCATCACTCTTTAGTGCTATGTATAGATATCGCATCTACTCTTGCGCTTTAACTGCCTCGCCAACTGCCTGAGTGTCCGTCTTGAATTCTTTGAACTTCCTAGCAGGAACCTTCTTGATAAACATCTCGTCCAGCTCCTCATAAGTGCGGTCCGCGGTCTCGGGGTGGTAGAACCAAAGAAACACAAGACTGAAGACCGCGAAGCCGCCGAAAATGAAGGCGAGCTTTGCGGACAGGTTGGCCTTGTCGGGGTTGAACAGGAGAGGGAGAACAAAACTCCAGATCATGTTCAGGAGACTCTGAGTGGCGAGACCAATCGCAATCGTCTTGACACGGAGGCGGGCAGTGGAAACCTCGACCAGGACAGTGTAAGCGGTGGCACCGATAGTCACGTTATACCACCAGCAGTAAATCAGAATCAAGGCGACTGTTCCCTTGATTGCGCCCGGGGTGCCGGCCACGGCGAGGCCACCGGTAAGGAACAGGATGATCGTGAGAACGACAAGACCCCAGAATGTGAGCGCACGACGCCCGACCTTGTCAACGAGGAACCAGGACATGACGTTACCAATAAGCGAGATGACCTGCTGGACGATCTGGAGCTTGAAGCTCATTTCGGTGCTGAAGCCGGCAAGTTGGATATAGTAAGTCGAGTAGGAAGCGACAAAGACGATACCGGAAAGGGATTGAATGCAGAGAGGGGCAATAGAAATAATCGTGCGGCGTAGGTTCGACTTTCGGAAACATTCGATGTAGGTTACGCCCTCGGTCTCTCTCTTGACTTCCTCGAGGGTCTGGTTGATAGCAGCCAGGCGCTTCTCGCCATCTTCTCCCTTTTGCCCAAGACGGTTCAGGGCCTGGAGAGCTTTGTCATTTTTTCCGACCGATGCCAGCCACCAGGGTGATCTGTTGAGGAAAGTGTTAGATTTCTATCAGCAAGGGGTTCAGATATTCTTGGGGTCCATACTCAGGCATGAATGGGACAAAGACGGTAGCAATGAAAGCAAATCCATATTGGGCGCAGAAAACGGCGCGATAAGCCCAGCGGTTTTCGTACGTTCCAGTCCAGTTCACGATGAGCGCAACCACGAACGGACCCAGAGTATAAGCCAAAGCAGACAGGCAGGTCAGAAAGCCTCGAAGGGCGAGTGGTGCAACCTATTTCAGGGAAGGTTGGATCAGTGAGAGTCTTCGGCATTGTTTGTAGAGTTAAACTAACCTCTCCAATGTAAGAAACCGTGACAGATGCCAGGGCACCAACAGCAAATCCATTAAGGAACTTTCCACCGAAGAACAACTCATTGGTTGTAGCAACAAACTCCATCGTGATAGCAGCGTAAGTTATAACGAGACAAATGATGATCGTAGCCCGGCGACCGAGCCAATCTGCAATGGCACCACAGCCGAGAGCACCGATAATACCACTAAGTAACACAATTAGCCAGAGGATCGTGACGCATGCATGCTGAAGATGACTTACGATGCAACGGGCGCGCCCTGGAAGGCACTTTGCCAATTGGAATCTAAAACATAACCCCCCTCATAAGGGCGACCAAAGTCTTTTCGGAACTCGGGAACACCAATGATGTTGCCGGATGCTTGGTTTTCAAAGGACACCAGCAGAACGCACCAAACAGCGTAGAGACTCCAGAGAAATGCTGAAGGGTATTTCTTGATCGATTCGAGCTTTCCAAGGTCGTGCTCCTCCTGGTTGGCGATATTGGCCAGTTCCTCCTGAACCGGCATGACATCAACGTGCTCGGCGTCTGACTTGGGCGTCATGGCGGCGGTGGCAGCGGCGCTCGATAGAAAAGTAAACGAAACAGAGAACTCCCAAGGCAGATCAGGTCGAGAGATTAAGGCTTGAGGTGGCTGGTGGCCATTGAAACATTAAGGCAGAGCGTCCGGGTTATATAGTCATCACACATGAAGCCTCTGACGGTGAATGATTCAGGTTGCTGCTGATCCGGAGGTAGCGTCTCCACCGGATCACGGGAGCTCCAGAATCTTGACATGGAGAAGTATGGGGTTTGCATCCCTTAGATCGGAAATGTTGAATCCCCACGGCGGTTAAGTGTTCCTCTTCCAGGAGGTCTGGACCGAGAGGCTGGGCGCCGCATTGGCTGGCCAGGCTGGAATGTCACTCCGCCACATGCTCTCCCTGCCCGGTGCTTAAGATGTCTATACTGGGCTTAGAGCTATCGAGTCTGGCCTTGATTCCGTCCACTGGCGTCTAGAACTGCCTCCTGCTGGAAAAATTTCGGCTGCTGCTCACGTTTGCTGTAAACTAGCGACTCAGCTACGTCCTAGCGTTTTCCGAAGAAGCTAAATGTAGACGATGTGCCGGTTCTCTTCAGCCCAATCTAGTCAAGCTTCTGTAATTATTGGCAACAAGTGGCTACGCACGCTCGAATCTCCAAATGAGGCCGAGCCTAATGAATAACATCTGATTAGGAATTCACTTTAAAGCATTTTTTAATCATGGCTTGTTCTTCAAATCATATGAAACATAGAAGTCAGACTTTTCAACTCAGCGGATGCAATTTCTCTTTTCGGCAGTCATCTAGACTGGCGAGGCCTTCATTGAGAACTGCCTAGATTTGTTGTTCTTGACTAGTTTTGGCATGATGCCCTCCACGATATCCAAGACTGTGCTGTGCTGGCTCAATCTAGATTGCTAATATCGGATGATGTGATATCCACCACAAGGGCAAGACTCGGAGTCGGAACTTGCTCGTATGATGAAAAATCTTTTCAAAATCATGTGGCGCACTAATTCAAACCCGTTCTCTGAGCAAAAGCTCAATAATACCAAGGCAAGAATGTCGCTCACAAGCAGTAGTCCATTGGCTCTATTTCTTTTAGAGCCCGCCGTGGCAAAATCTTAAGAACCAATCCATATCTCTCGTAAATTGGCGGTCCAAGCCAGAAAGAAGCGTCCATAACCAACAAGAATTTCAAAGCTAAAAATTTTCGTTCCTATTTGGAATTAGGACCATGGTCAGGGAGTCCTACCCCCCAACTCTCATTGATAGCAAAGCTTATGGCCTTCATTCGTGGTCTGACCATGTAAAACTTATCCACACCTAGGATTGTCGTGAATTTTGCGGATCTGATGATGGACTGTCTTGGCACTGGTGCTATGAACAACCTTTTCCGGTTCGTCGTGTCGCTTCATGTTTCTTACAGGTTGATTACTTTCATAAACGGTGGGAGAAATTTCTTTGCATTTGAACACCCAGAAAATGAAAAAGTGAAGCAGCTGGCCAACCTATTTCAAATAAGTGATCATACCATTAGCATGTTAGATGTGCGGTAAATGTTGTCAGCCTCAATTTTGACTGTTGTAATGCTATCCAAATCCGTGACACACGCTACGTACTTATCTTTATACTAAGTAACTATTGTAGCCAAAACCACCCTGTTCCCTATGGTGTCCCCCTTACTATTTGTTCTATATGACCATTAGAAGAATCTCAGAAATAACATGTGTTGTTACAGCTTGATCTACCGTTGAAGTTGGCTTGGGCATCCGGTGTAGGGTAGGCTGCCTAATGTACCTGGGATACTAGGCAGACAGATGTCACGTGATAACGCGAGCAGCTCGTGTAGGCAGAGGCTCCACTTTGGCGATTGCTGCCTGGAATCTGGTGGGAACTTGCGCGTTTCGCGTAAGAATGGCTTAGACAAGCTGTTGCAGTCACTGGGATTATGATGCGCTTAAAAGAACCTCAATCCGCTCCTAGGCTGGGTGATAATATTTTGTCTATCGAAAATCTCAATTGTTATCACATCTCATATATAAATCCCCTGACAAACCAGATTTCCATTCTCGCCTACACCTCAGCTATCAGCATCAAATACCTATACATTGAACACATCCAGGCTTGATACCAAGTCTGGATTTCTTACCATCATCTTTGCAATGGAACAAACCGCCTTGCCCAGGTTCTTTGAGTTATTCACTCTCTCACCGACCGAAATACAACTCGAGATCCTTTCCCACTGCTCCTTAGCCGACCTCGTTTGTGTCTCATTGGCATCGCATTCCCTGCGCGCTCTTGTTCTTCCTCACATTCCTCACAAGCCCTCCTTGCAGATGGTAGAGCAGCTTGGCTCTTCTCCGTGTTGGGACTGTGAGCAGAAGGCAAGCAAGGAAGAAGAACCGTTGGTGGAACACCAGAACCCAGCTCGCCCCTGTCCATGCACCAGCCACAAAGGTGTCCGGTACGATCCGAGGATGCACCGTAGAAAGATCCACGACTTCATGGATACTCCTAGATATGGATATTGGAACTATGCTTCTCGGAGGTATTCATCCACTCATGCTACATGCCAGGTTCCCCGGTGCAAGAAGCACTGCGCCTGCATATCATGCCCTTTGTTCACGAGGCTACGCGGCTGGATGGGAGACGACCTACGATATTGCAGTCAGTGTGAGAAATTCACGCGGCGATTGAAGAAATACAAGGGAAGATGTGAGTACAAGCCAGATTACCTCGCAATTTTGAGACTACGCAGTAGCTTACAACGGGAACAGGCATGCATGGTAAACCCAAAGTTCGGAAAGCGCCCAACAATCACTGGACCAGGACCAGTGGGCTCTCTTGGGGACGCCGGTGGTGGAAGAGATGGGGAACCGATGGAATTAATTATGCGACTTATCATGGAATAGGCCCTGAGAAAGCCAATGCGCGAATTGTGTAACATCTTTGTGCCGGCATGTCATGCATTAATGAGAGATGATAGAATAGATTATTTTGCTTTTGAAGCCAATGTATGCATAGAAAACTTTACAATCCAACGGCAGTAATCATACATGAATTTTCTACTATAGGGTACAGATCGTATTTATCAAGACCAGATTACAAAAACAGGCACGTATACTCGGTCTCCTATTTCAAGATGGAATACACAACAATACGGGTGAGGCTCAAAGCCTCTTCATCTGTATTTAAAGTGTTTAGAAGAATTTTGTCGGAGATCAGAATATTTGCATTCGAGGCCCTTGGTCGAGTAGTCGACCTTGAGTCTTATTATACATGTGTGCACGTGCGAACACATGATATAACCATCTCTAGACGCAGTTCTCCAGGCGCAGTTGAGACCCGAAATCCATCAAATCTGAGTGGTTTCGGCCACGGCAGCTTCCTCAATAGTTATTTTCATTGTAGAGGTCACCGACCCAGAAACCTCAGCACACTCCCCTCTGCCCCAAGCTCGCTGAATCTTTTCAGTGGCAGTAGCTTTCCCGGACGTGTCAATCGTGATACCAACTGTGTGTTCCGAGGTCCGGCCGTTTCCACAGAGCTGCATGGTAGTTCCGTGGACCATGCCGAGGCTACTGATCTTCTCCTTCAGTTGGCTGAAAATTGGCTTGACAGATGACTTGGCAACTCCTTTTCCGATGAACGAAGCGATTGTAAGGTCGAGTACTCTGATGCTGACCATATCCTTCAAGCAGTAGTCGGGATCCTCAAAGAACGATTGCAGACCTTGGAGGGCGTCCTGAAGGAGTTCATGGGTTGAGTTGGCGCCGCTGGCGTAGAATTCGAATGAAACCGGCCTCTGGTCTCCGGACGGGCATACCTCCTGCCTGGTATCAAGCTGAACAGCATTCCGAGACGTCAGATCGAGAACAGTTATTTTCGGATATTGCGCTGGGTAGGAGTGGACCACAGCCGCAAGAGCGAGTAGGATTGAGATTAGGAAAGAGCGAATCATTTTGATTAATAAGTGAACGAGCGACTTGAAGGAATGAATGTGATAGGTACAGTGACCAAAGACGAAAAGAATTGAATATATGGGCGAGATTCGCATGAGCAGTCGAAGGAGGATGGGCAACCAACCGACAAAATGCAGAGCAGTGAGAATTAAATATGCATGGCTAAGGGGCCATTAACACAAGTTCTCAAGGAGCCAACTGGTCCCATGTGCCGTACATGATTTGAAACTGCCTCATTCAGCTCCGGTGGCAGGAGATAGCCTGTTGTGGCTCGCCAACAAATTTTAATTTCCCAAACCATGCGTCATCTTGCCCCATCTTGGTGATATGCAGCGGGAATGCATGGCCGAGCAGTGAATATGTGTCAGACTTGCACCAACTCGGAAGATAAGTGACTGATCACGGTAATTAATTAGAAAGAAAAAATACGTCTATACGATCCCAGAGATATAGCATCATTGCTCAAGAATCAAAAAGTCGTTTGAATCGAGGTGTTCGAGCGCCACGGAGTGGACAACGTGAGTAAGAAAGTGTTAAGTGGGTGATCCTTGCTTATCAGAATCCAGGTCACTTATTACGGATATTTTAAGAAAGCTTTATATACTACAGGCTTGAATTAAGCATACTATATTCAATACCTAAGACTTAGCTTCAATCTGAAATCTTAGTACCTGACTCTAGGGTTTTGGCCGCGCTACCAAGAATGGGATTCCACCTGGAATTATCCACATGACTGCGAGACCTGCTTACCGCTGCTATTGCAGTATTCCTGGAGCTGGGCCTCTGACCAGGTTGTAGACACAAAGCTCATATAACACTTGGATGTGGGCAACATGTTACTTGTAAACTACTGAGTTCGCAAAACCCTTACTACATCTGTAGCTAAATTCAATGCTGTCCTGGGCTTGTACACTGCTGGCCGTACATACAGTACTTGCTGTTCTATATAGAGGTACTGTACATATTTAATTACATATGGATTGCGTACGCCGAGTTGCGTACGAGACCTACCGCGTATGCAGAGTTGCGCACGGAATAGACCGTAGACGCAAAGTCGCGTACAGCCATTACAGTCCGGTTTGCAGCACTTGGCCTCATGCAATCAGCTTCGTTACGCTCAGCATCCACGGTCTAATCTTAGCAGCTCACTTAACCTGAACCTACAGCGTGTGGGCTCACTTAAGGCTGCCTAACTGTCAGGGTGATCTTAGGCAGAATAGCGTGGTATCTCCGAAAAGCAAGTTTGCCATGAGCGCGCCTCTCTCTGTAAGTGGCCAGTTGCTACACCAGGTATTGCAGATCGGGCAGGCCAGAATAAACCAGCCATTCCAGATGGACGCTGGGACCTCGCTTGCAGCATCAATGTGCAGGGTGGACTGCTACAGCCGAACGCCACAGGCGAGCCGATATGGATGTGTGATGGCTGCACTGCTACCTTTGGCGACCGAGCGTATTAACTGGATAGATTCAGCATAATGCTAGGGGTATCAGACATCGCGTTGACTGTAAATTATAATCACTTTGATTTAGCGCAGAAGCTTTGAATAAACCCAGCCTCTCCACTACAGAGATATTTTGTTGTACAGACCCGCCCCCCACTCTTTGCGGGGTGGATATCGCCTCACATCATTTGGAACACCGCTCGAGGACACATCATTGCTTGCTTATCTGGCGTTCAATACGCACGATGGATCCTCTAAGCATATCCGCTGGGATTATCGCTGTTGTTACTGCTGCTGTTCAGTCAACCAAAGCGCTCTATAGCACTATTGAAAGCTTCAAGAGCTACCCTACCAGAGTGGCTGAACTCAAAAATCAGCTATGGGCCCTTATCCGTGTCCTCAACTCGCTACACGAACTTGTTCACGAGGACAGCCACGCAGGTACTCTACTGGAAGATCCTCTGAAACAATGCAGCATTGCGTGCGATGATTTCAAAGCTTTACTGGAGTCATGCAAGCAGAATTCCAGGAACGGACAACCCAGTCTCTCGGGATGGATGAAATTAAGTTACAGGAATGGAGATATTGTTAGCTTCATGGAATCGTTAGCGGGTTACAAAGCTACCATTAATATCGCGATTGCAGATGCTAACCTGTACGCCACGGGAACTCCGACTACATCGTGCCTGACTAATTTTTGCCTAGACGTACCTCCAAGGTTACCTTAAAAGTTCTCAATGAGTACAAGACTGAGGTCAACGCCACCACGAAATATTTGGAAGGCCATCTTGAGGAGATCCTGAACAGATTAGAATGGTTAAGGCAGTCAGCAAAGGAGCAGTCTCTTACTGAATCTACCAACACAAATCCATTAGACAAGGAGAAAAATAGCATCGAGAATTGTCTCAAGGTCTGCCAACAATTTCAGGCTGATCTAGACAAGATGCAATTTCAGCTCATTTCCGAAAATCGTTGCTCAGACACCAGCAGCGGTGTGATGGAAATACCAACTCAAGACATGCCTTTGGCAAACGCCATCACACTGTCCAGTTTGAAATCCTGCAGTCTTGAGATCACAGATGCGATATCCAGGCTGGTACTACACGAAGAAAAGACCAAGAAGAGACTTCTCATCGCACCTCAGATTGATGAACAAGCTGAAGATCAGGAGCTAGAAGTGCAGAGACTGCAACGCGAGCTTGATAGCGCCAACCAAATGCTAAGCTTCTGCAAGGTTGCATCATCCCGAGCCACACCAGACCGAGTCCACGTTTTAGAAAATATCAGCGTCGGGGACAACTCGCAGCAGGTCTGCGTATCAAGCATTGGTGACCTTTTTAAAATCAAAGGGGCTACTGCAGGATCTGGGTCATTTCAGTTCTTCGGGACGATGCCAGCCGAGCCACTGCAAGAGATTATGAAAATCCACAGGGCATATCAGGCTGGTCAAAGGGGGGAAACATTCACGGAGGAGATACATAGCAGCAACAGCGGTGAAGGTTCAAGGGCAATATAAATTCACTGATATTCGTTAGAGCCTATTGTCCATAGCATCAGGATTTCCTTTTGGTGTTGCCCCAAGCTTCTTTCCTGTTCCATAACCTCCACTAAACCGCGCCGGTCCCAGAGACTGCCCCTGGGACTGACTCGTAGCTGAGCGTTGACTGAGAATTTGCCTGAGTTCAGGGACTGATTCTTCACTCCAAGCTCCTATGACCTGCCAGGACTCCTCGCCAGCTTCCACCTCACTGGCTTCATATAGATGTTCTTTCGTCGATACAAGGAGTTGAACGCCGTGGTTTCCCACTTTGATCTTCGAGAGATGATGTGTCGGGCGCGCAGTGGCAAGCTCTGATGGCTCCGCGGGAGAGTAGGCGTTCTGGGAGTCGGCTTCTGGTTCCATGGTCGGACTGATAAGATCGGTAGAGTAATGTATGGTCGGAAGTCAGGTGGTTATCAATGATTTGGTGGGCTTTGCGAAGGTGCGGCAGATAGGTCGAGATTCCAAGATGCACCGCCTTAAGGCGTACTCGCAAAGTGCTTGCTGACTAATTAAGCTCAGGACTCAATCAAGATAGAGGAATGGCGAAGAGGGGCATCGCGGATCAACGCTGATCCGGCAAACAGGATCGCAAGCTTGCGCGCACTGCTCTAACGCGAGTCTCAAGGCGCCAAGATCTATGTCAAGGCCAAGATCACCAGTTCCAGAAAGGGTTTCCAAGGCAAGATTCAGGCCAGATAGTTCTGTTAGTAGCTCGTACCTGGCTTTGTATTGTACCTAGGTTAGGCGCCCTGCGGACGATACTAGGCAGCACATTGCGGGGTCGACAAGCGGAATTCGGGCAACCAATAAGGCTAAGCAGTTTAGCGCCGAGAAACATCTCGCCACTCTGGTTTTCAGGATGATGTCCGGCTATCAGCGGGCATAGTCGAGGCTTCGTTGGTTTTGTTTTTGCGTCATGAGCTCGATGCTCTGTTCACTGATTGAATCTCTTGTTCAAATATAATAGCTATAATGACCTGGGTACCCGGAAATGTGAAATCGCCCTATTATTTGAGAGCACCATCTCACTAGCTGTCTGACGGAATGCGTCGCTCTTGGCGAGCTCGCAAGGTAGTGACGAGTTGTTGGCTTGATGGGACTTAGGCTCCTCGATAGCCGATGTTTGACCGCGGATTAAACCGGCGATCAGTACATAAAACTCTCATCGCGCATGGAGATCTAATACCCCCTCTCAACTGTACTTTATACTGGTTTCATCTTAAGCTCGCTCAACATGGCCGACCCGCTAAGCGTTACCGCCTCAATTGTCGCATTAGTTACAGCTGCTATTCAGTCAACGAAATCTCTCAATGCGGCCGTCAAGAGGTATATGGATCGCGACAAGACGCTGCGAAGGCTACAGACCGAACTCGACGACTTGACCAAGGTCCTAGAAGCCCTTGATGCAGTTTGCAATCTTGAGTCGTCGGTTATGTCCCTTTTAGAAGGACCTGTTAGTCGATGTAGCCAACTTTGTCGTGATTTCGAGGCCACGATGAGTACATTTAGCGGGAAATCTCGTGCCGGTTTTCGGGATTGGGCCAAGATGGAGTTCATGAGAGGTGATATTCACGAGTTTATAGACGCCCTGGGAGGGTATAAGTCGACAATATCCGTAGGACTGGGTACTATCACTATGTCAGTCTATCTCAGAACCTTGGGCCTCTATTCGCTTACAGAAAACTCTCTTATAGGCAAAGCTCCAGACTGTCCCACCAAGTTCTGGAGGAATATAGCGAGATCATTAAAGATACCGCGTACAATCTCAATATTCACCTAGAGCGCATTGATGAAAAGATGGCATTGTTCACCGAAGGGAACTCAAAGACCTCCAATACTAACTTGGACCTGAATATCGATCTTCAGGATGAGAAAATGGTTACAGAACAATGCCTTCGTATATGCAAGGATGCGAGCTCTTATCTTGAATCCTTACTGGACCAGGAACCGTCACTGCAGCCACAGACCGATCCACATTGTACCACCGCGGACACCCATAGTGGTTTTGAAGCCCCGTTGCTCACTCGCAAAGCTCTGAACGATCATCGAGACCATTTCGCAGAGATGATAGGCCGCATGAAAGCACGCCTAGAGATCTTGGCAATGGATAATAGCCCTGGAAGTGATGGAGAGAGGCTTCGACTGGAAAAGGATATAGAAGTTTCGCGGCAATGCCTTGAAGTATGCAAGGTAGCCTCTAGCCAAGTTTCGACGCAGAAGATATATCGGATTGGAGAAGCAGTTGCTGATGGAGATAGTGATCAAATGCTGGTCACTTCACTTGCCGATTTGTTTGATGTTAAGAAAGCACTGTCTCGAGGCAAATCCGCACAATTACTTGGTTCGATGTCTGATGAAACACTTCGAAAAGTATCTGAGCTGCGGTACGGCAGCCGTTTTGGAAACAACCATGTCGGTGGGGACCTTGACATGATACAGCCGCTGCAACTTGAAAGCCAAAACATCCAAACCTCTCATCTCCATGCTAGCAGGAGTAAACCTACTGCAGGGCGGGAAAGACCTGCTTCTAATGAAGTTAGGAAACGAGCAGCAGGAGGGGATTGCTGAGGTCTTGTTACTTAGCTTGTTGCCTAGCTTGTTACAAACCGAAATTTAGAGAGATTATTAATAGAGATGTTACATAACTCGGTGATGCATTTCCTATAACGGGGCAGGGATAATACCAAGGACACATAGCTCAGAAGGAAACGCAGAAGACGGCGATTAGCGGAATTAACGAGAACACTCAATGCTGATCCTATTTTATCGTATACGTCTCCACTTTACGTTATGGGGCAGAAATAAACGGATATGCATTGCATCCTCATCGTTCAACGCCCGATCCTGAAGGTACCCAGCGCGTCCAGCCACTCGCAGCACCTCTTATCGCGTGTTGATCTTCCAGCACTTTCAAATTTGTTTAAATGATTGCCCTTGATCTCTGCTCCAACTCGAAACGCTGTCTTGTTTCTCAGTGGTTGAGATGGCTGGTACACCAGAAGCCTTCATAGTCGCCTTGAATGGCTTTGCTGGCTTGTTAGCAGTAGCATTCGCACTGATAGCCGCCTTGCGAGTCAAGCAGTTAAAAGATCGCCCGCGGATCAAGCCCTCAAATGACTTGGCTTGCGCTATAAAACTGGTAATTCAACGATCCTTGCGATCCTTGCGCTATGTCCGAGGGACACGATTGGGGAAGATCTGGTCCCAGCTTACTTCGCTACTAGATCTTATCACTTGTGATCCTCGTCACGTCTTCCCTAATAGCCTCGGGTCAGATCGTAGCAAACGCCCCAGACGGCCTACGTGCCCACATGAATACGGCCGCTGCAGCAGTCGCAGCACTTGTTCTAGTTGGTCTAACATGTTTGGAGCATTCGCGAAGCCAGCGCCCCTCTGATCTCATCCAAGTCTTTTTACTTGGGAGTATGATCAGGGATGGTATCACCATAGGCTTTAGGAGTCAGCAAGTGAAGAAGGAATTGCAGACTTTCGTGGTTGCATTTCAATTGTTCATCGAAGCGCTGCTATTTATCATCGAGAGCCTTGGATCGAGGAAGAACGTCACAACGACCACCGCAGTATCACCCGAGGAGGAGGCCAGTATACTTGGTAGAATCTTGTTCTCCTGGGTCAATGAAATCCTTCTCGAGGGATACTCAAAAATACTGGCCGTAGCGGATCTGCCCCCTCTCGGTAGAGACTTGCGAGCAGGAGAGTCTCGTAGTGATATCTTGAAAGCTTGGGATCAGCAAGGTACGGTCCCAACCCCCAATTCAAGTTAGTCATTCCCTCAAAGATGTCTAAACGATATCTTCTAGGGGCCGACGAAAGCTGGCAAGCTCTCCCCACAGTTCTACTCCGTTGTCTTTTACTCCCCTTCCTTGGAGCAATTCCGCTGCGACTCTTCCTCATATTATTCAAGTATCTGCAGCCTGTTCTCATCAAGAAAGCTATTGAATTCGTGACTGCTTCCGGCTTCCAAACTACTTCTTGGGATGGAAGGATGTTGGTTGCAGGCGCAGTCACAGTGTATGTTGGACTAGCTGTAAGTCAGTTGAACGAGACACAGAGATTGTTGAGATCCCCAGACCTAACTCCAGCATGGACAGATCACAACAGCTTCATATCAACAATGTCTGAATAGATTGAGAGTGAAGACGCGAAATGCCTTGATATTATTGATCGAAGACAAAACAATGCGGTCGTGGGCAGATGCTTCTCTGGAAGGTCGAGTGCTCACTCTCATTAGTGTTGACGTGGATGCTCTGGAGACGATTCCTGAAATGGTGCATGAGATCTGGGGGCAAGCACTGGAAGTTATGGTTGGCTTTTTCCTGCTTTCGAGGGAAGTAGGATGGCTTTGGCCGGTGCCATTGGCCATGATCCTTGGTAAGTTGTCTCATCGGTGCCCAGGCCATGAGCGAGGGTTACTAAACCGAATTATTCTACAGTGTGTTCTAAAAGCAGCCAGTACGTCGCCAGAAACCTGCGCTCAAAGCAAGACGCTTGGAACTGCGCCACACAAGATCGCATATCTTTCACAAGCTTCATGATCAGCAATATCAAGACAATCAAGATGATCGGACTTCAGTCAAATATCGCCAGGTACCTTGAGACGCTGAGAACCGTGGAGTTGAAAATGGCGGGCAAGGTTCGTTGGATAATGATAGCTTACAACGCCTCCGCGAACGCATTGGGCATATTCGCACCCGTTGTAACCATCGTTCTATTCGCTGTGCTTGCAAGGATGGACTACAGACAGTTGGACACTAAGACAGCTTTCACAGCCATTGCGATTCTGACTATGGTCACACATCCGGCCAATATGGTCATGACGCACGTGCCGAGGCTTTTTGCATCTTCTGCGAGCTTCGAGCGGATCCAAAAATTCCTCATGGAAATGAGCCGAGAAGACAGGAGAGCGGCTACCGTGGAGTCAGTTCGAGCTGTGTCCATTAGGAACCTTACAATTGGCCACACTGAGCCAGTCCTCAAGAACCTGACCCTTGATGTTGAGGCTGGTTCTATCGTCGCTATCATGGGGTCAACTGGTTGCGGAAAATCACTTATAGCCAAGGCAATTGTTGGCGAGATCTACACACAAGCCGGCACTGAAATCATAATGACGTCTCATCTGGTGGCGTACTGTTCACAGCAGCCATGGCTACCGAGTGGGAGTATCAAGGATGTGATTACACAGTACGGAAGTGATGAGCCGAACAATGAGGATTGGTACCAAGAAGTCCTTGATGCATGTTGTCTCACTGAGGATCTTTTAATGCTGCCCGGTGGTGACAGTGCGGAAGTCGGACCGCGGGGAATGAACTTATCTGGTGGACAGCGTCAGAGAGTGGTAAGTCATTATGCTTTCATTGCACACAAGCTGCCGCTTTTAGCCCGACTGACTGGTCTTCAGGCTCTAGCTCGTGCAGCGTACTCAAGATATCCGATTGTTGTTCTTGACGATACCTTCAGCGCCCTAGATTGGAGAACAGAAAACCGGGTCGTATCTAGTCTCATCGGCCCCCAAGGCATCTTCAGATCGCCGAGAAGAACAGTAATCCTCATCGGTAACTCTAGTATGTCGAAAAAGAACTTGCTTACTCTTTGCAATTGACTCTGATGATCCCGCAACAGCGCAGCACTTCCATTTCGTAGACCAGGTGTTTGTCCTTGGCTCTGGGAAGATCACCGAACAAGGGAAATGGGAAGACATAAAAGTCAAAGGCAAATCAATCGCGAAGATGACCATTGATCATGGGGATTCTGCGCAAGAACAGAGAAGGGTTGCAGAGACTCTGAAAATACCAATACGCCCGAAACAGCCTCACATGGAGGCTACCGGGAACTTGAATCGTCAGACAGGCGATGCGTCTTTGTACGGTGAGCTGAGCCTTAACCCTTCTTAGTATCCTGGGCGTTTTCGTTCAACTACTGCGGACTAATTATTATGCGCAGCTTTCTACATGCAATCCGCCGGCTGCAAGAACTTCATTTTTATGGCTAGCTGCACAGTCGTTTATTCATTCTTCATCACAGTCCCACAGTACTGGCTCAAGATATGGACCGACGCAGATACTTCTCAAACTGGTGATCTACCTTTCATGATCGGCTACGGCCTACTGGCGTTTATGGCATGGGCTACCACGAGTGTCATGATGTGGTCTACTCTCATGCGGGTTGCGCCGTGCTCGGGACAAGTCCTACACTCAAGACTACTGTTTACTATCATTGGGTATACTCGAACGACCATTGTTATGAATGAACTATGGAGCTGACTAGAGGCTACAGGGCGCCGCTCTCCTACTTCTCTACTACTAATAGTGGCTCCATTCTAAACAGGTTCAGCCAAGACATGCAACTCGTGGACAAGCAGTTGCCACCGGCTATGTCAACGCTTGGTGTCCGTAAGTGTATTGCACTTCCAGAACGTAGAGATGATCCTGACCAGAACACAGAAATCTTCAAGCTCACAATGCAGGTGGCCTTACTGTTCATTACGCATCGTGTATTGCTTCTGACTCTACCAGTTTGTCTGATTGTGGTCTACTTTGTCCAAAAGCTTTACCTCCGCACTTCCAGACAGCTTCGCTTCCTCGAGCTTGAGTCGCGATCTGGTGTTATGGCAGCCTTCTTGGAAACTTTCAGTGGACTCTCAACGATTCGCTCGCTCGATGGCAGTGGGAGAGTCACTATCAACCATATAAAGCAAGTCGACGAGTCTCACAAACCTTTGTACTTGTTGCTGTGTCTACAACGCTGGCTGAATCTGGTCCTTGACCTCCTTGTAGCGGCAATTTCGGTGGGCGTCATCTCCCTGGCAGTTATACTTAAGGACTCTACGACTGGGAGCGAAATTGGTATGGCTTTGAATGTTTTGCTGGTCGTGAACACGACTCTTCTTCGACTGGTCGAATCTTGGGCGAATATTGAGATCTCGCTTGGAGCCATTGCCCGGTTGAAGAGCTTGGAGTACGAGATCCCAAACGATGGCAAGCCTGGCGAAGATGTGGTGCCGCCGGAAACATGGCCTCACGAGGGGGCGTTGAAGGTCGACTGCATCACGGCCTCTTATAACACGAATAGCGACGTCCTTGAAGGCGTTTCATTGTACGTTCCGCCTGGGGTGAAAGTCGTCGTGTGTGGTCGGACTGGCAGGTAAGGTCTTCCACATCACTGAGGCCCGTGAGGTGCTAACATCGAATTTACTTGAAGTGGCAAGAGCTCGTTCTTACTCGCTCTTTTACGATTAATCCATGTCAAACATGGATCAGTCATCGTCGATGGGATCAATACCGCTCGAATTCCTCGACACGTACTCCGGGAGAGATGCTTCGTCACGGTTCCCCAGGATGCCATGCTCGCTGGTGATGCGACCTTACGGTTCAACTTGGACCCAAGCGAGTCCCTTTCAGACGATACACTGCTTGGCGTCTTGGCCAAAGTGCGAATGAGGCCTCATTTCACTCCACAAGCATCTATGCACGGCGCCCTAAGCCCAAACCAAGCTCGAGATGTTCTAAACAGACCGCTTTCAGTTTTGCCAGCGCTCTCGGTAGGTCAAGGTCAGCTGATTGCTCTTGCACGAGCACTGTTGCAGGTGCACACTGTTAACACGTCTGGGGCCAAACCGATCGTGTTGTTGGATGAGGCCACATCCTCGTTAGACGCGAGCACGCAAGAACTGATACTTGATATTGTTCACGAGGAGCTCACCCGGAAAGGCTTCACGGTAATCATAGTCGCACATAGACTGAGTGCAGTGGCGACACACATGGACGAGGATGATATTGTCGTTTGGATGCGAGATGGTCAGATTCAAAGTGTTGGCGGAAGAGACGACTTGATCAAGTAGAAAATGGCCACTCGGGAGACCAGCAAAGCATCAGTACTGGATGGAACAGAGATGCCAAAGACGTGTTATTAATGGAGAGGAGTGCGCTCCTTCCGCTATCATATTTCTCAATTCCATAGGCCCGAGCTGTCGGATTCCGGCCTGGTTGTGAATAGCCATGAGGGGATTGCGAACAATCTCTTGGTTCCTCTTTGCCATCCACGGCCAATGATGAAGAGTGTTTATAGCAGGTTGGCCAATCCTAAAGGAATCTCCTAATCGAGAAAAACAACTTAGCTTTACCGTTACTTTTTCCTTGGCTAGTCGCACTGGATATCGGGAGTGTCATGCGCTCTCGTAACGGCGGTGATATTGTACTCTGATCTTTCGAAAACACGCACAGCACAGCCGACACGCCAACACTCCAGGGCAGCCATCAAACCACCAACCCCAGCTCCGACGATAATGACGGAAAAATCGATCTAGGCATCGTGGGGGGTCTCTGATCCCAGACTGCCATTGTCTTTCCGGGCCATTGCAGCTAGTAATAGTCAGAGTTTTAGAGTGTGCACGCAAGACGATTTTGGGTGTCTCAAAGGTAAAATCCTCGGTGTTATAATGAAGAATCACAGAGTAACGGCATGCAGTCCGTTCGTATAAATTACTCAACATTGAGAACGCTGACTTCGGTCCTGTGTGCAATTCGGTATATTTTCAACCCCGAGTCGGGGTCGGCCCCATGGGATATTCGCCCGCCATCCCCGAATCTCGCAGTCTGATCTAAGGACAATTGTACGAAGTAGTTCTAGGCTAGGCAAGATGCCCCATGGGCACAAGACGCCAGTTCGGAAAGAACACGGTAGACAAGTCGGACTTGCGGTACTCCGCGTGATAATGAGCGTTCAGCGCTTTGTACTTCTCTCCGGGGACCGCTAACTACGTCGGATTACGATACCCGCTGTGAATTTGGAATTCAAGTGAGATCATCTTCATTTCAAAAACGATCTCTTCTCCGCTTGATCCGAGGGACAAGATGTCTGAGCGTCCATCTAAGTGGGCGTGGTGTATGTGCAACTAGTGCAGGTTGATTACGTGTTTGACCCCTCAGAATCAGATAATGAATAGAGAACGGAATCGGAGGTCCTCACAAGCTTTTACGTGTACGAGGTCTGCAATGCTCGTGATTACTATCAAGTACAATACGACTATACTTTGCCTAAAGGACAGATTCAGTTTTCTCGCTACTAGGGCCTTGTTCTCGTGCTCTAGCGTGGTGTTCGCAATATCGCTTTCAGTATCAGACAGAAGCCTCAATTTAGCTCATGAATAACCTCTGGGCGAGGGACAAACTTGATATGGGGTCCGTCATGGGTTGCGGCAAACGTATCGTCCACCTGGAAATGACTTGTTCTGCCTCGGATGCCTGGTAGCCCGGTAACACCGCCACCCAAAGCACTAGCCTTTTCAAAGTCGAAATACCACAGAGTCTTGGCCAATACAAGACTGCATTCGAGATAACCCATTGGCTTACCGGCACAGCCCCTTGAGCCGGTTGAGAAGGCCGCAAAGCCACGGTCCATGGCCTTGCGAGCTTCTTCATCTTTGGCCTCTAGCCATCTCTCAGGGCGAAACCGAAATGGCATAGGGAAGATATCCTCGTTGTGATGGAGGCTGAAGATGTGGACGCCAAACTGCGTACCCTTAGGAATAACATGTCCGTCCACGATGAACGGTTGCGTCCCGTCGTCGCAGCTGACAAGCTCTCGCCATAAAACACCTGGGACAGAGGGGCACATTCGCAGACTTTCGTCAATAACGGCACGGAGATACCGGCAATTTGCCAGCTGGGGACCTTGACGGATCTCAGAGCCTGATGCAAAGGAGGATCGTATCTCTTCCTTGAGCTTGTTATAGCATTCTCGGTTACGAGACAAGTAGAAGAATGCGGCTGAAATTGCGGTGGCCGTTGTTTCGCCGCCTACCCAAGAATCAAAGCAAAGTCAGTGCATCATGTCATTTAAGAATACGAAGATCGGCCTACCTGCCGGGAAGAAGAAAAGAGCTTCAGTCCATAGTTCTTGCTGTCGTAGAGATTTGAATTCATCGCCCATGGAGCCTGCGATGACACCCAATAAGTCGTGCTTGGAATCAATCTTCTGAGACAAGCGTGCCTTGATCATAGTGTCAAGGAGGTTAAAAAGGCGAGCACGAATACTGTTGGGCATCAGACCACTGATCACTTCTGGTCGGATCCAGGTCAGAAGAGGCCACTGCATGCAAACATTGATGCGCCAATCACCGAGGTAGAATGCGTTCATCAACCAGTGATTGGTCTCCTCCGTCTGCATTTTGAGATCATAGCCGAATCCAAGATGCCCCACGATGTCTATTCCCAGCTGGCGCACGGTGGGAGTTATATTGACTGGCGCCGAGGAAGCAGACGCCCTCATTAGCTTCAGTAGCAAGACATCAATCTGCTGGAGCATGACGGGCTCAAAGCTGCGCATGCTCTTTTCGCTGACAACTTGGCCGATGAGTCTTCGCTTAGCGCGATGCATACCACGGTCTCTGACATTGAAGATGTTGAATTGATCTGCGTGCTGCTGGGCAGCTCGATATACATGTGACTTGGTGACTCTGTCGCTGTTGTAGATTGCTACATATTCATATCAGTATAACTTGAACACATGCATATTCATCTTATGATAAAAGATAACAAATTTCATAGAATGGGATAAATACTTTGAAATGCACTTTCCGTGTTGAAAATCAGACGGTCAGGGCCATAGCGAACGACGTGTCCTAAAATTCAATCCTAATTAGTACACATGACTCCGTTGATTCAGCGCGAGAGCTACAAACAAACCGTATTTCATATGATCTTCATATACTTTGAGATGAATATCTTTGCGTAGAGCATAAAACCCGCCGAAGCCGTCGGTGAGCTTAGCGATCAATGGGCCAGGAAACTTGGTCAGTGGATGCAAGGTAAGGCGATATCCCAACAAGCACAGAATCTAGGGCACGCATCATCAGCTATTAAGAACCTGTAGCTTCAATGAAAGTTTCATACGTAAACTGCAACTGCCAAAGCGGCCGTCAGGATAAATTGCTCCATTATCACGATGTGATGCAGAAGGAACGTGATGTTTTCGCTGACTGAACCGCCAGAGCAGATGATGGTGGCTGGGAGAGTTTCTTTTCGATTACGAATGGGAGATGTTGCATTGGTTCGCCCCTGAAATCGCTGGGAGGAGAAGGTGAGATGGATTATTGGCTATTGTTCAAGCCAACACGTTGCAACGGAACTGGGGAAAGGACCTTTGCCACAAGGCGTCCTGGCCTCGAATAAGCACTAAAATCCCTGTTCAAAGCACATCCTCCCCCTTCCAAGCCAACAGCATACAGTGCAGAAGGCGGGAAGGGACACGTCTACTCACGCTTTTCAGATTAAGGCTCATATTTCACTGTGTGCTTCCTCGAGTGTCTCGCTGTATGTGTTGGAGTGATAAGGACGGTGATGTGCGAGATAGGCAGGATGTGGGATTCAAGGTGGACCAAAGGTTCACGAATTAAGTCGCGCCAACGAGAGATATCATGCCGGACATAAGCCATTGTTGCTAGTGTTAAACCTTATGTACTGCCGGGCGTAAGCCTCGTGGCCGGGCAAAGGGCTAAATGAAGTGTAATGTGTTGTGATGCTTGGTATAGCCTCCAGTTGTTGATTTTTTGGTGTTCAGTATCCCCCTTCTATTTAGCAGCTACCGCACAAATTGCATAGTTCTCTCATTTACCAAGTAGTTGAAAATTACAATTTCGAGAGAAAAATTAGAATAAAGGGCAATAGTTGTTGTATTTTAAAAAGCTGGGCGACTAACCTAGCTTATATCCTCTCTAAATATGTGTACTGCTCGAGAACTTGCCTCGAGATTCCTCGATCCTTGAGACGGCTTCATCAACCAGATTGTATAAATCCGCTTCCAAAACCTCCTTCCCAACTCTCTTATACTCTTCCGCAAATATGCTCCAGAGTTGTTGATCCTTCTCATTAAGCGTTCCAGGGCGGGGATAATAAGGGTCGTTTCGCCAGAACGCTCTCGCAATTGCCATTAACCCATCACTATCCGCAGTGATTGGCTTGCAGCAATCAAAATCCAAGACCCAAAGGGCGCTCTCGTCAAGGGTATCGGCTGTCGTATGTCTGGGTGCCCCCAAGACGAATTCGATATCTGCGCCATCCACTCTCAGCTTCCAGTGGATGGTAGCAAGTGCGCCGCCCATAGCTTTGGCCCAAGTGCCGCAGGGAAGACCAAGTTCTTCCACTTGGTCCATGTGGAGGGGGAAATTCCTCAGGCTGAAGAATCTGGAAAGATGTCGCTTCTTATCGCTGCTCACGACACGTCGTCTGCCGAGGTAGATTCGGACAAGGCAGTGCTCATTCTCCGGGCTGTTGAGAATTTGTGATGGGAGCATGCCCTGTGGGCAATATTTTTCAGCCAAGACTTGGCGGCACGCGTCAGACACTGGCTTGATGAGTTCGCTCATCATCGCATTGCAAGGCTCGAAGCCTTCTGGTAAGTGAGCCAAGATTTGGCTCCAATTACCACCCTTCTCGATGAAGGCGAGGGGAGATGGTACAAGAACTGATCCTAGTCCCTGGTAGACTTGTGTTTGAATCGTAAATTCGTTTCTGAGAGAACGCCCAGGACTGCCGTCCTCTCTCTTCAAAGCAATTGGAAGTCCTGGATAGTCGTTGGGGGAGGTGAGTGTAGCCCAGACGGAACCGCAGTGGCCAGCTCCGATACGTCGAAGGGGCTTGGTTACCTCAACTGGAAGGGAATCCATGATTGATGGGGGTTTGAAGTATTGCAGCGATTAATTCAGTGGTCAAGATGTGCATGTGTATGAAGGTGATGGAGGAAAATTTCCAGAGAAAGTACAGGTTGGTCGAGAGTTGTTATAGCCCTCCCGCCTCATTAGGTTCTGGGCGAAAGTTTGAGATCATGAAATAAACTTACTTGGCTGTGACTCACCCGCCACTGCGCTTTACGTTTGATGCTCCCGTCGCACTTGCCGAAAGGCAGGAGCAAAGCCGTGCGGCCAAAGCAGCGAATTCTGGAGAGGAACCGAACAGAAAGGGCTTGCATCCTCAGTCTGTTTTTCTCTGATTCTCTTCCTCCATCAAACTGACATTACACACTGCTCTCGGGCCAGTTGATTAGGAACGCTCGGGTAAATCGAAAAGGCCCTCTTCCTCCTCGTGAATTAGAACGAATGGTAAATTGAAAAGCAACATCTCACTTGGCAGATACCTGAGAAACCTCTAATTCAACACCCATAAGCCCGAGCAGATCTAAAGTACTTTGATAGACGATATCGTCCCTATCGCAATCAAATAACACGTCCCACTGACAAAATACGGCGTGCCAAGTGCCACTCCCCCAGTAGTTATACCGTGAACCCACAAAGCAGCCATCAAAGGCGCCCCAAGCAGCGACCCAACAGTCTTGACCAACATGACGATGGAGAATATGTGACCATCTACATTCGAGTTGTCATCATCAGGCTTCCGAGGAGAAATCGAGGGCGATTTCAGCAGCGAGAGCGTGAAGATTGGCAGCGCCGATCCAACAGCATACACAAAAAGCGACGGAACGAGGATCCATATCTCCGCCGCGATAGCGATTCCCATTGCACCCATGACAGAGACCACGAGGCACAGATTGGCGAATTTTACGTTCGCGCGGTCGATGCTCCCGGATCCTGCAAAGCGCGGAGACCGAAGGACGCGGGGCACAATGACGCTGAGGAGGAGGAAGTTGACGACGGCTTTCCCGGAGAGCAGGTAGCCCGCCGAGGCAAAGGTCCAATGGTACCTCCCGGAGATGTACTGGACGAGGAGTTTTGTGTCGGAGCTTGCCAGCGAGGTGAGGAAGAAGCTGAAGAGCAGGAGGGAGAAGTTCCGAGGGTGGCCGGTGATGATGTCCAGCAACACGTGGAGATGGGCAACGACGGAGTGGAAAATAGATTCTCGCTTCTGGGAGTCCTGGGCTTTGAGGACTGGCGAAGACAGCAGGCCCTGTCGCTGCTCCTCCGTATCCGGATCAGAGGGGGCGTTGCTAGATGAGAATGAGAGACCTAAAATGACGGGGACCGCTACCAGAAGAAGGGCAACGCCCAGCAGGAAGGGAAGCCAAAGGATGATCGACATGGTAGCAGAGCCCAGGGCAGGGCCAAGGAGAGCTACCACGTATGAAATAGAGCTCATGTAGCCAAAGTAAGTGGCGCGACGGACAGGGTCATCGGTGAGATCCGACACGAGTGCGTACGTGATTGAGTTGAAAACACAGTCACCACCGAGAAAGGAGAGGATAGGGCCAGCTATAATGGCATTAGGTGGAAACACATGATCAAAGTAGCCGACAATGACGGTCCAAGAGATCATGAATGCACGGGAGACGAGGTTCAACAACAGAACGATATGACGCCCCCGGCTCTGGGCGACAAAACCAAGAGGAATCGTCATGATGAAATCTACCTCGAGTCTCAGCTTTGTTTCTTTTAATAGGTGCCCTCGAACTCACCTCCGACAATCCATGTGGTCTCCATTACGCCTTGGATCGACCCAAGGCTCTGCTGCACCTCGGGGATCTTGCAGAGGCTCTCGTCCACACTGCCATCCGGCTGCAGCCTGGCCGGGTCGGTGCTGGAATAGTAGTCGCGACAGAGCCGCCGCTCAATAACCCGGTTCAGGGGAAGCTGGTACAGGCTCATGGCAAGGTTCACGAGCAGCAGGAGCAGGAGCACGGAGCGGATGCCCCTCGCTGGTGGCTGGCCCGGCGGGTGTGAGAACGACGGCTCGCCATCATCGTCGGCCGGCACGTTGGCCGCGGAGCCAGGCATTGTCTGGAGAATCTTCTTTCAGATCATATACCGTTCTTCTATTTCCCTACCTTGCGACGATGGAGGGTTTGCAGACGGTCGCTCATGCAGACAGTTGTTGGAATGAAATCAACTGACGTGCACTCGCAACGTGATCTGTTGCGATAAGATCGCCGCTGAGACATCCACTAATCAACCTGTCTCTCGTCCCTGTGTCCGCTAAGATTTGGCCCTTCCAGCGCTGTAGCATTCCCCTGTAATCACCGCCAAGTGGGTCGCGCAAAGTGGAATGCCAAACACAATACACAATGCATCTAATACATAACAAATCACGTGGATAAAGAATGCAAATAAAAGCTTAAATAAGGAATTTTTTATTTTTTATTCTGTGTAATGCCTTGATATTCTTTTGCTTACTGTGGTAATTGTACGATCTCTTGTTACTCAATATCACGACAATACTCCACAAACTTATCATCTGCTTATCTTATCAGCGATCACACACACATGCACGTGATCAACCATCCTGTCCCCTCACATCAGCGTTAACAACACAAATTTAATGTCACCCTGATGCTCAAATGACACCCTTCAATGGCACGGTATCATCTGTTCGGTAATCATGAATAGCTTAACCGACCAACATCCTCTAGACCGAAGGGATAGTAATCAAGTTAAGGATAGAAACAATAACCCCTATTATAGAAAAGAGTTTATGAAAGCTTGTTGAAAAATTTGATGTTGTCAACACCAGCACCTTTGTATAGGGTAGTTGGAAACGGGAAGTGAGTTGCACACCGACACTTTATCACCACCAAACCAGCATATCACTGAAAATCATATGTCCATGGACAAGTAATTGGGCCCAGATAGAATATTAGAATTTTGGCTGTCTCATAAATTCCTTTGCGTCGTTATCTACCCAAGAAAAAAAAAAGGAACAACGTGAAAATCACAATCATGCCTCCCTCCGTATAGATACCCAAAAAAACAAATCAACAAGTTAACAAATGCTCGGTTATCTTGGTATAATCCCTGACCTGCTTCTCCGCTTGGCAAGTTTCCCGTGTGTCGGTGCGTCCGTCGCTCCGTCTGCACCGTCGTCGTCCCGCAGCTGTTTCCCAAACTGCAGCAAAACAATTCTATCCGCCAGCCCAACACCGATTCCATTTTGTCCCACCCGGCATACGGGCCCTGGCGAGACCGCCAGCAGGCCTGTTGTCAGTTCGTGCGTGTTGATCTCCCCCTGCGCCGTCATGGTCCAGGCTTCCCATCGGTATTGCTTGGTCCCGCCCCCTGACCCTTGGCTGCTGCGACATTTAACGTCACGTCGCCACAGGCCTGTCGACTGGGCGTGTCGCTGTGTCTGGACAATCGACGAGGACATGACCCGCCGCACGCCTGCCACCCCGTTCGCCCCGCTCGCCTCCCATGAGCCAGGCTCGGCCATCGAGTACGTCGATTCCTCGCCACTCGAGAATCCCATGCAGCGGCGTTCTCGGACGTCACGCTCTGAACGTAGGCAGATTAGGCGGCTTCGGTAGTAGTCTGGCCCAAACGTTTGTGGTATCGCGACCGTCTTCATCGTAAATCTCCCACCACATGTCTTCTCAGTGTAGGCAATGGTGAATGAAGCAACGGCGATGGAACCGCAGTACACGCATTGCTGGGGAGTGGTGTGGATTGCTCGTAGCGATTGGTGGCGGAGAGGTTGAGTTTTGAATGTATATATAACATTTCCTGGGCAAAGTCAGCGAGCTGGAATGACGGTAGAAAGAATCAAAGAAGATACATACCTGATAAAATATCCAATAAGAGCAGCTCACTGCTGCCCTCATTGTAAACAGAGGCTACACCTCTTAATGTGGGAATCATGGAAAACTGAAGTGGCTGGATTTGCGTAGCCTTCAGGTTATCCAGGGGGGCGACTTGCAAAGGCACAGTCATCCACCTCCGTTCTCGATTCGCCGACATGAAAATGCTCTCGTCTGAGGTGACGGTGATGAGCTTGGGGGCAGCGTATCGGTTGATAGATACAAGATGAGTCGACTTTATCGGCTTTTCGCATATCTGAACCGTGTTGCACCCCTTCCCGTTGAGATCAACGTCGATCATACGGCCGCTATCTAGAACGAGTAGAAGGCTAGAGAGCGTCTCTGCTCGATGGGGCCCAAGCCTTTGGGCGCTAGTATCTGCCTTGAGAAAGAAACACTTTATTACTTTCTCGTTTGAGCTCACAGACAATTCTTGCTCAAACTTTTGGTGTCGACGGTTCCATAGCAGCACCTGGCCCTTTCGAGAACAGATTGCTACCCATTCGGCATGGTCATCAATGGCCACCAAGGATATGGGCCATGATATCTCATGCTCATCAGTGGAAGCTATTTGTTCGCTGGTCGGCGTTGGCCCTTCCAGATTCCAAAGCCAGATTTGGTGATCAAACCCCACAGACACCATAAATCGGCCAGCGCACGCAGTGAGGAGGTAAATGTCGAGAGTATGCCGTTGATCAAGGCGGCGTGCTAGTGAATTGGATGTCTCCCTTCCAGCAGCTTGCTCATCCTTCTCATCTTCGACTGTCTCTGTCGAGCTGTAATATGTGGTGTGAAATCCAATCAAGGTCAATAAGAATGGGGCCAACGGGAGCATGGCCGAAATAGGTGTTGATGATGTCGAGTCGTCAGTCACGGCCAACGTTGCATTCCTTGCATCGGGCTGAGTGAAGACATGAAGAGGGGCGTATGATTTGACAATGAAGCTAGAGGACTGTGTCGTGACACTTTGTAGAAGCTCGCGCAAGGTGTCGGGCTCCTGGGCACGCAACCAGCCCAGCAATGAGCCACTCGGTGAGAGGTCGTAGCTGGATGCGTGAGAGTGCCAGTTGAGAGAATTGATCGGAATTCGAGAGGAGAAATTTATATTGGCCAGGAAGGTCAGCCATGATCGGATGTCGTAGAAGTGGCAGGCCATAAAGTAGATGAGACCAGCCGTCATCAAAATGTGGTTCGTGCTCCAATGCTGCTTCATATTCCATGTTGGCTTCGGGGGTTGGCTCGTCTCTTGTTGCTCGCTCTTCGTATCATCCAGCTCTGGTACTCGGAGGTTCGTGACGAAAGCGGCGATGAAAAAGGTGTAGAATATAAAGAGGTCGAGGGCGAGGGAAAGCATCGCGAATCGGCAAAAATTCGATAGTCCGGCAGCAGGAGAAATCCATAGCAAGATCATGAGTATTGCTATGGCCTGCAAGGTTCGTACGAGAGGGGCGATACCCATGTCTAACAAGGCAAGAGAGAGCAGCTTCGCCTGGTCCGCGTAGCTATAAACCTTCTTGACCTTGCTAATGAGATGATTGCTGCGAAATAAAATGAGTAAAAGTGCTCTCCCAGATCCTTCCAGTTAATACTTACACATTGAACAGGCATTGCGAAAGCACTAGCAGCGGGTAGCACGCCAATGGGACTGTCGATATTGCGATGCCAATCGAGGAAGAAATGTGTCGGCTTATCAGAGTTACAAGTGAGACCTGTTTCGCGCCTAAGTTAGAATGCTCATGATCGTCACATGGAATGGTCTCCACTCAAGATCTTGAGGGGTGGGAAGAACGCTCATACCTCAAGAGCAATGGAGCCTAAGAGCCAAAGCCCGCTTCGAAGAATTGCTCGCCTTGACATAACAAGGCCGGCATAGAGGAATCCCAGGGTGTAGAGAGAAAGAATGATGAGTTGATCCTGGCTCGTCGTGAAAAGGTAGTGGACCTTGGCGAGGGCGGAGGGTTGCGAGTCCCGTAGTATGTTCCACTGCGGCCTGGTTTCTCTCAGAGAAACTGAACCTTCATCCCAGTGTGCTCCAGCAGTCGACCCATCCCTAGTGAGCATGGTGATGACGATGGTATCGGCGGCGGGCTTGTGGCTCTTGGTCAGGCCAAACTTCTTGAAGACGGAGGCGGGGCGGAGAGTGATGTTGGCCGACGACTTGCGATGCAACGCCCGGGACAGGTTGCCGAGAATGTCGTTGTCCGAAACAATGGCCTGGGCAGAGCAGTCCCAGTTGTCTAGAATAGAGTGGACAAACACGGTGGACGAGTCGGCGTCATGGTTGACGACCCTGGCAGATGGCGACTGGTCATGGCTGGCGGGGTGTGCGCCGTGATCGGAAACGAGGTAGTTCTGGGCTTCAACGGCATCGACGAGCGTGTCCTTGTCGAGGGCTTGCATCCAGCGACCGCAGACCCAAGCTTGACGGAACTCGACATCGGATTGTCCAGAAACAGCACCCCGGGCGGGGTCGATGGATATCCAGGCGTGTGACGGCGGGTGAAGCAGCGAGGCCTCGGAGTTTACAAAGCCGCAGAGGGAGAATGCGACATAGACCAGGGCATTGAGGATGGCGCCGACGACGATGGGAAGCGGGCGCCTTAGGATGAGGCTGTCGTAGATGCTGGCCGATGTCTTAATCCATTGGTGGCCACTGTGCGGAGGAGGCTGGGAGAGCTGCGTCAGGGCTGTGTTAGCGGCTGCTGCCGTGAAGCGACGCGCGCGGGCGGCAGATGCAAGAGGAATGGCATGGGCAGTAGAGAGGGACTGGGCGAATGGAGGCGCGAGAGACAGATGAAGAATGGATTGATTGAATGGCGATGGTTGGGATTGACCGTGATGGGTGATCATCGCATGGCCGCCGCTACTGGACCGCGGGATGACGGGGTGCATGGGGACGTGCGTTGGTTCGTCACCCAGGAGGAGGGATATACGGGAGCAAGTAGGAGGCAGCACGATGGATGAGAGAGAGAGGGAGAGACGTAGAGAAATGAATGAAAGTGAATTACCATGTTGACACCGGCCGTACGACCATACTCTGGTCCCATTTACGTGACGGCGATTCCCTGGCTGCGTGCCTGGACAAGAGGCGGGGGCTGGCAAAGACTCCCGCATATGGGCACCGGGATTGCTGGAGAGAGGCGGCGTGGATGGATGGGCGTCTGTCTGTGTCTGGTGCCAGCGAACGACCGGAGGGGAGGGGAGGATGCAGGAGGGAAAGAGAGAGACGCTTCCCAGATGGCAGAGCTGCTAGGTGGGCGTGCGTCGCGTGCGTCACGTCGTCGTTGTGACGTTCCTCGCCGGATGCTGCAGTGCGAGAGTGTGTGTATGCAGGCAGTGGCGAGCAAAGCAAATCGCAAGCAAGGCTTTTCTTTTCGTTGAAACAAAAAGCAATTGCTCCATCCAATCTCCAGCGAAGCCGAGGGCTGAGCAATGCATTAATTATCGACACCCCGGCCCCCGGAAAAAGGATGATCCCAGCCTATCAGCGCCCGACACGCCTTTTTTTAGCCGTGCCGGGGGTGCATCTGGCGGCAGCGATGCGACGCAAATGCACATCCTCATGCCCTGTAACGTCGGTCTTAAGTCACGATGTTGGCGACTGGCAGACTGACTGGACGTCTGCCTGTCGTGGACGGTCACAAACCCCCCTCGCGCGCCGGCGCTGGTACTACGACGCTGGCCCAGACACGACACGGACGGATCGTTGCGAGATCTGCTAAACTAGAGTCGAGCTAACGCCTGCCAGACTCACCTCCAGGACCCTGAGCGCTTCATTGGGCGGGGCCTTCAGCCGTTGACTGCCATGTTTTAGTTGTCTCAGCCCGCTGACAGCCGCCATCCCCCCACTAAACCGTCGCTACCGTCCAACGACCGATGTGCCTGGATTCACAACTGCTCATTCGGCACAAGCTCTCAAATTCCACTGTGCATCGGCGATTGGCCCTCCCCGCAGACCCACATCTTTTGCCACCCTCTTTTTTCGGTTTTCCTTTTTGCTCCTTGGCCGTCATTCGTCCTCCAAGTGCTGCTTTCTGTCCCTGCCTTGATTTCCCCCTGCCGACTGGCTCTGCCCCTGTTCTCCAAAAAATTTGCTGTGTCTGTTTTATTAGCGAGATCAATCGGTGTGGGGTCGATTGGATTTTCGTAGATCCTAATGCGCTTCGGCCGTGTGTCCGTGATTTGATTTTCAGCTAGGCGCCCGGTTTGCAGTGAATGTGCGCCCCTTTGCTCGATCGCTCGCATAACGTTTGGGACTTCTCTCTGCTCAGATCTCATTCCCGCCGTTTCCGCCTCGTATGCCGGGTTGACCCCCTTTTCCCACGCTTTTCCAGCAGGCGTGCGTCTACAGGTGCATGTACACACGGTACCACACCCACCGTTACCTGCCACACGTGTTAGTAATCCTTGATTTCAGGTGGTGATATCCAATGACTCGTTGGTCCGGACACATTGCCATTGCCATGACGCCGAGAAAATAGCGCAAATGCTATCTTCTTGCTGGGTTCCGGTAGCAACACCGCTCTTTGTTATTGCATTGCTCCCTGCTGTCTATCCCAGGTGCACTTGATAGCAACACGCCTCCCGCATCCCAAAGGTGCTTGAACTCTCGAATGGAGGCCAGAGTGTGTCTCGGGAGCTATCGTACACGTTAGCAATGGATTAGCGTCCCTGTACCTAGAAATTAGCACGTGGACGCTGTAATTAGTGGTGTTGCGGGCTCTCCCTAGTGTGCGAAAGCACTAAAAACACGTTTTGCGGGCAGGCATGAGTCATGAAGCTATGTCTGTAGTGCAGAGCTAGATTGGGAAATCCACGTGACGGAGACACCTCGTTTATCTTATCTTTGCCCTTGTCCTTCGGCGTCTGGCAAAACGTAGCGCCGAATGCTGGTGGTCGCATCACCATGATGGAGAGCTTGCGTTGCTTCCAATCGACCAGCCATCGTAAGGTTTCCCACAGGGCTGATGGAACCGATCGCACTCGTTCATGTGGTGCAGAAGCCTTCGCCGTTCCCTCTCTCGATCTTGATAGAAAACGAACGCCCCCGACACCCTGGCCGAGCAGCAACATATCATACTGCATAATGGCACGCCGGCAAGCCATGGAGAATCGACCAACCAACACAAAGTCCTGTTGATCTTCAAGCTGCATCAGGACACCACCACCCTCGTCAGTGCGTGGCGTCATCCAAGGAGCGTTTCATGCGATGTACAATGCCACGAGTTATGCGAAGCAACCCGAAACGCAGCACTCCTGCATATGCGAAGGGCTGGTTTTGTCGCTTCAAAACAGACCAAACCCTCCACGCCTCATGCGCAATCACACCGGAACTTCTCGCTCGAGATTGATATCCTCACACATAGAGCATCGTGCTCTTATCTTCTCTAGAAGATGCTCTGGGGACGGTTTCCTTTCGGAACTTCGACGGCGGTTTGCTATCCCGGTCCCCGTATACTGCCGCCAACAATCGAATACCCCGACCCGTCTGTAGTCGCTGCTCGATCTTGCTCGACCCTCAAGCATGATTGCGTCTTTGGGTACGTCTTGGATGTGATTGCTCCTCGAACTCGCTCGACCCTCAGGCATTATTGCTTCTTTGGTGTGATTGCCTCTCGAACTCGCTCGACTCGCTCGACTCTTGAATGTGATTGCTTCTACAAGGGCCCGCGTTGGCTGTTGCGGGCCTGTTGATCTTCCAAGAGCGCACACACCGACATTTCGACCATGTCCGATACATGACACTCGGGAAGCTCATGGAAGGTGGTCGATGGATGAAGAACATGCTGAGAAGGTCTCCGCCACGATCGAGGTGACTCGCAGGGCTCCAGAGGATATTATCTGGTTGGATGATCGATGTATCACCCCTGATGCGGGCAACTCGTTCTGAGCAAAGGATCCGTCGGGCTCGTTCGTGTCTTTTTTTCTCAATGAGCGACAACTCCCTAAATTTGAGGTTGTTGATGAGTTGATCTCAACATGTCTGGGGTGCAAACAGAGAGACGAAAGACGCTGTTCATTGTACCTCCATCGCCTCTTGGAGCTGTTGATATCGTCCGTTGTAACAACATCCGCCGTTGGGAGTTCAAGATTCTGTTCTGATCCCACGTATCGACGCTGTGGCCTGGTAGCGGTCAAAGTGTACGGGGCCGAGTACAGCCAACCTGGTTGAGGAATGAAAAACAAGTCACGCAAAGATGGGATGAGGCTGGCATCAACAATGCTTCTTCTCATGCATAGAAATTGCATAGTAAGCCCGTCTCAAACTCTTTGCCGGAAGCTGGGATGGCGGTGCAAGCTGCCAGGAGCTGCCTCTGCCATGGCGCGATTTTATCAGTCGATAATAAAACTGCTCATGCAGTCCTTCCAACGGCGTGTACTAGTTCGTCCTCTTGCAGGAGCCTTGATGGCACCTCTGCCTTATCCCTTTCCTGCCTCCCCTTCATGAAACGCCATGAGTAACGACTTGATGATCTGTTTACAGGCCGTGCCGGGAGCAACGGTTAAAGGTTTCGCTGGGATACTGGGTGCCGAGGGTCGGAGCTTCTCGAAGCAACCCTACCATGACGACAATGATAAGGCGGCGTAGGCGGCAATTCGTCCGGATAGAGCTGGGTGCAGACGTACAATCCACAACCATGCAGCCGAGGTTCTCGACATTCGTGATCACCAGCCGTAGATGAGGCGATCTAGACCAGCAGCTGGTTTGAAACACCGTCTGTTCAGCTGGGTCTGTAGATGTGTGGTCGGAGGAACGGGCAAAGCAACGCACCAAAGGGGCAAAACCTGCAAGAATATCAAGCTGGAATGCCAATCTGGGGTGATTAATGGTCATGTAGCACACGTAGACGTAGCCTCAAGGAGGGAACTCGCCCCCGGACCTCACGACAGATGGGAACACATGGCATCAGGAGATCTGGATTACATTGCTATTGGTAATCGGTATTGACAGGAACAGATGGTGCTCTCCAGGGCTTCCGAGCAAGATCACGCCAGTATCATCCTTGTGCCCCCAGCTAACAGCTAACGTGGATGGGGAGTCAGACAGCCCGAGCGCCGATCCAAATATCAATTGGGACGTTCTGGCCCATCTCCTTCTTCTTTGCTGTCCAGCCGCAGCGGCCAGGGCCAGTAACGAGCCTCGTGCGCAGGCATTCGACCCCATTCCGCCCACCGGCAGCCATCGTCACTCTGTCGATGTCGTCCCATGGAGCGGGGAATGTGTTCTGACATGTCTGCTGGCGCAATTATTCACATCATGGCCGCCCGTAAGACAGCGTCGGCTCCAGGGTCGACCCTGGTCTGTCACCCCCGCCGATATTCGCCCTCTTGTTGGATTCATCCTCACCTGGGGCGACAGCATAACGGCCTAGGACGAACTAGCATGCTTCAGGTGACATCTGCCACACCACGGCTTGGCTCCGGCTGCCTAGGGCTTCCTTCACTGTTGACAGCATCTCCACAGGGCGGTCCAGAGTGTGCTGTTGCGTGTGGGTCGGCGAGATCCATCCAATTGCTGCTCATCTGGTTTCTGTATTTGATCCCGAGGGGGGACCATCCAAGTGCCGCCTGGGGGCTGTTCCTGCTCAGTTGCAGCCATTCATCCCATCCTTTGACGTCCTGGAGAGGGGATGAGATGACAGCCCGCCCCTTCTGTCCAACCGTTTGTGCCTTGGTGGGGAGGCCTTGCATACATATCATACGACGTGGTTCGCGTGGACGCAACATCAGAAGATCCACCTTGTCCCAAAGCGAACACTTGAATCTGCTGCGGTGGGAATGAGGCGGCCGTGGACTTCCACCTGCATGAACCGATGAGGATAAAACCAAATCACTGGCCCCAGAGAAGAAGGGAGAGAAGAGCAGCAAAGGAACTTAGAGGGAGAGAGCGAGCGATTGAGAGCCCGCGATACCTGCGGTGACCCAAATACCCGCGCCTCCCAAGGGCATTTCCGCCCTGCCTACATTCACAATGGCCGAGCAGAACCAGACCTTGCCGCAAGTCAATGGCCACACTGTCTTGGACGTCTGCGTCGTCGGTGCGGGTCCGGCTGGGCTGATGCTTGCGTGAGTAACCTTGTTTTTTCCTTTCTTTTTTCTTCTGTGTCTGGTTTCTCTCTGTGTACGTTCATTTTGCCGCGGTAGCATTACACCACATGTGCATCGTGCACACGTGGGGGGGAGGGGGAGGGGTTGGGTTTTTACATCTCACCGTTTTTTTTGATATATTTTTATCTTTTTTTCTGTGCTGAGCGGAACCCTAAAGAATTACGTGTATAGGGATAATCTCGCTCGCTTCGGTATTAGCAAGACGGCCGTGGTGGATGAGCGAGCGACCGAGACCACAGCCGGCCGCGCAGACGGCCTGCAGCCCAAGACTATTGAGACACTGCGGATGCTACGGCTTGCAGATGACTTGCTCCGCATTGGTACCAAGGTCTACGACATTACCATCTGGGGTTACGGCTACGACAATGCCCTGAGCCGGCTGGGACGGGAGCTACATTACCCCGAGGCCAGCGTCGATGTGCTTGACCCGTACATCCTCCTGTGCCACCAGGGGATGATCGAGGGCACATTTATCAGGGCCATGAGAGATAGAGGCCTTGAGGTTGATAGAAACACGTACTTTGAGACGTACCAGCCGTCCCAGGATGGGAAGACGTTGGACATCAAGCTGAGACGACAGAGCGAGGAGCAGCTTATTCATTCTAGATACCTGGTTGGGTGTAAGTCGCACACGGCCGCCTTCTTCCCACTCTATGGCCCTTTTCCCTCTCCCCACATTTCAGTATCCTCATTTGGCTAATCTCTCGGTCCTACCAGGTGATGGTGCGCATTCTAATGTGCGAAAGGCGATGCCTGGCTGTATTCCAGAGGGTAGCTCCTCTGTGTCAGTCTGGGGCGTCTTGGACGGTTGGGTAAAGACGGAATTCCCCGACATCTGGTCCAAGACGATTGTGGTGCATCCTGTACACGGAGCCGTGCTCATCGTCCCTCGGGAACGAGGCATGACACGGTTCTACATTGAACTGAAGGCCGACACGGCCCTCTCGGCACCTCTGCCCGCCAACACCAGCCAGGAAGCCATAATGGAGCGGGCGCAGCTGATCCTGGCCCCGTATAATCTCGAATGGATGAACATCGAGTGGTTTGGACACTACCAAATTGGCCAGCGGGTGGCCAGCAAATTCATGGATGAGACGCACCGCGTCTTCATTGCCGGGGATGCGAGCCACACCCACTCGCCCAAGGCGGCGCAGGGCATGAACACGAGTTTGCACGACTCGTGGAATCTGGCATGGAAGCTCAACCTGGAGCTGCGGGGGCTGGCGAAACCTGTCTTGCTCGACACATACCAGGAGGAACGGAGAAAGATTGCACAGGACCTGATCGACTTTGACTACGAGCATGCCAACCAGATCGCGGCGGGCGACAGCGAAGCCCTGGCGGAGAACTTCCGCACCAACATTGGCTTCATGTCAGGGATCGGCGTCAAGTATGCCGACAATGTCCTGAACCACGGATCCAACATGGCTGTATTCTCAGGCGTCATCCGGCCGGGCTCGATCCTCCCGCCGGCCAGAGCGATCCGGTACGTCGACCACAACCCCGTCCACGTGCAGCTGGACATCCCGAAGCTGGGCCAGTTCAAGATTTACTTTCTCGTGGGCAACGTGGCCGGTCCCGCTGTGCGGTTCTTTCTGGGAGAGCTGAGCGACTACATCGCCTCGGAGACGTCGTTGCTGGCCCGTGTGTCTAATCTGGCGCGGGAGTCGTACATTGAGAAACCGAGGCTTCAGGCGCCGGAGGATTTATACTACAGTCACGAGCGGTACCTCACCGTGAGCGATGTATTCACGGTCGCATTAATCAGTGAGTTCTCCCTCGGGAATGACGAACGGATCAGTAGGGTAGATCATCATGACTAACACCTGAGACAGCTGCTACTGCGAAACAGGACTTTGAAATCGTCGACCTCCCCCAGCTCTTCTCGGCCAGCCCCTGGACCGTGTACCTGGACGACTCGGCGTCGATGGACAGCCAGGCGACGAGCTGCATGGCGAAGTGGCTGGGGGATCTGGCGCCGGGCGAGGTGGCCATTATCAACGTAAGACCAGATGACTATGTCGGGTCGGTATCGCGGTGGAACGCCATTGAGGGCGAGGCAGAGAAGGCCGCGGAATGGCTTCTGTCGTACTATGATGGATTCCTGCGAGCTTAATATGTAATACAGCGGAGGTTTTCCCAATCAGACACCAAGCGAGCAAGCAAAGCCTTTTAATGACAATGCATATACGTTTCTTTCTTTCTTTCCATCCATGCTGATTAACTGGACTTTGAGACAAGACCCAGCCGGTCTATCCCCCATTCACTCATGTAGCGCGCTGATCCTCGGCCGGCATGTTCGACATTCACCCTCTCTCTTATCTTGCATGTGTTTACCGGGCCCTTGGCAAGGGTCACAGCCAATGCCGAGGAGCGGAGGGGGAGGATGGATGGGGAACAATTTGTCAGCATTTATCACCGGCAGGCAGGTGGAAAATCATCGAATTGTGCGGCTGGCGATTGCGACGTGGCCCTCGTAGATTGCGTGCTTTTTGCATTTCCATCATCTAGAATTATTATTTGCATCTTCAAAAAGTATTGTGCTCATTGTACTGTGTATGCTTTTTGCTTGAGTTTGAGTTCCTGGTTTTGCAGACAGAGCTGAAAGGATCACCAACTGCCGACATGGGGGTTGGGGAAAAGACGGCTGCCGTGGGAGAGACGGAACAGCCCGTGTTAGTGCCGGAGCCTCAGCAGACTGAGAAGGGAGAGGGCGAGACCGAGAAGGTCTCCGTGGCTGACCATGTCCGCGCCGTCTCCGACTCGGACGAGCCAGACCCTGAGGAGAGAAAGGTGCTGGAACGGCGCCTCCGGTTCAAGATCGACCTGAGACTCTGCACCATTGCTGGCTTGCTCTGCAGTCTGAACCTGCTGGACTCGGGCGTCATCAGCTCAGCGTCGGTGACGTCCATGGTGACCGATCTGGGCCTCTTTGGCAACCGCTACAGCGTCAGCATCTTCATCTTCACCATCGCCAGCATCGTCTTCCAGCTTCCCTCGACGCTCGCCGTGCGGCGGTTCGGCCCGCGGGCGTGGTTCGCGTCCAGCACGTTCGCCTTTGGCCTCATCACCATGTGCACCGCCTTCATCCGCAACTGGCAGTCCATGATCGCCCTCCGGGTCCTGCTCGGCGTGGCCATGAGCGGCATCTACCCGGGCCTGACGTACCTGATCTCCACGTGGTATCCCCGGCGCGAGCAGCAGACCCGGTTCGCCCTCCTCCAAAGCGGGCAGGTCATCGTGCTCGCCACGGGGAACATTGTCAACTTTGGGCTGAACCAGCTGGATGGACGGGGCGGCATCGCGGGCTGGCGGTACATGTTCCTCGTCCAGGGCCTGATCACCATGGTCATCGGGTTCGTCACGTTTGTCTGGATCGTCGACTTCCCCGAGGAGGCGCACAATTCCTTCTGGTTCCTGACTAAGGAGGAGCAGGAGCTCGCGGTGGCCAGGATCAACGAGGACCGCAGCGACGTCGAGCCCGAGCCGTTCAGCTGGGGAGCCGTCTTATCCAATTTGAAGGACCTCAAGATTTATGGCTTTGCGAGCTTGTTCTTCCTGCTCAACCTGGTGTCCACCTCCATGGCCTACTTCCTGCCCATCATCCTACAGAGCGGGATGGGGTTCAGCGAGAACCAGTCCATCCTCCTGTCCGCGCCGCCGTACTACTACGCCGTCATCCCCGTGCTCTTCTCCTCGCTCGTGGGCGACAGGCTCTGGCTCCGAGGCCCCGTCATCGTCTTCAACTGCGTGTGCCTGATTGTGGGATTCTGCATGCTCGGGTTCGTCGACCAGGTCGTGGTGCGGTACATAGGGACGTACCTCGCCACGGGCGCCTACATCAGCAACTGGGCGGCGCTGAGCACGTACCAGGCCAACAACGTGGCCGGGCAGTGGAAGCGTGCTGTCACTGCCGCGGCTGTGACGGCGTTCAATGGAGCGGGAGGGATTGCAGGGAGCTATATTGTGAGGCAGGTCGAGGCGCCCCGGTATATGACGGCTGTTTGGGTGTCGATTGGCTCGCATCTGATGATTATTTGTGTGGTTTTATTGATGTCTGTTTACTTTTTATGGGCTAATCGACGAGCAGACCTTGGGAAACTGGTCATTGAGGGCGTTGAAGGGTTTAGATATACTCTCTAGACATGCTCGGGTAGCTACATCGATCGATCGAATTGATTCAAGTGTGCCAGCCAACTCTCTGGTTAAATAACTGATTTTCATAATGTTTGATAATGATGTGAATCTAAACTAGCATTCCGTACATGGGAAGGCATTGAGGATCGGATGGTAAAAATGGCTTGGCTTTTATGCTGACACCTTTTGATCACACCTCTTCATGCCGCTTACCGCGTTGTGCTACTTATCTGACAAGCTACTCAAAATGATACTCAAAGATCTTTTCCATTCCATCGGCAGTCTCTGGTATCTTCTCTGAAAATGGTGTCTCATCTTCAGGCTTCTCGGTCAGATCTGGTACGGGGATGGTTCGCTTGTCATCCACCCGCACCATCCAGTCGTTTTTGAAAAAGCCGAGACTGAGCTGATACCCTTCCTCGCACTCATGGAATGTGATTGGAGGCAGTAGAAGGCCGGGCGCTGGGATTTCGCTTCCAACCACTACGAATTCAGGAGGCATCGGCTCATCCCCCCAGCAAGCTGCGAAGTTGATAGGCGGAAAAGGTGACTGCTGGCTGTCCCTCAAGATAAAGATTTTGTCTCCGATAATCTTGATATTGGCGTCGTTGATTGTCACTTCATTTCCCAGAAGAAGTAAAGGTGTGCTGAGGAGCCGTTTGCGCGAATAGCTCCGGCATAGCTCGTAGCATTCCATGACCTCGGCACTCTTCGCTGGGTTGAACATGGGAAATGAATGCATCGGGCAGCATCCATCTCCGTCTTGTTCAAACTCTGGTAGCTCATCTTCTTCTCCATCCCAGTCATCTAAACGACCTGTGAACGGCTTGCTGGGGCCCTCTAGAAGGGAATCCACAGTACCCTCCGTCAATCTCCTGAAGCCTTTCACACCTTCGCGCATATGAGAGGAGAGAAATGTCCAAATCTCAGCATCATTGGAGATCTTCTCTTCTATCTTCTTCGAAGCACAACGTGAGCGGAACGGGCGGCTTCCGACTTTGCAGTTGAGGTAATCTAGCGTTGCTACGACAGCGCAATCCCTTAGATCCGTGCCAGCATTTTTGTCGAACCAATAGTTGTAACCGTTGGTCACAAAGTTCACGCCCTGGAACTGTTTCCATAGGTACACAGATCGGTGCGAAGCCGTCTTCTCGAGGCCCCAATGCAAGGCATTCGCTCTCTCGAAGCATTCGTGGGCATGTAATGATAAAGATGTGTCCTGATCGAACACACTTTGACTCGTCATGTAGCATGCCTCGCTGAAGATACGACCGATCGTGGGGTCATGCTGGAGATCAGTGTCCTTGAATATCAACTCGGTACGGAGGAAGATTTTGGATCCGTCCAGAAAAGGTCGGCCCTCGTGCTCGTAGCTTTGATTGAAAATGACACAGGACATTTCCTCTACCTCATTGAAGGAAATGTCATTGACGCGTAGGACTGGGTTGTTGTGCCCTCCAGTTATGTAAATGAGAAGGGTGTACTTTGAGACATGGGAGCGAGCAGAATCATAGTACGGTGTGTCCAAATGGCTTTCGAAGTTGCTGTCTCCAGGAGCAAACCGGTTGTACCTGAAGATATAATTGACAAACTCGAAAGATGAGGCCAGGCTTCCATTTTCTATCTTATCGAGCATTCCGCTAGACCGGACTGCGTTTGTCAAGGCCTTGCTCAAGATCGATGAATGAAAAATGAAACGATCGCCTCCTCGAGTCTCCTTGTTCAGCGGAGGAACATAGAGATCTAGAGACGATAGAGAGCTGAGTAAAGCGCCAGTGGTTTCGTCCTGAAGCTTGCATGTGTAGATTTCATGTTTTGGAGAGGGCTGTATAGACTCGTTGAGTGACGTTTCTAGACCATCCTGTCCGTGGTCTGCTAGGCTCGCCTCGAACCACGTGTCTAAATGGACAATGTTTTCAAAGCTGTGATACGAAAGATCTGTTGCCCTGACAAATACGGCGAAAAGCCTGGGTGCACTTAGGCATCGTATGAAGGGTTGGATGTTCCTGTCCTGAAGATTTCCGTCCAAATCTTCAATGAACTTGACACATGTGAAATCTGCAGAAGGATGAAATGATAGCATAACTCCATTCATATATATCGGGTCCAAGGGCACTTTGATAATCGCTACTAGTTCTTTTAGGAGTTTTCTTTCATGTTTGTCTAAGAGGCCATGATAATCGGCAATGAATAGATCGCGCACTCCAGTTGCGAGGGTCAGTTTCTGTTTGGATCCCAGAGCCTCTATGTTTGTAGCACCTAGAGTAGGATTTGATACAAGATCTCGGAAAAGGGTGAGAGATCGGAGACGAACTGACTCGGGCGTGCTGGAGTCTATATCCTGTCCATCAAAGATAAGGGGGTAGAGCTCTGCAGTCGGCTCCAGACCGCGCAGATATAACCGCATCGACGCGGTGTTTTCACGCTTCTCAGTAGAGAGGAAGCACCTGATTTTGGATTCATCGATCGAAAACGTTCCATCTTGATGAATGGTGCACCATCTGGCACATAGGCCCCCTTGCTGCAAAGTCCCTTCGAGCGCGACATCTTGATCGCTGTCATTCCGCCTTGTTGGACCTGAAACCCTCTCTGTCGGATTATTAGCCATGCACGCTGCAAGAACAAGATATATGAATGGTACTTGCTGCTGAGGGATTCTGGTTTTGGTGTGTCGAGACTTCGCTTCATCTTGTATCCGGACTACGCCCTTGGTAGGAGTGCTAATTAATAGTTCAACTAGCCGACCTCTTGAACTGCCTCGAATCAAGGGCAGCCAAGGATTAAATACCTGCCCTCGTTTGGCACTAAGACGCTGGTGGATCACAATACGACCGACACGAGGCAGGACAAGAAATTGGTTGGATGGGAGGACGGGACAAGTTGAAGAACCTCAGATGGGAACGCCTTTTATTGTTGGCCTTCTGGTACTGATTCATGTTTAACGTCGCTCAATGAAGTCATCTCGTCTTCCGGGCTGCTTCTTCTCCACAGCCGCTTTCACTGATGCCTTCAAAGTCAATCCCGACAGGGGTCTTGAAATGATGACACACCAAAGTCAGGCGCCCTCCTGCTGCCTAGAAACGATTAATGGGAGCGGCCTCTTAATTAGTTTGTGATTCATGACGGGCATCGGCACTGTTGAGGCCACATTCGACATGTATGCACGTTTTCTTCAAGGGGGAAATTGCGTGAGCTCTTGTACATGCATTACTTGCATTGGAAATGAATTTGAGAGAATCGTGTATGCTTTATGAACCCCCCCCGGAGTGAGTTTTGATAGAAAGTTAAAACAAAAGAAGAAGTCAGACCTAATAACTTAATATAATAAATATAAAAGATTAAAAAAAAAAGCTTTATTAGCCTAAGGCTATAGTTATATAGCAGAAAATTTTATAAATCTTTATACTAATAACTTACTTACTATCAGGACGAGCTATATATTAAATAACTACTAAAGCTGCTCTCTTTACCTAGCTTCTTATCTTATACTAATCTATATACTTTAACCGAGTATAAGTATACTAACTACCTAGTAAGTATTAGTAGCCCCTTAGCCAGAGTACTAATACTAATATACCTACAGTCTTTAATTATAGTAGATAATAAGACCTTAGTATCTCTTATTAAAGATAAGAAAATAATCTAGCTAATAATACCTAAGCCTATAATTAATACTAGTAATTCTAAGCTTACTAGCTTTACTAAAGCTATTAATATAAATATAGTTAATAAGCTAGATAAAAATAAGCTTAATAGTCTCTCTATTAAGTAGCTTATTACCCTCTATAACTTCGGATAAGATATCCTTAGGTATATATCTAAGGATAAACTTAATATCCAGATTATCTTAGTATTAAGAAGTTAGGGGTTAGATTAGTTTTAATTTTTTATATTTAAAGCAGTATTATTCTAGTAGAATACTATTAATAAGAAGAATAAGTAGGGCTACTAATAGTATTAACCAGAAGAGAGGAAAGGATATAGAAGAAATCAGGGTTCAGCAGAGAATAGCCTTAATAAAAAAAAAAAACTTTTAAACCTTTAATACAATGAAAGACAACACAGTGAGGGATGCTTTATGAACATATGTCTGATTTGCTGTTACAACCACTTGGGGTAACTTAGCTAATTATCAGATTTATGAGGGCCGGTCACTCTGACCACTTCGCCTTCTCGGTAAATGACAGCCTTGGAGAATTTTCTCGCTGTGATATTCTTCTCTGCGAACAGAATACCCAACTCTTCGAAAGTCCGATTGCCGGTCTCGGGGAGTCGGAAATATGCCCACATGAGCGATACGACGGTCAGGCCAGAGGTGAGGAGCCCCGATTTGCCTCGCCAGTTTGCGTTCTGGGGGTTCAGGATGTATGGCGAGACAACGCTGTTTATTATATTCAGGACCAGGTATGTCCCTCGGGCTAGTGCGATTGTTTTGGATCGCAGCCGTGTTGATGATACCTCGGCGTTGATAATGTATGGCAATGGCCCCATGGTTAGACACCAAACAGCAAACCAAAGCAAATAAACGGCCGACGTGGCATACCCAAAGGCTGAATTCAGAGGGCCGAAGGCCAAGAAGCCGACAACCATGATGATCAGAGCTAAAGCCAAGTTTCCCCAGAGGTAGAGAGGCCGACGACCATAGTTTCCTGTGAGGGCAGCGGATGCGAGATTGCACAACAAGTGGATTCCTCCCATACACAGAGTCATCTTAAACGAATCAGACGGGCTCAGGCCTGCTTGCTGAAAGAAATAGGCCGCATAGCTCTGAACGACGAAGCCAGTGAAGATCTGGCTTCCCCAAGTAAAACATGCGATCTCGGTTCTCCATAGGTCATGGCCCTTGAAACAAGCTAGAAACGATGTATCTTTGGTGGTTTCTTTCTCCAACTTGTCCGTCTCAATCATCAAAGCGACAGCCTTCTTAGCGTTTTCCGCTGCAATCTCTTTGCTCTTGGCTGAGCTGAGTCGGACAACAGATCGCTCAGCCATTTCGTAACGACCCTTTCGTACGAGCCACCATGGCGATTCTGGACAGAAAGCAGCCAAAGGGAGGATGATGACGGGCCAGAGCCACTGAATTGCAAACGGGATGCGATACGCCCACTGACTGTCCCAATCATTGAGGCTGAACAGCACCGCGTAAGAAAAGAATTGACCGATACCCCAACAACAAACAACCCAGGTCTCCAAGTAGCTTCTCAGGATCAAGGGCGCGATTTCCGAAGAAAACGCTGGGGCCAAGGTTGTGAACATGCCCCACGGAATCCCGCACAACAGCTGCCCGACGAATAAAACCTGTACATTCTGTGCAAAGAATTGGATGAATATGAGCCCAATGAGAGCAATGAGGCCACCGTGTAGTACTGGCTTGTGCCCGAATTTGTCGGTGAGATGGCCGTTGAGTATAACCCCGACCACGTTACCAACTGGCGTGGCCATTCCTAGAGCCATTTGCCACTGTGCGGTCAAGGTGTACTTGCTGCTGTCGGGGATTTGATGGCCGTATTTGCGCTGAAACGCTGGAAAGCCAAAGAGACTGCCCATCAAGGCGGTGTCATAGCCATCCATGATGATGGCCAGACTTACAACCAGTGACCAAGCAACTGCTTTGGGATACAACTTGATTCCTTGGAGAAGGGTTGTGTTGTGTTCATTCTCCGTAGCCAGATTAGCATCCTCACGAAGCTTAGACCAGTCTCGCTCTTGCTGACCATCGGCAGTTGGACAATTGTGGTGCTCGCGGTGAGCAACTTCACCCGAACTGTTTTCATTGACCGAATATGGAGGCTTGGTGGCGGTTTTTGTCGCCATACTGCTCTTGATGAAACCAATAATACAGTTTGAGGGGAAACAAACGATCTCCTAACTGACGTGGCGCCACATGAACTACTTATACACAAAACTTCACCCACTATGTCTCAAAGGTTCTGCATCAGGCAAGCTGTTACCTTCTACGAATGACCTGGAGCCAACGGGCAGCAGCTCGGCAATTTCCAAACTAGGTAGCCCTGGCTGATTTCCCCCAGGATTTCGAACAAGGTGGTTGCGCTTCCCCATGGGATAGACCACGCTTAATGGGTAGTTGCATGCTGATCCTTGGGGGCACCGTTGTCTGCCAATTCACGTTTGTAGCGAGTGAATGCTTGCTATACCAAATTAGTGATGAATGCCACCCCTTTTCTCGCAGTTACTCACTTGAACAGTGCAAAGCATCCTGGAAAATGCGGGGGTTCCGACTGCTCACAACACAACGATGGCTTGGATGGGTAAGATTGATGCGAGAGGCGGAGACTAGCCCAATCTGGGGCGGAACCGTACACTGGAGTCACCAAGTCGTGAGAGGATGCGATCATCGGCACATCCGACCCCTCACTCTTGCACCCGCCCTACTTTTGGACCTCTCCGCCTGCAACTCTGGTGATCCCGAGCCACTCGACTTACAAGTGAACTCGTACCGCTAGGTTCCCAGTGAACCATGGATGATTCCGAAATGAGGACGGGAGCGAAGCAGATCGTCTGGCAATCGGCTGCCACTCCATCAAGGAAACGAACACTACAAGATAAGTGAATCCAATGCGGGTGCCCAAAAGTGATGGCGAGAACGCCAAGCGGCAAAATAGAGTGATAAATACTGACATTTTGCCTTGGGGAATTACCCTGCGAAAGCTGCCGTGCGAAGAAAAAGAGATGCTTTCATACCGAGGCAGCTGAAGGGCCAAACCGGCTGGACAGGCTGAGCAGAGTTGTGACTTTAGGATTGGAGTCAAACTCAGAGATAAGTACACGGGAATCAAGTCTCAGTCCAGGCCACGAAAGGCCATACAGTCCCGAATCTGTTCTGTCGTACTTGACCAAGGATCCCCCTCGGTCCAGTGGGGGTGATCCAGCTAGACAAGATCCGACATTCATTGAATCGGCAGCCACTACTTCGAAACAGATGGAATCTCCCGAAGAAAAATTGAAACGGCAGACTATCTGGTACAGAAGGTACAAATCTAGACTTGGCACCCCAGCATTATCGGAGCACCAGACAGCCTATCTTGAAGAGGTCGGCGCGCTTCTGGTTCTGCCAAAGACAACAACAGATGCGCTTTTACCTCTATACATATCCCTCCTAGATGATTTAATTCCAGTGGTTGATGGTTCCCGCGTCTTCCGCGATCTTAGTAATGGGGAAGCTTCCACATATCTGGTACGGGCAATGTGCCTCGTCATCTGCAAAACAAAGCAGGCAACCCCGTTCCTGAGGCTTACAGAAGGAGGGCCTCTTCTTGAGCATCGGAAGTTCGCATCGAAACTTCTAAATGGCCTTGATGCGGCCCTGAAAGCGGATCTTGAACCAGATCGGGTTATCAAGACTCAGATATTGGCGTTGATGCACTTGCACAATGATGGTTTCGCTGGTGGAAACCGCTCCTCAAGTTACTTATCTCAAGCAATTTGTGAGGCGTGGTCAATGTCCCTCCACTTCAATATTGCTGGAAATACAGACCAAGAACAGTGTAATTTCCTCTGGTGGTCGCTACGAAACCTTGATCGGCTGAACAAACCTATAATGGCAGCAGGACCTTTTATTATTGACGATACAGACATTTCGATCGATCGTATCACGGCAAAGGCCAATAGCTATAGATCCCAGATAATGGAGGTCTCCACTGTGCTTGGTGACCTCATGACCACTGCAACTAAGGTATACAAGGCCAGCTCCAAATCAACTGTTGACGATAGCGGCGTCTTCCCATCACTTGATGACATTACGTCGAATACCAATTTCTCCCAGTTTCATCAATCTCATCGAGGTAAAACTAGGTCCTCTAAACTAATTTACACTGAACGCTGAAGACTAAGGGGCTCAGTTTACCTCGAACTGTGGTATCACATCACCGCAATGTTGTCATGTCGATACAGCGGACCAGGGGCTGCACAATACGATCGACGGCTTGCGTCAGCGGATCGTATCCTTCATATATTTTCACAAGGGGGGCACGAAAATTTCCCACCGCTGCCTTTAGTTCCATATGCGCTCTCGATGTCTACAACTGTGATATATAGAGCTTTGCGTGACGGGCAACGAGATCTGGCCGCGGCCTACGAAGATCTCCGGTTATGCTGTGAGATGCTAGATGCATTGGGGCAGCGATGGACGAGCGCAAAGAGTGTGGCTAAAATAGCTAAGCGTTTATGCACAATCAGTGCAAGGGCTTCGCATAACCCTCAACTACGAGAGACAACCCAGGAGCTCTCGAACAATCATCGCGCCGACGGTCAAGTTACGTCTAGGAACTCACTAAACGCGAACACTATCGCGCCGACGAGTGTTGAGGAAGATGGCCTCGTGAATGTGGAATCAAGACTCACTTCTTCCCTAACAGGGAGCGAAATGATCCCGGAAGAGCAATTGTCTAGTCGAGATCAACTTTGGCAGGGACAGTCGCTTGGGCCGTGGCCAGGTACTATGGACGACCCATCATGCGTCCCGCTTGATAGAGCCTTCTACGACCTTTTTGACTACAGCATTCCGGATGTTTTTAGAGGGCCTGCAACCTGTGAATTCTTGCAGCTTGTACACAATGAAGACGATGGTTTGGATTGTGGTATACATACTACTTCTCCTCTTGCCTCTTTCAGCGGCTGCAACGATCCAGCGAATAATATGCCCATTTGAGTTGGAATTGAATGCGGCAACAGGTAAAAGAGCAGTTTCAGCGGGTCGAAAGGATACAACTCATTATCAACGTGAGAAAAAGGGACTTGGGTTTACGTTGTAAATGGCTGGTCAGCAGCACATGATTTTGGTTTAGAAACCTCGTATGGGTGACATTTCGATGAAGAAAGATACTAGCGCTGGGCGTTGCTCCGTTTTATCTTTATACCTGAAACAGGTCTACATTGAATTTGATCGTATCTACGATGTTCTGTGGACCTTATAATGTCCGTGATATCCTTGCCATACGAGGATATCCGTATCATAAAATATAAGAAAGCCGATTCTTCCCGAATTTATTGCCTCCACATCACGAAATGAGCCCTACTCTCTTCATCGGCTAGCTACCAACTGTCTTTGATTTTATTCACAAGCCATAATTAGCTCTCCAGACTTGTAGGCAGGTTCTTGGGTTCTCGATAATGTACTCGCACACAGAAGATTACCAAGAGCTCTTGATGAGTGCTTCCAAGGCATAGTTCAATTAGAGTTGACATACATAATGCTTTCAAACCACCTAAATGTCTTCTCCCAGCTCACATGCTTGGTAATGACTGTGATTGTTATTGCTCATGAAATGTTACAATGACCAGCCTATCCAATGGCAAGGCGCAGGTAAAGCCAAAGCCTGGATTCTCTCCTACTACTCAGCATTGCCCTAATACGTGGCATCAGGTGTGCTTCTTTCATACAAATGCTCTCCTTGTTTCATAACGTGATCTAAGGGGACACTCATATGTCTGTCAATAGAATCCGAGCCGGTTCAGACTGGGGTCGGCCCGCAACTGAGTTTTGGTCTTGTTCAGGTAATGCTGATCACTGGCGCTTCCGACCCGAATCTGGAAAGCCCGCCAGCTTCATGCCAAGTTGCTCCACCACCGCTCAAGCAGCAGCCAACCACTTATCGACACCTCAACATGCTTAGGATAACAAATCGAATACAACTCTTTTTGGTTCAGTCTTGCGTAGTGACTAGACCTATCTTGGGTCGGCTAGGTGTGTTGCTCTAGGAGTCTCCAATCAGATTTGACTGCATTGTGAGGCGATCGTCACAACTGGAGATACATGCATCTGTGAAGCAACGGATGATTATACGAGCAAAACATGATTTGATGGCAGTATTGCTTTGATGGGGTTGTGTCTACTCCGCTAATACGGAAGCCCTTCATTGGGGATTTCAACCCGATGCCGGAGTATCGAACAGCATATATAAAGACAACCCTGAGACAGCTGGTATGATTCTCAGGCCAGAAAACGAAGTCCACCGACCAGTTTAAGCGAACACGTAAATTTTCATCACTTGTTTTGTGCACAAATAAACAACATGTCTACGCCACAGGTCAAGCGATATGTCATTGTTGGCATGGGCGTACGCTCTGCCTTCTACTACCAAAGCATTATCAAGGACTTTCCCGAGGCTGCCACACTCGTCGGAATCTGTGATACAAACCAGACCCGTATGAACGCCGCCAATGACCGCATCGTCGAGATTGGAGGCCAGCCGCAGCCCACGTACAAGGCTGAAGATTTCGACAAGATGGTCGCAGAACAAAAGCCCGACGTTGTCATCGTCACCACCATCGATCTCTATCACCACGTTTACTGCATCCGAGCCATGGAATTGGGCTGCGATGCCATCACCGAGAAGCCCATGACCATCGACGAGGAGAAGCTGCAGGCCATGATTGATGCTGAGAAGCGGACTGGTAAGCAGGTCCGCGTCCTCTTCAATTATCGCTACGCACCTCACCATACCAAGGTCCGTGAGCTGATAGCATCCGGGGTCATTGGAGAGATCTCAACTGTTCACATGGACTGGATCCTCGACTGCGCGCACGGCTCCGACTTCATGCGGCGCTGGCACCGGAACAAGGAGACCAGCGGGGGCATCCAGATGCACAAATCCATCCACCACTTTGATCTTGTCCATTTCTGGCTGAACACCGAACCCGAGCTGGTGTACTGCCTGGGAGATTTACGATTCTACGGAAAGGAAAACGCGGAGAGGCGTGGGGAGACCAATCTGGGAGAGCGGTATCTCAACAATGAGGCAGCTAAGGCCGACCCGTTCGCGATACACATCGACAAGAATGCGCAGCTGAAGAAGCTTTATCTTGAGGCTGAGCATGAGGACGGGTATATCCGCGACAGAAACTGCTTTGCTGAGGGCATCACCATTGAAGATAATCTGTCCATGATTATCAAATACAAGAACCGCGCAGTCATGACGTACAACACCTACGCGTATGCACCCTGGGAGGGTTACCGCTGTGTGTTCAACGGGAGCAAGGGACGAATCGAGATTAATGTCGTTGAAGGGGGATACTCTGCAGGAGGTGAGACGGTCACAAACAAAGGTATTGGAGACCTGGAGAAGAACTATATCCAGGGTGGCGTTGAGCAGACCAAGATTGTTGTCTATCCTTTGTGGGATGAGCCTTATGTGGTAGATATTGTCAAGCAGGAAGGCGGCCATGGAGGAGGGGATCCCGTGTTGCTTCAGGACGTCCTGGTTGGCGATCGGAGTGACAGCTTCAAGCGAGCTGCTTATATACGGGATGGAGGAAATGCGGTCTTGGTTGGCGTGGGCGCGAACAAGTCGATGAAAACAGGGCTGCCGATCAAGGTTCAGGAACTTGTTAAGTGGTAGGAGTGTTAGACAGCCTCGGTCTTGGTACCGTATATTCGTTCTAGCGCTCAACTAGATTGTGTTCTAAAAACTTCTGTCTAAATAACAGCTCTATACGTAGTGATCAGATGAATTCGTGATGAGCAAGCTCATATACGAAACCAGAAGCCATCTTTGCATGTTGAAAGACGTGACCAAAGTCCACATACTCCAGTGTGTCGTTTGGAGTGTGGATATAGGGGTTGTGGTTGCCGAAAGGCGTCTCGAAGATGAAAGAAGAAGGATAGCCATTTCTATTCGCGGATGCATGGTCTGAACAAGCATATCCACATAGCGTCTCTTCGTAAGAAATGTCTGTGTACCCTCCGATGACGAGTTTGAGAAACTCGTTTTGACTGGCATCCGTATTGTCGGTGACCAAGCCGAAACGCTCAATGCCGTCGCGGCCCTTGTAGCCGACCATATCTTGGTTCAGCATCGCGACCACCTGCATATTAAGGGTAGCGTACTGATTGAATATGTCCTGGGATCCGAGCAGACCAGATTCCTCACCACTGTACCAATGCCACTCAAGAGTGTTCAGGTGGTCACCCTCTGCGATTCTTGGATCAGTTAAGATAGCTCGAAGAACAGCTAGGTTCATCATGGAGCCGGAACCGTTATCATCTACACATTGTTCAGTCCATTAGCAACTTCTACCCCCTATGAATTCAGCCATGCGAAAAGAGAGCGAAGGAACCTACCGGCACCAGGTGCTCGTCCAGCGCCGCGATCACCGGAAATGACCGAATCGAGATGTGATCCAAGAACGACGGTCTTCCCACGGGTAATCCCAGGAATCGAAACAATAATGCTTGGCTGCGACCAAGCTGTGTGACGCACGAGACGAGATGTAGCCAGTGGGTTACCACTCTCCTTGATCACTTCCTTCACTCGCTCGTAAAGCCACTCAGCCGCATCAACGCCGTACTGAGAGTTGAAGTAACGATTATGGAAGGAGGAGTATGTAGTCAGCTGCTCCTTGATTTTGTCAACGTCGATATTCTTGATAATCCTTTGCACAGCACACTTGTGTTGGAGAGCAGCAGGGAAGGCAGCAGCAGCGAAAAGCTTGGCAGAAGAGACCTGCACGTCCTGGAGTTCAGTGATGTCAAAGAAATGACGTCCTTCCTATGAGAAAACATTAGAGAACAATAAGAGCGTATTACCACCTGAGATTCAAATCGCTCACATCAATCATCTTGAACTTTTCGTCCTCTGTAACTTCGATCACTTCACCCGGGGCGACCTCCAAAACGAACATTTTCTCCCTCCCCAGAGGCGCCGTGGCCGAAGCCGTGGCAGCTAGTGCTGCGAGAATGGGCCCCAGGTAACGCATTATGGGTTGCTTTTGATGAGAGAGAATTGATTTAAGATTGGAATATATGTTTCGAACAATGAGAATATAATTGTGAGGGGCTCTAAGGGTTTAAATACTTGTGTTTTCACATCTTAACCCCGCCTTTGATATTTCTTGCACCTACGCCAAGAAGCGAATCAGACGGCAAAACATGATGTTCAAATACTCTACTTGCTCTTCGATACGACCGACCCGCTGTGGCGGTGAAAGCCAAGCTATCTTATGCATTGGCAGCTTACTCGCCTGCTACTCTGGTTGCGGGGTTGAACAAAAGAACGTCTTGATAACTCTAGAATTGCAGTGAAGCTATCCAGAAGTGGAAGCTCAACCATGCGAAGAAGCTTAACCCCAGGCGCCAAGATAGCCAAGTAGTGATAACCAATAAGTAATGCGGGGCCACCCAATGCGGTACCTTGTCATGATGTGTAAGTTGATAAGAGCTTCATGGTATCTATCCAGTGGTTGTTTGTGCGTGGACAGAGGCTTGATTCTCCTTTGCTATGCCATGCAATGTTGAGGAATCTCCGGGACGGATGAACTGATCCGCTGTATATGCTCGGACTTACCATGCTGGAGGCTGTCATGCAAATCATATGATGACTGCGCTTGGAATCTTGGCAAAATAAAACTGACGGACCTTCCTTTTTGAGCAAGTATTGGATATAGGGAATTCGAATGTTAGTGGTGTATGGCCTGTGCCATGTGCTGCAACTAGACCTGCATATCACTGTCAGAGGTTTCCTGTTGCAATGATTGATTGGTTGCAAGTCATCTTGTCCTGGCATTAGCCGAGAATCAGCTACTCTCGGTAAGATTCACGTACAACCATGAATAGGCGGCTGAACCTTGCTACTGCCTGAGATAGTGACTCTGATCAGATTTCATTGCATTTTGATACATTTTTATAGCTAAGGAGCGAGCGTAAAAGAATACATCTGATGGTGGTGTGAACAAAATCGACAATGATGGAATAAGGCCCGCGTAGAGGTCGATCATTTCTCATTCCCTATTAATTTTACAATTTGTTGTTCTTCGGAACTCTAGCCCTCGTTTTAGCTGCGGCCTCAGCTGCTAGTTTGGCTGCCCAGTCACTTAACTGTAATGGCTTCTCTGTCTCAAGCAGAAAAATTGTGATGCCTAGGTTGTCAACCTTTTCTGGGGCATCCGAGCCTTTCCTAGCATCTTGAAAGTTCTTTTCCGTAGGTCCTAGAATTTCATTCAAAATCAGCAACCTCATCTGTCAGCATGTAAAGGGGACGGCCAGGGACTCATCCTCTTACCATGAATCACATTGCTGCCGTGCAATCCGGCACCGAGAGGCTTGAAATCGGCTCCCCCATTGAACGGATAATCTTTGTCTTGGGAGTTGATTATAGGGGCAAAAAACTCGCACATGGTGTTTCGATGATAATATGGCAGGCGGAAGGTATCTTCAGCTACCATCCAACGCGGAGGGATTATGGCAAAGTCAACAACCGAATTGCCCGGCTCGCCGTATGAGGGTGCCGTCAATACAGTGTAGAGGCATGGATCATGTTCGTCAAAGAGCAAGTTCCCCATGACACAAAACCTGGCCAGATCATACTTGAAGGGATAATTCGTGCCGTGCCAAGCTACGACGTCAAAAGGTGTATGGGTTTGCTCACAGTGCCACAGCCGGCCATTCTGGCGTGTTACGATCTTGTGTTTTGTTCCCGCATCGTTTGAAATTGCCACTCCGTCCCGGATACTCCCGTCGAAACAGGCCACAGGTATTTGAAAATCTCGGGTGTTGGCGAGCCCAGTGCTGCCTATAGGGCCAAGTTCAGGAAGACGGAAATGGCCTTGGAATAATTCGCATACGTACCCTCGAGCTGGACCCGCGGGTAATGTGACTCGATATCGTATCCCTCGAGGGATCAAAGCAATTTCGTTCTGTCTGACCAGTAACTTGCCCATTTCCGTCTGGATATCAAGAGAACCAGCCTGGGGAACAATGAGCACGTCACCATCGATGGAACAAAAAGCCGTTCTCGGTTCCATATCTTGCGATACGCTCCAAGTCCATATAGCGAGACCGTCTTTCCGCATCGGATCACCATTCCTGGCTAGGAGCTTTTGTGCAGAAATCCAATCAGCTGTTGGATCAGAGGGAAGCTGTGGCCACATGTAGGAATTGGGAGATATGAAATCCGGCACTTTGGGAGGTGCATCTAAAGGTTCAAATGGATCATGATCCAAAGACGGCGCGACGCGATACATGAATGTTTGTAACGTGAGATTGCGCGGCGCAACGAATGAAGTCCCGCTGAGTCGCTCCGTGCGAAGCCCGTATGGAGGTTTCAAGGGGGTGTTGTTCGCCACAGGGATTGCGCCCTGGAGGGCCTCAGACCTAACGAGCCGAAAGTCAGACAGGTATATCACCAGGTTGGATGTAAAATAACTGACGAGTGGTAGTTACCAAACCCTTCCAAGTACGCATAAGCGTCTTTGACTGCAAAATCGGTGGTGGGAGCCATGGTTGGAAGGCAACAAATTCGATCCAGAAATTCGATGTTACTCAAGAAGTTGAAGAGCAATACAAAGTCATCGAGAGGTGTATATATAATACCCGGACCGGGTGATGATTTGTTCTCGTGACATCAAGCATATGTTCGAAGCCGAGCCTCGTATTGATTTGAATTTCCCCAGTGGAAGCATGCGACACACCCTGTTCCTCCCTCGATCCTGAATTGGTATGTATCTCGCCGGTTAGTCTATGCTGCTTGATCTGATAGGTGCGAAGCATAAAGCGACCCTCCTTGTTCCCCGGATATTGGCATCATTCCCCCGCCATTTCGTCTTACCCCACACTCTGAGTGTCCATCCAACAGCTCGATGCCAACCAACCAGAGGTCATGCCGAGGTACTCGAGGCCATCAGGGCTCCGTATTTCATGGCGGTAGGCAGCTTCGAATAAGCTAGCCATATGTATGCCGCAGATTACTCTCATGAGTTGCGTAATAAGCAGTTTTCTCAATCGTCTCACAACCTTCGTATTTATTTCTGCATCACGAGGACAAGATGTCCGCTATTCCTGCTACACAAATAAACTACTTGGAAATCAGCCAAGATGTGAAAATTGAAGACCAAAATACAGACCCAGGTCGCTTGTGGAAGAAGGCGCTGGATCTCCTTGAGGCATATGATGGCTTTCGTCGACTGTACTGGGGTAGAAGTCCTGAAGACTGGTCAAAGGTTCAACTTCATGTTGGTGAGTCGGCTTAACACTTGATACGGGTAGTCACGCACTTCTAATATCCTACTCTAGTGAGGGATCACCTGTCACAACATCAAGGCTTTCAAAAGACCTCACAGTATGAACAGTTCCAATCGATTCTGAGAAAACTGATAGTTCCATCCAGTGTCCCATTCACCCGACACGCTTTTATTGAAGAATTTACGCCCAATAATCAGGCACTTGGAAGAGGTGCGCCGTTTTCTGGGACGGCAATATACATTGATACTGACGAGTCTTGGCATGTTGGGGCTTGGCCACTATGGACGCATATCGTTCGCCACGTCGATGGATGCTTGGGTGTGACTGGGGGTAGGGTGGTTGAATCCGTGGATGGACACCACAACTGTTATGTCGTTTACGTTGGGTGGGAGAGTATTGAGAAGCACGACGCGTACCACCATACCCGCCATTTTGCTAACCGCCGAGTGGTCCTGGCTCTTGGAAATAAAGGCTGGAAGGAGTATGGCCATGTTAAACTTCAGGGTGCGAGGGAGGCCAAGGAGAAGTTCGAAGAACAGACTGGATGGGTATCCAAAGACTCTAAACTGTAATTATGCATAGTATTTTGTTTTGGCGCTCGCAACGCAGGCTCATGCCTTGGAGCCATTGTTCCAAAAGGAGTGGTTTCCCTTACTGGACACAAATCTGCTAATGCAATTCCATTCCATAACTCTTATGTATCAATACATGTACTCGTGTTTCCAAATTTGTCCTGTGATAAAATTCTAGAACCATCCAAGGTACCCATGAAGATGAACATAGCAGTTGGAGTTGTCCCGCATCTCTCACCCACCTCACCTGAAGAAACCAATATTTCAGTAAACATTACGCGATTACTGCTTGGATGTCGACGTGGCATAGGAGAAATTTGCAGTTCCCGTGGGTCTTCGTCGACCGTCCATAACGAGAAAAAACCTTGCTTATTGTGGTGCTCGGCCCTTCATATTCCAATCTCGGCGCGGAGATCTCAACTCGGTTTATTAAGAATAACCCGCCCGTTCATTATATTACCCAGACGGCCAAGGCCAGCTTAGACTTAAACAGACAACGCTAGCCCCTACGCGTGTCACGGTCTGTCACCATTCGGGTTTTCATGTCCAACAAACCAATGAGATCACAGCTAAATATGAGCACGGAGACTCATCTATGAGCCAAACTAAGTTAATGTCCGGGCGTGCTTTAGCATAAACCAACTAAAGTTAGCGGCATGTCGATTTACGAGCACCAAAGAGTAATTGACGAATGAGAGCTCTCCTATTTGCATTGGATGTCACCTCGCCACGTCCCCGTCGAATCACAGATCAGACATTACCAATACAGAACCCACCAGCCCCCCGCGGGATCCCATGGCTGACGTCCTTTTGGGGATGATTGCACCTTGAACGCCACGCGGTGTGCAAATTAGTCCTCGGACATCGAATATTGATGGTCGGAAGCGACGGATGGCCCCGCAATGCAACCACAAGCTGACAACTCGGGGCCTCTGGTTGGCTGGTCTTTTACACAAGGGAGGTCTCATCCGCTGCAGGTGTGAACTTATATCTTGGCCAGGATGATGGTGGTGATGGAGGGTCGCCTCAATCTCCTCATTCTGCTACTTTCATCAAAGCACTTGACTGGTGGTGTCTTGTCTCCTCCCACGCCGTGACCTGACGTCCTTTCACGCAATCATTCACATACAGCCATTTACTATTCTTCCTGCACATTCACAATCTACACATCTCAAAATGGGTTCAAGACCCAGCGAGCAGCAGGTAAGCATTATTAAATATACATGTAATTCTCCTCCTCTGTATGATGCCAACATCTCGTGCTCCAGGCTCTTCTTCCCAGCGCATCAGAAAACAACAATTACTCTACATCACGGTCCTCCTCGTATCAATCGATATCAACTCTAAACGACGATTACGACAGCGACGCTCTCGAACATGACAAGGCGAAGCGAGACTTGTTCATTGCCCGATTTCTAGCCGACTTCACACTGGGGTTTTCTGATGGATTGACGGTACCATTTGCTCTCACAGCCGGGCTCAGCTCCTTGGGCACAGCGCAGACTGTCATCTATGCTGGCTTCGCAGAGCTGTGCGCTGGCAGCATCAGCATGGGCATTGGCGGTTATCTGGCAGCCTTGGATGATGTTCGCGCAAACGAGCGTTGCCAGAACATCGAGGATAAAAAGTCGCTGGGGGGAAACAAGGATGATGTCGAGGAAGCCCGCAGTTTGCCGTATCATACGGAAGATGAGGCGACTGAGGTCGGCTCTAACCTTGGCGAGGACAACACGAGCCGTGTTACCTCTGAAGATATGGTCCGCCAACATCTCCAACCTCTCAATCTCCCCCCTCACATGGTCTCTGAAATTCTCTCTACCATCGCCAGCCGACAGAAAGGTCTGGAGAGTACCGCACTGGCATTGAAACCTAAAGAAAAAGCCGATCGCATCCAAAGCGCCATTTGGCCCATCATGTCCGGCATCTCGATCTCTCTCGGATATGTGATCGGTGGCTTGATCCCCCTTCTACCGTATTTTTTCACCTCAACTGTTGGCGCCGGCTTGTGCTGGAGCACCGCCTTTTGCCTGGTGGCCTTGTTCGGATTCGGTTTTGGCAAGTGCTGGATGTTCAGTGAAGAGAAGTCGTATTGGCGACAAAGCCTGTGGGAGGGCTTCAGAATGCTGGTTCTTGGCAGTCTTGCCGCCATTGCATCCGTGCTATGCATCAAGTTACTGGAGACTAGCACCGGAGGGCCGCCTTAATTACACCAATCATACAAAATGGGAATGATCTTGGGATATGGGGAAAAATATTATGAGTAATGACACCATCGCATAGAAACGCCTGTATATAATGTCTGCTAGCAAACATAGCCTTTGAAAAGAATCGACTCTCCTCTACGAGCAATACTGTCTCATCTAGCTTGGTAAATTTCTATAATTTTGTGTACTGCTGACTGGAACACGTTTTGAGGAAGTGAGATGACATGCTAAATACATTTAATTCATTAAATCATAGAACGAAACTCAGGTTCTAGAAGGGAAGGGTCTCACCCAAGCCAACCGATAAACAAATATATTCTATACAACGCATCTAACCATATAATAGTGTTGGTAGTAAGGAACCAGAGCCACAAGCAAGAATGTGATCTTGAAGCATTGAGTTGATTGTTGATACCCAAGAAACAATAGAATCATTTCTCACTTAGCTGCCATCCTCTAGTTCGCCGAGAAATTCATGGACCTGAATTTCGGTTCCCTCGAAATATCGATGTGGCTCATATTTTGTATGGCCTCCCATGATATCCTCATCCATGGGAACACCAAGATCCTTCAGAAGCAGCTGGCAATGCTCCGCCGCGGTACAAATATTGAACATGGTTTGTTTATGGTCATGGTCCAGGGTTTCGAGCTCAGGGACACGGCCACCTTCGCTGAATATTTTAATAGTCCCACGACTAGCATATGATTGATGCCTGGCCTTGACTTTTTCAGTTTCATCGAAAATACTGGCGTTGAGCTCCCTAAAGCTGGCATTAAGGCGACTCAAGCCATCAATTCTCTCTTCCGGACGCTGTTCTCGGATCATATGGATTATTTGGACTAGGCCGGAAACTTCATCGCAAATGATGTCGACGGTTCTCGGAGCTGGCAATGGGCCAATGAGTAGATCCAAGCCGCGTGAAAGCCTTTGAGAGTATGCCCGAGTAACCGACCCTCGTTCATCGTGGACTCGTGAGGTGTCAGCGCCATGCTTCAGCAGAATCTTGAATAGCTCAAGGCGAGAGGCATATGGGAATTGGCTTTTGGAAGTTGCTATCGGGAAAATCGCAAGGGCGTGAACAAGGGGGAGGTAGACAGGAAGAAGCATCTCTCGCGTCTGCAGAGGAACACTGTCGTTTGCACTACCCTCTCCGGATTTGACAAGTACTTGATCCAAAAGATGCGTGCTTGCAAAAACCCAGGGCATGTTTGGATAAGCACCATTGGAAGAAAGATACTCCCTGAGAGCGCGGCGAGCGCTGTCTTCAGGTAACCTGTTGAGAACCTGCAGGATGGAGTCGTGGTGACTGGGAGGTATCCCCATCTTCGACAAGAGGCAGAGAGATTTTACTCCCTCGCCTATACTGACTGCCTCCAATGATAGCATGAAATCGACGACCTCTTGATTTTTATCCAAGGCTGCAAGCCAAAGCGGCGTCATTTCCATCAGGCCATCCGAATTCGTCACAGAAAATTGAAGTGGGTAATTTAAGTAGCCTGGGTCGGCCTTCGCCAGCTCAATCAGACACTGAATCTCTTCGACGCAACTCCTATATCGTGTTGTCGCTGTACCGACGTCCTGCCGGGCCATTGCGAAGAAATGGATAGGCGAAAATGGTATGATGCCAGATTGCCTTCTGTGGATCTGGCAGAACGGTCCCCTTGTTCTTGCCGTAAGAGAGAAGCCGTTGTATTGGAAATAGCAGCGAATGCATTCATCACACTTTTGGAAAAGCGGAAATGAGGTTTTGAAATTACTGCGTATGTACTTGAGCCCTCGATCAGCCGCTTTGGAAGGGTCTTTTGCTGCCAGCTTCGACATGTCTTGTTGACACTTGAGTAATTCCAGCCTTGGCCGAGATTCATCTTTTGATTTGGCGCGAAAAAGGGTTTCTTGAAGCTTTTGGAGCTTATTAGGCTTGTTCTTTCCATAGCTATTAACTCTTGGGATCTCTGACTGCTTCTGAGCCGGCCAAGTTGCAGCCGGGCCCCGATTTACAGAGGGAGCAATGTGGATGACTTCTTTCCCTGGAAAAGCAACTTGTGGAACAGTGACCTGAGTTGGCAAGGCTTGATATAAAACTTCTTTTTCAGTGGTTAGAATATTAGAAGCCAATGCTTCGCTGACAACTTCCTTCTCAGGCTGTTGAAAGTGGGTAGAAACTTCTGGCTCGCCAACTTCCTTCTCAGCTTGTGCAAGGTCTGTGTTGTAATATAAACTTCTCCTGGTTCCTGTCTGACGAAATTCTAGATCCGAACTTGTGGTGGTATGCCCCGAATGTATGGAGGTAGAAGATGTCTCCACGGATCGCGTCTTCTCAAGACTGTCAACTGAATAAGACGTGCTAGTGCTAAGCCCGCCCGATAACACATCAATCGTAAGTTTAGGCTCCAGATTTGAATTTTATATCGAGGGTTCAAGCTTACCGTCCTATAGACCCGTCCACTGCGTTTTCATCCGGGATATAACCCCAGTCACGTTTGTTACAAGACCGTGCCGAAGGTCGGTTTTGCGGGTCAACAGTGAGTAACTCCTCAATAATTTTCTGGAATGACTGGGGTGCAAACTTTCGAAGCCTTTCCGTTCCTGGTAGAGGAATACTACCAGAATTATACTCAATCAAATGATACACACTCCTGAATGGGGTGCCGTTTGTTAGCAGTTTGAACATCAATACTCCAAGTGACCACATGTCAGCCGAAGATGCCAATTCAGAGTCAAATGGTCTAATTCCGAGCTTCTCGGGGGATATGTATTCAACCGTTTTCATGGGAAGAGTCATGACCGTGTCGTAGTCCCAATTACGGTATTTCCCACTTCCAAACCCCGCGATTTTCACAATCCATTCCGGGTGTTGTGCTGTGATCAAAATGTTCTGATAGGGTTAATCAAAATAATTTGCAACTGATAATGGGTTCGCTTACTGATGGAGACAAGTCTTGGTGGGTAAGCATATGGCCATGTAGGAATTCAAGAGCCTGCAGCAGTTGCGAGATGATCTGATGCGTTTGGTCGACAGGAAAGGGGGTGGTCAAGTAACGGCTGAGGTCGCCAAGTTCAAGATATTCCATGGAGATAAAAACAGATTCTTGATTTTCGAACCACCCAAAGACTTCCAGAAAAAGGTCTGAAGACTATACGCAACATTAGGAAATTCTTTTGTTAACAAACTGCTCACTGGCCTCTTGGGGGGTGGTACTGACCTTTGAGCTAGAGATAAGCCTCAGAGCCTCAAGTTCCCGGGCATAGTCGACGCGAACTTGGCCATCAAAGAATTTTCCAATCTCCTTTACGACCCTTTTTTGGCCTCCGTTCTTGTCGCATCGCTCGAGCCGTATACTGCTTGAGCCACCCTTCTGGCCTAATAGCGGAGACTCATCAGGAACCCAGCGCTCTATCAAAGACTCGGACGTCTCTCCTTGGGGTATCGTATGGAGGGTCGACCCATCCTGAGCGAACTCCGTTTCCAGCTTAAGGCCAAGAACAAGGCCAGTTAGATCATCAGTCGACATTTGAGGCAATTCTTCCTCTGCTGACCGAGCGGAAGAAGTTTGTATCGCGCACACTCTGTGTGCTTACACTTGTTGCGTTCCCCAATCCGATGTGAGACAAGTGTTGCTTGACCTGCTTTGGTGTATAATGGAACTTCTCGTGAAGTGATTGGTCCATAAACCGAGGAGGTTTTGGGACACATTCGTCCTGCGCCAAATTCTGTCAGCAGCAGGGGCCATGAGGTAATCACACAAGAATTGCTCGTAGCCACAGTCTTTTATTGGCCCTCAAGCTTACGCGCGCGCTTTGCATCACTCCACATTTGATTGTGATCCCCGGTGGTGCGTCATTGCGCATAAGTGGGAAAGGGTGAAAGAAACGATGAGATTAGGGCCCAAGTTTCCCTGAGGTTTGAGCCTCAATCAGTTTAATAAACATGATCGACTACATTATAGCCCCTCAGAAGACATGCAACCTCTACCTTTCTACCGTCTTTCCCAACTGCAACAACCTACCCTGGACCTCTCATCCCGAAATTGAAATTGCCGCTGTTCAAAATGCGAAGGCTTGGCTTGGTAATGTATGGTTGCTTAAAATTGTAGGATCCTGTAAACAAATGAGGAATATTGCAGGTTTATTTCAGAGAGCTGGCATATACTGAAAGCGAGGGAGCATGAGATTTGTTGAAGATCTCTCCTCAGTCAAGCCAAATACGCACTGGTTTAACTTCAGATATCAACATGAACACCCTATGTAAATCAAGCTATGCAGATTCAAAGTTCGTCCTTCACGGTTGACTCAGCCTCCACCTCTTTATATCCCAGGGGATTTTCCGGTTCCGCATATTCCGTGTTATCTTGATTTCCACCCTCCTTATTTTCGTCGACTCCGGAGGGTTGGTCTGACTTTGGAACCCCCTGCTTACAAACGTACTGAGTTAATTCCTGGATAAAAGCTGAGCGCATATCTGGTTAGCGATACCTCTAGGGAATAGACGAGATCACCATATGGATAAACGTACTACTTGCTCGATCCGCGTCGCATTTCTCAGCACATGGCTTAGCATATGTGGTGATGGTAGCAATGTTGCTACAGATTGTATCTGCAGGACCTTTCTCGTTGCACGGAATCTTATTTGCCGCTTCTAGGATGCAAGGAAGGGCGCAGTCGAACTTGACAGTGAGACCAAGGGCCTTAGTCAAAGCAAACACTGTATCGAATTGGGCGGAAACAAGTGGTGAAGCAAGGAGCAGACGAGCAATGATTGTAAGCTTCATGGTATTGATTCCAATTCATGAGAGCTTAATTGTATCGTGGTTTTGTATGTCGTATTCTTCGCTTCGTAGTATTTAGACCATAGTAAATGTTAACGGACAAATGTCAATCATATGATACATGAAGACATTTGAGGGGTTGACGAGGTTGTGGAGTAAATGAAGCTAAGGCTGTTCATCCGAGGCACAAGGAACAGCTCTACGTCACTTTATCCCCGTGATTCCAATTGAGGGATTCTTGTCCATGAATGGTATGCACGTCGTATTGGCGATTTACCCCGCATGCGACACCCATGTGCATATAAAATCATGGCGAGACTACTTGGCTTGAGCAATTGGGAAGTACCTCATTATAGAATGATCTTTGGATTTCTTCTTCGGCATTTTTTGAGCTGGAAATCGAGGTTTCAGAGAGGATATTTAATGTACTCGTAGCCCCTTGATGAACACGTTTGGCAACTCTTTCCTTTATACTTGAAGAACTGGTTGTTTCAGAAGTCATCGGTGCTCAGACGGCCTTGCCAATTCTTTCCTCTCCACTGCAACATGATCATTGGTAAAATGGAGACTACCACGATAGTAGCTGTAGTGATAGCCGTGGAACCTCGTAGGCCTGGATTCTCAATCATTTGAGGTACCCTAACCGCAGCGGATCAGTATGAGTTCTTCAATGTATAGTGCTTAGTTCCACCTACCAGCACGACCCAGTGAACCCCCATATTTGACGAACAAATGTAATAAGCACATCGACCGAAGCAGAATCCTCCCTAACACAATCAACAGCGTAAGTAATAGACACCGTCGTCACAATTTAATATAGTTCAAGTATTATCTAGGTATAGACATTACTATCTTATTGAATATAATGTCGTACTATAACTCTTTGTTTATGATTGATAATTCACTTCCACGCGGTCTACTACACCGGTCGATAGCTACGGCCGATATCAATATATGGTAAATGTATCTGCGACCGGCTTTCCAGACCGCGATGATAAGGAAGACCGTAGTTCATTGCTCAAAGCCGCAATCACCCCTTAAGTTTAAGAGTGACCAAGCCCCCGATGGGCACGACAATGCCTGGTACGGCAAACTTACATGCTAATTTGCTCCCAAAAACTATGTTTGACGCTACCATCCTCAACGTTGCCCCTGTCCTCAACCCCCAAGTCGCTGCCACCAATGTAATCCCTAAAGTCCCTGCTGGTACTCGGCAAGGGACTGGGGCGGAAGAAACGATGCATTCTTTGGCAAAGGAGCTATACCGGACCAAAAATCATTTTTCGTGTACTGAAATAAAGGCTCCCAGTATTAGCATGTGGACTGAAAATCGGTGATAAAAACAATACATTTCTCAAAATCCCATCTCTAAAATAATTCGTCGACGAGTAAAACCGCAAGCAATCCCAAATTTGATTCTGAACTAATCACTCCGTTCTTTGCCAGGATCTACATGATAATCCGTCTTCCCCCTTCATCTCACACCAACTACTATTCATAGTAGGAAGTTCGTTGGGCCTTGCCACTTGGTCGTTACCCAGGGTCAACCGATGCCACGACACGTCTTCTCATAACCCCGACCATTCTCCCAGCGCCATTGAGGTTTCCTAGGGTCGGGGATTCACTCAAGCCTCGAGACTCCCCCTTCTAGCCACGACGAGGGATCTTCTTGGGGGTCCCGGCCAAAAGTTTTGTGTTCATGGCCTGCCTCTGCAAACGGGCTGCCGCGGTCCCAGGCCCGCGAAGCCTCTGCTTCTTGCCACCGATGTTTCCACTCATACTGCGGCGATTCTTCTTGCGGGAAGCATTCCTTATACCGCTCAGGCTGTCTCCGAATAGTTTTTTCCTCCTGCTGTTTGCAAATTGTATTTTCCTCCTGCTGTCTGGCTTTGCATGCGAAGGCTTCGTGGGTAAGGAAGGCTTCTTGTTCCTTGCGTTGACCGCATCCGTGATAAAACCGCGGCGAGTCTTCTTACGGGAAGCATTTTTTATGCCGCTCAAGGGGCTTCCGAATAGTTTTTTCCTCCTGCTGTCTAGTATTGCGCCCGAAGGCTTCGTGGGTAAGGAAGGCTTCGTCTTGTGTACATTTAGGATATCCTTGAAGATATTGCGGCGAGTCTTCTTGCCGGGAAGAAACGAGCGAAGCGTCTTTGCGCCCAATTTGTCTTTGGCGAAGTTTTTGAACCTGTTGTTTGGCTTTGCGCTTTTTGGAGGCTTCGCGGATGCGGAAGGCTTCTTATGTGCGGTAATACCGCGCCCGCGGACGTAGAGGGCGTTGAGCTCATCATCATCTATGTTCCGTAGGAAGTGAGCAGCCTCCTCCTCGGATGAGGATGCATCGCGCTCCTCAAGCTCGGGGTAGTCGGCATCAAGGCCGCGGGCGTAGTTGTAGGAGGTGGCCATCGCGGTGCTAGCCAAGGCCGTGGCAATAAGGAGGACGTTGGAGCGCATGGTTGTATGAAGTGGTAATAGATGCAAAATAAAACTGGCTTAAAGGCTTCGAAATATTCGAGTAGCAGATGATGTTTGATTGGAGTTGTGAGTGTTGATAATCGAGCTAAGTCAAAGGGAGATATCCCAAGAGTTTATATACGCCATAAAGCAAAAGAAGCACCTTCAGATATCGGAAACTTGAATCCTACTTCCTCTCATTGTGTTCTCTTGAGGCTGGGCAACATGTGAACCGTAATGTGATCACAATCACACCAAACAGGGGGGCATGAGCACAAGATGAGCCACACTAGCCACTTCTAGTTCCAGTCCCTAAAAATGATATATATTAGATTTCCACTGTCTGCATTTCAGCGTTGGCTTTGCCCTTAATTTATGTGGTATAATAAATCTTTCTAAATCGAAAGCACTTTCGCAAGCACCTGCCGAAAAGGGGATGCGACTTTGGTGGCTAGCCAATATATTAGACAAAAGCCGCAATATAGCTCAAGCCCTCACGTTATGCACAGGCAGAGTCAAGGTGTATTAATCCATCGGAAACAGAATCTCGACAAAGTGCATCCAAAGGCTCCACATCTCAAGGATGAAATCTAAATAGAGAAGCTCGCCTCTTTCACACGGCGCAGAAATAGAACGTTGTCCAAATAGACCGCTACTCTTCCGAATCTGTATCTCGAGGTCATGCTAAAGATGTGAATAAAAGGAGACTTTGGAATTTGTGACTCTTAACACGAAACACCATAGGATTTATATAACATGGGTTAATATGATTATTACGTTCGCTCATAGAGTCGAGAAGGAATTACTGCTTTAAGATATTAAGAGGAAGCACTTCCGTAGGATTTCGTCTGTAAATTGGCCGATTAAAGTGCCTGACATTGGACAAGTCACAAAACGAGCGGAGCCACATCTCCAAAATATCTCCCACCAGACTGTGGCCATGACCCTTAAGACAGGTTTCACCGCGGCTTGGAATTAGGTTATAGCCGAAATGGATATCTCACTCCATCGGACTTATCAAGTCGGCGTATACTGATATCGTGAAGAACCTACACTACGAATGCCAGATCCTTAAGGCGATCCAAGATAGCTTCTACACTGCAATCTTGAGATATCAAAGGTCTCCAGCACGTGTAAACCAGGTAGCATTTTCTTCGAAGAGTGACCCATGTGAGGAGGACTGATAGAGAAAGTGGTAAGTGGGCAGGGCAAGGTTGTTACCGTGCTCGAACCAAAGCACTAACAATGCTTTCCCAGGTTGTTCCAAGAGCTTCGGCAATACTCACTGGTCATCTTCAGATTCGACTCCATAAAAACTACTCATAGATGGCCAAGTTCCCCGACGTCAAGAATTCCGGGTTCAAAAGCAGTCCGTAGCGTGCTCGCTCAATGGGTTGAGGATTTAGGGCCTAAGTAAATCAATCGTCTCCCACACGCGAAATTGTTAATCGTCGCTTGACCCCAGCTCGTCTTTGTAGAGTGCATTGAGAGTCATGGAGAGTACCCTGTGGTAATGACTCAATCCCCCGGCAGTAACCCCTTCGATTGATCGATTTCAAGTCACGGTAACTTAGATGTGAGGCTGTATATATATCTCAATTCAAAGTCTGAACCTACTGGCTGTGGGGTCCAACCAGCCAACTTTACTACCAACCGGAGCCTCAAGAAAGTTGCGACAATAGGTTCCCTCGGCTAGCATGGGCAATGCATCCAAAACAACCAAGTCGAAAACTAATAAATACAAGGAAGCTTAATTTTTTGTCCAACAGCTTCCAATGTGATTAATATCTGGTAAGCCTTTGTGCATTATGCTAATAACCAAGTAGAAAAAATTTGCGGGCTGCGCTTTTTGTGATCTTATCTCCCAATCTTTTACTTCTGGCCTCGTAATCCCTTTTCTCATTGATATGCGGAAAGGGCACATCAGGAACAGGTTTCCCCAGAAATGAACAGAGTGGTTCCCAGCCATCAGCCAAGTTGAAATCAAGAAGCTGCCTACTCGGAACACTGCTGCGGACGAACTCATAGTGCCTGATGTATGCTGCTCGCAGATTCTTTCCAACATCTTCGGGACGGTCTGATCTGGTCCAGCCCTGTTGCGTCCGGAACGACACGGAGCCGCATGGATAGCCTGAGTAGTCGCCGACTTTGGTGACGAACCAGCGCATCCAGGGGCTGCTTATCGGCTTGACAACGGACTGCATGCTGTTCCACCAAGCGTCAATGTCGCGCTCAACGAGGATCACCTTGGCGTCAGGATACGCCGGGATCAGAGACTCGGCGTAGAAAGACGCCACGTCTGAAACGGCGTCGTACTGCCCGAACACTTGGTCCCATTCCTCTCGAGAGAACGGGACCGCACGATACGTGGGGAGGCTTGGGAATGTGGCGTCGTTCGCTCGGTCGAGGATTGGCCACTGCCATTGCAGATGGTCGAGCTCGCAGAGATCCCACCCGTGGTGCGTGTTGGGGAACCCAAGTATCTCGAGGGCCCTCATCAATGAAGCAGTACCCGTGCGTGGACTGCCCAGACACAGAATGGGTGGTCTCTCAATCGGCTTGATGGGGTGGACTTGGCCGCCCTCTGGAAAGATCGACCGCCGGGTGTCGACCTTCTCAGTTGACTGAGATTCTTTTGCCGGCGTCGAAGCCATCATCGTAGAACTGGTGTATATGTTTCTTTCCTGGGCCAGTTGTACCCGAACACAGCTCAGTAGACCTGGGCGAGTGGTGAGTGGCGTGGTTGCATTCAAATAAGCATATCAGGCTGCTCAAGCGAGGATTGGATGCCCACAAGAATTGGGTGGAGATGAAATGGATGAAATTGACTCAGACAAGATTCTAGGGCCAATTTGGGCAGCAAGTTGCCCTACTGGCTGACACGTATAACATGGATCAGCCAGTCAGCGCCAGTCAGCGCCGGCCAGGTCGACTTCGGACAGAGGCGTAGAATTGAGACCGAACTGGCCAATCACATCTGCCTACTGGACGGTTTCCTCGGTGAGATGCTTGGCGTCTGACACCCACGTTGATAACAGAAGCAGTAGAGATCTTTCAGGAAAAGATACAGAAGCATCAACCTATTCAAGACTTGGCGTGTGACTTGATAGTATCAATCAACGGTCGGACTAGGCAATGAAGGATGTGTAATAGGCTCGGTCTAGAATATGGGGTTAGAAATCCTGGTCAAATCAACAGTCATATGGTGTTTCACTGCAGAAGATGGCCTTGCGTACATTTTTTTTCATCTCAAAATGCTTCATATATTTAGCATTTCTTTCCACCTGAAAATAGTATCCAGATTACTGTTATTGCCACTGTAGAAATACTCGCTATAGGCATTATGTTGATTTACTAATTCGACAGTTACTGTAACGAGCAACTCCCGTGATTCACCTTTGATTCTCCGGCAAAGCAGAGTCAGTACCTCGGCCCCTTGAGGCGCAGAGTCTCGAGCGGCCATCTCGACACGTCCGCCCACGGCGCGTCACCGAGCCACTTCCCAACAGCCCTGGTCAGCCTCGCGCTCCACCCGTCCAAGAACCAGCAGGTGTCTTCCGTGGCCTGCAGCACGATGCAGTAATACAGAAACACGGTCAGCGCCGCCGGGTGCCGCTGCTCGAGCAGGGCGATGAAGTCCTGGGCGAGCGCCCGCGGCCACATGAAGACGGCCCTCAGCTCGTGGCTCGTCATGACCTTGGAGCCTGGCATGTCGCCCGTGGACTCGATCAGCGCCGCGATGCCCTCGCCAACTGTGTGTGCTTCTGCCTGGTCGAGATGACGGCAGGCTGAGATGAAGACGGCCAGCTCGTCCAGCTTGTCCCTGACCAGATCCAAGGTGCCGCCGCCGCCGACCTCGGCGGGGGCGCGGTCGCTCACGAGGGAGCGCACGACGTTGCCGGGAATCTGTCTGATGGACGCGTCCTGGATGGCCCGCAAGCCCCGCACAACAGTGAAGACCTCGAGCATCTCATCCATGGCCGTGTGCGCGGCGCCCGGGTCGGCATTGTAGAGGTGGCGCGACGCAAAGCTCGACGCGAGGAAGAGCCCCGCGGCGAGAAACAGCGCGAGGCTGCCCTCCTCGGTCGCGACATCGGCGCCGGCGAGGAGGAGGCGCCGCATGCCCGCAATGGCGTGGCCCTGGTGCTGCGACCCGTGGGAGAGGTACTTGGTCCGGTCCCCGGGTCGCAGGTAGGCGGCGTGGACGGCGGCGAGGGCGAGCACCTGGTGTAGGAGGTGCGGGTGGCCGAGGGCGACGCGCGGGATGTAGTCCATGAAGACCCAGATGCTCTGCGGAGGGATGGGGAAGCTCTGGGACGTCCGGGACGTGTAGTGGTGCAAGAGGCCGAGGTCGAGGATCCGCGCATCCGAGTCGGCCATGTCGACAAAGGCGGCGGGTGCCGGCGCCGGAGTCGGGGCAGGATCTGATACCGGAGGGCGGCTGGCGGGATGGAGCGGCCGGTGGTGTCTAGGCCGTGGCAGAGATGCCGACGGTTCGCTCGATGGCACGCAAGGGCTGGATCCACTGCTGGATGCTTCGTCCTTGTCTCGTAGCCGAGCATGGCCGGCCGCTGGGACCAAGCTGCATGGGACATTGTGCTTGGTGCACGCCGTACATGGAATCTTCTCGTCGCACTATCAAGCGGTCAGGGGCAATGTAAGAATAAGGCTGCAGGTAACGGAAATGTCAACTATACGAACCCACCTTGACTCGTCTCTTCTTGCATGTCATGCACCCATTCCGGGACTTTTTGTAACCGATTCGGCCCATGGCACTCTCAATCGGTCTTCATGTCACTGGTACAGGAAGCAAACATAAGCCACAGACCGTCAATGCTCTCTTGGCTGGTCGTACCTTGGGCTGTTGCGAATAGGGATGAAGGCGGACAAATGAGAGTGTCTTGCGAATCCGACATGGGAGGGAGATAGTGGCAGTTTATTAATAATAAAACAGAACCTACTCCATCTCTATGCGCGTATCTGCTAAGTTAGATGAGCCTCGTCAGTCTGCAGATGCTGATCGACCCCTGTCTGACTGTGCTCAGACCAATGGCAGTCGTTTGCGAACCCGAGCAATTTACTACATCTGGCAAATCGATGGATAGAGGGTGATCCCTTGCCAGCAGGGGACAGTCTAAAGGCCCTCGGAGAGATTCCAAGATGCATGGTGCCTCGACTGCGCCCCGTTGAGATGCGAATAAGCTGCCAGCGAGGACAAATGACTGGAATATATAAGATTGCAATGGACATGAGTTAAAATCGACGACCCGGCATCGACAAGTCGCCAGTATAAACCAACAACACAGCCAAGTTACTTCCTTGTTTGCAGCAGCAGCGGTAACACACCATACAGCACACGCGTCAGGACCAACCATGGCCTTTTACGATTATGACCCGTCCCAAGCTGCTTCTGTCGTTTCGGCGTCTCTCTTTGGTGTCACCACCGCGTTGCACATCTACCAGCTGTTGCGACGGAGGACGTGGTACTTTATTCCATTCCTAATCGGCGGATTGTGTACGTGTCACATTGCATCTGATGGAGTTGGGAACAAGTCCCGACTGACCATGAAACAGTCCAGGTTTTCGGTTACATTGTCCGCTGCCTTTCGATATCGCAGAAACCCGACTATGAGAAGAACCCCTTTATCATCCAACAGATTCTCATTCTCCTCGCCCCGGCGTTGTACGCAGCATCTATCTACATGATTCTCGGACGCATCATCATCCTCGTCCATGCCGAGTCGTATTCACTCATCAGACGGAGCTGGCTCACCAAGATCTTTGTGTCTGGAGACATCGTCTCCATGGTTGTTCAGGGAGCCGGTAAGTAACTCTTCCTCGCGCCTCTTGAGAACCATAATCAGAATGAGGAATACTCATACATGACCGCAGGCGGTGGTTTCATGGCGGCCGCCGACACCCTCGACAAGCAGCAAGCGGGCAGCAACATCATCGTGGGCGGCCTGTTCATCCAGCTCGCCATCTTTGGCCTCTTCATCACCGTCACGGCCCTCTTCCACCACCGCATCCTGCGCGAACCGACCCCCCAGAGCGTGCGCCTCGTCGTGCCCTGGCGCCGCTACATCCTCGTCCTGTATGGCGTTAGCGCCCTCATCATGGCGCGTTCCATCTTCCGCGTCGTCGAGTTCATCGACGGCAAGGGCGGCGAGCTCATGTCCAACGAGATTTATGTCTACGTCCTCGATGCCCTCCTCATGTTCTTCGTCTCGGTCATACTCAACATCTTTCACCCGAGCTCCGTCATCTCCGCCAAGGCCAGCTACGGGACTCAGCTCGGGCCCCTGGGGACGTCCGACTCTGCGTCCGGGATGGTGTATGTTGCGTAGGTGGCAATGCTACTTGTGTAATGTATAGGGAGAGTGTTGCTGTGAGATGATGTCCGCCTGGACTGAGGCGGGCGCATTGCGGAACAGTGATGGGAAGGATAATATGGATAACCAAGGTGCGATATATACACATATACTTAGATAGCCACACAGCTTTAAGATTTCGTCTTGGCTCTTTCTTTTCTTTGTAATAGTTAGGTTAGACTGCAGCAATGAGGGTCATCACATAATCTGAAGTGGGCATCAATGTCCTCTCAGAGGTCTCAAGCGAACGGTGACGAGAGATGTTAAATAATAGTCCTAGTTTTGAAACCATGGACATGGCGCGACACCCAGTTGAGACTGCAATCTAAGGCATCCGCCGACACATCATTTTGTGCAACTAAGTTCCTAGGGAAACAAACTAGGACTTTATTCTATGGAAATTTCCAATTCATGATTGGATTCAGAAATACAAGAACTCTGTGACTCTTGGAAAATCGCCAATCTTAACAATGGTCTAGATGCTAGCCTGCCATAGAAATTTCTGCTCTTTGCCCGGTATCAGCTTTCTCAAGGCTACACCGTAGTCTCCAGCATTGGGTGTCCTCAGCAGAGTGTGAATATGAAACTTGGCTGGTTCCTTGTTCGCCAAGAAAACCCCAGAATGATGGTCAAACTCAATAATGATGACTGGGCTCTGGAGACGATAGTAGAATGGATCGGAATCTGTGTATCCACCGATCCAACAAAAGTAGGTCTCATGGAACCACTTCTTCACTTCCTCGAGTCGAACCTTGCGAGCCGAAGCTGGAAGATAGAGAATGTATTCGTTGACAATTCCTATCACGAGTTCCAGTTGCTCAGCATTAAATTCAGTAACGACAACGCCCTCGTATGGGACCACCCTGTTGTCGCGATACGCTCCACAAAGATGCCTCTGATCATCATGGTTCCATCGCCCAAGAGGCATGGAATCATCTTTCATGTGTTTGTAAATCTGAGCCCGTGACTGAATTTCAGAAGGGAGGTCCTGCATTAGCTGCAGCCCAAGTTTCTCTTCGACCTGCAATATTTGTGTTCCGCTGTACTTTCCATCATCAATAATGTTGGGCTCAGCGCCTGTGAACCATGGTGAGAGGACCATCTGCCTCCTATAAAAGAAGGCATTCAGACACAGATGGTGGCCGTAGAACGAAAATCCCCAGGGTTCTGTAATTGAAGGTCTTTCTCCAAACAGAACAAAGTTGTAAGAGAATTCATTCATGATAGCAGGAGACTCTACTAGGTCTCCCAGGAATCCGTTGATTCGCATGGCTGCAACTGCCTTTGCATATCCCTCAGGAGACAGACTGGCCCTCAAAACATTCAACACAGCAGAGCGCAGTTCATCACTCACCTCATCTAACCTTACACCCTTGTCACTTAACAAGAACTCAGGATTAGACCAGGTTCGCCATTCCGGAGAATCAATATGGTACACCGTTCTTTCTCTCTGTGCATGGTTCATTTTGGACAACGCCGCCTCAGCAGCCTTCACGATATCTTCGATAGGTATACCTTGATCCTCGAGGCTGAAGAGGCCAGGTCTAATATTCCCTGTTCCATCAGTCAGCCATCAGTTTGCAGCTTCAGAGAGCCTCTCAGTTTCTCTTACCGTCATTCGTGACTCCTTTATAGGGCTCAGCGAGAAGGCTACGCCAATGGACGTAAAGTGCATGCAACCAAGGTGGCGCTGCGCTATCCTTGAAGGCTTTCACGTACTCGTGAGCATTTTGGTTCTTCATCACCGTGAACCTGTCTTGAGAAAGATCGGGCAGGTGCTCCCGAAACAGGGATGTTCCTTTGGTTGGATTCACCATAGCGATTTGAGGACCAGTGTCTTAGGTGTTGGCGTTGATTGAATCGGATTTGTTTCAAGGTATACAGATATCAATACTCCTTCTACCGTAAAATGTAGATATTTGGCGCCACCTTCATTCATATCTTAATCTCTGTCGTGGATGACAGATACCCCAGACTCTCCTCACATGACCTCATCGAGTTGAGCCATTTCGGAATTGTAAATGGTCGGGTCGGTAAGTGGAGCATGACGAGCCGATGACTGTGTCCCGATTGGATAGGGCATTCCGGTGGCTAGATGCACAAGGGTATCTTCTGTCTCGGTGGCCGGATCAAAGACACCAGGCAAACAGAATCTGACATCTTGGTAGAGGCTGGAAGGCAGTCAGTCGGCTATTTGTAGGAGATCTGCTTCTGAAGGCCATCTCGATGTCACATGTAGGATCCCCCGGAGACAGCGGCCAAGAAGCACGATTTGCAATGGCTTTACCACGCTTTAGTCGTAAGCATCAATATCATTGGCCACTCGGGCGCTTTGTAGTCGTTAACTTAAGTCCCTGCAGGTCTTGTTCGTTTTGTGCCACGGTCTGATACAGCCAAGATATTGATCGGCCAACCCGTTTCTCAACACACTGATGTCGGCCTGGCACTATACCAAGGTGCTGATGTGCAGGTTGAAGTCTTCTCTGGATCCTCAGTATTGGCGCCTGGTGAAGCGACCGGAACCATAGAAGCCATAAGTCGTGTATTGTCACCACTTGCCTCAAGCGAGGTTGGGACAATTCGCTGCATTGGGTTAAATGTATGTTTTGAAAATAAAACATCTCACTTGAAAGATAATTCTAATGGAATATCTGACTATGTCTAGTATAAGCACCATGCAGAGGAGGTGAACTTAGACATTCCCACAGTACCAACAGTCTTCCTGTATGAGGTTGAGAATTTACGTCAATCTCGCTTTCACTAACCCTGAGGATAGGAAACCAAATACTGCATTAGGCGATCCATGGCCAGCTCCAACAGTATTACCAACATTATCACAGATAGACGACTGCGCTGATTATGAGGCCGAGCTCGCGGTCATCATTGGGAAATCGGCCAAGAATGTGACTGAAGCTGAAGCTATGGAATACGTGCTTGGGTACTCAGCTGCAAACGATATCTCGAGCCGGACATCCCAATTTAATACATCTCAGTGGTGCTTCTCTAAAGGATTCGATGGATCTTGTCCACTAGGTGAGTTTTCTTGAATTAGCTTCCTAGATACCAAATAAGAGTGCTAACTTTCAATACCAGGCCCGACGATTGTTTCCAAATCTTTAATGCCTGACCCCGCCCAGCTTCGCATCAGAGGTTTGAAGAACGGGAAAGTATTGCAAGACTGCGGGCTGGAGTGAGTTGCCTTGTTTTAGGATCGGCATCATCGGATTATAACCCTTATTGAAACATACTAATGTCGTAACAGCGATTTAATTTTCAGCATTCCGAAAATCGTCAGCTTCCTCTCTCAAAGCTCTACTCTACCAGCTGGGACAGTGATTATCACTGGTACCCCAGCTGGTGTGGGTGCTGGGAAGAACCCCAAGGTTACTCTCAAGCAAGGTGACACATATTCGGTCGAACTTCAGCCATTCATCGGAACGTTGATCAACGTATTTGAAAACGAGGCATGAAATTAGCAATAGTATTATATCATGAATATATTTCCAAGACCCTTAACTTATGCCACTGAAACCCTATTAAGGTGAATTTCCCCTGTCTGAAAACCATAACTAGAAGCAGCTGGGATAAGAGTGCCTTAACACTGAGAAGCTTTTGGTGGGGAGTCAGAGAAACCAAACTTTCTCATCAAGTTTTTACTATGGACATAGCCGAACAGAGTCCCACTTTAAGCTCTCAAGTCATTTATTGTAAACGAGCTCTAGAGTTTAGAGTTCCTGCATCTGAAGCGAATGGATTTCAGAGATTTCAGTCTATCTATTGGAATATTTGATTCGCAATGGGTTTATTCTTCTTTGGGTGCCTCCAAAAGTCTGGGAAACTGCTCCTTCAGATGCTCCACGATAGCGTCAGGCCCTTTATCTACCTGCAGGCCATGAGGAATGGCATAAGTCTTGATCCCAGGCACCAGCGACTTGGCCAACTCCCGCATCGCCGTACTTTCCTCAACTGACCACATGGAGGCACAGCACTATTTCCATGTCAGCGCTGACTATGCGCATGATCTGCAATTTGACTTACCAGAACGTCGGGTTGGACCCTTTCCACGGTCTCTTTTACTTCATCTTTGCCTAAGCTTGTGTTAACTAACACCCTAATACACAAACGAAGATTAACCTGGTGTGCTTACTCGCGCAATTAGCCGCGTGGATAATGGTGTAACTGTCGGCCAGTTCACCAACCACTCTACCAATGAGCCTCTTCGCACGCTCAGGGGCGTTGTTCACAGTGACGAGCTTGTAAGGGCCTTTCGGAGAATTAGAAGTCATTTTGAAGAAGCTTGTTACTGCAAGAGGTAAAGCTATAGAGATGTTTCTGCCAGGGTTGGGTTTTACCTCGATTTTGTTTAACCACAGGAGCAATATCCGGCGGCAGCACAAGGAGTTGAGTATGGACCTCCTGATCTCGCCAATTGCAAATCCCTTATCCGTATTTCCGCACGGCATGGACATCTGATGAAGATTCCGCGGCCAATTCGGATATCCCGCTTCCGATTCGACAGGATGTGCCGGCTGACATAGAATGGTGAGGAGTCAACGCGGAGATCCCGGGTCGAGTGGGGAGGCCCTGGTTGCCGGCTGAGATACAGCCGGTCATGGTCTTGTCTGGATCAGTTACGCTCAATTGTAAACAATGGCAGGGTGTGATGATAAGGGAAATTCATAACGATAGCAAGTAACCTGAGTATCCCGTTATGGAGACACCAAGCAATTCAACACACCAGTATAAACTCAATCACTGAAGCACAACATGACAGTCAACGGGACTTCATGGCAAACAAATGCGCTGCAGAATGCCCCCATTGTCATCATTGGAGCCGGTACGTCACACAATGCTCTCCTGACGAACAGAACAACTAGACTAACCGCCACAAGGCATGGGCGGCCTTGCTACCGCATTGGCACTAGCAAAGAAGGGGTTCAATGACATCCAAGTGATTGAACGGGCTTCCGGGCTGGGCTTCGTTGGAGCAGGTATTCAAATGGCACCTAATGTGGCTCGCATCCTCACACGCCTTGGATGTTGGAGCCCCGTAGAGGCGGAAGCGACTGATGTCCTGGAGACGAGTATTAGAGGTGAGTTGCTCGGCCCAATTTGAATGAACAACTTGCTGATAATGTGTACGTAGATGGTGCCTCAAACCAGGAGTTGGCTCATGTTGCTATGCCCAATATTCGAAAAATGTACGGGTACCCGCACTGCACAGGTCACCGGGCCACTCTTGCTGGAAGCCTCTACGACGCTTGCGAGCTCGAGCCTGCAATCAAGTTCAAGTTTGGCCATAGCTTGCGGAGCATAGAATCATTTGCTCCACAAGCCACCTTTACGCTTCAAACAGAGGCGGGAGAGACCTTGCCAATGAAGTCTGCCGTCCTTATTGGGGCTGACGGCGTCAAGTCCGTTGCTCGCGCAGCACTTCTTTCAAAAGCTGGGTCATCAGAGACTGTAGAGGACACCGGCCAGGCTGCCTACAGAATCCTGTTACCTCGAGAAGCCATGGAAAACGATCCCGAGATGATGAAACTCCTCGACAGCAACCAAGTGACTCGTTGGATCGGAGAGAAGCGCCACTGGATCTGCTACCCGATCGCCTCCAGAACCATCTACAACATGTCTTCTATCCAGCCAGACGACAACTTTGCCGCGGCTCCATCGTCGACATATACAACCAAGGGGTCTAAGAAGGCCATGATGGATGTCTTCTCCGACTTTTGCCCTCTGGTTCTGCGCATGCTCAACCTGGTGCCGGAGGGGGAGGTCTGCGAGTGGAAGCTGCGCTCACAGAAGCCTTTACCTACTTGGGTCTACGGATCCGTTGCTCTGCTGGGCGATGCCTGCCACCCGACGTTGCCTCATTTAAACCAAGGTGCTGGATTAGCTATTGAAGATGCCGCCGTACTTGCGGAGGTGCTGGATCGTGCTCCTGACGCGAGCCCCGGGTCCATTAATAAGTGTCTTCAAGTCTACGAGGCACTTCGGAAGCCGCGTGCGACGACTTTGGTGGAGCTTGCTGCCCTCTCTGGGCGGACACTGCATCTGGGCCAGGGAAAGGCCAAAGAGGAGCGTGATAAGCAGTTCGCAGAGGCAAACAGCGGTGGCAAGGTTCCTGATAAGTGGGCTTCACCAGACGTGCAGAAGATGATATACTCTTATGATTGTATGCAGGAGGCTGCGGCTAGGTTTGATGAAGAGTACAAGAAGCTTGGGAAGAGTATTTGGAACCGTCTGCGATGCTTCGTTAGAATACAATTACCTTGGTAAGAAGCTAATTCATATAAATGTAGCCAGCCCAGCGAAATTGATTAAAGGTGGATGAGATAACTAATTAGTAAATACTGCAAGTACTTTCCCTACATGGAAGGATTGCAAATACATCATGGAAGAAAATGTCTGCTCATATTAGGCCCGCGGCGTCAAAATCCGAAACTCCCAACTCCAGCCCAAAAAGGTCCAGGTCCGCCATACTAGCCACATGCTGTCCTTGCAAAAACTCGGCAATACCGTCCCCAGAGTACCCAGCTCCAGTCTCAAATTGATATTCTCTTGCAGCGGGTGCCAGGTGGTCCCGAACGCCCGGTATAGACGAAAGATGAACTCTTGTTGTTTCATAAGGTCCTTGCTGTGTAGATTGGGAGCCTAATGCAGGTCAGTGAATTGCTGGAGTAGAGAGGTAATATGGGTAGCCGATAAACCCTACCTTTGTTTGACAGCACATCTAGATGACGCTGGAGGCACCGATGGGCTTTCACGCTCATAGCGCTTGAGGCACCAATTACCCTCAATCGATCAAGGCAGCTCCGCAGTTTCATCTCCAGATCAGAGCTATCGTGCCCAAGAGCCAAGTAATTGATGACAGTGTTTCCAGAGGCTAGCCAAAACGCGAACATGTGGAGGGAGATAGTAAGAGCTAATACTGTCAGCCGTTTACCCTTTAAATCTAGGAAGATACCAACTTACCGCCGTAGTTACAGGTCCACCACGCCGTATTCTTCTTGAAGAATGATGGACACTGGACCATGATACCGCTGATCAGCAACCCGAAATCCTGTACAGCTCTCAAGTCGTTCTGGAGTAAACCGCTGATGGTGTTTTGGTGGACTCCCGCAGGAACACCACCTTTCTTGCTGTGGGTACTCTTCTCAAGCGACGTCATGAGAAGAGGTCCGTGAACTAACAGCATAGTTCGATAGTAGTATATAGATAATAAGATGCCCTGTGTTTTCGCTTCAAACTCTGTGGGCGTCCAGCTTGTGACATTGGTCTCCGAAGTGATGATCGTTGAAGGGGGTTGCTCATTGAGCCAGCTTTCCAGCCGCAAAGATAGCTCCAGGGTCTTTCCGAGCAAGTCCGGCATCTCTAGTCGAAATGAAGGATCGATATTCGAACCGCAGAGTGAGTCAAGAGCAGTACCCATAATTTCATGGAGCGCTCTGCGTGGGTTACCGGTTAGAAACAGTGTCACAGATTTAGGGCGATACTGGGGGTTCACTACACAAGATTGCGGAAATATTCCAGCTCTTCCTTGGGGTATTGCATCTCAAGTGTTCTCTGCTGATTGGACGAATCGATTAGATCTAGAATTTCCATCCTGATGTGCTGCGCAGGTATCAGACACGGCTGTCCCAAGGCAGAACTCAGCATTCTATGACGAGGTGAGTATCAATTCTAGAAGGCAAGGCAACGATTATTACCTGTCCTGATTAATGACCGCAAACCATAACCTCGAGCGTACTTCTTTCTGGGCAGGTGTCAAGTGGCCGTATGAGGATGGTGCATGGACTCCAAGGTGGTATGCCGATTTAACCGCCAAGGCATGCGTCGTCAAACTCTCCGTTGACCTCTGGCTATTCTGCTGGAAGCTAGAAACCAACAAAAGCGCTTGGACTAATTAACCATCAGCTCAAGGTCCAAAAAATTGCGACTGGGAGTATCCTACGGAGCTCGATGCTGGGGGTATAAAGCGTCCTGGGGTCCAAGGCGCTCAGAGTCCGTAAATAAAACGGTTCCGCCATCTGTGTATTAGTGACTGACAATGAATGAGCAAACACAATGTAAAGCAGGGCTTGCACCGAGCGAGGTGCTGGCACATCATCTGCGCTCGATTCAACTCTCTCGAGACTGTCGGTAACTGCGGATTCGCTAATGTAGGGCAAGACAGCGCCCACGGTATCGAAGAAGCGAGCAATCCAACTGATGGCAGTATCATGCTCGGGCATCGAGCCCGGTATGGAAGAGTATCTTCCATAATACTCTCCGATGCAGGATGGCTGTGGCCTAGGTAGCTGTAGGGGCCCTTCATTTGCTCTAATTTGCCGCAGAGGCTCCTGGAATAGGCGAATCTTGCGGTGCCCCAGGTTGGCAATTGTGGCTATGAGAGACCAGAAGAAAGAGTGATTGGAACTTGTACCTGTTTTCATGGGCTTTAGCATAGCTTAGGGGTAATGATAGACAAGGAGAGTTACCAAAATAGCAGATGCTGCTCTGTGCAGAGGGGTGGTCAAAGACGCCGGCGGCCAGGACATCAATGACCGATTCTGGCTCTGATCGTCCAGCCGCGGATGCTGTTTTCTGGCTGGGGTGATTTCTCTCGGCTTCTAATCCTGGAGAAGTGCCCAGGTAAGAGATGCGGGCGTCAACGCTGCCAGAATGCTCAGCGTCATCGGGATGCGACGCGGTCGCAGCAAGGCGCGACTCCAGTTCGGCGACTCTGCTGCGCAACTCGAGATTTGCCCTGTCCCCAAAGGTCAACACCAAGTAAACTACCTGGAATAGGTGCGCAGATTGGAGCGAGCTACCTGCGCTCTACCTGGCGGTTCAGGCGCTTGTCCTGGGTATTCTGCGAGTAGACACATTCGGCGCTCAGGCGGCTGCATCGCTCGCACACGGGTCTCATGCCATCGCACTACTTGAACGGTAAGCGTACGAACGGACGCATGATGAAGGTGAACGAGGATGCTCTCACCCTGGACTTGGTCTTCCGGCAGGCGTTGCATGCGACCGAGGCTCGCTGGCGCCTGACCAGTGCGTCATTATTGCGGTCCATGCTGAGCCCTGGATAAGGCCTTCATTTGGGCCCGGTTTGTGTGTGTAACCGGGTTGTGGAATCCGAGTCGCGGGTGCTGTGTCTGCGCAATGTCGCGAGATGGAAGAACTGGGAGTTGAGGTCGGATTCTGCGAAGCGAGTGGCGGAACTGTCCCCGTCTGGGGCCGTTCCGCCATCTGGAGATTTCGGTTACCGAGCCTCTCTGGGACCGTCCCCAGACTCCTCTAACAGGCAAATTCCAGGTCCCCAATGTAGGTACCTGGTAGTGGGAAGGGCGCTGTTTACCTAATCCGCAGTGCCTCCCACAAATTGCCACAGGGCATCTCCAGTGGGCCAAGCGCTATATCTCCAAGGTCCAGACTCTCAATGCTGTACCTGTGAACGTCTCAAGTCATCCCTAATGATGTGTCAGATGTGTCATTCAAAATTGGATGAAAACAACCCAGATTGATGATCCTATTGAATACCGACTGCTGGCAAAGAATATTTCCTCATCGAGCTGTGTTCATCCAACCAACCATCGCTAGCGCAGTCTTGATTGTCTGTTGTGTCAGTCTCACTTCTCCATTTTCAACAGGGACAGAGCCAGAGGCACATTATTCTCCAGGACTGTGACGGTATTCAAATAGAAGTCACGGTTCTTCCTATTTGGCCTTTCTTAGGCATAGATGTTTTCGGCTCTCACAGTAATGAATGATGGGATTATGTCTGCAGGATTATGATATATGCCAGCGGCATGAGATGCGGTTTTGTTTTCCAGCATGAGATTTTTTTGTAGAAAAAAAAAAAAAAAAAAAAAACCTAAGAGCGAACAAGAGAGAGAAGGAAAGAGAAGAGGAGAAACTGAACAACAGAGGGAACTTCTAGGATTCTTAAGTAATTTCACAACATTCGATTGGGTTGGTTTGGTGTGTGCTTGGTATAGGGTAACTCTCAGTTGAACCCATTGCTCACGACGAAAACCATGATAGAGAACTATCCCAATCTGCAAATATATCCGCTTGTAAGTAACAAATAAATTGGATAATTTCAAGATGGTTATGTTCCCGAAACTTCCTACCATGACCAAGAGTTTGCAAGTATCAACTATCTATAGCGACCCCTCAAAATATCATACTCCGTTCTTATTAATTGTCCATTTTCACGTGGATTTAGTCCCTTCAGGGGATCCAAAACCAAAGAGGTTAAAGGTACTTCTAACGAATGTCCAGAACCATTATTTCTTCTTAATTTTCTACTCATCGTAGTCCGAAACAATGTAGTTGCATTGGAGCTCATACATACAAGCCGGCGCAGAGACATAGCATGTTCATGAAACAAATTCTGTGTGATCATCAAGATTCTGGATTGCATGGAAAACAGGGAATGGCTGAGACAGATTCTGACGGGATGGCGTAACTGCGTCGTCAGCCTCAATCGAAGCCCCAGCGCTGCCTGTGGATCGAAGCCGATCATCCGATACTATGAGAGGATTTTTGGATAGCACTCCTTCCAATACACTGCTAGTAAATGCACGGACAGCTCAAGCTAGAGGCACCATGGAACCGATCGCCGAAGGATCCACAACCTGAAAGCTTGACTTGCTTGACAATGCAAAACTAGCCGCTTTGGCGGATGCAACGGCCACTTGAAACGAGTTAATTGGGCCATCCCGAGACCACGAAGGGACGGGCTGTATCTGATTCGGGGAGGTAGGGTTTGAGAATGTTTCAAGCAAGCAAATTCCCTTCTATTTCCAAAGCCTGATCACTAGATCACTAAAATAAACGGTTGAACGGCAACACCCCGTGTGGGCCAGTGATCCCATCGGCAAGGAGGGACGTAGCGTCAGCCAGATCTGCACGCAGGCCTCCCATCGTAGGTGTTGATAGTGTTCTTTTCAATGGTATATATAGGTCATCATTCGGCCTCATGATTGGAACTTGCTCTCCAGTCTCCCAGACACCTTCCATTCACTTCCTCTTCGGCTGTCCATTTACTTTCCTTTCCACTCACAACCTTCAACCTTCAACCGCAACAATGGGCCGGCCCCAACTTCTTCTCCTCGCCCTGCTCTCGACAGGCAGCTGGGCTGCGACTACCACCACCACCAAGGCAACGTCTGTGGTTCACTTTGAGACACCGACAGGATTTCCAAGCGGGTTTCCCACGGATGTTCCATCGGGATGCCCTGGTTTCCCCGGTGGACATCACACTCCCGGCCACGGTCACCATACTCCTGGTCATAGTCACCAGACTCCTCCCAGTGGCTTCCCAACTGATTTCCCCTCTGGCACACCCACCCCCGGTGCCGGTGGCCACCATCATCACTGGCCTCCTCACTGTGGTACTCCTCCTGCAGGCTGGCCCAGCGGTACTCCTCCGGCCGGCCGGCCCACAGGCACACCAGGTGCTGGGAAGTCTGGCTTCGAGACCCGCACCCACACAGCGTGAGGTGCCTAGCAAAGAGGCCAAGAACCAGATGAGTCGTCCAAAGGAGAATATACGATGAACTGGTGGTGCTTGAGGTATCTGCAGCGCTGGTGGGCCCTATCAGACGTGCTGGAAACCACTTTGTGCAAGGTTCATATCTGGTTTTGGAGGATGACTAGTTCAGGTTAACATAGAAAAAATTTACCTCTCTGAAAGAATTCAAATCTTGCACTTCTATCTTCTAAACTCAAACTACAGGTATATGTGATATTCTGAGGTAATTTCATAAAGTGCTAAGTATCGCCATGATGGTGATATGTAATGTATGCTATGCCTTCTATCCCAAAAGTGCTCTCTTCCATTTGGTTTTTATTCTTCATACTCTTTTTATCCTTGCCTGAATGTATACTGTTTCTCACCAATGCCGGTCCAGCCGGAATTTTGTCAATAAACTCGCTGACATCAATGCTTTTAGTTGTCGTTGGTAGGATAGTGGCTCCTCAGCCGCAGCTGGCGGCCCTTCCAGAAGAAGATCCACGGCACAGGTATCATAACTACACTAATGAAGGCGAAAATGCTCCCTGCCCAATGGATCCCGATCGAGGAGTCGTATAGCTGGATGATGAACTGGGGAAATGCTGCACCCATGGCAAACCTCAGCATCCCATTTGCCGCAACTGCCGATGCGGAGTTTGCAGTTCCGTACACGTCGATCAGATACGCCATGCACGATAGGAAGCTGGCAAGCGTTCCCCAGCCGAATGGCAGACCAGCCAACACGGGTACGATCCAGTGTGTATTTTGATCTGGAGTCCACGCGTACCACTGTGATTGGGTGAGTGTTAGAGCCCAACCAGGAGTGTAAAATCTTGAGGAACTTACGAAAAGCCCAATTGGAACCAGCCAAGACCCGAAGAGGGCTGCGTACAATCGGTATTCAGGGGCTGCCTTGCCATTGGTACGAACGACCTCCTTTTGGTACTTGATCTTATCAAAGATCCCAAATGTCGCAACGCCAAAGAGGAAACCTAAATTCATATGTGAGAATTCCGAGATGTGTACAAGAGAAAGGGATTCTTTAGGTGGGCACATACCAATAATGACTGGAATATAACATAATCCAATCTGGCGCTGGTCGAATGAGTATACCTTGGTATAGATGTATGCATATGATCCAAAGAAGGAGAAGATCATGGCAAAGCTGTAGGCCGAATAGAGGCCAAGGAATATCGAAAGCGGCTGCAACACGTGAGCATTCAAAAGATCAACCCATGCTATTTCAGGCTCTTACCTCAAAAAGACACATGTGAAGGGGCCTGAGCAAGCCCTTGACAATCTTCTTGGTCGTTTCGGAGGCAGTGTCTGTCTTCACATGACCCCCCCTCTTCTTCGTCCGCAAATAGAGGATTCTGTGCTTAGATGTCTCCTTCATAAACACAATGGCAACGCCAACAGGCGCCAAAATACACAGTATGACCCAAACAGACCACTTCCAGTTGTTATTGTACTGATGAAGGATATATGCGCCCATCAATGGCCCCAGCGTCGGTCCCAGGAACGGTGCCAGCACATACGGCACGCCGACCTTGGCAGCATATTTCATATCCCACACATCCGAGAGGGTACCTGGCATCGTTGTCAATCCCCGTACGTCGTGCTCCCAATCGCAAGAAGAAAAGACATACCTGCCCCCACTGCCAAAACACCTGACCCGCAGGTGCCTGCCAGAAATCTGAATACGACGAGGATCGTGAAGTTATCCGATGCCACTGCGATGGCATTGAATATGACAAGGGTCGGAAAGTTGAACCAGTAGATCCACCGGCGCCCGTATAACTCGGAGATGGGAGAGGTTATGCATGGGCCAATGACAAAACCGGCGGTGTAGAGGGACACGGGGAGCAGGGCTACGTTCCTGCTGACCTGGAACTGCTCTTCGATTGCGGGAATCGCTGCGACAAAGGTGGAAATACCGGCGGTCCTGTTCAATTGATGGCGAGTCAGCACGCACCCTCCAATGCCCAGCACGGCGTGGATGGCACCCTGTAACGTCCAGCACGGCTGGGATGAGAGCAAACATTCACATACAGTCCAAAGCCATATACGGCCGGTATCGCGCTGTGCATGACCCTCTGCCACGTCGGCCAATTGTGCGGATTGTCAGCGTCATCTGGGCCATCCCAGTCGAGCTCCTTGGCCAAGTCATCTGGTTGCACGGGCGAGGGGGGCTCGGTCAGAGATGGAGGCTGCTCGTCGTGCTTGATGGATACTTTGAAAGTCTCTCCGAGTTCGATGTATTCGCCCGAGTGTACCGTGGTAGAATTTTGCATCATGGCAGTGGTCTGCCGGTGATGTCAATGAGTGAAGTCGGGTCAGGACTTAAAGGGAGGGACGGCGAACTGAAGGGAGAGAAACTGTTATGGGAAACACCTGGCGTAAATACATGCAAAAGTTGGAGAAAAACAATCAGCGTCATTCCGTGTGCCCGTTCCATGGGAACAATCATAAATCCCATCGGGTTTCCCCAGTATGATTCACCTTGCTACACAGAATCCCGACACCATCATCCGCCCATTCAACAACCGCCGGCAGAGACAAAAGGCCCACTAACGGGAGATATTGGCTGGCCTATGAGAGAGCAAATCTGACACTCCCCACTGTTGACATGCCTGGCCAGAGTCGAGGGCCGTGCTGTGATTGGGCTGGCCGTTCCGAGTGACAGGCCATTCTGCCCATGCTTGCTTTTGCTGATACAGCATGCACGCACGAGAAAACTTATTAATGCGGTCCGTCACACAGCGTCAGTTGAGCAGACACGAAGGCCCCTGTTGGCTGTTGACTGCCCGAGCCCCATAGCACACAGGCTGCTCTCACGCTGCCACGAGGGCCCGACGGTAGGACAAAAAGAAAAAAACAGCCTCCTGTTGGGGAGCTGAAACACCGCCCGCGTGCCGCTTTGCCGGTGGATGCTTTCACATACGTTGGGTCTGGCTGCGTCACACATCACATTCTCTCCCTCGTCGCGTGTCGCACGGCCTAAGTGAATTCCGGTGGGCATTCCAGCCCCTGGGAACGGCATTACAATGATAGAATAGAGAGCAAGGCCGCGGATACGTTTAAGATCCGTTTATCCCTCTTGGATTAGTGCAAGATTTCCGAGTTACTAATGGTACAAGCTACGCCGGCATTCACTTGGCCGTTGTTCTGGATCTGGTGGACGTCTATTTCTCTTGCCTAAACAACCCACCGCTCCTTTTTCACAAAGCAACACTGCAGGACAATATCAGGGCAGGAACCGTCCAGTCACACGTTATATTAAGCCTTTGCGCCTTGGCATCAAGCTCAGTACCTAAATCACGCTACATTCAGGCAATAACCTCTGGTACGGCCAAGGTCACTGTTGCGTTTTTGGGCCTCCTCTCTTCAATCAATTTGTCACTCCCGGATCCGCCATACTTCATGCCGGGATTGGCATCAGCCTCACAAATCCTTCAAATCGCATACGTCAAGTCATGATTCGGTCCCCGCATTGGCACGTGCTCCCCTCCAACTGAAAGCTCAGCATACTCAGAGCCTTGTGGATTAACGCCTTGCAGAGAATACAGTTTTCGAAATAAATTATCATTACCCTCGTAGATATGTTCCGGACCTCGGACTTTATTCTATGTCGATAGGAAGTCTCGCATAACCAGCTGGGCCAAAAGTTTCAACCTATAGTAGAGTGAGCCACCAAAGTTATTGAGCCGGTTTGTGTTTGGACTCGCTCACATTCTCATCGTTTTCGATCCGTTTCGCGGTCTCGGGGTCGAAATAACCTGAGTACATCTTAAGTCCGTCATCGTAGAAATCGGTAGCACCTTCGAATGGTCCGCCATCCTTGGGCCCGTTCTTCTTGATCCGTACTTTGGTGCGTTTAGCATGTGTCCAGACATCCATTCCGGACCTTGGATCCATAATGACCATATATTCATTATAAGAACTGAATGCCTCCATGAGTGAGAGTGTCCTGTTCCTGATTCCGCCACCACGGTATGATTCCACAGCATTGACGCTAGAGACCTAGAGGAACCGGTTAGCTTTGCATCCTTTTGAGAGATGGCATGTCATACTCACAGATGGGTCGTCTCGGAGTTGTTTTACAGTTTCATTTCCCATTTTGGCCCAATAGATCCCGGAGCTTGACATGCAACACAATCCTTGTGATGGGAGGTCAGCAACACCCTTAAGACCTTTTGGATTCGTCGTGCTGTTTTTTTGGAGGTTTGATGCCCATAGTGCATGTTCCCAAGGGCTCAGCTTTGTTGTGCGCTTGAGATAGACCACATATTTATCAGGGATTACATCGGGGTCCGAAACGGTTTCGTCTACACCTGTCGGATTGGGGCTGCGTGTATCGTTTGTGGAAGCATCGTCCCCCCGTTGCCTGAGCCAACGAGCAGGCAATTTTGCCTCAAATAGCTCACCAGGAGTTTGAGAGGCCCATCCGGGAGTGAGGTGCGACTTCAAGGTTTCCGTATTTGACCTAAGAGATGCCTTGCTTTCTCCAAGAGCGGGATCGAAAGGGATAGCGATTGCCAGCCCTGCCAGGCTGAGGAGAAATAGATTTGGTATCCGCATCATAGGCCTGAGATTTCAAAAGATAGATTTAATATTCCGAGATTTTCGAGTAAGTGATGAGTCTATGCTTGGTCAGGATGGCAATATTGCTGTTTGGCAGATAGATGTGATATTGCGAGTGGTTGTAGTCTTTTGGATCGCGGGCATCGGGGCTCTAATGTAGGCATTCATTGTGTTCGATGGAGTTCAGTTTACGACAAGTGACGGTCGGCGACGAGGAAGTTAAGGTTAGGTCGTGCGCCTTCTAGCAGGTTCTCAAGATGATTCTTGGCTTTTTTCTCTCGTAACTTCATAAAGTATGTTATGTGGCTACATCAAAGCCCGAAAACCTTTCCTTTTGACATTTTTTTGGCTTCATATATCACGAGGTGGCACAATACGAACCGACTACGCTACTGGGCTCACACCAGATGAATAAATTTTTTGGCTTTATACAGCAGATTCGAGTAAGTTCACAATGATTGCAGAAGGGGGTTTGAATGAGGCGGTGTTAGCTTTGAATTAAGCTGGGCGCGAGGCAGAGGCCCCACACGAAAAGTTTTTTGGACTGGCCTGATTTCATGGACGAACGAAGTTCAATCCTTCTAACACACGTGGCGCCAAGAGTTAAGGTAGGTTAGGGAGCATGCTATACGGCCCGCCCTGGGCACGATCGTGGCTGTGGAGGGCTGCGGATACGTAAAAGAAATTGAGTAAAAAGTCAAAAGCAGCAATGGAAGATGCCAGAGCCCGACATCTCAGCACAATGAGTCGAGGGCTGCCGATATCGCCAACCCTCAACGTGCATGCTGTGGAGGTTAAGGCCACACACATCTGACTCTAGCTAACTTACAATACAATAACTCTGGTAAAACTCGAGTGCTCCGTGATACCTTTCCACTGATGGAGTGGGCCTGACCTAGTTATCAATCATCAAGACAAGCGATCGCTACGTGGTTGAGGGCATCATTTAATGGCCTTGTTGCAGCAAAAGGCTCCTTTGGTGTTACTCCCACTAAGTAAAATGATACTGGCTACGAGGGCTTCCTCAGCCACAATCGTGCAAGGTTCGGGTGGTTGAGCCAGGTACCTTGGTTAAACGAGGCGGCCGGAAAGGAAAGTCCTAAGTTTGTGTTGCTCATGTTTGTCCAAGCAAGCTCAGCATTGCCCTGAAGCATATACAAGCCTGCAAACCCACTGAGCAACCTTGAGCTTGGAAGATATTGAGTCATCTGGATTTGTCGCGTAGCTAGACTTCAAAATTTCAACCCCATCGAATCACATGGAGTGCTTTAGAATGCTGTGTAAATGTGACTACACTGCCGTGATGACACCGTGTGTCCGAGGCCATTCCCAGGTTTACGTGAGAGAGCTATGCAGTTATGCGGCAGCTGCTGGGGAAAAAAAAGCGGGAAATTCCCAAACACGAAGAATTTAAAGGTTTACACTATGCCCTCATTTCTATACCGCTTCGAGCACTGTCAGCTATATGGTCTTTTCACCAACATTGCTACAGCTCAGCCCTCCTCCGAGCTAAACCAATCAACAATATCAAGATGAATGATTTACTCGATGTGAGAAAGCAGAGTGGCGATACCTGATTTTAGGGTTCGCCCAATATCACGCGACCATGCATCGCCACTGTGGCCAGCCGTAGTTTGAATCAAAAACTGCTAGAAGAAGAAATATCCGAAAAGATATCAGGCTTTTAGTTCAGAAAATTTCATTGAGATCCGCTGCTGTGGCCACTCGGTGTGTCAGATCATAGGTAGCTAAGGGGGAATAAAAGCGGCTATTTTCATAAGCCTTCGTGGCTGGATCAGGTGGAACACTTTAATTCAAAGAGATTCTTTCATGCAATACAATTCGGGCGCATTTGAAAACTTTTCATTACCGGATGACAATGGCGCTCCAATAAAGTCTACAGTAAGGTTGCCTAAGACGTGAGGTCAGGTGTGTTGGGTGTGTTTTTTCTTCGCCTCATCAGCAACAAGCTCTAGACACAGCCTTGAAATTCTTTTTAGGAAGTCTCTTAGCGAGGGCTTTCGCAGCAAGCAATGTCTCCAAGTTTTCCTATTTAAGTAGCCCTGCTTTCCCAGTGTCCTGTGCTCTTTCTTTAGCACGCCATTCTTTGCAAGTTCCATCCAGCAAGGTGTAATCAGTTCATCGATCACTTGAAAAATAAAGGAATACCCTACCCTACAACCATAAGACTACCGGTCCGGTCTGTGATCAACAATGTGGAAGATTGCTCGTCACCTCCTTCTCCTGGTGTGCTTGCTCTGTACAGTGAGCTGCCACCAGAAGAAACCTGGGCACTATCATGTTGTATTGAAAGATGATCTCGATACGAAACTCCATGACCATATCGCCTGGGTCAACGACATTAACCTAAAAAGCGGCTCGGGGCATCATGGAGTCAAGCACTCATATGATTGCCTCATCGGCAAAGGATATTTTGCGCACATCTCTGGCAAAACAGCAAGAGAGATTGAACAATCCGATGAGGTAAGAGTTGATAATGAAGGCCGCACACACTCCGACCTACCACCCCAAATATTCTACGCAAAATTTTATCTTAATTCTAGCTAAGTATCTGTTACTGAAATTCTTTAATAGGTCCTCCATGTTGTCCCACAGTCCACGTGGTCCCTTGCGTCAGTACCATCAAAAGAAGATATCATTGTTGATGATAGAATAGATCCCAAAAACTGGGCTCTTACAGCAATCTCTTCGAACCCACCAAAAATCAAAGGCCCATATAAATATCACGCGTCCCAGGCCACTGGAACCTACATCTACATTGTAGATACTGGCATTCAATCTGACGATGAAGAGTTTGAAGGGCGCGTGGAACATGGTTGGGGTTACACTCCTGACGGCGATCTTGACAAGGGAAAGCTCTACGGTGACCTATTTCATGGCACTTTTGTGGCCGGAATTGCAGGAGGTCGCCGTCATGGAGTTGCTAAAAATACTACTTTGGTTGATGTGAAAATTGGGCGCGACGAGCGAGGAGACGATGCAATCTGGGATGACACCGTTATTAAAGGGCTTTGCTGGACAGCGGATAATATTAAGCAGCACAAACGTGCCAAAAAAGCCGTTGTTAACTTGTCACTTAGTGTTGACCAATTAGAGTGCCTTACTGCACTGCATTTGATCAAAAATCTCGCGGGCCAGGGCGTGACGGTAGTTTTTGCCGCAGGGAACGATGGACAAGACGTCAAGAATACCTGCCTGGGAAATAGCCCCGATGTTATCAAAGTTGGTGCATATGACAAGGACTTCAATGCTTGGAATGACAGCAACCACGGCACAGGTATCGATGTCTGGGCACCTGGGGTGAATGTACGGTCCGTTCTTTCGCAGGCTGTTCTCGAAAGAGAGCGACGTGGTTGGGGCTGGCCCAAAGACACGCGCTCCGGGACATCGCTTGCCGCCCCGCACGTCTCAGGAATCATCGCCGGCTGGATGGCCGAAGAAGACGAGGGCCTATCTCCAGCTCAAGTCCGGGAGAAAATTGATAAGCTCTCTTTTCAAGATCTCCTGGGGCATGGCGACTTTGCGAAAAAAGGAGTCCCGTCGGATGAATGGGAATATCGATTGGCCAACAACCGAATGATCTACAATGGTGCCGATGGAGCCCCGCAGAAGAAGGGGTGAGGATATCGATTAGCTAGCGACCGAATAGCCCACAATGATGCGGATAGTTGATGGCAACCAAGGTGAAAGTCTTCAAGTTTTTGTCAGACTTTGGCTCTCATGTGGAGCTAAAGTCAGTTGGACTTATCACGGTGCGATAGCTACCTCAGCATGAGGGTGACATTGAAATTGAGACACTCAAACATTAAGCTGCTTATTCTCAAGTGCGACCAGTATTATCAGATTATTGAGTCTTAATAATAAATACTTCAGAGATAATACCACATGTATTGTCACTTTATTTTATTTTTCTTCTACTGAATTTCTCTATTTATCGCATGGGATTACATTTTGACATGTGTCAGTGTAGGTAGGTAAGATTGCGAGCCCTGACAGCCATCCCCTGTGTCCTCTGGTACCATTTCCCTAATAATGAGTACTACGTGGATTTCCTAATGTTTGTGTTGGAGCCAAGCGGGCGATAGGGAGATATCGTCAACTACCGAGATAATCCATGAACATTGAAGCCCGCAGCCCAGCCTGTTCGAACGCACATACAATTTGCTAGTAACTAACATCAGGAATTCCGTGGAAGCCGGCCTGGCCACGAAGGGTCAAGTAAGGGTCAATCACAGGATAGCCGAAGCCGCGATGCATTGGACCTAGAAGGATCAGTTTATCCGAGAGGGGTCAATTGGCTAGGTTGGAAGGTTACAACCTAACTGGACCCGATCGTCAGAGCCCTGACCTATCGGCTCGAGCAACCCTAGCCGGTAGGATTGATCGCGAACCTACTAACCTGACGATCAACCTAATACCGAGGAATCGGCGCAGAGCCGATGCCTCGAAGAGCGTTCTGATCCTATTGAACACACGGCTCGAAGGAAGAGGATGACCTCGGTCATCCGGATATGAATATCCCTAGTTATTACTAGCCAGAGGGATATCGGAATGACCTTACGAGCCCGAGACCGGGCT